CTCTCTCTTTTTTCCTTTTTTTTTTCCTTTTTCTTTTTCTTTTGTTTTTTTTCTTTTGCATCAATGATCTGTTGAAAGGTCTGGAACAGCTTTTTTTTCTTTTCTTCTTGTTTTGTTTTGTTTTTGGTACATAGGTGGGTATCCGCTCAAAAAAAAAAAAAAAAAAAAAAAAAAAGGACACAGACACAAACGTGTCAATTGAAGCTTTCACGTCCGTGCGAGATAACTGTATCATTTCAGGATTTTTGGTGATATTTTTTTTTTATATTCAATTTCATTTTCAATTGTAAATAAAATAGAATGCTTGAACAACGGGCAAATAAACATTTATGTACACAGAAATGTATGTTTATATATCAAATATGTAAATATGCATCTAAATCCATAGCACACACACATACACACACAATAGGACAAATATTTAGATCCGAGTATATAATCAACAATAAACAAATTACACCAATAGTTTTTATCAAGTCTTTATTATCCAAAGTACTTTTTTATAAAACTGAAGAACAAAGTCGACGGACTGAATTCCTTCATGCACTCAATACAATCAAGAAGTCAAGTCAACAGAAAAAAAAAAAAGCAAAACATGTTTTCTCCCGCGCATCTCTTTAGTGAGCTTTTTTACTTTTTGTTTCTTCTTGATTGGTCCCTACTTACTTTCAATGGAATGGAGGAAAGGTAGCGGTTTGTCAAGGAGCTCCATTCCACCTCCTCGCCTTCCCTCCTCTTTCTTTCTTCCCGCATTCATCGCCCAACCGTTTCTTTGTTGCCACGTTGCCATCCCCCCCCCCCTTGGTTGCAATATCCCGCCTCCAAAGTCCGCATATAGGCTGTTACTACCTCTTCTTTGTAATGTCCAATGACCATTGGTGTCCTGATCTGATGAAATATCGCTGTCTATAGAGGTAATAGGAAAATAGAATGATTCGGGTCCTGCAAGAGACGGTAAAGAGGAAGGCGGTGGTGCAGAGGGCAAATATATCGCAGGTGCGGCGGTCAAGGGTCGTGTAACGCTGTTTGAAGAAGCTACAGGAAAAGCAGAAGCAGAGACAGGGAAAGGAGGATGCAAACGAGGAAGAGCCGAAGAAGGTGCATCGATTGTAGAACTAACTTGCATTGTTGCAGCATTAAATGGCGTCACTATTTCCTCCGGCGTCCACTGGGAGGGGTGAAGCTCTCCCATTTCATGCCCCATCCTAAATCTCAACCTAATTTCCCTTGACATTGGTACTGTACGTAGATCCGGGTTTACCATACCGTCTGGGCTGGGGATTGTAGTTCCAAAGCTAGTCACTGCCGAAAAACCTGGGGTAATTGCCTTCATTAGTATTGTATTAGCGCTGAAATGCAGCGGTTGAGGTACGCCTGCAGCTGTTACAGAAATTCCAGACAGCTGTTCTTCTTGTTTCAGTACTGTTCTGGTGCTGCCATTCATAGAGGCATTGCCGAGCTCTCCATTGCCTGTAAACCGCCTCCGGAAATATTGTTGCTCCCGCCATCGACGCTGAAGCTCCATAGCATACGGTAACTGTGCATAGCAGATCTGGTTTGGAATAGACTCATTCAATCGGGACTGCTCTGATAATATAGTTGTCTATATGCTATCTGACTTGTTCCTTGGCGAGTTACCGAGGTTGCGGTGGGCTCCGCAGTAGCTGTAGATGTCGCTGCTGGGGATTCAGATGTTGCAGTCCCCATTGTCGGCATTGATCCCCAAGCTATTTCTACCCGTCCATCGTGCGCTTGTCCAGCCTGGTCCGTAGCATGGCTCCCACTAGCATAACTGCGCATGTTTCTCGTGCTGTCCGCAATTGCTCCACTTGTTCCTGTGCTAGCTGTCCACATTGACGTGAAGTGGCTCCCAGAGTACGCAGTAGTGTCTGGTTCACTACCATTCACCAACCTGAGCAGCCTCGTTAGCTGAGCCGGGCGGGCCTGCGACACTACAGAATAGGCGACCATGGCAGTTTCAAAGCCAGGCGAGCCTATAGACGCATGGTTGTGCGAGCCTTCGGGGGTTGAGATAGAAGCTGATATAGTACTGTTGGGGGTGGCAAGGGTACTATCGTTGGGGAAACCACCTACTGCTACTACTGATGCAAAGGCAGGTATAAGCACTGGTAGGTTGTTGTTTGGGAGCAGTGAACCAAGAAGACCTATAGTGAATTCAAAGCAATTGGCGTGTTATTCGAGCTCCATCTCTCATTAAATCATGATATCCATCAAAGTGCTAATACATCTTTACCATTTGGGTCAATAGTGTTGCGCAAACTGAACTGACTGCTTCAGAAGTGCCGTGATCGTTGATGCGGCCGCTGCGGGTGACCCATCTGATTCCCTATGCTGCTGCGACAAGTCGTCATGTGGCCTAGATAGATCACGGGAAGGTACCAAAATTTATTGACCCTGTCCCTCCTCCGTCCTCTGCTGCTGGCGAAATGTCACGTTCCTTGGTCGTATCTCTTCGAAAGTATATGATATCCCGTTCGAGACCGTAGCTGTAAGAGGCGTAGATGTGGTTACAGTATCAACACTGACCTCATATTCATGAGGTAAACCTTCGGTTGCACTGCCAGTGATGCTAATAGATAGACTATGAGAAGGCGAAAGGACGGTTTCTTGGTCCGTCAAGATATTGCTAGAAGTGTGGTCGGGAGACGGCTCTGCCGCATCAGTAAAGATGATGACAATGTCTGGGTGTCGAAGTCACTCGTCACTAGAAGCCAGTCCAGATGAATAATCTCTTGTGGTGTAGCGCCTGCGTGGTAAAGTTCTTGGTGTATCATGTCCATCGTGGCCCGCTAAAACTAGGGGCATTGGTTGCTGGTTCACAGACACTGATGAGTGGCTATCGTTGTTTAAAGCATTGACTTCCATCGACAAAGATGAAGATGAATGTGAGGTGCTCAGCACGGACTAGTCAGAGTCATTGGTCCTTGGGAAAGAAGGAGAGTAAAGTTGGTACTGCGTGACTTCGTCTGTTGAATTGAATATAGGATCACTTAGTGGGCAGGAAAGTTAGTTCAAAGATGGTGATAGAAATAAGAAGGGGAGATGGAAGGAAGCCTTCTATTTGTAGTGAGGTCGCCTACCTCACCACCATCTATACTGATATGTGTGGTATTTGGCGTGCTGTAAAATGAAGCGATTTGGTTTATATTCCTAGTTGATATGCATCGCGGCTGCAGCACTGATTATCCTCAGAGCTGTGTCCCATGCTCGAATACTGTATTACAGGTATCACATTCTCCCTTGAATCTATATGAGAAGACCTTAACTGCCTCGAAATCCAGACCAAATTGCTAGCGAGCTGCTGCAATGGTGGATTGTAATTTCATTCTAGACACAACTGATTGGTGTCATGCCCATGGGCATTATTGCGACTATGCACACCATGCATAGTATGGACGGTAAATCGATCGTTTGTAAGACGTTGGTGCTCTGTGCATATTCGCGTTCGTCTTCAGATTCATGCATTGATAAGTTTTGACCTGCTGGGCGCAAACTCAAGGCCCTTGGTCCATATATCTGCGTATGCGTGGACTAGATACAGGCAATGCCAACGATGATTGTACTTTCCACGTGTTAAAGTTGACATTAATAATGACCTGTTTGGGTTCATATCTGTTTACCCTAGTTCATTGTGTAGCGCCTTTGGAAGATATGGTGGCTGATGCAGATCGCTTTCCATCCGTCTTTCGATATAATGATGCTGCTGAGATTGCAATGATAGGGACCCCTCGTTCAGCCCATGGAGAGTTAGATTGTAGAAAATACTATTAGCGCTCGATGCTTCACTCGCAGACAAATAAGGCTATTACAGGCCCTGCTGAAGATGTTGCTGATGTTGTTGTTGTTGCTGGTGATATTGAAGTAATCGTTGGTGTTGACGCTGTCACTCACGTAAAACAAGCGTTAATGGAGCATGGAGCTCCAGGAGATTGTTAGAGAACGAATCCGAGTACGATGCATAAATCGGACCGTATGAGGAATAGTCCGACGACACATATTGGACGTGTAACATTAAATCAATGATGTTGGATGACTGCTTAGGGCAAAGTCATGTTTCAGGTTACTAAAATGAGAAAAGTTAATTGGCTATAGGCTTTTTAGCTGGCTCCGCGGCTTTTATTTTTATTTATTTTTCTGCAAGCATAACTAAACCAGATCGCCATGGATAAAAGAGACTTTGATGGAATCAATGGAGTAAAGAAATGTGGCAATGCCAAGTTAAAGAGCACTTCATGCCATGCACTCATAAAAAAAAAGTTCGAGGCACCTTAATGAATCGTTACTTGAAAACAAATTGGTTATAAGTGAGAGTTACACAGTTTCCTGTGTTCGAATTTGTGTTCATGTGTGTGTTTATTTATAAATGAAGGGTGTGCAACCTTGAATCAATTATTACTTGCTTGCATTATGAAGAGGCAAAAGAGAAAAGGAGTATGGAATGAGAAATCGATGGGACGGAAATGATGGCATGCAAGTCATTTAGAATGCAATGAACAAATGAGAAAAAGAAGGGACAGTGCACTCTGGTCAAATGCAGATCTGCAAAGATATTTCAAAAACAGTACTCCACCTTCCTATTCAGGCTGGACTAACGCAACATGAATATGTATATTGTATCCAGCAGATGTTTTTAAGTTGAGGGCTGAGCTCAAACCAGGGCTCCATTCTCATCCGGATGGAATATTTTTACAATGCGTCTGTCAATTAAAGGGTGTGGCACACCGAGACTGATGAGGAAGAAGGTCGTATCCATGTTGTGGAATCTCTATGGTGTTGAGAGCCTCCATTCGGGAAGCGCTTGCCGTTACTATGTTGACCGCCAGTGCCTGTTTTGTCTTTTACTCAAAAGCGAAAATGCTGTTGTCAGCATTAAGCGTATTAAACATGTATCAGAGAGCCAAGCAGAGGGCGTGCTGACAAAAAAAATAAGGTTTTCTTTTTTCTTTTCACAATGCAACTTTGTTGTCTGTTGGTTTTCCCTTCTCTCTTTTTTTTTTTCCCTTTTTCTCATCTCAACGAACGCCATTGACATCTACTTTCCCTTCATCTTTAATTCAGATTCCTCTTTAGACTCCCTACTTGTGCTCATTGTGTACTCCACAATATTAGGACTCGAACAGCTGATCTTCAACAATATACCCATATTACCCCCATGCCAGTTCCGTTTCTGGCAAGGCACCGCTGCCAACAACAGCAGCAGCAGAGCCAAAAAAGGTTCCACTTGGTGCAAGTCTCTATATTTGCGCTTCTACTTGTCTTAGCTGTCGCTCCTCGGTGTACTGCAGCAGTAAGCTTTTTTTTTATTTTTTTTTCTATTTTCTTTTTATGCGTGGCATGTCAGCAAGTCAGCAAGTCAGGGACAAGGAACAGTGTCACTCCGCATCACAAATGAATATCGGCGGCAAATCATGGAAGTCTTTGTCAATACGGTATCCATGGTTCAGAACTCATCAAGGAATATACACCTATAAAGTAGATAGGAGTGATTATCTATCCGCCTACTTTTACATCGCCCATTATTCAAATCCAGACATCATTCGATTTCTTTATTGAACGAAAGAACCAAAAATAAAGCCAAAAGTTGTTCGATCAAGTGTTTCACAACATGGCAATTTTGTGTAATCGAACGAAATTGACAATTTGTCGAATCCTAAATTTTGTCATTTCTCTCATAAAACTTTTTTTCTTTTTTTTTTTTTTCCTCCAAACAAGTCTGACGAAGCACACTCTGCTTACATATACCGCCACCCAGGACAGACTATCAAGCTCTATCAACGTCAAGTTATTCCTCCTGTTATCGGAACTAATTCACCAAGTTCTGTAAGTGAATCCAAAAGCATTCTCCCTTCTTTCTTTTTTATCCAATTTATTCGCCCCATCCCTGACTGTCCCACACACCCTGTCAACATCGTGCTCAGTTTTTTGTTTTCATGTCTGGAATGTCTCTGTTGGACAGACATACGCCCGAAAAGGGAAAACAAGGGGAAAAGAGAGCTTTTTTTCTTTTTGACGTGGAAAATTCAGTTCAAGGATTAACAGTGTGTAAGAGAGAAAACAAGTCTTTCCTCTCTTAAATCTCTCAAGTTGGAACCTAAAAAGACTAATCGATGCCAACAACCATCAACATCCATGGACTAGGAAAAAAAAAAAAAAAAAAAAAAAAAAAATTAAGGCCAACACACCACTTGAATACCATGACTGAACTCTTTTTTTTTTTTTTTTTTTTTTTGGTGATCAATAGAGTGATCCTCCTACAACCTCGTCGACTACGGTAGATGTGCCGTCCCCAACTACGCCTCTTACTCCCTCTACACCCACTTCAGCTAGTACTACCACTTCGAGCGTGCCTGTTCGACCTAATACGTCCTTGCATAACTCGAATTCTCGTACTGCTACTCAGACCTTGACATCAAGCACAGGAGTCAACACAGCACCAACTTCGTCCCCTTCTAAAACTGCTGAAGCAGCTAGTAATCACCTTGTTGTCGCAGGAGCAGCTGTAGGAGGACTAGTGTTTGCTATTGGTGTAGGTATTATTGCTTTTCGATGCACCATGAATCGGCGAGAGAGACAACGTCGGAATAAAGAGATGGCTGCAACCTTGGCAGAGAACTTTGACCGAGGTGGCGATCCTATTGGCACACCAAGAAAAGGATACTTGGAACTCAGTGATGGTCCATCTACGCCGGTACCTGGAAGAGCAGGCGCTAATCTGTCAAGACAAGGATCTCAGGATGCTTATTATGCACACAAGGAAAGCGGTGGGGGACAGCAAGACTACTATAACCCTCACTACGTTCAGGAGCGGTATGGAACTGCACCGACTGGCAACTATGGCATGTATGAAGAGACTGAGTTATCAGTGATGGGAAATAGTCACTCAATGGCGTACCCATCTACCAGTGCACCGAGCAACCATTATGGAGGCTATAATGACTATGGCAGTCACCATGATGCTGGTGGATATTATGGTGGAGCTGGGTCACAGCCTCCTCGAGGTCCTCAGGCCTATTGAACCCTTGATAAAAAATAAAAAAAGCATATGAACGATGTAAAGACAGGATCCTTTATTATTTTTAATTTTACTTTTTCAATGTACCATAGAAAGCCCTAGTCTGGTTAATAAAAAAAAAAAGTATATTTTGTTGAACGGAGTGCATTCACAGTACTGGAGAGAGAGTGAGGAGCCCTTGATTCCAACAGTAATGGAATCAAGCGTGGCTTGGCGCAAAAATGGACATTTGTTACTGAGATCTGTCCCGCCCCTTCTCCTTGGAGAGTTTCCCCTTTTTTGTGTAGCGGTCTTTTATCTTTCATCGCTACGCGCCATCACCAAAGAAGCTTTTTAGCATTTCTCTCTTTCTCCCTCATCTACCTTCTTTTCTCTTTATTTTACTATTCTTTGAACTTCATCTTCCTCACTAATATATAGAAAGTGTATTACAGAGTATTATGTCCATGGCATCTACACCACGCTCTATTCCTCTGACTTGTTCAGGTCATACGCGTCCTGTTGTCGACTTGCAATTCTCTAGGGTCATGTCCGATGGTACCTACTATATGATCAGTGCATGCAAAGGTAAAGTCTCTTGTCTTTTTTAGATTTGGTTTCACAATCCCTTTTATGCACATGAGGTCGACTGCACAAAAGAACAATTAAACATTGAGCTTTTTTTTTTTTTTTTTTTTTTTTTTTTTCTTGACATTGTGGATTTGGTGCATCAACAGATGGCAATCCTATGCTCAGAGATGGACAAACAGGAGATTGGATCGGAACGTTTATCGGACACAAGGGTGCTGTTTGGAGCGCACGTATGAGTACTGATGTCACAAAGGCCGTTACCGCTTCTGCCGACTTTACAGCGTACGTGAAGGGAAAAGGATGGAATAAGCTTTCCCTTTTCTCCTTTTGGCCCCCGGAATATTAACAAGATGCTTCTTTTTCTTTTTCTTTTCTTTTCTTTTCTTTTCTTTTCTAATGTATTATGGATGATAGTAAGGTCTGGGACACATATACCGGTGAAACCTTGTACTCATTCCCTCATCAACATATTGTTCGCGGATGTGATTTCTCTGGTGATGGCACTCGTATTGTAACCGGTGGCATGGAAAAAAAGCTGAGGATTTTTGATCTCAACAAAGAAGATCTGACCGGCCAGCCATTCCTTGTATCAGAGGGCCATTCTCAAATGATCAGGAACGTCGTTTGGGATGGTGCACGGAACATGATTTTAAGCTCTGGAGATGATATGGAAATCAAGTAAGGACATACAAGCATGCCTTTGTTTTTTTATTTTTTTTATTATTATTATTATTATTATTATTATTATTATTATTATTTTATTTTCCTCTTTCTTATTGTTCCTGGATTCCTAGATTGGGAATATATTTGTTTGACATTTTAATTGTGATTTTTCTGCTATTGCTTCGTTAGAGTATGGGATCCTCGCTCTTTTAACCAGGTTCACTCTTGTAAGATGGATGGACCTATCGCCTCCATGGAATTATCGGCAGATGGACAATACATTACCTCTACCACTGGAAAATCAGTTTACTTCTGGGATGCTCAAACGTAATGATCTCATTTTCCCTATCTTCTTTGCAGGCTCCGATATGTCATTATTGTCACCCTGTGTTGAAAGTATCTTGGCTCGCTGACTTTTTAATATTCTATTATTATTTATTGCCAACGATGTCAACATCAGCTACACATTAAGAAAACACATTAAGACCGAATATGATGTCTCGGCTGTATCTTTGCATCCCAATCACACTCGGTTCGTTGCTGGAGGATCCTCAGATCTCTGGGTGCGTATTTATGATTTTGAATCAGGTCGTGAGCTCGAAGTCTATAAGGGACACCATGGTCCTGTTCACACCGTTAGCTATAGCCCCGATGGTGAATTATATGCAACAGGATCCGAAGATGGAACAATCCGCCTATGGCAGACAACACCTGGAAAGCGTTATGGTCTCTGGCAAGGAGATGGTAATGAGGATGCATAGACAAAATACCTTTTTTCACAAGTTAGAAAATAGTATCGCTCGCTCGACGCAAAGCTGGGGGAAAAAATATGAAACAATAATAAAAAGAAATTTGCAAGAACAATAACAGGGGTAAGAACGCTAGTTCTTGTATGGATTATGACAGTACATGTTTATTGTAAGTAATGTTCAGGCGATAACGAGAATCTGTAAAGTAGGACCTGTCCTGTTGAGAAAGCTTAATGAAAGGTCAATCCTGTACCTTTGTCTTTTATTTATCTTTCAGTGTGTTCAGTCCAGATGTTGCTCTATTTTTTTTTTTTTTTTTTTCTTATTTTATTGCCTCACTTTTACCACTGCTGATTATTTTCCAAAGCCGTTCTTGCTGTTGCCGTAGGAGCGCTTGCCGATATTGAAGGGGATATAGCGGTACTTGATCATATGCCTGATTTGACGCTTCATCGTCAAGGTGAATAGAATACAAAAGTAGATCAAAAGAATAGGCCAGAAAACAGGGATGTCAAATACACGGAAAAGCGTGCAGACAAATGCAACAATGATTGCTCTTGTGGCAGAGTGCCTATTGAAAGAAAAAGACGATTTCTTGTTTGTTAGTATCAAGCAAGTCAAATAAAAGCTTGATCATCCACCCTTCTTCTTGCGGATTCTTTCACTCTAATTAAACTTTGTGTAATATCCTGCCTACTTGAAGGCAATCTCCAATAATCCCCACGCACACTCCTCCTTGATCTTACATTGCCACGTTTGATTTTTTTTTTTTTTTTTTTGCTTTTGCATAATCTGTCGATTTGGGAGCCCAAACAAGGTCATCTTGTGTTCCCCTCTTTCCTGTTGTTGACACTCGTGCAGCATCTCTTCTTCAGATAGGGAAAACATGTTCTTATTAATGTCCCCAGATCTCACAACAATTGCAAGTTGTATTTTTTTTTTTTTTTTTTTTTTTTTTGTAACCTTCATTTCGCCCAATCGTCCTCGGATTTTTATCAAAAAAAAAAAAAAAAAAAAAAAAAAAAGGATAAAGGATAAATATTATTAAAAATAGTAATAAATAAACGTTACCAGAACTTGAACTCCGGCAATCTTCGAACAAAAGGTCTGAATTCTTCGTCGGATCTTGTGGGTAACATGGGGCCACCTTCCTCTACTTCATCAGCAGCCATGTCCATCTCAAGAGAAGGGTCGAACTTTGGTTGCAAGAAGGCCAAAAATAAGTTGAGCAGATAGATGCCTAGGGCATAGGTGACGATGTACCAGCCTTGTGCATAAATGACACGAATAAAGTAGATCAAAAGAACCACGCCCGTAAAAGCCCAACGTTCTGGAGTGTGAGGGGTCACCTTGTCGAGGATGATTTGGTAACGCTAATAATAGTAAGAGGAATTTCATTCGAAAGCCGAAGATTTATAACATCAGATAAGTAAAAATGAAGAAAGAAAAAAAGAAAAAAAGCTCTTCTTTGCTGCTCACTACGATTTGTTGACAATGAAAAAGTATTTTGTCCACTTTTGGGGGATCATGAAAAGAACGAAGAGAAAAGGATATTTGTTTTTTTTTTTTTTTTTTTTTTTTTTTTTTTTTTTTTTTTTTTCATTATCGACTTGATACTCTTTTCCTGATAAATGCCATGTAATAATCAATGGACCCTGGCTGGTGCCTGCCAGAGTGCGCCAAGACAAATAAAAATAAAAAGAATGTCCACAGCCCCTTTGTCATCTTTAAAGCAGATCCGTTTTTTGTCTCCTTCCTCGCCTTGATGTCCTGATGAGAGTCATCATTTGTTAGGCCAGATGTCCTGATGTAAATTTCATTCCGATATGCTCCTCATGTCCTGGTTGATGATGAATCTGATGAGAAGAAACACAACAAAAAGAACACATCATCTCATAATAGTTTTTTTTTTTTTTTTTTTTTTTTTTTTTTTTTCTTATTCTGTGCTCTCCCCTTTATATTTTGTATGCTAATGACAAGAAAGGAAAGTAGGAGAGAAAAAAAAAAAAAAAAAAAAAAGATGAATTTGGCTTACCTGCTCGATGGCCGACTTTTGGGCCCAAAAAGTATTGGCTTCCTCTGGTGGATCAGTATTCATTTTTCTTTTCTTGAAAGGAGTATTAGATTAATAGATCCCTTGTCCTGTAGTCTACAGAGTAAAGAGAAAGAGAAAGAGAAAGAGAGAGAGAGAGAGAGAGAGAGTATATGTATTGGAGGGGGAAGAGAAATTAAGTGGAAATCTGCCTGACTTGAAATAGTCGTAGTCGTAGTTAATAGTAGTAAGGAAGAGCCGAAAGATGTTGTTCTAAAGAAAGGGCCGATTAATAAAAAAAAGAAAAGTTGTTCATGGGAAGAACAAGAAATATGAAAGTATATATTAATAGCTTGTCAATGTCAAATAAAAAAAGAAAGTCATGTATTTGTTGCATCTTTACATCAACAAACCAAAATATTACAAAAGAAAAAAAAAAAAAAAAAAAAAAAAAAAAAAAGGTAAATGATGGAGTTGAAAGGGCTGATCTGATTAGAATGACAATGGAGATGATTAGGAGAAAAAGAATATTAAAAAAAAAAAAAAAAAAAACATGCGATACGCTGGTGGTTTGATATGTATTAAAGATCCCCCATTTTTTGTTGTCGGAGCAGTCCGACGATCGAACCAAAAGCAATAGCCAAACTCCGTGGGGGAGAAGAAAAAGAGCTCATGCAATATTAGATCCTTGGATCCTTCCCCCAGAAGAAAGTGCCACGTTGAAGGAAAGACAACAACACGCCATATTCCCTTCTTTTTAATAATAGATACTGTATCTTCATCAACTTGTTACCTTGCATCCCCATTCGTTTATATACATTTATATACATGAGTATTGATGTTTATATGAAAAGGAATCTTCTCACGAAGAAGAAGATACGTCATCATTTTTTTTTTTTTATTGCACCTTTTTTTATACAAATAAAAAGTAGAGCGGAGAAGAGAGGAGAGGAAAGGACAAGCTTTGCTTTCCTTTTTTTTTCTTTTTTTTTCTTTTTTTTTTTTTTTCCCTACTACTATTTTGTCACAGGAAGGAATGTGGATCACATAAAGATCCTTTGACCTATTTGATTTGAATAAGCTCAACCTCAAAGATCAAGTCAGACTTGGGAGGAATAACATCTGGGATTCCATTTTCTCCATATGCATAGTCATAAGTGATGTTCAAGATGGCCTTCTCGCCCAGAGACATCTGAGGAACACCTTCTTCCCAACCACGGATAACGCGACCTACACCGATGGGGGTCTCGAAGGGCTTATTGCGGTCGTGAGAAGAGTCAAACTTGGTTCCGTTTGTAAGGGTACCAGTGTAATGCATGACGACTGTCTGACCACGGGTGGGGAAGGTCTTGCCATCGCCGGGTGAAAGGGTGGTCTTGGTAACGCCCATGTTGATGATGATACTTGAGAATGAAGAGAAAAAAAATAAAATGATGAGGAAAAAAAAAAAAAAAAAAAAAAAAAAAAAAAGGTCAAGGGTCCCTTATCATTGCACAAATCAGTGACGCGAAGAAAAGAATGCTTACAATCTAGTGTACATGTACATGTACATGTACAGTACACACTAGACATGGTGTGGCTTGTTTGTACACCTGTCGCGCGATAGGTCGCGACTTTGTGGGGCGAATGTCTGGTCCGTAGAAAACAGCCGCGCACTGGCTATTTATCAGGGGAAGGCTCTTTTTTTTTTTTTTCTCATCTAATCAACTTTTACTTGTACAATTTTTCTCTCACCCTTCTCTCTTCCTTCCACATCTTCTCTCGTCTCTCTACTATCTTTCATTCTTTCTCTTTTCCTCTCTTTCTCTCTCTCTCAAAAATAAAGACTAACCTTGACGATCTATCAACCCTAATCTCAGTTAAAATAAAATGGCAGACGTGTCAAAGGATTTCAGAGCAACATTCGACCCTGAAAAACAAAGTAAGAGCATATAGTGAAAGCCTTGTCAACCTTGGGGGGTTTTTATTATTATTTATTTATTCCAGAATTAGTGAACAAATGTGATGGATGTGTATTATATCATTGTTGTTTAACAATTTTTAAAATAAAACTTTTTTTTTTATTCTTTGTTTTTGAAAGGCATCGAGAACGAGCTTGCCAACTTGGACAAGGTTCCTGTGGGTGAAAGACAGCAAAAGATCGATAGCCTTGTCCAACGCATTCACGCGTTAGAGAAATCAATCACTGCAAACATTGGAGTAATCTCACCCTTTGATGCCCGTGTTTGCCTGGAGGTAAAATACCCGTATTCAATTTGTTTATTATTGTTATTGCAGTTATTTTCCCTTTTTTTTTTTTTTTTTTTTTTTTTAACACATTTTACCCTTCGTTTGAAAATAAAAAATAAAAATAAAAATAATCAGGCTGTCAGTTCTCTTTCCACGACACTAAGCCAACTGCGCGTTCAATTGATCCCCAAGCCAAAATTCACGTTCAAGTCACGGAAGGCTATATCTCCTTCAACCTTAGCCGTATCCGAGTCTGTCTCAGCCAAGGACTCCTCCAAGTCACAAACTTCTCATGTGGACGAGTCAATGTTTATGAAATTTGAGAATCGTACCAATGAGCATCTTTACATCGGCACCCTATTACAACAACAACAGCAGCAACAATCCAATTCAATGGAAGAAGTTTATCTGGGAGGACTTCCTGTTACTACAGAAAACAAAGCTTTGAATGCTGATAGCAGTGCTGCAGAAACAACGGAGGAGCAAAAGCCAAAGGATGTCGCCTTGACGAACTTGACTGATTGCACCATCAACTTGTTGCATGATAACACACCTTTGGGAGCTATCCATATCCGTAATTTGAAGCGATGTACCCTGGTCATTCCGCCAGTCTCTGGAAGTATCCTTCTGCACGATTGTGAAGGATGTGTTCTCATTGGAGCATGTCATCAGGTATGTTGATTTACCTCTATCCATAATATGCTTTACCAGACTGGATATCAATCGCTGAAATGTTAATTTTTTTTTTTTTTTTTACATAGTCACGCATGCATACTTCAACTGACATGGATATCTATCTCCATGTTACCAGCGAGCCTATTATTGAGGATTGCACCAATATGCGCTTCGCTCCTTACCCATATCATGATCTCTTCCCTACTAGTGTCGCACCGGTCCACGATATTGGCGCTACTGCTGCAACGACCTTTTCACCTGAATCTGGTGATCCAAGACTCAATCGTTTGTTTGAGTTAGCCAAATTGAATCCTCAAGTCAATTATTTTGATCGTGTCAAAGACTTTAATTGGTTGCGACAGCAAAAGTCACCCAACTGGCGTGTGGTTGACTCGAGTGAGATCAAAGAAGGAGTTGCTCCTTTGGTTCTTATCAAGGATGAGTTGGCAGAACATCAGTTGCAGCAACAACTGCGACAACAACAACAAGGACTTAGGCTCAAACGTTTTCCTGTGGTTGCGGTGTGACAACGACAGCATTACTTGACCATCATAAGCAACTTTATGCAATGGAGAGGAAGCTTGAAAAGAAGACAAGCTGAAGAGAGTGGTGATGTGCCTTTATTTATTCGGGAGAACAAGCGTCCTTGTTATTAGAAACAGAATATAAAAAAAAAAAAAAAAAAAAAAAGTTGTGCAATTAAGGTATACAAAAGATGGTTGAGAGAGAGGGGAGGTTTGGCTAGCCATAATAGAACTTTTTTCTGGATGATGTGCAAGTGGTTTTCACTAAAAGATCTCGAACTCAAGCTATCAACGATCATCGTTATAAAAAAAAAATGCATGTGTGAGCCAACGTAAAAAAAAAAAAAAAAAAAAAAAAAGAGCTGTTCTATTTTTCCGTAATAGACACAAACATTCAAAAAAAAAAAAATAAAAAAAATAAAAAAAGACTTACGTAGATCATCCCCACTTTTTGTGGGTCTCGAAGATGCATTCTCGCAGGATGGTAGATTTGTCTATTTTCCTGTTCAATAAATTCCTCCATTCTCCGGATGGCACGTTGGTAATGTGTTCCAAAGCAATGTTTGGCAGTATATGCTGTCAGGCAGTCCAGTAATGTATCTAGACAGTTAAGCATCGATTGTTCTGCATCCCGCATGCATTCATTGATTCCTTCTACAGTCTTCTTAAACTGTTGAATTGAGATCTTTTTTGTTCCCAAATTTTTTTTACAAAATTAGATGTATGATTAGGTTACTTTTTCGTGATAACAGACAAGTATAAAAAATAAGCGGGGAGACCCTTTTTTTTTTTTACCCGTCCAACAAATTCTTCAGGGAACTGCTCATTGTCAAATCGCGTGGCCTGGTCTGCCAGATTATGGTCTCGGTCTACCCGGACAATACATCGGGGGATCCCTGTAGGTGGTTCTGACAGACGCTGGTAATCAGCACTCTGGTGTTGCTGTTGCTGTTGTTGTTGTTGATGACTATTATTTGCCTCCGTCTCTGTTGAGTGATTCTGGGCTCCTCCTGGTGAAAGAGGAGATGGTAACCGAGGTTGATACTTTGGTTGCTGTGTAGTAATATTTTTTGGTAAAGACGGCAATTCTTTAGTTTTTATGGACTGATTCATTATCCCCGTTGTTGTTGATCCTGTCCCTGACCCTGTCCCTGTCCCTGTCCCTGACCTTGACCTTGACCTTGACCCTGCTTCTACTTCTCCTTCTGCTTCTGCTGTAGCTGCAGATATAATTATTGTACGGCCTTGATAGGAACTCGCGGTTATTGGAGATTCTGTACTACTTCTGTTACTATTAGTATTTCTATTGTTTTCATTATTATTAATGTGAAGCATCGATAGAGGGATGGATGTTGAGAAAGAAGAGTCTTTTGATGGCTGCGGCTCTGAAGGTGGTTGCCATTGTGAAGGTAATGCTGTGTTCATAATGATTTCTTTTATTTTGTATTTTATTCAACTTGATGTGTGAGACAATGTGTTGAGTGGTAATGTTGTTAGATGTTTTATGCGTATATGCTGCGATGATGGAGCTTTATTTTTTTTTTTTATTATTATTATTTTTTGTAATGAATGAACAAAGTCATCAAGGCGTGGAGTTTGCCATTGCCTAAAGTTGGGAGGTTGATTGTATGAATGAAGTTGTCAACAAGTTTTACAGCAAGTCTTATACGTAAAAAAAAAAAAAAAGAAAAAGAAAAAGTATGAAGGAGACAAAATAAAAAAAAAATAAAAAAAAAAAAAAAAAAAAGCTTTTGGTCCACTTTGTCCATAAAACTTTATAGTGTGTGATAAACAGGCCTGTTAAAAACCATTTGTGCTCGAGCTAATTGGGCAAGGTCCAAATGAAATATTGTTCATGTACCGCGGTAACAAGATCGCAGATTTAATAGCAATGATGAAAAGATAGACGGCATTTGTGACCAATTGCCAGCCTTAGTTCAGAAGCCAAGGAAACGTGAAAGCAAGGTGAGATACAAGTAGAACTGGGACCCAGAAACAAAAAAAAAATTTTTTTGAAGGAAGAGAACATTGCGAATGATGTCGTCGGGACTTTTGCAGCCATTCTGTGATAATCAACCATTTCACTTTTACTGCAGAGCCAGTTTAGTAAATTTTTACAGTAGCTCAGTTGTAAACTTCCTATTTGGCACATGACTATGTCGATCACGACGCGAACAGGATCTAAATGGCCACTGGTTTGCTAGACAGGTAATAATAACAGCTCAAAGTCGAAGTAGCCGCTTTGGTTTTTTCTTTCTTTATTCCTAATTGGTTTGTCCAATGTGACCGAGCTTTTCTTATTCTGGGAATCACTTTGCGTCCATTACGTACAAGCGTAACCGTTTCAGTATACATCTTCTTCCTGTCGAACTGCATCTCCTGATCGATACTTCTTTTTCTTTTTTATTATCCCAATCTTCCAGAAGTAACGATGTCTCTTCATTTTACTCTTCTCCATGTCTGCTCTAACATCAACTATTTATCGACCCAAACTCAATAGTTCGGTCCAAACTAATGGATGCAACAAAAATCAACAGCGAATTCGCTTGAGCTCACAACCACTACAGCCGGAACTACAGTCACAGGTCTCCGAGACCAAGACTATCCTCGCATACCATACTCTGACCTCGTTATCTTTTACTCATATTCAATTCTCTCCGTCCAAAAGGTTTTCTAAATTTTTCGCCTTTATATCCCTCTCTCCTTGGGGAATTCTATGTGGGAATCTGGCCATTATCCTTGCGATGCGAGATCTAGTGCCCCTCATCGTGTTTCTAGGACAAGTCTTGAATGAAAGTGTCAATCGATTTCTAAAGAAGATTAAGCAAGGTCGACCCACAGGTAAAAAAAAAAAAAAAAAAAAAAAAAAACTTACTTTTTATTTTTGCCTTCAAAGAATACCTTGGAGCTGGATACGGAATGCCTTCAAGCCATGCACAATTTATGGGTTACTTTGCATCTAGCATTACCATCCTAATGTACCAAAGGTAAAAAAACCTAACAAAAAATCATGCCATGTCAAAGCAAATGCAAATAAAATAAACTTTTGTTGATCTTTCTTGTCTTAATCCATTTTCATAAAGAGGGACGGCACCGGACGCTATTTTTCCACACATTACTGCTGGCTTCATAATCATCTGGGCTCTTTTGGTTATCTACTCTCGGTAAGGTTCTGCTTTTTCGTAACAGTTGCATTCCAACATCTTATTGCCTTTTTTTTGAGTTATTGTTAGGCCCATAATACTCATTTTTTTATTATGTTAATGTCTATAACATTGAATACCAAGTGCCCATCTTTATTATCATACCTGGCAGCAGGTCGTCGTAGGAGCAATCTGTGGAATTATATTTGCGCTGATGTACTTTTCCTTCATCAATAATGTATTACGCCCTTGTGGTTTCTTTGACTGGATTGTGGATCATCCATGGTCTCAGCAACTGTACATTCGTGATACAGATGCCATCTCAGACCGAGCTTTGTCTGACTGGGAGACATGGCGGCAGCTTCGCATGCACAAACACCGCTAATAAAAAACTATTAGCTAAACATTGATCCTAAATTAAAATAAAAGACAGGTTCTCTTTTACTCTCCTGAATGAATGAAATTTCTTTACATGACACACAGGCTTCCAACTTTTCAGCGGACAGCCCGCCAAATGTTACTTGGTGCCGCAAAACTTTTGATTTTACATTCCTCTCAGTTACAATCGCATGTTTTTTTTTTTTTTTTTTTTTTATTATTATTGTTATTAGGGATATTTAAAAGAGAAAATTATGGAAATATATTACAAATCTGTTGGAGGGAATAGGAAATTGTTGCAAAAGCTTTTTGTGAGTCCTACTTTAGGCGCTAGACTTCAAACCAACAGCAACAGCAATGTTGTTGATGAGAGTAGCGGGTGCAAGGGTAGAGAGGAACCCTTGGGTTGTGGCCGCCTCCTGGACCTTAAGAGCCTCCTTCTCTTTTTTGGTCAATTCGAGACCAACGAGCTCATGGTCAAACTCTTGGAAGATGTCAATGTTTCTAATAAAGGCCTGGCAGGACTCCTGTACAATTTGCTTATGGGTCTCTTCATCGACTTCGACCTGGTTGAGACGGATACGGTACTGTTCCTTGAACTCGTTCTTGTCCTCAATCTCATCAAAGTTATAGAAGGCAACACCCTTACCCTCGGGCAGGTCGTTGTACTTTTGGAGCTTCTTGGCCAAGATCTGTCCACCAGACAAATCACCAAGATAACGAACATAAGCATGAGCGATCAAGAGCTCAGGCTTGGTGGTGCTACAGCGGTTGATGGCATCAATGTAAGCCTGCTGAGCAGGGGAGATGGGAGTAAGCATGTCACGCCACTCAGGACCATTGAAGAATTCGAGATCCTCCTCTAGAGCTGCCTTGCGAGAAAGCTCCTTGGGGAAGTAGATGAGTTGGATATTGGCATTATCCTTATTATCATTAAGGGCCTTCTCAAGAGCACTGGAACATAATTATGAAATAACTTTAATCAATAAAAGGTGTTTTTCGCGTTTTTACCATGATGATAAAATAGAATTGTTTCTTTTTTACTCACGTGTAGACATGGTACAGAGAGATGAGGAAGCGACCATAGATAGCAGGAGAAAGCTCACCCTTGAAAAAGTACTTGATGAACTTGGAGCGCTCAGCTTCAGCATGGACAGTCTTGGTACCCTCTTTGAGATCAACAGCGAGAAGAGCCATCTTGTATGTAGTTGCTACTAGAATGATATAAAAAAAAAAAGTGTAAGTTTTTGAGTTTGCATGAGCTGTGAAATGCAACCTCATTCGTCAGGAATGACAAGAGCTAGCACCTACGGTGGTGGTGTATATGTTGAGGTGGAGGTGGGAGAAGATATTAAGGCAAAGGATGGGGGGGGGATGTGTGTTATGAGTAAAGTAAGAAAAAAAATAAAAAATAAAAAAAAAATAAAAAAAAGCTGGAGTGAGGAGGTCTTTATATATTATTTCAGAAGCAGCCAAAAGGTATGTACTTCTGAAAAGAAGCCATGGTAATTGTTGTGGTGGCGGACGTGAGCAAGAGTAAGAGAGCCTGGGCTAACTGACAAATGGCGTCTTTTTTTTTTTTTTTTTTTTTTTTTTGATTTTGAGTTTGTGTTTGTATTCAATCCAATTCAGTCCATCTTGTCAAACTATCGAATCTGATAACAAAATCTTTTATGGCCCTCCGTCTATCCCCGCAAACTCACATTCTGAATTCCTTTCTCCTACTCAGTCTTCGCCCTCTTGTCCTCTGAAACTTACTCACGGCACACCCAAAAAGAATAAAAAAAAAATACGACGCGGTCTTGTCTCATTCCAGTCAGGTTGACAGTAATGAGTTATACATCATGCCTCTCTTCAAGACTCTCTCGTTTCTTCATGACCAAACAAAGGTTCTGAATATATTTAATGTTGAGCTCAACATATTGACAATTAGTCATGCGTTGCTTGTTTATGGCTGACTGAGTTAGTCTTGATAGAAAATTGGAAAGAAACAAAGACGATGGCGACAGTCATGCATGGAGCTCCAAAAAAAAAAAAAAAATAAATAAAAATGGACACTAAATTATATATATTTGGTCAAGAGAATGCAAAAAAATCTCCGATTGGCTGATTTTCCACGTACACAGAGACTTCTTGTCACGTATTACTCTAGTTAAACGCGCGCCTTCCCTATTATTCATACTTGTCCTCTTGATTCAATTACTATTAATACCAAAGAAAAAGAATAAATGTAAAAGAAAAAACTGTTCATTCTCATTCTTCATCGATAAACATATATGCAAAAAAAAAAAGTATGGCGCCAATGTTATGCCTGACTCTGGACCCAGGAAGGAGAAGGACCCGAATCGTTGTTTTGCCACGTAAACGCATGTTCATCTGTTCGACAAAAGGAATACCGAAGAAACATTGATGTGTACAAGCCGTGCTAGTGCACTTCTGTACTGCCATAGTTGGTATGCTTTTTCGTCTAGCAATCCTAGGCACTGAGGGCTTTTTTTTTTTGCTTTTTTACACAACATTAATGTACATTTCCTTCTCACATTGCATGTCCCTCAGGTGAAACAGACAAAGAGTGAATGGAACGACTAGTGTATTCCAATTAGAAGACCAAGGCTATTTTTACGGTCTTTCAGTGCTTGATGGCCAGGACACAACCTCCAATACGAATAAATTTGGGCGCTGCCTTCCTTTATGCACGTGACCCAATCTGTAGGAAATGCGAAAACAAAAAAAAATATTCATTTTTCGTCCAGCTGTGTGGTCTTTGCAAAAAAAATTGACGATGCACGTGCAGGTCACCCCGTGGGAAGAAAAAGGCAACTGTGCCTATTCTAAGACAATAGAAATGAAGCTGCCTGTTCATTACGCGACCCATACATAATAGCTTGAGACTATTTGCTTCTTGATGTAATTACTTAGTTAGCTTCACACACATTGTCATCAAAAATTATCTCGGCTAACCGCTTACTGCCATAACAGGATACTCCTTCACCCAATATTTTACAATGTCTTTAACCGAATCTTGAAAAAGATCTGGATTCGTTCTTCTAATTTCCCTTGCATAGTATTTAACGGTTTTTATTTACACTCAAGCTGATACCACGAACAAGGTGCAATGCATTACAAATTGATTACATTCATATCCAGTCTGCTTAAAAAAGTTTTTATTGCCAAGAGATGAAATGAACAAAAGCAATGTAGGTATTGGGGGTATGAAGCCAAGCTGACACTTTAAAGAGAGAGAAGTGTTATCAGCTCTGATGACAAGTTGAAACGATTTATGACAGAAAATAAATATGAGCACAAATGAGAATTAAATATTTCTTTGGGGAAGGGGCAGGAAGGGTCTATGTCTTGGCATACACATGGAGACATTCTCCACATGTGTATGTAAAGTAAGGGCCAGCAGGAGTCCATTAGCCAAGGGTTGCGCATGATCGTCAGAAAGGTTCCTCTGGAAACAAGCCACGGTGCGAGTCTAACATTTATAAAGAACATCGGTTTCATATTATATCATCAAAACCTTTTCTCTTTAACCTAGGGTAGCCGATTAACTCTACCCCAAAGCCTTTTGCTCTTTCAACCTTTTTTTTCCCCCTCTTCTATTGCTCTTCTCTTTCCCGCAAAGTATACAAATATATTCATGCATCACTTCTACTAGAGATCAACTTTACTTGCGAACCAAGGAAAAGGAATACCCCCCTTTTTTTCTTTTTTCTTTTCTCTTCTATTCAGTTCCTGAATTCTATCCTATTACCATCCAAAACTCACCAGAAATATACTATAAGTAGCAACTATGGATGATGCCTGGGAGAACTTTCTCGAGGCCATTGCCGGACTCTTGTCTAAGGCATTGACAGATAAGGAAACAGAGAAGGTCATCGCCGGATTTAACAATTTTCAGCAGCGGTTGCAAAGACTAAGCAGGTATATGTCAACGCTTTTAAAATTTGAGAACAAAACAAAAAAGAGGCGGACTCGAGCAGAATCAATATTAAAAAAAAAGGCAGCATTTACATCTGTCATCTAATGGACAATAAACTCATTTCATCTTGCAACATTCATTCATCTCAATTAGTCATAATCTCCGAAGGCTCCATCTGGAGATTACAGAGAACGAAAAGCAAATCAATAAATGCAAACATGAGGGCAAGACATGTACCCAGAATGTTACAAGAGGCTTCTTCAAGACCTGGGCCATTGGCTATGTGGCCAAGTACCTGATTGCAGTCTTGCCTGCACTCTTGACAGGCAAAGCTTTTAAGAAGTAAGTGTTTCTCTTATCTATCTTTCAATAGTTACATTGGGCGAAAATTGGGGGGAAACACGGAATGGTTTCACAGTTCACCATTCCTTCCGATTCTGATGCAGCTGGATGCTGTGGGTACCAGAGCGGGTAAATGGTCATTGTTTTTGACTATTGTGAGACCAATGTGTCACTTGCACCAATCGGCAAGGTCTAATTTGATATAACCAATAAGACGGACTATGGGGAATAGTTGGTGGCAAACTGTTACCAATGATATCAGAGACAGCGGGACAACTCTTCCATCTGGACTAAGGGGAGCTATCAACAATTCAGACGAATATCTGGACACTGTACGTGTGGGTCAATCTCAAAGGACACGTGTTGAAGATGGAATCGGATCGGATGGCATTTCTATTGCCGGTACGCACTGGGAGTGATGTGAATAGAGATCAAGTCTATCCATTTCTAGATGAATTACCGAAAACAATTTTTACCTTTTTTTACTCCGTATTCTGTTTGTCTCATTCACATGCAAAGCAGATTTTCATTCTTAGTTCCTGACATATGCTCATCACATCTTTTGTAGTCATCGCTGTGATGCTGTCGACGCGTTCGCACCCGCCACTCTTTTATTTTTATTTTTTTTCTCACGTTTTCTGATGACTATCGTACGCCTTTGCATCTAACCTATATCGAAACATTCATTAAATCGATGTTAGTCCGAATATCCTCAAGAAAAGTGGCGGAAGTGACACTATACGCTTTGCATTCTTCCTCTCATCATTCATATCAACCTATAAGGGTGTGCTCTGCACTATGCGCCAATTCAGGCCTGATCACGAAGGAGATCGACTCAATGCATTTGTGGCAGGGTCCGTCGCAGGACTGACATTGACATTGGACAAGAACAAGAGCCGCAGGACTGCGCTTACTTTATATATTTTCACAAGATCGATCCAATTTGGATCAAGCTATGCCATGAAAAAGTGGGCAGAATACCGTGACGCCAAACGATCTCGAAATCGTCTTGCTCTTAGAGATGCGGTAGAGCGATCGGGAGAGAAGCAGGAGTTGATCACTAGAAACGGGTGGGATGATATCCTTGCAAAAGTTATGACTGTTTCTGCTGCAACGATTCTGATGTCGTTGACAGCTTCTGTGAACTTGTATTCGTGTGTGATCGAGCCCGAGGCGCTCCCACGGTCGTACTGGAACTTTTTAATGCAACATTCTGGATTGCCACAGAAGTTTGGACCTATGTTCCCACCACTTATGGAGACTTTCAAGGCGCAATACAATATTCTCAAAGAGTTGCCTGGCGGAATGGAGAACGTAGGAATTCCAAAAGGCATATCATCTAGGGATTTCGTGGCAGAGAACATGTCTCCAAACATTGCAACCTTGATCCCGGCTCATCTGCATCACGATTTCCAGCTCTGCGCTCTATTGCATCCGCTAACGCCGTGTTCCGCACATGCCTTAGACGTGATCACGGGCGAATTCGGACGAGCCCTCAAGATGTATGGAACACTCAATTTTGTAAGTTCATAATTATAGGCAAAAATTAGCTGTCTATTCAAATGCAGTTCCATCTTGGTCTAGATTATTGTTTATGTTGCAACATCAAAGATGTTCACGCTTTGCTCTTTTATTTTTTTATCGTAATAGATCGTAACCCTTGTCTTCCAGCATAAGAAGCTGGCCACTCAACCTAAGGAAGTTGCTCACCGCTATGTCAAGTCAACCCTGCGATCTTGCTTATTCTTAACTACCTATGTCTTGGCCGCCTTTTACGTCCCATGCCTTATGCGCAAGATTTTCAAGAAGGAGTTTCTTGGCACGTAAGTTGCCTTGGTGTTTTATTACACGTGTGTATTTTGCTACTAGTTGTACTCGTGTCATCTCATGTACAGTGCATACTTGCTATTGTTCATCCCCTGTTAGTTACCTCGTCAATGGTCTTATTGCAGGATTGGCTGTCTTGATAGAGGCCCCTGGTCGTCAGATGGAATTAGCACTTTACTGTTTGCCTCGTGCTCTTGAAACCGCCTGGAATTTATTGTTGAAACGTGGTCTTGTACGCAACATCTCTCATGGTGATATTGCATTGTTCAGTGCCTCCATGGGTGTTATGATGAGCCTGTATCAGAACGACCCAAGTGTGATCAACAAGCACTATCTTACAGTCCTGACTCGCGTGTTTGGACGTAATTAGAGAAGAGTAGTGGAGATAGAGAGTAATAGAGGCTTCTATAGACCTTTAACCCATAGTTGGATTGTCTTTACATGAAAAGGAGACTCCCAATGAAACAATCGCAGGACAAACCACTCGTTTCGAACATTACAAAGGACGAGAGTCTTTTTTTTTTTTAGATCAGCATGACAAAGCCACAAAGCGATCCCGTGCTTGGGACATCATTGCTTTTTAGTGTAATAAAAAAAAGTTCCATGTACATTATCATCAAGTAGTACCATCAAACCTGCGGAAGCATTCAACAGAATCGCCTTGAAAGCTAGAAGCCATGTCGACCACCACTACACAGCCCTGGAAGTTTGATTTTACATCCGTCGATGCTTCATAGTATGAAACCCTGGAAATTCCCAGTTTGTTATTCTCCGTCTTATTTTTATTCAAGATGAGATGAGAATGTCAGGAATGGGCATATTCTCAGTCATCATCAATCTTGTTTAACCTCGGTCGGTCATGCTCTAACATCAGGAGTTTTGCCGCGGTTTTACTTATTAAAAAAAAAAAAAAAAAATTAGTACCAAGACCAGCATTGCAGACCCACCAGGATATATTGGCTCAAAAGATGTTGCGTCGCGTGGACACGTATGTGATCTTTATTCTTGCTTTTATTCCAAATTATGATCCAAATCGACAAACAAAAATCACTCATTTGTTTGAATTTACCTTTGTCGAAAAAAAAAAATAGAAAGCAGCAAAGAGGAGCGAAATGGATCAAGAACTGTTGAAAGTCAAGGTAAACGAATAATTGATTGTCACAGAGCTGTTAATCTCACAGGATTAGATTAATTCAATGCACTGCCTCTATCTTAAAATTTTGGCAACGGATTTTATTTTTTTCTTCTTTCTTCTAAATTATCACTTCATTGTTTCCTATAGAAAGCATGGGATGTCGCATTGGCTCCAGGCAAGAGGTACACATGTAGTTGTAATGTGGCAGTGGAAGAGCATTAGGTTTTTCTATCCTTCGACTTTTTATGACTAATGCTGATAATAAACTTTTTCTTCTTTTTCCCTACAATGCCTCAGCCTTCCTATGCAGGCATTCATGCTTTGGATGTCTGGTAATAGTGTTCAGATCTTTTCTGTTGCTATCACGGCTATGTTGATGTTCTCACCTATTAGAGCACTTATGAGCATGTCGCAAGGTTAGTTGAACTATAAGCCAGGAAGGAAAAAAAAAAAAAAAAAAAAAAAAAAAAAAGAGCGCCATGTTAAAATTGTTCAAGTTAAAGGGTGGATTAACTAATCGAAATATATTGTTTTTCTTGTTACTACTTTAGTTTTTGAGAGATATGAAACTGTTTCACCAGTCAAGGTTAGCTTCATGGACAGTAAATTGGCGTTTCCGAAAATGACATTTGTGGCAATGCAGATCCTCACTATCTTATTGGGAATGTGGAAGTTGAACTCTATGGGACTTTTGCCTACATCTCATTCGGATTGGTTAGCCTTTTTGGATCCTAAGACGCCACTTGAGTATACAGCATAGTCCTAAAATAAAAATAAAAATAAAAACAAAGACCTTTCGTTTCTCCGTTCTAGACTATCGAATGCTCGTGTACGATTATAAATAATGAAGGAGCGCGTAAACAAATTCCTCTTCGCGATGTATGTATCTCTACGCGAGTTTACATTTTAACGATTATCTATGAATGAGATCCAGGTACTGCTTATAAATAGCTAATGACGTTATCCCAGATTGAAATCATGGAAAGAAGCAAAGACTGCGGGTAAAAAGAAATCCCTAAGTTAGACAACTCCATTGATCTTCTCTGCCAAGAAGGAAGCATGGTTTTTACATAAAATAAAGTTTTTTTTCTGAGGAGAGGCTGAGAAAAAATTTTTGACAACATGAGGCGCGGCGCCAAGCCATGATGCGATTACGACTTTTACGAAGCACAGACCTGAGTATGCATGAGCTTATTCCAAAGAAGAAAGGGATTCATAGCGAAGTGCGTTTGAGTATAAAAGGAGCTCCCTTCCCATCCTTCTTTCATTATCAACTCATCATCTCAACAATACAAATTTTAACAACAACAACAACAACAACAAGAACTTGGCTACTAACTTAACAACAACAGTAATAGCAATAACAACAACAAGTACTAAAATGTCTTCTTCTCAGTTCATTGCTTTCTTTGGTGCCACAGGCGGTTGCACAAACGCTTGTCTCGTTCATACCTTGAATGCAGGCTTCCACGCCACAGCACTGGCTCGCACACCCTCTAAATTGATCGATATGCTTCACGGTCAAGGTATCAGCCAGGCAACCATTGATGCGCAGCTGACTATCATCAAGGGCGATATCTCCGATATTGCCGCTATCAAGAGCGTCCTACTTTCTAATAAGGACAACAGCAACCCCGTCCTTGCTTCACAAATCATCTCCGGCATCGGCGGAACCCCTCAATTGCAAAGATCCCTCAAGAAGCCTGTAACCATTGATAATCCTGAAATCTGTGCCACCGCCACCAAGAACGTCATACAGGTTCTTCAGCAAATCTATACTGAATTCCCAACCACGATATCGCAACAGCAAAAGCCTGTGATTACTGTCATTTCAACTACAGGGGTCTCAGATGTAAAGGAAGATGTACCCTTTGGTTTCCAGTTCCTTTATCATGTTCTTTTGGCGGATCCACATAAGGACAAGAAGGTGATGGAAAAGCTCATTACTGAAAACACCCAAGAATCCGATGCCTCAAAGCGAGTCTTCCGAGGAGCGATCATTGTGCGGCCAAGTCTCCTGACGGGTGACCACAGTGTCAAGGGAGGCAAAGGGTGGAAAAAGCTGAAGACGGGCCAGGAAGAGAAGCCTGCAGTCGGCTATACGGTCCACAGAGCCGATGTTGGGCAGTGGATATTTGAACAAGTCGTCAAGACTGGAGGCGAGAGCTACCTGGGACAGAGGATCACTCTTACAAATTGATAAAAGAACTCGCTGGGTGCATAATCACGCTTTAATCATTTCTCTATCTCTGTAACAATATTATGTCAATAACTGCCTTAAAAATAAATTTCATAAACTATAAATTTGACTTTTAAGCTTTTTATCGCTCGCACTCATCTGTCAAGTCCATCTCTACTAACTCAAATGACCATTCCCCTCTTCCCGCTGAGGGAGTTTGAGTAGCCTTCCGTTCTCCCTTAAAAACAGAGAATTACCGGATATTATGATCAATCACTATGAATGTATACATTCAACGGCTTCGCCTATCTTATCCATCAAGGGACACCAGCTATTAGGAAGACAAAGATAGGAAGGACCTATAACAGAGTAGACTATGGAAGGATAAATTGGCTGTTGAAGGAATGGTGATTGTTCTGTATAGGCGGAGCTCACAACTAGCCCATATAGGACGCATCTGATTGGCAGGAGCATTGAACAGAAGGTTGTACATGAATTCATTGTTTAATAAAACATTACAGGACATGATCGCAATTACACCGGGGAACAGCCTTGATGTAGAAAACATTGCCAAATTGAAGACATTAGCTATATAATGATGAGGCATGGCATTTCATTACTAATCATGCTATGACGGCCATGTAGGATTGTGCGCGAGTCCATTTCTTCATCCATCATGTGTCAAAGAAAACTCTAGGAGGCTCTTGTCCAATCCATCCGAACAAGAGCATGATTTAAAGCGAGGTAGTAAATCACAGATGGAGTCATTGAAACAACATTGGTAGCAAGGTTGACAAGGCGATGGAAAATGATGTAAAGAAAGATGGTGAGTGAACAACAGGAGGTACGGTAGGCACATTGGAAGATCCTCAACAGACGGCACCTTTCTATCGAAATCAAGTAGGACAGAAAAGAGATAGAGTCGAATGTAAAATTAAAGGCAAAGGTAAGGCTGGAGCTAATGAAAATTTTTAGACAAACAAGTAGTAACTATGGAGCAGAAGTAAGTGAGAATAAGATCTGGGAACACACATCACATCCATGGGGTATTTATTCAAATTCATATCAAAGTATAACTATAAGTTTGTCTACGGGTACCATAAAGAGAGTAACCATGGGGTGTGTTTTTATGATATACAACCGTTAGTATATATTATCTTGTGTATAAAATATATTATATTTTTACATGGGATTTTATGTAACACGTGTACTGTGAAATATGCAACAGCTAATACAGGAACAAATGGTGGACTCTTTTCTAACACCCTAACGCCCTTTAGAGCTTGCTCGAAAAACAAAGTCCTGTGCTCATAGATCATAAATAAAGGACTAGGAACTCTTGGGTAAGCTACAAGGACGCATTCAGATGCAACATCTTTTTTCCGCCCATGCCATGTCTCTATGCTCTTCCAACCATAACAGCATTAATCGTACTCAAGTTGTATCATACAGCAGTACGTTATCCCCCTTCCCCTCGTTCTCGCTCCTGCCCTCGCCCTCGCCCTCTTGTGCTTCCTGGGAACATTCTATACATGTATTGAAGCCATCTTCAAGCCGATTAATTACAGTTTTGGTGTGCACATGGTACTCAATATCGTTTTGACCAATAAGAAGCGAATGACATGAGATGAAATCATGTATAAACATGTATATGTATACATAGATACTAAAGAAGGTTTCTCCCCCAACGGATTGGATCAGTGTTTGTGTCTTGGCATAACATCCGTGAGTAAGTTTCATGGATAACGTGTTTTTATGATGCGTATACGCCCTATGATCAAAATGAACAGCACTGCTGAAAGGAGGAGTTTGAAGTTTGAACGTGCATTTGCCTAGATAGGTTATAAGCCCCATTTTCGTTGATTTGTATCCTTGAACAGAAACTACTGGAATTGAATGAATTCCTGGTTGTAGCTTCTGTCATTATGGGGTCACAAGCGGGTTGTAATGAAAAGAACAGTATTTTTTTTTTTTTTTTTTTTTAACAGCCCAACGAGCCAAAAAAAAAATGTGTTGGTACATGGGAAAATTGCAAGAGGGGGCGAGGGAAAGGGCGAGGGCGAGGGCATGGGGGTAGCCAAGTCTCGTGGGTAGATTAAGTCGCAGCGTCACACAAGAGAATGTTTGCGCTGATTACGAACTGTCTAGAAAACAATTTTTTTTAACAACGATAGACTTCAAAGTATAATTATTATACATGTACAGGTATACATGTTGGGCTTTTGTTATGCATTCGCCCAGGTCCATCGCTATGCTCTTGGGTGAAACGTTAAGTGGTAAATGAGAGTGGGAAAATAATAGAACACTTCACCAGCCTATTATCGATACCTGAGGGAGTCCCCTATAAATATTCGCATCTTTACAGCTCCCTTTCCCCCCCTTTTTTTTTCAACCCCAAAAAACTTCTCTTCTCTTTCAGAACCCTCATTTTTTACCTCAAGTACTTGTACATTTTCCAAGGCAAAAAGTAACTAACCAGTGAATCAACCATGCGTTTCTCGTTCGCCATCTTCGCCTTCGCTGCCGGCCTCGCCCTTGTCCAGGCTGCTCCCGCCCCCGCCTCCGCCTCCGAGCCCAAGGCCGCCAATTTGCAGCAGCGCGGTGACTGCAGCGGAGGAACGTTTAGTGGCGGTGAGCGAATCGTTTGCCAGTACTGCAATGTGATTAACACATCAAGCGGATCCACGTATATTAGCTATGAGGACCACAGGTGGATGGTAGATGACTGCAATCAGCGAAACACTGGCACCTGCGCTGATCATGGTGCCATGAGATACTGCACTAAGTACAAGCCCGGCCCTTGCAACAACTGTTAAAAAAAAAGTCAGAAGGATGAAGAGAAATCAAAGGCCGTTAAAAAATGGAAGCACCAAGCCCCTAGTCGCCTTCTAATATCGACTTGTTTAAATCCTCCCCTTTACTCTTCTTAAATAAATGGGAGATAATAAACCTCTTGAACTGCCTTATACGTGTGAGACATAATGGAAAGTGTTGAGATTTTTTTTTACGATTACTATAGTTAATGCATTCTGCTTAAACACATTGGTCGTTTTGAGTAGCCAATGCACTATGCTTTGTTTATTTTTTATATTTCTCAAGGCTCCAGGTGTATTGTTCATCGAGTAAGACGGTTAAAGTTCGATCAAGTTTCGATCGTGGTGGTTGTGCGAACAATATGTTCTCTAGAGCTCTGAAACGGGTGCAAGGTGAAACAGAGGAGAAAGTAGTTTCGAAAGCATCCATCCAGTCTTTAGGATCCTTGCAAGATAGTATCAGCGTCGTTAATTTCTCTACGGTTTTTTTCATAAATTCTATCCAGCACATCGATCGATGAATATCCTCCTTGAAAGGTTGATCCACTAACAGCTTGAAAACCCTGAGTTGCTCTGATTGGTTGATCACAGCACTTAGATCCTCTAGTATGCTCTCATCCACATTCAAGACTGTCAAAAAAAGCTCCTCCAGGCGTGGGCGAAGAGGCGAATTTAGCGGAAATAGAGATAATGCCGGCGTTGGTGTGGATAGTGACAGCAACAGGGACGATGATGGCGATGGCGAAGACGAAGACGCTGATGATGACGATGATAGTGTTGGTGATGATGATAGGGACGAGGGTAAGATTTGAGAGACAGATTCCAGCAGTGCTGTGGAATGGGCAGCCATCCATTGAGGACCGTCGATCTTTAACTTTGTGAGCTTAGAGCCATATCTCTGGATCAAATGGAGCATGGGCCCTTTATATACATTTATTTGCAGAAGCTCTAAACACACCGCCTCTGGATCCATAATGTCTGCTGTGTAAAGCTGATTGCTGCCGCGGTAAAGGCAGACTCTTTTCAAACTTGTCGATAGTCCTTTTGTATCCATGATATTTTCTGTGACGCCACGTCGGACCGTAGTATAAAAACTGTGAAACTCTGATACATAGCAACAAACCCTAAGGTCCGTCAAAGTATTACTCCTACAGATAAGCTTCAACAAGAGTTCGCCATCACCCTGGAAGCTGGTGCGCGAAGTAATATGGAGGTATCTTATAGGGCTACCGCTTTCGAAGAGAGAGCTATAAGGGCCAAGACTAGGGATGACAACGTCCATATCAGTAATGACCTGCCCATGTTCTAAGCTGGTCGTTAGCTTTTCAACCTTGCTCGCCCTAATGGTAAGCCTTTCCAGCACAGGGCAACACTTCAAGGCCGTAAGTCTGATGGCTTGATACGTCTCATAGACTTTGGTGCTTGTGGCTAGCATCAGCTCAATGAGGTGAGGGCTAGCTGAAAGTAGCTCAATGATCCTCGACGAGTTGTTGCTCCATTCGATTTCGTCGGAAATAGATAGGGATTGTAGTTGATTCATGTAGACAGGTGAGCTGACTTTTGTAAAAAATCCCGAGTAACGCTGGAGTGAGAAAGAGCTCAAGCGTGGGTTTGATATCATTTGCCAGATAGGGTTCGCTCGTTTTGATCGGCTGAACATCTCCGTAGGCGCAGTGGATGCTGTGCAAGCAAGACGGAGGATCGCAATGCTGGAATGGCTAATGGCGTCCCGAAGAACTTTGGCTTCTGAAAAGCTAATATTCCAGTCTAGGGTGAGGTTGAGCTCCAGGATCGACCGCGTCCTCTCCAGTGCCTTGTAGAACTGTGTGGCATCGACAGCTGATGTCAGCGTTATAGTAACTCGACCATAGTGTTCTTCAAATGCGCCGCCATCGATTGCTGCAAGGATTTGAAGCTCCTTGATAGCTGCGCTATTATAACGGTTGTAATAATGGTCCAAACATATCCATCTGGTGAAGCCCTCACTTGTTGGAACTCTGTATAGATTTCCCAATGCTTCACTTTTTTGTTTTTCGCTCAATATGATAAATGATCGTAATTTACTGAGCATATTCTTTCGCTTGCCATGTGCCCCCGCCAGCTGTTGCTGCGGTCCGCTGACGTAAGTCTGAGAACCGTTTTTAGTAGCCCATGATTGTAGGAATTCGATAGCACGATTTACCGAAGACTCGAGATTACTCCCATCGACGTCCTTGGCCATCTTGGCTGCGCCACTGCTGCTGAAGCTGCTGCTACTATCATCCCCAGCGTATGTAGCGAGTGATGGAATGGTACATTCATCCGTGACAATGCCGTACTTGAGCACCTGAAGTAATACAAGGGTATATTGACCAAACTCTTGAAAAAATCCGAAGGGGTTATCCAGGTCATAGCCTTCATGCTCTGCTACATGGATATGGTGCGATAGCCAACCACCTTGGCTTTGGTCTTGGCCACTAGTTATTGTGTTTTCGCTAGCACTACAGGCGGAGGTACAATAGGGGGATTCACCACCGCTGAGGTTGTCGTTACTATTGAGATTGCTGGAGCCCCAGGCGAACCTCTTGTTGCTTCCGCTAATGGGACTATAGCTGCTTTTGGTAATAGGCCTGGCAAGACTTCCAGTACCTTCGCTATCGCTGCTGGCGTTGCTGTTGTTATATAAGCATGCCTGTATGGTTTGTTCCCCACATTCACAAAGGAAATACAATCGAAAATCTTCTGGCCTTAGCGCTTGTCCTTCACCACTACTGTGGTTCTGTGGCAATGAAGTGCTTTTTGGTAGAACGATAAACAGTCTAGGACCAGGGTTCTCGTGTAGCTCGACATCGTTGTAATGAAAAAGAATATCCCAAGCATTGTTTTGGATTGTGATAAGCCTTCCAATAGACTCAATTTGTATCTGTTTAATCGTTTGTTGCATTTGAAGCAAGCGATATTGCAGACCTTGATGCTGAGCCATTGCCAACCTCAAAAAGTCAAATTGCCACCGGAAGTCTTTGCCTGCTGTATTGGCTTGCTCCATTCGGCCAGCATCGGAGTAACGTATAAAAGATTCATAAAAAGACAAGGATTTTAAATATTGTGTTTTGAGTTCCTCATTGGGTAAGGCCGAAGGAAAGTCGGAAGCCTCAAGGGAAAGAATGTGTGCATCAATAATGGAAGTAGAGTAATTATGCTGATTGGATGATTGCAGGTTAATATTCTCTTCATCAAATATCGGCAAGTGACTCTGTGCATGGGGGTGCAATGGCGGTATGACCGTGTGAAGAATGGAGTGAATAGTGCCTTTATGTAGCAGCTGACATGACTCAAATCTTGCTTTGCTCTCGTGGTGAGGGGATATAAGCACAGTGGGAGAGGGAGGAGAGGAGTAGCTGGATTGGCACGAAGAAAGGAGCAATTCAATAGCCTTCGCATTCCTGACATGCCTTTGACTGGGTATCCGCATCGGCAACTGTAGGTCAGACCTGAGTACGACCTCCAAGGTTGTCTTGGGCAGGTAACGGACGCGCAGCGGTATCAACCTAATGTTCCCCATCCCACCCAAACGAAGAAAGTACTTTTAATGATTTCGCTGTGATCCTTGACTGCAGCAGTGGTGTTTCCTTTGCTAAGCGGACAATTGTTGTCGAGATGTTTCTATTACCTATTCCCATCACCGTCAACCATGAATCCAAGCGAACGCTTTCCGCATTGTAGCCGAATAGCCCCTGGAAAAATATCTTCTACATCCTGAAGTAAGACATAGGGCTGTCCTTTAGTCTGCTCTGTTCCCTCTCGGGCTTCAACTTCAACTGTCTGGCAATGAAGTCGCACAGTTTGCCAAAGCCCATTGCTGAAACCATAATGTGCCATACTAGGGATGACAAATAAGAAGAGGGAGGGCAAATAGGCAAGCCAGAGCACTGTATGTATTGAAGAAAGATGGGGGGATCAAGAAAGAAAGGGCAGAAGCAGGACGAGTGAACAAAAAAGAAAAATATTCAAAAGAAGAGTGTTTATTGATATATCGTCAAAACTAGGATGGTTGGGAGACAAAAAAAAAAAGCAGGAACCGATGGCGAGCCCAAGGGGAAATCTGAGCGCCAAAGCAGAACACTATGCACAATCTAGACGACATTCACGCAATTGCCAATTAAGATAAGCACAAAATGCATAATTGACCCTTATTCTGGCACACACTGTTTGTTTTGCTCACTTTTTTATTGTATTTTTTACTATTACAACAAATGCAACACAAGCATTTTCCTACCGCTTGTTAAATCTTGCATGTCCACAATGTCGTACAGAATTAATACTCGGGATGTACAAAATGATGTTGCTCCTGGGAATTTTTTCTGTCTGGTAGCATAATCTGGCAGTATAAATACACATGGTGTACCAGTGCATGATACAGAAGCTTTTTGTTTGTTTGTTTGTTTTGACTTGGTAGCCGCCACTTTCGTGCTGTTCCATTGATTTCATTTTTCTCACGGCTATAAAAGCGTACAAAGGGGTGTTGGCGGGACAGGAAAATAATAATGAAATAAATAATCAGCTAGAGCATGCTTAGCTAGCCTAGAGAATACCAGTTGAGATGCATTTCAAGTACCGCAGCTGTCCACGCCCATTTGAGAGACCACTTAATCTTCATGACAAGGTAGATGACTGGGGCATTTGTTTAGGACGCAACTGATGGTTTAAATGTTGCATCTAGCCTGAACAGATTGTTTGTGGTCCTATCAACATAAACCAATTATGCTTCAGACACAGCATACCGCTATTTTATCGGCTTCTTCTGCTTTAAATTGGTCGTGGACCACATGTACATCGTTTCGAAGGCTCTTTAATGGTTGTGGCGCCTTCACTAACGAGACCAGCATCAAGAGAGATTACCTTTATGGCTCCTTGAATTAAGGACACGAAGGATTTGATTTATCAGTTGGAGTTTATCGCTCATAATTTCATGACTAGTCATTGATGGAACGAATGAGTCGCCTTCGTCAAGAATCCATATGACCTTTTTAATATAGTAATGCAACTAGGGCCTATACAGCGATTAAACTTGAATCGCAGCCTTATCATAAGTAATAAGTCCTGTAGGAAGGGTTTGCTAGCTCGATAGACGGGTCCTTATTTCACTTCATCATTCAGGTGCTTTATTAGGTACAGTTATTTTTCATAAGGAATCATGAAAAAGAATTTCTACTCTGTGTTTCTTCATTCACCATCCCAGTGTGCATGAGCTTTAGGAATACGTCGTTTTGGGTGATGTGCGTGGATTGTTCAAATGTTACATTTTCAAGGGCTTCAAACCGGTGAGCCCCAAATGCATTCACCCAGTCGTCGCCATTCGGTTGCCATATCACCAATGACGTGATCTTGTCACTAACTGACTTCATGAATTCAATCCAATGCATCGACCGATGTACATCTGTTTTAAATGGCCGGTCCATTGTGATATGATATTCCTTTAGTTGCTCCGAGTGTTTGACTACTACAGCTAAGTCTTCTAGCATGCTCTCGTCCACTTCTCCAACAGCCTGATACAGATGTGTCAAGCTAGGGCGAAGAGGTGCATCCCCGATAGCCTGCGAAGACTCATCCGATAATGACGGCAACCTTGCTGATACTCTTTCTATCAACAGTGACGCTCTTGTGATTGACTCTAGAAAGGCGGCTGAGTGTGCTGCTTTCCATTGTGGTCCGTTAATTCTAAGCTTTGTGACCTTTGAGCCAAACCTGTCGATCAGTTGAAGTAAGGCTCCTTTATGTACATTTAGTTGCAACAGCTCTAAAGTGACTGCCTCTGGATCTATGATGTCTGTCGTGAATAGCTGGTTCTCTCCACGATACAGACACACCTTTTGAAGGCTCGGGGATTGGTTCATATCCTTGGTCTCCATGACGGCACGTCGGATAGAATCATAGAAGCTGAGAAATTCGGAAACATAGCACCAAACCTTGAACTCTGACAGTGCGTTGTTCCGGCGAATGAGCTCTAGAAATACCTTGATATCAGCTGTATAGCTAGCTCGGGAACTGATATGGATGGAGGTAATACAGACTATGTTGTCAAAGAGGCGGCTGTGGGCTCCAATGCTTGGGATGACTACCTCCATTCCAACCAGCACTTGTCCATGCTCAAGGTAAGCTACTGTCTTTTCATCCTTGCTAGCCTCCACAGTAATCTTAGACAGAAGTGGGCATCTCTTTAAAGCTTCCTGTCGAATGATATGGTAGGCCTCATAGATTTTCGTGCTGACTAAAGTCAAGTCGGTAAGCTCTGGACTCATCGCTAGTAGCTCGACGATCCGGAGCTTATCTTTGCTCCAGTCAACCTCCTCACCCAATTTAAGCACCCGAAGCGCATTCTTGGGGACATCAGACATGATTCGTCTGTAAAGGCCAGAGTATCCACAGAGTGAGAAGGAGCGCAGCCTTGGGAGCGACATGATCTGCCAGAATGGCTCCGCTCGCTTGTTTCGATTGAGCATCTCTCCGGCAGAATTAGAAGCTGTACAATTAAGCTGCACAATAACAGCGCTCGATCGAGTAATAGCATCTCGTAAGGCCTTTGCATCTGTGAAGCTGAGCTCCCATTTAAGTGTTATTGCGAGTTCCTGAACCGATCTCACTCGTTCCAGTGCTTTATAGAACTGACTGGCATCCGATGGTGTCGTAAGAGAGATTTCAATTCTGCCGTAACGTTCTTCAAATGAGCCGCCCTCGATTGCTACCAGGACTTGAAGCTCCTTGATAGCTGTGCTATTGAAGTTGTCACGGTAATGGTCTAAGCAGATCCATCTTACATACCCTTCATCCGTTACGACTCTATAGAGATTGCCCAGGATACTTTTTTCATTCTCTGTTTTCAAGTAATCCTTCAGTTGTATCAGCTTATTGACATCCAATCGCACCTTTGGATACAGTGCTGCCTCAAGGCGCCGCTCAGAGCCACTGAAGTTATTATTGTGGTGGCCATCGTTATTGGTACTGGATTGACTATGAAGATCGGCCCAACTCTGCAGGAAACTTATAGCCTGTTCGACTGCAGACCCCAAATTACTTTCGATAGAGGCCCTGCGCCCTTTGGCATTATCGCTAATGCTGGCTTGCGAAGGTACAAGTGCCGGGACGGTGAAATCCTCAATGCTGACCCCGTACTTGAGCATCTCCAGTAGGCTGAGGACATAGTGCCCGTAATTTTCTAAAAACTCTATTGGTCTGTCCAATTCATATCCTTCATGTTTTGCAAGATGGATGTGCTGCGGTAGCCACCCACTGCCGCTATTACGTCCGCCGCCATTACTGAGCGTGGTGCTAATACTGGCACTTCCATTGCCACTGCAACTACTGTTGATACTACTTGTACTCATTGTGAACTTTTTCATTATCCCAGTCAAGGGGCTACCGGGACTGCTGCTGATCTGATCGTCAGCACTGCTATGAAATCCAGCCTGTGTGGTGTGATCTCCGCATTCACACAGGAAATAGAGTCGGAACTGGTTTATTGTCGAAGGCGCTTTATCCTGAATGATATCATTTGGCAAGATGATGAATAATCGTGGAGTTGGCTGTAGGTGTATTTCTATATTATTTGACAAGATAGCACGAATGCGTTGTTGTATGTAGGTGAGCCGCTCCACTTTTTGCTCCTGAAGAAGCTGTATACTCTGCTTCATATCGACCATGATGTCTTGGACATCTAGATGGTTGACCATAATAGGCCGGAGGGTCTCGAAGTGCAGCTGAAAGTCCTGATCTATTGCATCAGCCATTTCTGTTTGTCCCGCATGTATGTGCTCCAAATAGGACTGATAAAGTAACACAGATTGGCGATATTGTGAAAGGATTTCTTCATCATCATCTGATATTGATTGAGGGACATCTGTGATGCTTGGGACAGGTATTGGCGCTGTAATTGCATTAATGGCAGAATAAATAGACAGGTGCTCATGTGGCCTGAAGGGCGATAAAGTTGTGGGCGAGGATGGCAGCTCCATCGATTGTTGCAATTGTCGTCTAAGCATCAACTCCTGTTCAAGCCCCCATTGTTTCTGCAATTGCGAGACTAATCCTTGTTTGACTTGAAGAGGCTGTTTGTCCAATTGCCACATGGATGAAAACTGAAGCGAGATATCTTGTCTTCGTTCCGGTTGCCTCTCTATTGGTTGCCATTGTGGCGGCAGAGGTAACTGTGGTGACTGTGGGGATGAAGGAGATACCGTACCCAGTTTTGGATTAAATATGTTGCTGTCGCTGCTGAGGCGTCTCAGCTGGTCTGGTAAATATAAATTTCTTTCAATAAGCCGATATGGTTTATCAGAATGACGGGGTGGCAATGCCATTTCCGCTGCAAAACGTTCGTGAGCTTTGCTGTGATACGCCGCAGATGGCGGTGGAGATTGTGATGTTGAGTTATTAGATGCTAATACGGCTTCAAGGGTTTCTCCTGGCATATATGGGACTCGAAGCGGCTGCAGTCTTGTCCAACATAGAGTAATTTTGATATCTTGTTAGTCACATTAGCAGCGACATTAACAAGTTTTACCCGCGCAAAAAAAAAAAAAAAAAAAATTGTCTATGCTAGTTCTGCGCTACCTGTTTCCATCATCATTGACCATGAATCCCAGCACACGCTTGCCAACCTGCAGTCGCACGACGCCCGGAAAGACCTCATCGACGTCTTGGAGCAGCACAAATGCCTCACCGTTTGTCTGTGTCGTCCCTAAGCGGGCTTGTACGTCAAAAGTATGCTGTCCTAGTTGTACAGTTTGCCATAGCTTTGTCATATGTGTTAGGTTGTGAAGAGATTAAATGGAATAAGAGAGGGGACGAAGGTGAGAACGAGAATAATAGAAAGAGAGTATTTTCGATTACAGAGGAGATATTGCTGGATGAACTAGTAATTGAACTACGGGCACCTTGGAAATTATGGCTGAGGGGGGAGAAAGAAAGGAGAAGGCAGGGGAGAAGGCAGGGAAGAAAGAGAGAAATGGGTCCAGAAGAAAGCAATTGAGAAACAACAGTGCTCTTCATTAGCCTTCGCCCTCCGGATGATTTTTTTTTTTTTTTTTGTTTGTGTATTTTGTACATGTACATGTATTGTTTGACTGGTTTTTGTTTGCACCACCGCACGCAAAAAGAAGAGAGATGTTTGTCAATCTGTCATCCATCTGTGAGTTGACGGCATGGCAATCAGTCCTCTAGGGGCATGACTGTTGACGCATGTCTATTCCATCCAATAAATCTTTTCTTTTTTGCACAAAATATTTTGTGCGACAAAGTTGCATAAACAAATATGAAACGCCAGGAGAGGGTAAAAAAATATTTGAATAAAAAATAGGTTGGAATGCTGTTATTTTGTTGTTGCTTCACACTCATTACTGGCCCCCGCATGCCTGGAACCAGACATCAGCAAGTAGCCGAGATCATCTGTCAGCCAGTTTATTTTAGACTTCTGTTATTTCTATCAATGACATGGACGCGCGATTTTTTTAGGGGGGAAGCCTGTTTCTTATTTCGCTGCGCCACAGAGATCCATATTTGGCTTCGCCTATATTTATAAGAACTAGTATTTATTTGGCCATCAGCATAATTTCTAGTTACAAAGAGAGGTGGAGACTTTAGGAAGAGATGGTTTTTCATAAGCACCAGCCTTTTTAAAAAGGGAAAAAAAAAAAAAAAAAAAAAAAAAACTCCCCGCTCTCAATGGCCTAGAGTCAAGAAAGCATAAATACAAGGAACGGGCTCAGCATTATTTGAATGGATGTGTTTGTGTCTGTGTGTTTTTTATTTTTTGGTAGTGACCCTTTTTTGTGCTCTTTATTCTTCATACTGCTGATATTGCTGTTGCATTTTGATCATCTTGAGTCGCATTTCAAGGATGCGCTGCTGGATATCTAACAAGCGTGGAGGCATGCCAGACTCTAAGATTTGGGACTGACGCCTAAAGTCTTCCAGGATCGCATCGGCTTGTTGAAATAGACCTGCTCGCATGTGTTGTTTAAACGACTCGTACAACATCGTCGATGCACGATACCGAGCTTTCAGTTCCTGATCTGAGGATGTGGTGATAAATTCTGGGATCTCAGCCGTCCTGCGCTCTACTGGACCAGATTTCGACGTCGGTGGTGACGTTGACATTGGTACTGTTGATACAGGCACAGTTGGTGCTACAGAATTAGGATCGAGGCCTACCAACTGAGAGTAAATAGAAGTATGGGTGTGTGGTTTGAAAGGAAGTTCGTCTGTATCGGCAGGTATCTGCATAGGTTGCTGCATTTGTCGCCGGAGCTCGAGTTCGTGTTGCAGTTGTGGGTCGTACATGAAATCGGAATGAATAGAGGATTGTGATTGGCGTGATATTGAACGATGTAGAGCGCGATCAGCATGACGAGGACGAGTCGGAGGAGGGGCTATTGGTTCTGGTGCATCTGTATAATCGTTATGCATGGTTGTTGAAGGCTTGTGTGCACTAAATCCCTGGACGACCTGCATCACAATATCTGGTGCGTATGGAACTCGTAGTGGCAATAATCTGATAGATTACAATAGAAAGAGGATGTTCATGAATGATCTTACTCTTAATACTTTACTGGACAGCTTCATACACGGATACTTTTGTAAAAGGCACATTGAGCAGTTACTTACCTATTTCCATCTGCATCAACCATGAACGAAATCGCGCGTTTGCCATACTGCAGCCGCACTACTCCAGGGAAGATGTCCTCGACGTCCTGGAATAGAACAAATGCTTCACCATTGGTCTGAGATGTACCAGGTCGGGCCTCTACCTCGAAAGTCTCGTTCATCGACTGAACACTTTGCCAATACTTTGCCGTTGGTGACATTTGGATGTGTGAGGGTAGTAGTTCTCAAGAAAGGACGCAAATAAAGTCGAAAGGAAAAGAGAAAAGGTGTATGCAAACGGCTGAAAAGAAGTGGTGGATTAGAGACTTTAGTAGGTATTGGAGATATGGAGTATGTGTAAATAAGTGTAGTGTGAAGGTGCTTATAAGTGTGAAGGAAGGGTATAGGTATAGGAAAGAACTGGAGAATTTGTATTTAAAGGCAATGCGAGGGCGTAAATAACAAAAAAGAGAGAGGAAGTGCTTGAAAGAGAAAGGAAAGCAAGATGGAGGAATGAAGTTCCTATTTAAATATATCAAACCCGCCGCATAGAGTATAAGCAGGAGTATTCGTATGCGGAGCTCGGCAAATGAAGGTGTCTGACCAATAAATCTCCAGGGATTTGTAGTAAGTAACGTCGCCTCATTTTACTTTTGTGTTTAGCCCCTTCCTCTTGCAGTTGGAATTTGTTGTCGAGTGATGGTTGTTGTGCTCCGTAATCCCACCGTGTGTGTTTGCCACCTTAATCTCTGGCGCACGTTCCTAAAGAACACTCCCGGGGGTACAAAAATCTCTGCCCCTGATTTCAGATTTTGTTGCGACAGTGGAAAACATTAAAGTTAAAAAACCTTGGGCGTGCACATCGATCAACATGGGAAAAGGCAACAAAGAAGGATAAGACGATGCACAAGCGTTTCATGAATTAACTTTCACAGCGTAGAAATCCTTGAAACACGGAGTAAGAAGATGCAAAAAAGGCTCTTGAAGGGGCCCGTTACTTCTATTTGTATGTTCAGCTCCTTCCGTTAACAAAGTAAGGCATTCACAACCGTAATAGGAGACACAAGTGCTCGCTATTTTCTTTTTAAGTTCTTATGTTGTAATAATGAAAATAGGTGCCGATTGAAGCGATGCTAAAAAAAGGAAGGATGAATTTATTATTCTTCTTCTGGGGATATGGTCCAGCCAGCCACTTTGCGAATGAAGCAAAAAAATCAACAAATGTTCCTCGCCTCTTTCATGTTTTTTATATTTTTATATTTTTTATTTTTTTATTCCTTGTCCTCTCAAATGTTACCGGCTTTTAGCCTGCGGAGCCATATTGACTCCCAATTATGCGATCCTCCCCTTGAACAGCGGATGATTCCCTATACTGTCTCTGCTCTTGATCTTCCTGTCGTAACCCTTGCAAAAGTCGTTGGGAGTGCTCAGTCCTGTATAACTGTTCAACCTCATTATCACGAGGCAACTGCAACCATAGCACAACTGTTGCAGCCAATGCAAGGATCTAGTGTTTACAAAAGTATGGAGCGGAGGAAAATGTCATTCTACTGTGCATAGTCCCATAAATACATACCAAATAAATCAAAATTGTAAATCGCAAATCGAAATAATAACCATAAATAAATGAACAAATAAACAAATAAACAAATAAACAAATAAACAAATAAACAAATAAACAAATAAACAAATAAACAAATACAAATAAACAAAAAACCACAGCAGTTCCTGAATTAGCATTTTACCTGCAAGAACTGGGTTCCACCAGTGACTGAGAGCAATGAAGCTTCATGACGCAGATACGATTCTCGAAGTCGCTCTTTACACGGGACAGTGTATCCGAATGCGGGAGAGACTCGACAAGTGACGCTTGGGTCCTTGGGCACAGCGCGATCATCCACAGAAGCGAATCCGCAACAATGAAAGCGAGTCTCAAGATCCTGAAGCAATAAAGGGTCTCGGTCATACGCTCTCTCCCATGCTTTGTCCAAAATTAAATCAACCTATTAGAAAAGAAGCGTATATAACTTTTCTATTCTTAAAATGTAGAAATGACACAAAAATGAGTATCGAATGTGCTAAGGGCTATAGCTTCTAATTAACGTTACCCTGTCATGTTGTGTGAGGGCAAAGATGATGAGACCAAGCTGAAGTAAAACTAAAAATGATACGAGGACACCATACTTTTTTTGAGAAAAAAAATATCTTGATCAGCAGTCTACATCTGATTTTGATCAATGCCACATCACCTTTCACACATCAAACTATTTTGACTCATAAAAAACATACGATAGCGAGGGTCCGCTTCGAGCCAGACAACGCTGCTGCGCACCCAAGCATTGAGATTAACAAGATAATGAGGCTCAGGATAATTAAAATCCAAGAAAGCGCCTCAGACTCAATAAGGACGCGTGTGCTGTCAGAAAGGCCAAAGATCCCAACTGCAGTTAAGCCCACGCTTGATACCTGTCAAAATCCGAAAAGGTTTTCGTCTTTGTTTTGATGAACATCAAAAAGAGATATCGGTTCAATAATGTATCAATTTTTATGCTTCTCTCTTTTACCATTGCAACAACATTCAGTCCCAGAATGAAGAGCCTAGCGGGATACTGGTAGAGGCGCGTATGGTTCATCGTAAATCAAGAAAGAGGAATTTTGGGTCTGTTACGATTACTAAACTAGGATATTATGATATGAAGAAAAAAAAAGGATGCCTGCTGAATGATCTTGCAAAGTATTATAATTCTGACCCCAACTGCGCCTGCCACGTGCCAACCATACACCCTTTTGTCTTTTTCATATTTATTATCTATTTGGGTATTATACATCTCAAAGTGACCTTATTCCTTCCACTTGCAGAGATCACTGTCTGTAACTTCTCATCGTTCTTGAGTACGAATGATGCCTTGGAAGTAGAGACCATGGCCGTAGTAGTAGTAGCAGAGGAAACCCAAGCCAACTCAAATTCCTCTGGAAGTGGCATATCCATCTTTTCAAATTTGTTGCGCACTCTTCTTCTCAACTCGGGGACACTCAACACGAAATCCTTTCTGTTCTCGACCACCTGCAATACGACAATCCGTTCTATATCCAAAATAATTTTGAATTTGATTGTAAAGGCTGCGCTCGGATGGTTGTCAATTTCATACCCATTGGCTGACATCCCATAATAAACCGAGTATGTTTTTGAGGCCCTGTCCCGTTCTGTAGTACCCTTGCCTGCTTTCCATGAGTATCCTGATAACGAAGCTCGATGCTGGCGATAGCGTGTGGAGCTATGAAGACAATCGTGCATGTGGTCAAAAGGATGAGAGTAGTGAAGAGTGGGATTGCTTTCTGAGAATAGTGTAGTCTCAAGTGCCTGCACGGAATTTGTTAGTAACGAGGGCGTTGCCTGCCACTCCGATTTCTTTACAGACGGCGACGACCTTAGGTCTGGTGCGGGAGATGATGGAGTCCTGGTTGATGATGTAGTGACTAGAAGTGTGGTGCATGCAGACGATGGAATTAGCGAGTGCAAATGGATAGGTGGCTGTAGCGGTTTTTGTAGTATGTCGGCTCTAGGGCTTAGAGAGAGTTCATCGATAACTAGTGGGGCATTAAATAGGGGTAAAGAATGTTTGTGTGTCGATGTTGTCAATGCCAATGCTGGTATTATATGCATGGATAGGAGTGATAGTGAAGACAGCGATAAAGTGTCATATTTGCTGTATAAGCTGCCATGAGCCTTATTGTGTTTGCCACTATAATCATTTTCATAATCGTTATCATCATTGCCGTTGTCATTATCATTATCATTGTCATTATCATTATCATTGTCATTATCATTATCATTGTCATTATCATTATCATCGTCATTATTATTATAAACAACTTCCTGCTTCGCCCTAGGTATCAGCCTCGATTCCGATGACATTTCGTCCTCGTCCTCCTTCTTCTCACCATCTTTATCATCACCATCATCATCATAGTCGTAATTATAATTGTACCCGACATCACTATAACCGTTATCGTCGTGGTTATCAATGAAGTCTGAATCATCACTATGATATGATGACCCTGGTGGCGAAGGGGGAGATAATTCGAAACCTCTTGAGGGTGCCAATGTAACTAAAGGCGGGAGTTGTGGTGATGAGTTCGGCACAATACTTGATGGATCATTGGGATCCCAACGCATACAGATAGGGAATGGCGTCGGTACCAGTGCGTATGGTGAGAGGGGAGCAGGGGAGGATGAGATAGGGATACTGGTTTCAGCTGGAAGCACAAGCGGGCTCGAAAGACCTTGCGAGGCTTGAGATAGGGAACTCTCATAACTGTCTCTTTTGAAAATATGCCTTTCATTCCCTAATGCCATAACTTGGTTGATGCATCTGCCTTCCAACTCTACCGCTTTCTTAACTGTTTTACTAGGGCGTGAATCTAAAGAGTTTAGCGCCAGAGGATCACGATGGTCTAGCTGGAGATGTTTATCAAGATCTGTTTTCCAGATTCCAAAGAATTCTGAGAAAAGACGACATTGGCTAACGGCTTCTCCGAGCGCAAAGAGCTCTTGAAGATGTTTGTCAAGAACATCTCGGAGGGCTGACCCAGCAATACTAGTCACCTGAAGGCCAGTCGCCGTATAAGACGATGCTTGCACTGTTGAAGATGAGGCAATAAGGGATGTAATATTGCCCTTATAGAGGTTCGCTGAAAGCTCAAGTGCCTTGAAACAAAGAAGAGAGGAGAGAGCTTGATGGTTAATTTGATGCCTCCTAAAGACATAAGAAGATATAACTAGCCTATATATCCAATATATGAGTGAGTCCAATTTATCATACCATCCGATGTGCGACGCTGGGAGAGCCGCCGATAGGCTTTAGCCATGGCCCTTTCAGCTCCCTCTCCAGTTGCATTGCAAAGTCAACTAGGTCTTCATGTTGTCTATAAATGGAATAAGATTTCCTCGGGATAGGCATTGCATCACTTCTTCCTGGGACCTGGACCGGCGAAGGATGGACCTGGATTGTGAACCATGGCTGCTGCTGACCTGGTCTGATTTCCACACTCTCGACACAGGCGCCTAATAGCGGTGGAGCGAGCTTGGCGCCTTGGTAGAATGAAATGATTGAAGATTCTTTGGTCCGTATGAAAGTATGGAATCCAATGAAAGGGAATGAGGAAGCGCCGAAATTAGAAGCCAAGCTACAAGGATTGCTGGCACCATCGCATTCATGGCGATCAGCGTGGGATATGGATGGCCAAAGGGGATGGCTTTTGGAGTTGTGGGGCGTACAAGCAGGATATGCACTAGGAGTACGGCCGAAAGGTCCCCCACCAAGTCGGGAGAAGCTTCGCTTACGACGTTTAAAGGGAGAAATAGACGTCGCCGTCGAGATGCTGATGAGCTTCTGCGAACGAGACTCGGGTGTGGGCATAGTGCGCTTCCGTAATAGCATCAGCAATGGGGAATTGAGTGATCGAATTCTAATGGATCTTCTTGAGCTGGGTATAATCAAGCCATAAGTGGGGTATAGGAAAGTTTGAACGAAGTAATTGACAAGAAAGATTTATCAGGTGTGGAATATTGAACGGACGGTAGTATACGAGAAGGAAGTAGCAGGGGTAGTATTGCATAAGCAACAGCGAAAATTGCTTATTAGTTCAAGCAATGAGAGTGGAGATAAAGGTAAAAAAGATAGTTGACTAAGTTCCTTAATATATTTGTTGTTGTGCTTATTGCGAGCTAATGATGCGAAATGTACTATGCTTCAAGAGGTTAAAATACTCTGAGAAGTATAAAATTATTATTAGGCAAGCTCTCTGCAACGCACTACGGATCAAGATCTGCAGGGGTGAAGACTAAAGAGCAGCCGCAAAAGTTAAAAGAGAAGGAGGAAAAAAAGAATAGGTGGATCGATGAGACGGTAAGGTTAACATCGGGGAATACAGATATTTCCTGTGCTCTATTTTATTCTACTATCTTCACACTCACAGGTCATTGGCATCGAGAGGCCTGTGAGCGTTGTTTATAATTTTTAAGGCTTATTTTTGTAGGAACCTCGCATATGTCATCAAAAATGGTCGAGTCCACCCTTGCATCACCCTTGCACCTTACACGTTGCAAATGGGATATAGCCATATGCCTTAAGTCTTGTTTTTAAAATGACGAACGTGCCTGAAGAGGAAGGCCATACAAGACCAGCCTATTGCTTTGTCTATTCTGTATTTTCTTCATCAATCCGATATAAACTATCCTTACAAAACCCCAATGAATCTTCTGAAGCTATTGATATATTCAGGGCGACATTTAAGTCGTTCAGACACAATAGACAATAAAAAATGCATGACGTCCGTGCACCAATCTACAAAAATTTTCAAACCAACTTTCTTTATTCAGCTCCGAATGTTAAATTTTCTCCTTCCTCCTCAATAAAAGAGAGTCGGATGCTCCCGGATCCAGATCTGGCACTCTTCCTTGGTAGCTTGAGGATGCATCAATTGCCAGCACATAACTTTGCGAAGGAACTCTGTAATCTTTGGCCCTGGTTTGACATTAAGTAGGCCTGCTATCTCCTTACCATCAACAAGATATTTCCAAGCAAAGCTGTGATCAAGTTGATAAGACTCGGCCTTAGATAAAAATGTGTTGTACCTCATAATTGTGGCCTTAGCTTCTTTATCTTTTTTTTTTTTTTTTTTTTTTTTTTTAAAAAAAAAAAAAAGAGTAGAGGGAAAAGGGTCAGAATACGCATTAATAAAAATACATGGATGAAAACAAAGTCGATATCGTTGCATGCACATACACAAACTGTGCTTAATGCAGCAATGGATGTTACGAATCATGGCCTCAAACTAAAGTAGAAAGGTAAATATATAGTTGCTCATAGATTTGCTATCATGTCACTACTTACCAAGTATTCCTGAGCGTAATGCCTCATACTTTGGAAGTAGGTCGATGCTGAGACTCAAGAGAAATGCACATGGCCACTTCTTGCCTATTACCGATACAAAACCAATATCTCTAATAACCATGCCCATGTTGGCCCTCTCAGTTCGGATGGCTTGATCGTCCACAGCAGGATTCCGTGCCAAAGTATCTACAATATCCCGCACTGCATCAATACTCTCCATAAGCTTTGTAACTATATCGATATCCAGGTTCTTTCCTTTAAGTCCATAACGTAGGATCCATGACCCTGCAGACATCACCTTCCTATTGACAGTTGCAGACATGTGACGATAAGGATACAGCATGCCTGACAAAATCAAATTTCGTGTACCAAGTTTTTCAGGATAAGGATCGTCCTTGGAGACAATCTGGGCGATATTAGATGAAGGAGCTGTAGTGACAATAGGATAAAGATGTGAAGTGAACGAGGTGCCTTTTGTTTGTGCTAGTAATGCTTCCTGTCCTTGATCAACTTCTCCCTGAAAAATTCGTCCTTCTAAATCACCATGGACAGGAATGGGGTTGATCTTTAGAAGCCATTCGATGATCCAGACCAATTTGAAAGCCTCGTCACTGTTTTCAACATTTCCTTGTACAGCTGTTGTCCCTCTTGCGGTACCATCAACCTCAGGGGGAGCAAATACGACATCATAAAGATCGAGCTCATGCAAGAGTTGGATTGCTGTGCTACGGCTAGCGCCATCGTCAATCATCTTGTCCAGTTCAGCGCCAATACGTTCCTTGGAAATCTTGGTTCTGAGTGCTCGTTTAATTTGACCATTTAGGATTGCCTGCTTGGCATCTTCTGCAATTTTGAACTGAAATCTGGCTGCAAAGCGGATGCAACGCATGACGCGGAGAGGGTCCTGCCAGAATGTCTCAAATGCCTCGAGAGGGGTCCTGATAATTTTATTTTTCAAGTCATCGAGCCCTCTGCCAGTAAAATCCTCAACTGAATGTGTGTGAATATTGTAGAAAAGTGAATTGATAGTGATGTCACGGCGGTATGCGTCTTCTGAAGGCGTTCCAAAAGTCTATCAATAACACGAATCATTTTAAAATTAGTGTTTAGAGATGTATCTAAACAATACCATATTCAAACCCACTCGTATCAACAGATTTTTGAAATTACAATTTCACTAGGAATGCGACTGGCATCATCGTAAACTTCTGAGCGCAAATTAACAAAATCTAAAGGCATGTCGTAGACAACCATGGTGGCTGTCTCTAGATGCTTTGACTTTTCTGGATTGGTAGCGATCTTTGCAATTGTGCGTTTCTCATGACCTGTTGCCTCCATATGTTCATTCACCATCATTGCGAAATCATATCCCATCATTGTATCGATTGCGATGTCTAGATCATGACAAGAAAGTCCAAGAAGCTATAAAAAAATCAATAGATCAGATGTCAATGGAGCCATTCCACAGTTTCAGCTTTTGATAGATCGGATTAGATCATTGCTCTCGATATATATACCTTATCACGGACCCAACCACCTGCGATCCTCAACTGAACCTTTTTGCCTTCTTTCTCTTGATACCTCCTGGCAACAGTATCCAGTACCTTACAGATTTTAGCCTCTTCTTCTGTAAGATTGATTACAGGTGGTATAGACATCGTTGCAGAACTGCTTTTGTTTTCTAGTTTTGACTTATCAGATGCTATTATGGAAAAGGAGAGATGTCTTGCGCCAATAGTCCCAGTATAGCAGTTTAATGACGCGAGTCTGTATTTGGTCCCGTACACGTACTTCGCTCGAGAATAGTCTCTTGAAGTAGTGCGCGTAATGGTGTTTAGTCGTCGGCGTGAGTGCTCTTGAAGTTTGAGTAAAGGTTGAAGTCGGACAAGGCGGTATGAATGAGCGGTTTTGATGTTTGAAGAAGGAAGAGGAGTTTGTTTAAAGAGCTTAAAGAGAACATCAATCATTCGTATAATTCTTTTTATTTCAAAAAGAATACCGTAGTCGGCAATGTCTCTTATAATGAATGACTCAACTCGACTCTAAATTTGTTTCATGTTGTTTCCTGCTTTGCCACCACTGTTTCTTAATGGAAATTCATCATAAATAAACTAAGCCACGAAAACACATTATTGGCAAGCTTGTCAATGCCATCTTAGAAACACTGACTCTCACTCTGCTGGCAGAGAAATCCGACCTCAAATTGTACATAGTTCCTATTCCAATTCCCATTCATACATACACCAGTAATAGCAGTGAAGCATGTCAACCATTAAGAAAAAAGGTATGGCTAATGTTGTTACTCCTTCCTTTTTATCGCTTTGTAATCCATAGCTTATTCTCATAATCCTAGTTTTTATATGCTTAATCACAATGTCTTGACCATCCTTAGGCCCTTCCCAGGTACAGCTTCCTTGTTGCAATTGTCCTTTTGTGAATTCAAACTGGCAAGGTTCACCTTCGCAATAATTCTCACTTTCTCATTCTTTCCCTCCTCCCTCTTTTTTTTCCGCCATTGCATTAGGCTGAGATTATGATCAAAGTCTGCAGTGAGATTGTATCAGAGTTAATTCAAGCTCATGAAGCAGGCAAGGATATTAATCTAAACGGACTCAAGCAGCGTTACTCGCGCAAGCACAAAGCTCAGAACCAGCCTAAGCTTGTAGATATCATTGCTGCTATTCCGGAACAATATAAAGCTGTGCTTTTGCCCAACTTGAAAGCAAAGCCCGTCCGAACAGCTTCTGGAGTAAGAACGGATCATGGGATAGGATTTATCTGCAACATTTAAGAGTCACAATAAGACAAATGAGACTAACCTCGATTTTTTTTCATTGGTTAGATTGCTGTGGTGGCGGTCATGTGCAAACCTCATCGTTGCCCCCATATCGCTATGACAGGAAATATTTGCGTGTAAGTGAAAGATCTCTAGTTATTCCAAATTAACAAGCAATATCCGAAAGACTAGGAGCTCAGCGACCGTATGGAGACGCAATAGCTGATCATAGGACCTTGCTGTATGAATAGGTATTGTCCCGGAGGTCCTGATTCAGATTTCGAGTACTCCACACAATCTTATACAGGGTATGAACCTACGAGTATGCGTGCCATCCGTGCCCGTTATAACCCGTTTGAACAATCAAGGGGACGACAAGATCAGCTTAAGTCTCTTGGACATAGCGTGGATAAAGTCGAGTACATTATTATGGGAGGAACATTCATGTCTCTACCAGAGGATTACCGGGACTGGTTCATCAGTAACCTACACGACTCTCTCTCAGGACATGCCAGTAACGATGTGGATGAGGCTGTCAGGATGTCGGAAGTCAGCCCCAATAAATGTATTGGAATCACGATTGAAACCCGGCCAGACTACTGTCTAAAGCCTCATCTAAGGTAAAGAGCGTGTCCTAGTGGAAAACCATGTTGTAATTTTCATGGATGATGGCGCCCCAGAGATATAGGCTGTATAACAAACTCTTTTTTATTGCTATTCTTCCACATAACAAAGTCAAATGCTGAGATACGGCTGCACTCGTCTTGAGATTGGTGTACAAAGTGTATATGAAGATGTGGCACGCGACACAAATCGAGGACATACTGTCAAGGCTGTCACCGAGTCATTCCAGCTGGCAAAAGATGCAGGATTTAAAGTCGTTGCTCATATGATGCCCGATCTACCTAATGTAGGTATGGAGCGTGATATGGATCAGTTCAAAGAATACTTTGAGAACCCGGCCTTCCGCTCTGACGGATTAAAGCTCTATCCCACGCTTGTTATTCGTGGAACTGGACTCTATGAGCTCTGGAGGACAGGGCGCTACAAGAATTACACACCTAACTCTCTCGTGGATCTTGTTGCAAGGATCTTGGCGCTTGTTCCACCGTGGACTCGTGTTTACAGAGTGCAGCGTGATATTCCCATGCCCTTAGTCACGTCTGGAGTAGAGCATGGCAACCTAAGAGAGCTGGCATTGCAGAGGATGAAGGACTTGGGGACTGAATGTAGAGATGTCCGTACAAGGGAGGTAGGTATTGTTGATATCCACAACAAAGTCAAGCCCGATCAAGTAGAGTTGATCCGCCGTGATTATACTGCTAATGGAGGGTGGGAAACCTTTTTGAGTTATGAGGATCCAGAACAGGACATTTTGATTGGATTGTTGAGACTGAGGAAGTGTTCGCCTTTGGCCTTCCGTCCGGAGTTGACCAAAGCAGGACCCACTTCTATTGTTCGAGAGCTGCATGTCTATGGATCTGTGGTACCTGTGCATTCAAGAGACCCCTCAAAATTCCAACATCAAGGCTATGGTACTCTTTTGATGGAGGAGGCCGAGAGGATTGCAAGGGAAGAGCACGGAAGCGTCAAACTGAGCGTCATCAGTGGCGTGGGAGTACGAAACTACTATGCCAAGCTTGGATATACTCTTGACGGTAAGTTTTTTTTTTTTTTTTTTTTTTTTAAAAAAAAAAAAAAAAAAAAAAAAAAAAAAAGTGAGAAAAGGAGGTAATGCGGCAACGGTTGGTATTATGCTTTTATTTGATGGCAATTTATTTACTTCTTTTCCTTCACGGACGTATACTAGGCCCTTATATGTCCAAGATGTTGGTGTAGTTTGACGAGGCATCCCTACCATGTACTTTAAATAAATAATATAAAAAATATACAGAACTGGTGATGAATCCGTTGACTCAATGAAGTGAGTCTAAACATAAGCTTCTAAATGATTACTTAGATGCATTCTAAATGTTCATCTATGTAAACAATACGCGTGAGAAGACTTGGGCAATTTCGCAAAAACGCAACTTTGCATGCGTGTCTGGTGGTCTCATTTTTCCACATTTGGACGATCAACACATGTTGCTTCTGTGTATCCAAAATAATACATGTGTTTTAGCATATGGCATGCAGTTGGTAAAACAACACGTGGTTGACAAAGGAAGTTCTTTGCTTTATTCATTTTGTTTCCCAGCCATCCTACATCTCAAGTTTGAAGTCCCATTGGTTCTTTTCCGCCACTAAGATTAACTCCTTCATCCCCCTGGCCGTGATCTGTGTGTTCAATAGCGACAACCCACTAAGCCCGAGCTTTGAACGACTGGGCTTCTGAAGACGATGGCTGATAGCTTTAGTAGCTGGGGATGTCAATGCTGGTCCTGATACAATTTTTACTGAAGCTTCGAGGTACTTCACCAGCAAAGTGGCTTCCTTATTCCCCATATTAGTGCGTTCTATCTGTAATTTCAATAATTTCGAAAAATCTAGTGACTTGAACAAGCATTCCCAGGCATTTACGCTACTATTACCATTGTAAATAGTATGTTTCGTCGGAACTACCTCATCCGGGCTGAGCTCCCCTTCTTCCTTTTCGAGGGGCGCCACCGGTGATCCCTTCCGTTTATCGTTCTCTCCTGGAGGGAGATTTAAGTCTGTCAGTTTTAGTGATCTCAAAGTCAGTTTTGTTCTGGAAAGGAGAGAACCACAAAGTTCTTGAAACCGTTCATAGTTGAGGCTCTGGCAATCAATCTCCAGTTCCTGTAGCGAAAGCTCTGCCGTCACCAGTACTCCGGAGTATTGGTGCTGCTGCTGCGGATTCTGCCGATGATAGGAACCATTAGTATTATAAGTGTTATTGCTACCCATCCACTTCGTAATCACACCCACCCAGGTATTGTCATGGAGATTCCTGAGCCTCAGGGCCGTCAAGGACTTGAAAGGCATCTTCAATCCAGAGCTAGACAGGAGAGATAACCACCCGACCTTACCAGGCTTTGCGCCCACAAGGTTAACGGTGAACTCCTGTATTCTGGTATCAGTATAAGTGGCAGAAGTAGCAGTAGCGTATGAAATAATTCCTTTATCGCGTATGGCAGCGCTATTACCACCATGGGTCACCTTTACGGACAAGACAGGCGAGTTTTGGTAATTAAATTGAACGTTGATGCTTGGTGTAATCCCATAGGGCTTTCTTCTCAAAGCCTCATCTCTATCACTCATTAGTTGTTTTAGACAACTGTGATAGAGATCTGACGGGCAATCCAAGGTCAAGTGCTCGAGCTGGACTGCGCGCTTTACAACTTGCAGAATTCGATCCGTATGGCCTTTAGACCAATTGTGCGAGGCGTCTGGAAAATAAAACTGCACTTGCAGTACTTTCAAGTTAAGTAGCTTTTCCACTTTGCCACCACCATTGACGCTAGAATAACGCTGCTGCTTCTGATGAAGCTGTTGTTGTTGCTGTTGCTGATGCTCTCCTTGAAAACGAACAAACCTAGGTACAGAAAGCAAGCGCAATTCCTCAAGTCTTTCGTGCTCTATTAGACGCTGGAATGAAGAACAGACAGAGTCTCTATCTTGTTTGCTGGTATAAGCACTCGAAAGGAAGTCAGATAGAGGGGAAGGGGTAGAGAAAGTAGAAGAGCGGCGGCAATCCAGTATTAAAGCCTGGATGTCTGAGGCTTTGGTGATGGCATTGACAAGGTCTTCTAAGTCCTGTTGATCCCATACCCAATCCAAAGCGATGTTGAGCCATTTTCTCAGTTGTTGTGATTGTCGCTCTTTCAGCTTCTTGTTCTCGCTTTGAATAAGAAGCCTATAGAACGAGAGGGCTTCCATCGAGCTTGTTAGTGTAATGCTTATCTTTAGCCCATCGTCCCGATTTGCATCATCTTTTACCCATTCAATCATCCCACCACATCTTTCTACGAATTTTGTTAAGCCTTCGTAAGAAGATTTAGTAAACTGTGCTGATGGTGGTGAAGCCTCTATCACTATGATGGTTGGAGCACGTGCGCTAAGCTCTTCTGAGTTCTTTGTTATCCCTGCAGTTGCTGTTTCTGGCCTCATTAGCTCTACTGTTTTCCCAATAGCAGCACCTGTTTTTTGGCTTTTAATAATATCAGTAGTGCGCGGAAACCGCTTTAATTTCTTGCATTGAGGCTGTTGATCTTGGTCTCCATCAGTTAAGGGTCCATTAGATGTATACTGTGTGGGCTGGGCCGCCATCACGCTAGGCGAGGCAGTGGTTGATTTGATTTGGCTCTTGGTTGTGCTATCTATGGATAGGCCTCGTTTACGGCCGGCCCGCTTCGAGCCCTCCTCTTTAGTTTGCTGAAACTCGTCACTGGATCCTGGTACGGAACCTACATAAAAATGAATACGATAGTTTTGATAGTTCGGGGCTTCACCACCATTGCTTAGGCTTTGAGTATCATCACTATTGTGCTTATGACGATCTATGTTGTTGGATTTTGGTGGAGCAGAATTTTTGTCGGCAGGCTTGTAGTCCTGATCGTGATGAAGACGGCCACGCTTTTTCTGTGCAGAAGGAGGGACAATGCTTCCTAAAAATCCTGACTCGGAGGAGCTTGATGAATACGAGAAACATTCAGAAGAGTTAGTGCTGCTATCATCCCTAATGAGACCATTACTAGGGCTGACACCAGTTCTACCACTGCTGCTGCTACCACTGCTGTTGCTACCATTGCTGCTGCTACCATTGCTGCTGCTACCATTGCTGCTGCTACCATTGCTGCTGCTACCATTGCTGCTGCTATCGCTGCTATTACTGCCACTATCGCTGCTGTTACTGCCACTATCACTGCTGTTACTACTGGTATCACTGCTACCATTACTATTGGATCGGCTCCTCATTAGAAGTAATGTCTTTCCAGAATACTCCATTCGATGGTTAGGTCTAGAGTTGTGACTAACATTGCTCCTATCGTCATTACCATCGCTATTGCCACTGGCATCATCATCATCATCATTGTCGATCCGAAATGGACGCTTTCGTTGCTTCTGTCCCTGCTGGTCTTTCTGCTCTTGAGGTTGTTCCTGCTGCTCTTGATATTTTTGGCGCTGCTGATGTTCTAGATGTTCCAGGCTTTCCTGCTGTCCCCGTTGCCTCTGTTCTTTACAAGCCAGCTCAAGTAACTTGATCAGGTCTTGACTTAGTCGCTCGCCTTGTTTAGAGACCACTTTCTCAACCCCACTGCATAACCTTTGAAAGAGCGAATCTGATAAATTGCAGTGGGCATCCGCAACTGGATGTGGTGATGGAAAAGGTATATTTTGCTCCTGCTGGTGTTGTTGTTGTTGTTGTTGCTTCGTAGGTAGGACTTCTTGAAGGAGAGAACAATCGTGAACGACGTGAATGACTTGTTTAGGCTGATAATGAACCCAGATAACATCGTCATCACTATCATCGCCACTACTATCCCGTGAAGCATCGCTATATCCCCTAATGTTTATAGTAAGCAGATTGTCAAGAACTTAACAACTTTTTTTTTTTTTTTTTTTTTTTTTTCATATTTCGCGATTCAATGTCAATAATAATAAAAAAAAAAGTTCATTATCTTCTATTTTTCCTCCCCTCATTTTCTTCATCGTCAGCTATTCTTACCTTGTGTTCCTGGCTCTTTTATCGTTTACTTTACTTTCTGTAACCGTATTTTTATTTGTATGGTTCGATTGCTTCCGGATATCCTGCTGTTGCTGCTGGCGCCTTCGTCGACTCGAACGAAATCCAACTTGAGGTTCGAGAGTTCTTCCATCGACTTCTAACCGAACCATCCTTGGATACATCTGTTCAATTTTATAGAGAGGAATATATTTAGTCCCTGTACGTTCATGAATCCGTACAGGCACTTTAACAGGGCCATGACATGGTCCTGGAATCGTTGGAAGAAGCTTTTGGTGTAATATCCGTGAGCCTCTATTCGTCTTCCTACGCTGAGTTGATTTTGCCATTTTTTTTTTTTTTTTTTTTTTTAAAAAAAAAAAAAAAAAGGGTACTTGACTGGGTCCTGGTCTAGTTTAGTGTTGTACAGCCAAGAGTATAAAGTATAGAAAGTGTAGAGATGATAACGTTCAGATTAATAGACAGAATGATTATGATAACAAAAAAAAAAAAAAAAAAAAAAAAAAAAAAGAGCCAACTTATTAAGCAAATCAACGCCTTCTTATGCCACTGCTGTGTTCTCAGATTTGTGAGCGACGGGGACTTGAATTCCTCGACAACCACTGCGGTGGAAGGAAAAAAAAAAATTGTGTCCACAATGAGCCTTGTCCTTTGATAAATGATCTACACAGGAACAACAGAGGGACGATCATAGACTTGTCGGTCGCTCTTTCAATTTTCAATTCGGAGGACAAATAAGCTTGATTACGTATCCACGCCCATCAACATGCAGAAATGGAGAAGTGAGATATTTACAACAATTGATTGATCAATAAACTACATGCATGTCAATGCATGTCTTGTCATACAAACAAACACAGGAGTAAGGAACAACATGGAGCTACAATCTACAAAAAGCCTTTTTTATTATATATTTCTAGTATATGTTTATCGTAAAAAGAAAAATCTTCTAAATCTATTTTACTGTTATTCATTTTCAAACCATGGGAATTAGATGGTATTTACCCTCAACTTCTGTCATCTTTGATCCATTCAAGGATCTTGGGTGTATAATATGTGATGATAAAGTTTGCTCCAGCTCTGACGAAGCCATCCATACTCTCCATAACTCCAGCCTTCAGATCGAAGACACCAGCCTTGGCTGCATGCCAAATCATAGCATACTCTCCTGAAACCTGGTACACAGAGAGAGGATAGTCGGGCGCAATCTCACGTGCATCCCTGAGAATATCTAAGTAAGGCGTTCCAGGCTTCACCATCAATACGTCGGCTCCCTCACCCATGTCTCTAACTAACGCACGGCGAGCAAGGCCACGAGCCTGATGAGGCAATTGGTAGCATTTACGGTCGCCGCTTCCAGGAGTGGAGTGGCAAGCATCACTGTTTAATGCATTAAACGAGTATAAGAGATATTGTTAGAAAAAGGAAAAAAAGCTCTTAAACTGGTCTTCATACTAAAGATCAAGAAGTGGGCAATGTTAAAATAAAAATTACCGGAATGGACCATAGAAATTGGAAGCAAACTTGGCAGAATAGGACATTAAGCTAACTTTATGGGCAATGCCTTCTTGAATAAGTGCATCCTTGATACCCTTGATGCGGCCGTCCATCATATCACTGGGAGAAATCATTTGGCATCCATTGCGTGCATATGCCATGGAGATATCCACTAAACGCTTCACTGAAGCGCGATTGTCGATGGTGCCATCATCTCGGAGAACGCCACAATGACCGTGAGAGGTGTATGGGCAAAGACAGACATCGCAAGCAAGAAGAAGATCCGGAAATGCCTTGCGCAGTACATGGAGGGCTCGGATAGTGGGAGTATTAGAATCATCAGCAGCAGATCCGACAGCATCCTATTAATCCAATCGGATGATACAAGAGTTCGGAAAACATTAACAAAGCAATAAGGCAATGAGGAGGCTGATCAAAAAGGGGGGGGGGTGAAATAAAGAGATTGAAATGTAAACAATACACAGTAAGACATGTACAACAAAGTAAGTACATGTGTCACACAAATGGTATGACTTTTTCGACCAAGAAGGAAAATAAGAGCCGAGGCCAATTCATTCATTGTAACTCTTTCATTGTAACACCTCAGTCGAACCAAATCATGAACTGCCCACTAAAATTTTCTCCACCCTTTTATTTCGCACACACCCGACACAGCAGTCTTCAATAAGGCAAAACAAAAAGTAATGGATCTCGATCTGCGCAGTAGTAATAAAGCTACTTTGATTCGATAATTTATAATGCATTCATAATATGATGTTTACCTTCTGGATATTGACAGGCACCCCAAAAATGATAACAGACTTGAGACCATTGGCTACTAAAGGAGTCAGGAAGTCAACTAGCAAATTGATACCCCAACTGACAGTAGCAGCAGAGTGAGTTTTCCAGTCTTAAAATATGAGTATGTGGATTTAAAAAAAAAAAAAAAAAAAAAAAAAAAAAAGAGTAAAAGAAAATAGGCTTTACCGAGATTGACCAGGCAATGTATCGATCTTCTCCTCGACATCGTCATTGTCGGTGACAAAGATGGGATACATAAGCATGTTTGGAGTAATGGGCTGTCCAGCTTGCCAGGTCCTGTGAAGAGGGTGGTGGTAACCTGCATGCAAAAGCGAGGTATTGCGGTTGGGTTCTTGTGCCATTTTTAGAGAAAAGAGAAAGGAAAGGAGAGAAAATCAAAACACCGTAGCGCAATCAATGCAAAAAGAATGAGAATGAATGAATGAACAAAGGATTAAATAAATGGATGTGAATAAATGCAAAGTGAAATGAAAGCGAAGTGGAGGTGAATGAGAATGAAAGAACAAGAAAAGAGAAAACAGTTCAAAAAAGCAATGCTAATGAGTCACGTGTATCCGATCCAATGTTATGAGTGCGCCACTAATTTTTTGTCAAATTTATTTCATTTAGGAAGGGGTCATTAAAATCATTATCGTCCGTTACTCCGTCTCTCTAGCGTTACTACTTATTCATTCTTCCCCGCCGTCCCATATCCTTGGTAGTATTTAGTACAAGCGCCGGCCGCCCATCCTCTCCAACTACTAATGCACAGGGCGGTGTCATATTGTTTTGCGAGTCCTTATTTTCGCGATCCAATCCTCCCCGCTCGAAAGTGGGGAGGGCAAGGAGTCAATGCGGCCTTGTCCCGTTCCGCGGTGTTGCAGTTGTGCTGTCACCCCCTCCGTGGTGATTATAGCCGCTCGTGGATGGCGTAGGTGTTATAGATCGAGATTTTTCTGTCAGGATGATCTCTGAACTATTGAAGGTTGTGGATGGGGCAGACGTTCGTCGGCCTGTCTTGCTAGGCTTGTTAGGTAGTCCATGGAATGCTGCATAAATAACGGATGAAAAGTCTTCGCTTTTGGTCTTGTTCTTTTTGTTATTATCCGCGCCCAGGGAATCCATCTCTAGTTTTACAATGAGCTGATCGTACTCATTTTGACACTCTGTATTTGAGACATAATTCGGGCCCAGCGGATGGACAAATGATACTGTCTTCAAAGCTGCGAATTCCGAGAGGCGAGGATTACCTACGCGCATGCACACAGCCTCGATCCATCCATTGGGCTCAGGACAGATGATGTGCAGCGCTGTGATCTTCTTCCCAATACCATCAATAAAATTTATCCATTTCTGGCACTGCTCTGAACCCGCCACAAAGGGCATGTCGATAATTAACTCGTATTCTATTAGGTTGGAGCGTTCAATCACCGTTTGCAAGTCCATCAATGCATTCGCGTCCACATCTGCACAGGCCTGGAAAAGATGTGTGAGCCGAGTAGCGCTCTTTTCATTAGCCAACCGGCCCACTGCCTCCAATAGTGTTGCTGAATGAGTTGGTTTCCACTTGGCTGTGTCAATCCTCAGTTTTGTCAACTTGGGCCCAAATGTGTTTAGGACTTGCCGAAGGGCAGCTTCGTGAATCCTCATCTGTAGAATCTCCAAGACTAGCAATTGAGGTGATCGAATATCTGGCGTGTATAATCGGTTCTCACCGCGGTAGAGGCACACCTTCTTAAGTTTGCTCAATGTACGTTTGGCCCCTGGCGCAGGGTTCGTTACTGCCGCTCGGATGGCTTCGTACACGGTTGGAAACTCGGAAACATAGCAAGCTACCTTGAGTTCGGTCAGACCACGGTTGCGCTGGATCACGTCCACCAAAGGTCCACAATCGTTGTATTGGGCCCTTGGGCCGCTGATATGCAAAGATGAGATACAATCAATCGATTGGAGCAGACTATTGTAGGACGGCACCGTCGGAATGGTCAGATCCATGTTGATTAATATTTGGCCAGGTTGGTCAAATTTGGCGACCAGGTGCTCATCCGTTCCAGCAGTTAATGTCAATTTGGTCAGCGAACACCGGCCGAAAGTAACCGCGCGGATTGCATCATAGGCTTCCTGTACATCATTGCAACCCAACGTGAGCTTTGTGAGACGAGGACTCACTTTGAGCAGCTCAATGACTCTTGCCGAATCTTTCTTCCAATCCACTTCCTCGTCGATTTGGAGGACTCGTAATTGGTTCCATCGAGGGTCAGCAGGGGCTGTCTTTTTGAAAAATCCAGAATACCCCTGCAGCGAAAAAGATCGGATGCTGCGGCAGGATAGGATCTGCCAGAGAGCCTCTGCACGCTTATTCCGATTCAGCAGCTCTACTGCAGAGCTGGATGCATTACATGACAACTCTAGCATCACAATCTTTGACCGTTCAATCGCCTCGTTGAGAGCCTTCGCATCCTGGTAACTGATGTCCCATCCGAAATTGATTCTGAGCTCCTGTACAGCCCTAGCCCTTTCCAGGGTCTTGTAAAACTGAAGAGCAACCGGCTGAGAAGTCAATGTGATTTCTACACGGCCATACTGCTCAAGAAACACGCCTCCGTTTCCAGTAGTGAAATCTTCCAGGTCCCTCATCGCTTCCGTGTAGTAATTGTCGCGGTAATGATCAATGCATACCCAACGAACATAACCCTCAGACGTCACGACCCTAAACTGATTTCCTAGCACATCATCAGTGCTGCTGTTTTTGAGAAACGTCCGCAATCGCCTCAGATCCGCGCTCTCCAGCAGCGAATCGATTTCTGTAGTTGTATCTCTATGAACATCTTCCTTTGCACTTGTAATGGGGTCCTGATTGACTAGACTCTGCAGATATGCAATTGCCTGATCAACTCTCTCCAATGTAAAATTAGCATTATTATATACAAAATTAGGGGTATTGCTGTTAATTTTAGTATTATTATTAAGATTTTTTTCATTGCTGTTGTGATTGCCGATGGTGTGGTTGTTTGATGTTATATTTCTGCTGATGGACGTCAAGTCGTTCTTTAGACTCGATTTATTGAGTGCAGAAACAGAGAACCCGTTCCCACTGACTCCATACTTGAGCATCTGTAGTAGCCTTAAAACATACTGTCCGTACCGTCGGAAAAACTCCTGAGGCCTTTCCAGATCGTATCCTTCATGTTTTGCCAAATGAATTTGATGTTGCATTTTGCTACGATATGACCTAGTATGCTCTCCGCATTCACACAGGAAGTAGAGCCGAAACTTGTTATGGTAGTTGCTGCTGCTAATATTGTTGTTGCTATTGCTGCTACTGGTAGTAGTGCTAATGCTGCTATTGCTGATAAGGTGGCTCTGAGCAGCTACATCAAGTTCCTTCAAATCTTCCATTGGCAGAACAATAAACAGCCTTGGATCTGGAGAATCATGGAGCTCATATCCTTGTCTCAAAATCTCCTGGATCTTATTCTGAATTTTGGCCAGTTGATCAAACGAGCCTCGCTGAACCATCCACATATGCTGTTGCATTTCGACCATCTTTTTCTGTAACTCCTTATTCTTGGCCATCTCCGCTTCAAGAGCTCTGAAATGTTTCTTGAAATTCTCCTGTGCGCAGTTAGCCTGCTCTGTCTGACCCAGCTGTGTATGCAGTAGAAACGATTCAAAGATTTTAACTGATTTGCGATATTGGCTCTTTAAAACCTCCTCGTTAGGCGCTATCATTGATGTTGTTGTCACTGTTGTTGCTGCTGTTGTTGTTGCCGTAGCCGTTGGTTTAGTCAGTTTCGTTTTGGTTGTTACCATGGTTGTAGCAAGAGATGAGGTTGTAGCTGCTGTTGGAACAGCAGTATGAGAGGCTGACTTATTGGAGCGCAAAGCAACTGAAGAGGTGGTGAGTACGGAGGATGCGGATGCAGTTGAGGATGAAGATATAAGCGGGATAGGATAGCGACGCTGAGGAATTGCGGTACGGTCAATAAGGGGAGGAATTCGCTGTGGTAGTTGCTCCTTTTGCTGCAGGGATGATTTAGTTAGTCGCAGATCGGGATATTTTTTGTTAGCCTGACTAAGAGATGTTGCAGATGAGAGCTGAACATGTTGCCGGGCAGCTTCGGGAGAGTAAGGATGGTTGGAAGGGTGTACTTTAGTGCGAGTATGGCGTGATGATGACGGTAATGATGGTGTTGATGTTGATGATATTGTTTTTGATGCTGTTGCTGTTGTTGTTGCGCCAGCCTCCGAATGCTTCTTTGAACTATGACTTGACTTGGATTTATGACTACTTGATATTACGACCTTTAATACTGTTCCTGGTATATGTGGAACACGCAATGGCCGCAATCTGTAGTTGAGAATAAAGTCCCACAGAATGTTTATTTGTTTTGTTAGTAAAGTAATTAATCAAAAGTAGAACAAAGAGGCCCTTCCTCTTTTATCTTCATGGGAAGGAAAAAACAAATACTCAACTTGTTCCCTTCGACATCAGTAATGAAGCCCAGAGGTTGGTGGTTATACGTCAACCGGACTGCACCTGGAAATACATCTTGAATATCGTGCAGTAAGATAAATGGCTTTCCGTTTGTCTGCACAGTTCCTGGCCGGACCTGAACTTCCAGTGTCTCTCCGTTTCCTTTTATCGTTTGCCATAGTTCGTTGCTGCTATTGTTAGGGTTGCTTGCCATAGGAGAGGGAATGAGATAGATATTATGTAGAAATGAAGATGTCGTTTATGTGTCTGTATGTACGCATAAGGTGTATGTAGAACAGAGGATGTGGGCAAGTGGACGAGTGAGCGTGGAGTGTTGGTTGGATCAAAATGTAAAGTGAATAGTGAATAGGAATGAAAATGCTGGAAAAAAAAAAAAAAAAAAAAAAAAAAGATAACAGGGGATGTTGATGATTGTTTGCAAAAGAAATTCAAAGAAGATTAAAAAGGGGGTAAAATAAATAAAAATACAATGCATCTGTACTCAATGGTCAAGGTATGAGCATGACTTGCAATGGTTACTTGAGAAACTGAAAAAAAAAAAGAGGCCTTTTTTTTTTTTTTTTTTTTTTTTCATGAGCCCAGTTCTGTCCCCCCGTTTGATCTTTGGGGAATTTTAAGATGTGCGCACCTTTTTCTGTCCCGCCACTTATGTCATGTTAAATGTTACAAGTATAAATATATATATGATTGTAGCATTGCAGTCCTTAGTCGGAATAATGGTCACTCAGCTATTTGTTCAAGCATAAAAATGTGTTGACATCAAACAAAACCCCTGAAAGTAGACTTTGTGCGGAACAAGTCTACCATACATACATAAAACTAGATAAAGCAATCGACACAGCAGTTTGAATCTTAAAAAAAAAAAGAGTTCATCCCACTCACCCAACTCTCGGAACCCATTTTTTAATTACAAAACAATAAACTTGCAATCTTCTCTCCATTACATATGAATCCACGCATGGAGTCCTGTTATTCTCTCTTTCTATCATCATCCAATATCAAAGCATATTTTGAATAAACAATCAGATAAACAGACAAGTAATCTTAGGTTACTGAGTATAAAACCAACAGGGTTCTTTCACTGGACAACAAATATGTATTAACTCTACTTCAATAACACTTGCAAAATAAATAAATAAATAGATAAAAAAAAGCTGTGTTTGTAGCCATTCATCAATGCAGATTAAAAAAAATATATGTTCATGATCTGTCAAGATCTATTTTCAATTGATGAATATAAAAAGTAAGGGTATCTTCATGAAAAACTAACAACTCATCTATTGATGACCCAAGTCAACTCAGCCCTGTTTATCATCTAGTAATCTCGTCTCTCTAAGTATCCAATAGACGCCGCTGCTATTTTGGGAGAAGGTCGGTAATGCCTCGAATGTCTCACCGGTTTTTGATGATACCCATCTTCTATCGCGCTATGGTTCTCAGTTGCTCCGTTGCTACTTGAAGCGTCATACATATCATACATATCATAAAACTCTTCATTATCGTCATCAGCCCCATCTATCGAGTCGCCTCCAGGAGTAGGGGTAGAGTCATAACCCCTCATAATATGTTTCTGGTCACGAGGAGCTCTCGTCTCTGGGACTACAGTCTCGGTTGAAATTAGCTCTCCCTTCCATGACGGCATCGTCGCGGATGCTGGTGTTAGTGTGGCGAGATCTTTTGCGGTTTCTGGGTCTATTTCACATCTACTCAACTTTTCCTCCTCTTCTCCCCTTCTCGAAACGTATTGTGGTCTATTCACTTTCTCTATATTGACCTCCTCCTCCTCCTCGAGGGTCTCCACATCCTTGGCAGCTTTCTTCTGTCTTTTGATAGCCAACGGCAAGAACACAAGCGGCAGCAAGATCCAAGCAGCCAAGATTGGTATGTTATATCTCAGCCGATTGTAGGACCCCATCAGCACTAACCTTGCTATCTGAACTGCATTCAGGAATGGCATCGCATAAACCCATCGATAAAACAGAGGCACTAGTTCTACAGAATTGAACACTGCAATCACGTTCAAAATCACAAACGTGATTGTAAATCCTGGAATGAAGACCACAGGGATCATATTGATTAAGAATAAGACCAAAGCGGCCACTGAGCATTGAAGCATCAACATGCCTGAGAAAAGAGACAAGAACTGAGTAGCCCCTTGTGGGAATGGGACTCCAAATGCTGGCAACAAAGCACTGTAAACCATGGATAAGGTTACGAGGTAGAAGAACAAAGGCACCAAAAGATACACCATTGTCCTGCTCACAGAAACATTCCGTGTCATGGGCTGGATTAAATGCGCTACCAAGTACGTGCTTCCTCCAGCCACCAAGAAAATCCAGATATAGGCCACTGTAGTCGCTGAGGTGATGATGGTCGCCGTTGGTGGATGGAGATCAAATTCTTCAAAGGCCACGGGCGTCCCTAGAACATGCGGTGCTACATGGAGAGCCGTCACATTCACTTTTCTTTCTTGAGAATATCGAAGAATAAACTGGATCCAGGCTGGATTAAAAATCTTGGAGAACATGAGGAACTGTGTGTACATATTGGCCACAATATGGGGCTTCACCACTAAAGGATCTCGTCCACCATCATAAATGAACGCAAATGCTTTAGTTGGATCATAATCCGGTAAGGGCCCTGCAAACGCCTTGTTTAAATTCGAAGACGCGTTGGGTTGAACAACAACAGCTCCCCAGTAGTGGCCTAGACGAACTTCTTCCTGAATCACCTCCATGGTCGGGAATTGGCTGATAGGTCCTATGGTCCAATTGGGCTGATGAGGTTGTTTGTTGAGCTGTTGTGTGAAATTAAGGTAGTTCAACCCGATCATTGCCTGATCCAGATCCACTACCAATATATTAAAATTCTTGACTCGTGTGGGCGATTGAAACTATACAAACAAATGTTACAAAGTGAGGTTAAAGTTAGAACAAAAGGAATGTTACATGTGAAGAAGAAAAAGGTTCAGATAAGAAAAAAAAAAAGTGGATCAAGATGGCCGCCACATGTGTGTACCTCTGCTCCAAAGTATAACGCCATGAGAGCAAAGTAAGCAATAGACATGACAACCAAGACCTTGATCAGCTTGATAATCACTTGTGTCCATGTCGGTTTCTCAGGCATGGCCAACATGATCTCAACAAAATTGAACAGATCTGTTTCTGGCTCCTCTCCACTCCTACCAGGTATGCCTGTCTTATGGAGATGTTTCTCTGGGGCCAAATCGTTCCTCAGATGATGTTGAGGGAAGACCAGAGCATTTGTACTGCCAGCCGCACTAAGTGATCCAGGGGTATCTGTTACTGATGCTATTGTCAACTTTGAGGGTTTTTTACTGATCTTATTGCTGCCCTTGCCTCGGGAAGACCGTCTATAAAGGAAAGAGAACAAGCCTGCTTGCGCATGTTTTCCTTCAGTGGGTGCTTTTGATTTTGCGTTACGTGAAGCTTGATTGCGATTCATCCCATGATTGCTCTTTTTGTTGTTACTTTTATTGTGTTTGTTGCTGCTAGGGTGATACCTTGGTGCAAAGTCATTACTATCCATGGAGCTCCGAGCTGTACCATCTGTGAGTGAAGGCTCAACAGCGGCATATCTTTCCTCTTGGCCAATGTTTCTGTCAAAGCGTCCCTGTTCCGTGATTGTGGATGCTCCAAATTGTGCTGCAGGAACAACTTGTCGGCTTACAAAATTCGAGTTAACATTAGAGTTGCTATTATAAATATGATGTAAAGGCGCTTGTTGTGAACGAGGCTTCGTCATAGATGTAGATGTATCATATGGTGCTTTTGTAGATGAGGTTGACTGATATAGTTCTGAAGAAGGATGAGCATGTGAAGGTGCTGATGATTGTGAATGATAGCTTTGGTCCTTACTGTCCCGCGATAGCGAGCCTGTTGCTGTTGTTCTTCTCTGAGGAGGATGTGAGGAGGATGGCTCATTTGCTGGTTTTGGCTTTGAAGGTTTAGACCGTGAGGACGCGCCTTTGTCTATGTTATTAGAGGTAGTGGGAGGAAGGGGTAAAGATTCTGGCGTTGGACTGCAAGTTCTACTACTTTGACCTGCAGAAGAAAGGGTGTCCTCATCTTGTTGGTCTTCGGGCAAGATCATGATGTCGCTGTTGACAATGATGGCATTGTGCTCATTGATGTTGGCATTGTCAGCATTTCTGCTACTGCTATTTACGTAGGGTGATCTTGACCCTTGAAACCTTGATGAGTTTTTAGGTGGTATGTGGGGCATTGTATTTGTAGCCTATTGCGTTCCTGAGAAATTCTCACAGACACAAAAAAAGGGGAAAAGAGAAAAAAGAAATGGAGGAATATCAAGACTATTTTAATGCGTGGTGCGCATAATCTCTGATGATCAACAACGTAAAGACGCAGGGGAGGATGTTAGAGAGGAGAAATAGATCTAAACAAATGCAAGGGAGGAAAGAAGTTCGAGTGGGGTTTTATATGCACTCGCAAAAGAAAAAAAGAAAAAGAAAAAAACTCATGTTATTCATGTCATTCATGTATCCATGTTGCACCGCATCCGCACACTTGATAGCCCTCTTTGGATGCTCACAAAAGTGGAGAATCACTGGATGGACATGGATGAATATGTGGATATGACTGAATATGAGAGCAATTGAGGCGGAGGAAAAAAAATAAGAAAAAGATTACTCAGCCGATGTTGGTAAAGAGACAACTCCACCGGGATTAGGATGGACCCTCCGTCATGCCATGTGTCCGTGCCATACCATACCATGCGCTCAAGGTGCCCCTGAACTCGAAATGATGACTTTTTGCTTAATTTCTCCACAGCACCTACATGAATAAAAGTACAAAGACTAGCTCACAAAATTAAGCAAAAATTAATGATTGCAGAAAACCAATATCCGGAATTGTCACCACCTTATTTGTCACACGACGTAAATTAAATCAAATATCCTTGCCAAACGCGTTGCAGAGAAGACCGACAATTCGACATGTGAAGCGCGCTTTCCTAGACCCCGTAGACCGCATATAGTTTATTTCTTTTTTACATCCTATACCATCCTCACACACGAACAGTTTGTTTGTATAGTCATGTAAACGAGACAAAAGAGCAAATTACATCTCAGGGTATCAAGGGTAAAAAAGCCTAATAAAGTTATTAAGCTTATCAAGGGTTTTCTTTCAGCTTAGCTTGATTGGCATGTGCATAGATAGCCACTCTACTTTTCCTAATCAATATCTTATTTGTATTTGTATTTTCATTTATATTTATATTCGTATATATATTTTTATTTTAAGCATAGTAGTAACAAATAAAAAAAAAAAAAATAAAAAAAATATGCAAATGCGATTCAGCCCTTCGCTCCCGCTTCTGTTTCTCTATCTCTATTTGCCTCGCGCCCACTCTTTTTTCATTTCATTTTATTTAACGCCTCTCTACCAAGATCTTGAGCTCAACACGTCCAAGATCACCAAGGTCTACGCGTGCCCGTGACTCGCCCAAGGTCTTGATCTTGGTGCCATTCACTGTAACCTTTGTATGATCAACCAAAATGCCGTGTTTCTCCTTCAGCTCCTTGACCACATCCTCAGCCTGTACGGATCCAAAGATGGATTTTGATCCAGGCAAGACTTCATTTACCGCTCGCGTAAAGACCAATGATGGCAAGGCTTGCAGACGATGACGCAGCTCCTGTAGTTGAATAATACGCTGCTCCTTCTTTACTGTCTGCTGATAAACCTATGTATAATAGTATGCATATCCCAAACCACCATGTGAATGAAATATAAGAAATAAATTGTTTTTGTACTTCATTACTTTGAACCAAAAAAAATAAAAAATAAAAAAAAATAAAAAAGATCCGTATATACCTTATTAGCTTCCTGTGCGACCTTGAAAGCATCCTGCCCTGGGCTAGTTTCCGCTTTAAATTGTTGTGCTCTCTTGTTGTTATAGTTTGCGAGGCGAAAAGGGTACAGCTGATTTCTCATTCTACCAGCTTAGATTATTGAAAGTAATACACAATGAGGTGAGTTGACATATGTGATTTGATAAATCCACAGCCTTCATGTCATTAAATCATATTGGAGAATCCTCCGCTTCCAGTACTTACGACCCACAGTGACAACATCGCCTGAATATAATCATTATTTCCATGTTCACAGAGGTAAAAAGGAAAAAAAAAAATTAATATAGAATCAATTGCACTTTGCTGATAATAAAAGGTTCATCAAGCAGACAGAAGTTGGTGCCGTGAAGTTAGACTTCTTTTTTTTTTTTGTACGAATATCAGTTGATACTAAGCTGTAGATCCTGTTCCACGTCACTTTTTTTTTCAGGTACCTGGTTTTCCTAGACCTTGTACATTTGCTCTCAGGGTGACCTCGATGGATTTTTGAGACTTCCAGCGCTATTGTAATAGTCCAGAAATGAGAGTATTTGTAAGAAGAGCTGGTAAGGCCTCTTTTTTTCCTTATTGATTCCTCATTCAACTCGCCCCTGCAATGCCATTTGAGTTTCCTTGTTTTAGTAGCAACATATAAAAAATTATGTATTTTTTTTAACAAACTAGAATGAATTTAAACACGTACCTTGACGACATTTGTGGTAGATCTATAAGCGACTCTTGAGAGCGAAGATTTGTTGATGGAGAACATTTTAGGGAGATAGTAATGTTTGTTTAGGAGTTGCGGAAGGCGACCAACTTTAAGACGATCTGTGTGACTGCAAATTACCCAATGCAAAATAAAAGAATTCCTCTCTTCTGCAATTAAAATTAGTTCAAAAAGGACAATATCACGCATTATCACTCAGAGACTTTCCTCCAACCTCCTAAACCTTTCTCCATCACTTGCCACGCGTTCATTTCAAAAGCTTAAAAGCATGTCTACAACTCGTGCCATCACCACCTCTGTAAGACCACTTTTGGCCAATACTAGGGCTAGGCTTAGCATCAACAATAGCAGCAGACAGCCCTTTCTCTGTCGCCGTTTGCTCTGCTCTGCTTCCTCGCATACATATACCCATCATACTCTTATGAATTCCAGATCTACTGCTACCTCTTCATCTACTATCCCTATTACCGCTGTTGTTGCGCGATTCATTGGGGCCCCTAGAATGTACAGCTCTTCTACTTCAGGAAAGGAATATGTTATCAGGTAAAAATAAAAATAAAAATAAAAAAGCAAGGAGATAAAAAAATAAATAAATAAAAAGATTAATTGATCAACCCTTCACAAGGCCATAAACTCCTTTGCAATTTCCTCCGCTAACAATAGTAATAATAATTAACTCTCATCTCTTGTTTAGCGACCTGACTGATGATGAGTACCACACAGTATCAGACGGATCGATGGATCGAATGGTCGAATACTTTGAGGATCTGGGCGACGAACATGAAATCCCTGGATACGATGTTGAATATCAGGTGAGTTCATGCAAAAAGGTATCCTAACCATTTTTCTGCTCCCCCACAACCTTACCCTCTTGATTTTAGTTTTAGCTCTATTTTTATTAATTTTGTTTCTTTATAAAAAAAAAAAAAAAAAAAAAAAAATCATGATCAATCATGATGGCATTGATGATCTTGGATTATAGAGCGGGGTCATGACTCTTAAGCTTGGCGACAAGGGCACTTATGTTGTCAATAAACAACCTCCAAATAAGCAACTTTGGTTATCATCGCCTACAACAGGTCCCAAGCGTTATGACTATGATGCTGAACACAAGGCTTGGTTCTATAATCGCGATCAACATACACTCAAGCATCTACTGGATACTGAAATCTCAAAGGCTATTGGAATCAATATTAATGTGCCATTAGACTCGAAAAGTTAGGACGATTGAAAAGATGACAAAGTCTTGAAGATGTTAAAAAGTAAAATAAAATAGTAAAAAAAGATAAACATCAAGCTTGAATTGATTGTTTGAGTATCGATATTTCCATGATGATTAAAGAAAAAAAAAGAAAAAAAAAAAAAAGGACCACTACGGCATGTAATAATTTTGGCTTTGTTGTGTAATTTGAATAGTAAGTGTATGGCCACCCCAACTAGGAGCATTCTTAAGAGTTTAATATATCCTGATTTGTTTTTATACAACAGAATATTCTAGTGGCGTCAAAATACTGTGCTTCGAAAACTCTACGTTTGATCCATCTGCCACAAGTGAAACCGAAAAAACCTATATGTATTCATTTCCAAAGAAAAAAGAAGTGATAGAGATTGTTGTAGGTTAGTATCCGTTAGGGTCTCCTTCTGTTCGTCATTGATCCATCGCAACTTTGGTACCCAATTGGATGAAGTGACATACATCAACGTCACAGACAAGTCGCTCGCTCTCAAACTGTACAGAGACTGGGAAGAAGCTCTCTACATCCTCGCCTGCACAATTGAACTCCAACGTCCCAGAAGCATTGGATGAGCTGATTGAAGGTAATTGCCAGATCAACACGCTCTGTTGGTGGTCTACAAAGTGCTTTCCATCTGCTTCGCCAACTGTTGGGGTTGCTCCTTGTCTATAGAATCCCGAACACAAAGGAGAGAAAAAAGAAAGTTAGATTTACTGTCCTGAATCAATAGAATAGTAAACGAACAAGCAGCTATGGTCAATTGAAACTTACGGAAGAGGGATGATAATGTTTACGTTCTTGAATTCCATTTCTTCATTCTCAAGCTGATATTCAATGTTGACATCGCATGAGCCATCGCCTGCAGGAGATGGCCAGCAATTAACTAGATAGTAAAGTATATGCGAAAAAGGAAGCATAGTGTAAGTAATCAAAAAGCCATATACCAATATAAAGGTACAATCATTAAATATTAGGAAAAAAAAAAAAAAAAAAAAACTTACTCGATAAAGGAATAGAGCTTTCATCTTTACTGAGGAACCTCCAACGTAATACTCCAGTTGATGTATTGAGAGGAAATTCTTTTGAAGAATCTCTAAATGCAATAACTTTATCACTATTGAATAGGGCCTTATTCACATTAGGATGGGTCTTGAACTGAATGCTAGGATCATCTAGATGACGAAGCGCAAGGCTGATCTTGGTTTTTGCTGGATCAGAGACGCGGAGCATCAAATCTCCTTTCACTTCCATGTTCTCCAGTCCGCCGTCTCTGTTAGCCACAACGGTAATCTTTTCCTCAATATGAACATGCACACTATCCATAGGGAAATCTGGCTGAGCAGGAGCTGAGTAGTTTTGTGCATGGTATTGTTGCTGTTGTTGCTGTTGTTGCTGTTGTTGCTGCTGTTGCTGAAGAACAGGCGAGGAATCCGCTTCTGCACGTAATGATTCAAATAAGTCTGCATTGTTTTGCTTGCGTCCCAGCTGCATGCCTCTTGCTTTTGTTGCGGGAGTCTTGGGAGCACCACTAAAAAAAAAAAAAAAAATCCCGTAGTTGTATTGAGTATTAAAATACGATTATTTATAAATAAAACCAGTTCCAAATGTTAACTGCAATGGCTTTCAATCAATTGCTTTCTTTGCTTCGTACCTAAACCGAGAGTCATCCTGAGTGAATGAGGGTGAAACAAAGCCTTGATTGCCGCCGATATCTTCAATGCCTCCTATGCCAGACTGACCACCAAAACCCATGGAACTGCTCTGACCATATCCACCACTCATGCCCATACCCATACCTACACCCATACCTGAACCATATGGGCTTCCCATGCCAGACATGTTCCTCTTTTGTTCCTTCCTTTGTATATCCAGCAGCTTGGCACGTCTCTTGAGTTCCTCTTTGGCTTCACGCTCCTTATTCTATACGACATAGCATTGGAAAAAAAGCAATGTTGGCACTCAGTTGCCAACTTTAACATCATGCGAATCTAGGCTGATGTATCCCTTCTTACCTTTTCAATCATCTCTTGGACCTTTTCTTCGTGACTTTCCATCTCTGAAATGCTGATGACCTGAGCAAGGTTGACATTTTCTCTATAACCGAGTGAGACGATCTCATCAAACGAGCCTAACAATTCAAATGCGTTTCTATCAATCTCATGCGCGTCCGTTGGTCTGCAAGTGGCCGAGACAACACGAGAGACCAATTGAAGTGTGTCAATATCTAAAATATTAAGGAGAAAAAAAACCGCTATATCAGTATATGAATAGCATATTTGTGGATGTTGATATATATAGAATCGATTTCCTTTTCACCTTGCAGGATATTGGATTGTTTGTTGGTGATGAGGATAATAAAGAGTTCCTCTAGAGGCTGGTAAACATATCGAACATGTTCAGTTTCGATTGTTGTATGTTGTTGGTCTGAGCCTGTCAGCTTTGGGAATGAAGCGATAAGACCCTCGATTCTCGCACGCGTCATTTCCCTGAACTGACGTGAAATAAGAGCTTAAAAGATAAGCAAAAGAAGCATGTTTTTTTTTTTTTTTTTTTTTTTTTTTTTTTAATACATGCGAAAGGAACAAACAAATAAATAAAAAATAAAAATAAAAATAAAAATAAAAATAAAAAGCTTTCAAATCCTTAGAAAATACCTTTCCCACTCTTTGTGCAAACAGAGATAGCAAGCACGACCTAGAACCATAGTGAGCATGAAAGAGTAGTATAGATCAGCTTGTTTTGTTTAGTCATTATGGATGCATAAAGGGTAGTTCCTGAGAAGACATTTTTGACGCGTTGTATACCATTGTTAAAAAAATAGAATTGGTAGGAGCTTAATGCACAGATGGGATTTAAATAAATGAGCAAGTGAGTAAAGGGATGGAGGAATGAATAACCAAGAGATGGTATATTTTTTTTATAAAAAAAAAAAAAAAAAAAAAAGAAAGTGTCAAGCTGGACAAGGATGAAATAAAATAAAAGAGATTTTTAATGAGGAACATGAGGGACAGGCATTGTCTCTTCGTGATCCGATGTCCATTCAGCCTGGTCTGTGGCCCATGCGAAAGTTCCACCAATTCAGCGTGATTGTTTGGATTGTTTGCTAAAATGTTACGTACATGTACAATTATAACTCCTCTCTCTTATCTCAACCACATAGAAACATGCTACCAATGCTTCCATTACTCTTTAGCAGACCGGTCAATGGTCAGAGCCTTGGAAGGTGACTTCTAGACTAAAATAAAAGACACTATTCTTGCCAATCCTCTCCATTAGTCCCCACTCAGACCCTGTTTTTTTTTTTTTTTTTTTTTTTTTTAATTCTAACAAACACCATATGTCATGTTTAGAAAAATAGTCATGTCTATCTACAACTTGGCGCCATACATCATTGATGCAACCTATTAAAAAAAAAAAAAGAAAAGAAGCATATGGCAATTAGAATCATACTTTAAATTGTAGACGATGAACAAACAAAGTTTGCCTCTTTTGCTTACCTTCATACTCTGACGCATGCCAAGATCCAACATAATTTCTTCCGATCCTCCAGGGATAGCATAGGCACGGACTTCACGATAGATACGCTCCACCTTCTCTCCCTGTCCACCACGTGTGTAGGCCAGACCTCCAAAGATCTGAGATGCCTCACGAGCGCAATACTCCAATGTTTGTGTCGACTGAGCCTTGAGCAGCGCAATGGGACCACCCAACTTGATCATCTGGAGATCTTCGGGCATGGTCATCGTTTGGTAAATTACATTCTCCATCCATGCGTGTGTTGCTTCAATCTGACGCGCCATATGCGCCAACTTGTTACGCAATACAGGGTGGTTGACTAGCTTGACACCGAAGGTCTTACGCTTACTACCATACTTGATAGCTTCTTCCAAGCAGACACGAGCCAGACGTGTCGCCTGTGTGACAATACCCATGCGCTCATGGTTGAAGTTGTCGACAATGTACTTGAATCCACGGTTCTCTTTGCCAACGAGATTACCCTTGGGGACCAATACATCCTCAAAGTTGATATAGGCCGTACCTGAAGACCAGACTCCAGAGCACTTCATGTGACGGGTGCTGACACCAGGCATGGTACGTTCGATCACCATGAGGGAGACACCGCCCATACCCTCACCACCTGTGCGTACAGCAACTGTAAAGTAGTCCGCAAAGGTACCGTTGGTGATCCATTTCTTTTCACCGTTGACAATGTATCCGTCATTGGCCTCATTTGCCACTGTAGTCAAGTTGGCAACGTCAGAACCAGCAGCAGGTTCAGTAATAGCCAAGCAGATGGTCTTGCGACCAGCCAGGCATTCTGGAACAATACGACGCCTCAACTCTTCAGAGCCATATTTAATGACTGGCGGGAGACCAATTCCGAGTCCACCACAGAGACCCCAGAGGACTCCACCAGATCCACAACGTGCGAGCTCATCGCTGACAATAAAGGAATGGAAAGCATCCCATACTGCTGGGTCAACAACAGCATCTTTACCGCCCTTGAAGAGCGTAGTCTCTTCAGGATCAAAGTATTCAAGAGGCAAGTGTCCTGTTCCAGCAATGACAGCGAGGATGCCCATGGCGGCACACTTCTTGAACAGCGAGTTGGGAACTTGCTTGGCCTCGTCCCATTCATGGACGAAAGGCATGATTTCCGCTTCGACAAATGCACGCATCACACGGCGGAGTCTACGATGGGTGGCATTGTAGTAAGGGCTGCCCCACTGTTGGTACCAGGATGGATCACCGAACGGGACCATATCGCCAAATTGCATCTCATCATCTTCATCGTTTGCTGTGGAAGCAGGTGCAGCCTCGACATTTTCTTTAGGAGGCTCGCCAATGACACCAATGCAAAGAGCGCCGTAATTCTTGAGGACATCTAGTAAAGAGAACCATAATTAATTAATCGACTGAAAGAAAAAAAAAAAAAAAAAAAAAAAACTTGTCAAAATCCAAACACGTTCTTCTTACTTGGATTATGAAATGCGTCGAATTGCTTAGTGGCATCTGTGCCAGCGTTTTTAAGAATAATTTTCTAGAGGTGTTGAAAAGAAAAAGGGACAGCAGAGTGTCAATAAGTGATGAATGACAATTTAATGGCCATTCTTTATTCATCTCAACTGCCATCTCATTCCATTGAAGCCAAGCCCATTCCTAAGGTTCATTCTCCACATGCACACATAAACGCTCCAAAGTTTTCAAGTCCGACAAACGTTTTCTCGAGTAAACTTTAGACGTTACGTCCAAGTTTTTTTTTTTTTTTTTTCTTTTTTCTTTTTTTTGTTTTCTTTAATAGAATTGCATACCTTTCCTCCAGGATGTTCGTTCAAAAAAGCGGTTACATCGTATACTTTATCGTGAATAATCACCCAGCAATCATTCTATAAGATCCGATGTAGGTTTATAAAAAAATGATGTTTCTCTAGTCAGTCAATCTTTTTTTTTTTTTTTTTTTTTTTAAAAAAAAAAAAAAAAAAAAAAAAGACGCGTCCTGAAAACAAGTCAATCAAGTACCTCAGAATTGTGGGCCGCAACCTGGCTGACAGAGAAGTATCCTGTGGTCATGATAGGAAGAGAGTGGTCTTGTCTATGTTCAAAAAAGGATTCAAGACGAGACTTGAATTGATAACGAAGAGGGAAATTGAAGTCTGAGATGGTGGAAAATGTCTAAGATAAAACACTATTCACTCAAAACTAGAAAAGAAAAGAAAAGAAAAAAAAAGTGAACAACACAGAAGAGAATAGGGGCTCTGTTGGTTGAAGAAGAATCACAGGAACGGAATAAACAAATGTGAAGGAAGAGATAAAAAAAAAAAAATAAAAAAAAAAAAAAAGCAGAAAAGGAACGTTAAAGGCGCAGGTTTTGTGGAGGAAAAAAAAAACTCGGTGCTCTCGTTCTCGGTATTTTAGACCGAGGAGAAACAACATTGTCTTGAGTGCTTATGGTGCTTGTACCACCATCTTCCTTATGCAAATGACCAACATTTCATGTGAATAACAGGATCAGTGTCGCACCATCTCCATATACCTCTCAAAGTGTCATCTGTTGACGAGGGAGGACTTCCTTGCATTGATATTGTATTAGAAGCGCCAACTGACCTTACCTGTATACAATAAAAAAACAAGAAAAAAAAAAAAGAAAGCATTTTGCAAGGGATACAGTATCAAATATGCGCTCGGAGTAATGTGGTGGTCCTAGAGTCTTAGAAGAGAAAAGAAAAGAAAAAAAAGATACATTTATTGAGTTTTGAGAAGCTTCTTCGGCTGGGAGAGCACAGTGAAATCCGTTTTACTGGCACTTCCTGTCGGGTGTAACCATCTCCTATTCATGTGTATCCATGTCAATTTTATTTCATGCAAAAAAAATAGGCCATGCACCTTGAATTGTTGATTGATAATAACGTTCGAAAATGGGTCCTTGTTATGGTTTCAGTTGGACTGGACCTACATTTCATCAATCTACATGTTTCATGTCAATATGCCACCAAACTTGGCGGTGCAGATAACACAATGAGTACAGGAAGTAAAGAAACGTGAGGAGCAAGAGTTGTACTGCTTCCTCTTCAACTCCATGTCCTTGTCCTATTTCTTCTTGAGGCATATACCCTGAAAGGAAACTTTGTGCTTTGTAAGTATGTCTTTAGCACATGTATTTGTTTCAAAGGTAGGGCTAATGAAAAGACTTAATCTGATACTAGACAAGTGCCGTATATTACTCACATATAAAGAACTACTTCCATGCAACCTTAATTGTTATTAAGCTCGTAAAAGAACCCTGAATCCCTAAAATAAACGCTCTCCAACTTGGCCCATCCTTTGTTATACTTTGCCATCAAAGCTCGAGAAAATAGCGATAATTTATAAAATAGCGGATCGAAGAGATCGGCATTTTAGGAAAGTATAAAATAAAGGCACAATGAAGGCGAACTGGTGAGTTTTTAAACAAATGAATAAAAAAAGATTGTTCGTAGTGCATGCAGGATGACAGCAAAGTACATGTATAGATCTTTATTTCATTTTAGCTGTCAGTTTCTATGCTCATCAACTTGTCCCAGTTTGTATATAAAATTAGAGTCAATTGTTTTCCAAATGGGGAAACTCTGCCGTGGCTGCCGATTTCCTTTTTTTAAACTCCACTTTCTCTTCGGAAAAATTTATCCCACACCATAAAAAAAAAAAAAAAAAAGTCCCACCCTGACAAATCAAGTTTTTTTTTTTTTTTTTTACTCTCTCATTGAGTTTGAGACTAACAATGATCCGTCTCATTATGGAGTAGAGAAAAGAAAACAAGAGAAAAAGGAAAGGTATACAGGAATGAAACCGGCCTAAATAAATTATTCGTAATCAGAGACCAGTTCACTGATGTAGCAGATCCTTTTCAACATTACAAATCGAGGCAAGCAAGCGATAAGAAAAGCAAAAAAAAAAAAAAAAAAATGAATCAGGAAGAGCAGGATGCAGGAGTCGATTGTTAAAAGTTCAAGTCCGTGGTAAAGAAAACATAACGGGGACGGGGGAATGGGGAATGGGAAATGGGGGGAATGAAAGATAAAAGGTAAATGCAACGTGGTACATTCGATGCAGCTCTACTTGTTTTATGATCTCCGAACGGCCTTTTAGAAAACCCTTTCACCCTATCTTTTCCTCGTAATGGCACAGTCTATCCATATTAAAAAGTATAAAAAATATATATATATAACAATGGTATATATATATATATATATATATATAAATATACATATATTAATATATATATACCTTGTTCTACTCCCGTGCATGTATGCCATGCAGGTTGCTATTGATAGAATAGAGAAACAGTCGTCTATGAAAGAAATAAAAAGCCCGACTGAAGTTGTGGCTTTTGCAGTCGATTAAAAAAAATGCCGTATATGAAAAAGAAAATCAGCCTGAGGGCTGATCAGGAAAGAGCATAGAAAATAAGAAAAAAAAAAAAAAAAAAAAAAATACTGGCAAGGAAATATTCTGGTGAGATGCTGAGGGAGGAGACTGGATGAAGGTAGAGGACACTCCTTATTATCAAGTTCACTTTTAACCGGGACTGAATTATAAAAAAAAAAAGAAAAAGAAAAAAGAAAAAAAATATCTTAAAGCTATTTTTGCCTCCTTCCTTGCCTGCCCTTCGTTCCCTTTCTTGATGCAGGTGGAGAAAACTTTTTTTTTTTTTCTTCGCCCTATAATGAGTTGACACACACATATATATATATATGTAGCCTATATAGGACTTATAAGATGAATGATACAAAGAGAATGGAATCCAACAAATTACGGGTGATAGAAAATGCGTCTCAGCACTATATTATTATATATAACATGTACATTTTTCAAAAAATAAATAAAATAAGTGTGAGCGTGTGGAGCTGAACAATGGTGGAGAAAGAGTTTGATATGTTGTGAACATATTGCATGTTGCGCCCAATTGGATGTGTGAGAAGGATGAAAGGGAAAGAAGATGATCAGTTTAATGGGGAAAATTAAACCCGGTTGCCATTGAGCAAACGTGGGACACGGTGGCAAGGATGATCAACTTTTTTATACTTTCAGTCGATGCTCAATTGGTTCCTATAATATATTACGAATGACTAGGCTTTATCTGCCGTGAATGATCCCCCTGAGATACTTAGGATGAACAGGCTAATTGACTTTTGAATACAATATTGTTTGACTTTAATCTGCTATTACCCCTCCTGTCTCTCTGTTTCTACTCCTTGTCAAAGAGAGGTGTCTATCTACTTTCTCTCTACCCCCGGGAGGAGTTTAGCCTTTGGTCCCTTATTAATCAGGCATTAGGTTCTTACAAGTATGGCTCTAAATATATATGACTATGATATTATCAATTTCTTCTTCGGGAATAAGAGGTGCCGGCCATATATTTGATTGAATACCAAACCAATTCAATCCAAGTATACAGAAGTATCAAAAGTTAAAAATTTATTTCCACTAAATCGAATGTCCGACTTCTTTTTTAAAATTAAAACCGCTGGTTCTATCGTATTCGAGCATTGACAGAGGAGGGAGAAAAACTCGCCTTATCAACAGTTACGGCATCGGGTAAATGGATAAACAACAGCAATGGACAAAAAAAAAAATATAAAAAGCTGGTTGTTTTCTCTAGTATTTTTTTTTTTCTTCTTTTTCTTCATCATTTCTTCATCATTTCTTCATCATCATCTCCCTTATTACCATTATTTTTTTTTTTTTTTTTCTTCATTCTTTGTATTTTACTTAATACCAACGCATAGACAACAAAAAAGCATCATTTTCACTTGCATTTTGTAACACTCATTCACGCTCTCCACTCCTTTACCCTTGTTTATTCTGCACTCCACTTTATTTAAGCAGCACAGCAATCCCCCCAAACGTGTGTAACGCATTATTGAACACCGGTTTATTTTATTCCCTATTTTCATTTCTCCACTCCCTACTCATTTTAAACAAACATAATGACGAACCCAAGTGAAAAGGACTTGGGACAGCCCCATGGTATCTTACGCAACGCTTCCCCTTATGCACAACAACAACGAGAAACCATCATCTCGCTCAATGACAGTGAAAAGACTGTTGAAAATGAGGAGGATGAAGATGAAGACAACGAGCACTCTGAAGGCGGCACTTATGAAGATGCCATCAGTGGTCGCTGGGGTGAAGGCCCTTCTCGTGTCAATGTCGTTAACGCAGAGAAGGACTTTAAGAACTTGGAACGTCAGCTTACCCGTCGATCTTCCATCTATCGCACTCAAACCGGTGAAAAAGTTCTTGGTGATAATGGTGATTTCGATCTGACCAATTATCTTCAGGACATCATCCCCCGTGCTGACGATGCTGGAATCAAGCGTCGTAACCTTGGTGTTGTCTGGGAAAACTTGGAAGTCTTGGGCGAGGGAGTAGGTGCTCAATACATCAAGACCTTTGCTGATCCTTTCATCGGTCTTTCCAATCTCATCAACCCTTACTTTTGGGCCAAGAAGGCCTTCTCCAAACAATCCTCCCAACCAAAGTCTATCACCAAGACCATTCTCCACCCTATGAATGGATACTGCAAGGATGGAGAGATGATCCTAGTCCTCGGTCGTCCTGGTGCTGGATGCTCAACCCTCTTGCGTGTCCTTGCTAATGACCGCAAGAACTATAAGGAGGTCAGCGGTGAAGTCACCTACGGACCCTTCACCGCCCATGAAATCGCTCTTCATCATCGTGGTGAAGTCTTGTATAACCAAGAAGGTAACCCTTTATACTTAATTCGCCTTTATCTTTTAGAGAGAGAGTTGAAGAGATATAAAACAATTTTTGCTAATGTAATACTTTTTGTTCTTTATTTTATCAGATGATTTCCATTACCCAACATTGACCGTCCGTCAGACCTTGACTACAGCCTTGAAGACCAAGACCCCTGGCAAGCGTCTTCCTGAGCAGTCTCACAAGAAGCAATTCGTTGACGAATTCTTGGACGTCCTCACCAAAATGTACGGTTTGACCAAACAGATTGAGACTGTCGTCGGTAATGCCTTCATCCGTGGTGTTTCTGGAGGAGAGCGCAAGCGTTTGTCCATTGCAGAGCAGATGGCGACCCGCTCATCCGTCAACATGTGGGATGGCTCCACTCGTGGTCTCGATGCCTCCTCTGCTCTCGACTACGTCAAGTCTCTCCGTGTCATGACCAACTTGATGAAGAAGGCTACCATGGTTTCTATCTATCAAGCTGTAAGTGTTTGCATATATATCTATTTTGTTATATCCTTGCAAAAAAAAAAAAAAAAAAAAAAAAGCGTATTGACTAATTGATAAACATGTCTCACATTGGTACGATTCTAGTCCGAAAACATCTATGATCTCTTCGACAAGGTCATTCTCCTCTATGAAGGTCGCTGCATCTACTTTGGTCCTGCCAACGAGGCACGCCAATACTTCATCAACCTTGGCTTTGAATGCCCTAGCCGTCAGACAACTGCTGACTTCTTGACTGCTGTGACTGATCCCCATGAGCGTAAGCCTCGTCCAGGTTTTGAGGGCAGGGTCCCCAATACTCCCAAGCAGTTTGAGGATGCATTCAGGGCCTCATCCTTTTACACCACAGTCGAGAAAAACCGTATCGAATACCAGACCTCTGTTAGTGAACACATTCCTGCAGCCCACTTCAAGGAGGCCACCAAACAGGTTAAGCAGAAACATGTCTCAGTCAAGAATCCTTATACCATCTCTTTTGCAGGCCAGGTCAAGGTTTTGACTGTGCGCCAGATTCAGCTCACCCGTGGAGACATGACCTCGGTCGTTTCTCGTTATGCCTCTAATGTAAGATATATATATATATATATATATATACATGCTTAAACATGGAGCTACAAAAATGATCAAGAGCTAACAGCTTTCTTTATTTTTTTTTTTTTTTATGAATTGTTAACAACAGGTTATCAAAGCTATTATTGTCGGATCTGTCTTCTTCAAACTTCATACCGATGGCAACGGTGCCTTCACTCGTGGAGGTGTCCTGTTCTTTGCTCTTTTGTTCAATGCCCTGATTTCTCAAGCCGAACTTCCCTCAGCTCTGCAAGGTCGCCCCATCTTGTATAAGCACAAGGGCTTTGCCATGTACCGTCCCTCTGCCTTTGCCATTGCCCAGATTGTTGTTGATATCCCCTTGATTATTGCCCAGGTTGTTCTCTTCTCCGTTGTCTTGTACTTCATGTCCGGCTTGCAACTCGAAGCAGGCAAATTCTTCTTCTTCTGTCTGGTCCTGTTCTTAGCCGCGTTCTGTATGACTGCCTTCTTCCGTATGTGGGCTGCAGTCTCCTCCACCTTCGATGCTGCCTCTCGTAACTCGGGTCTGCTTCTCTTGGCTTTGATCTTGTATTCTGGATATATGATTCCCTATCAATCCATGCATCCTTGGTTCGTCTGGATCTTCTGGATCAATCCCCTGGCCTATGCTTTCAAAGCTTTGATCTCCAATGAAATGCGTGGTCTTCAGTTTGATTGCTCTGGTTACACCATGATCCCCTCTGGTCCTTCCTACAATGATGTCCAGTACCAGGTCTGCTCTCTTGCTGGTTCCAAGCCCGGAATGACTTATGTCGATGGCTCTGATTATCTGTATGCTGCCTACCGCTACAAGACTGCTGATATGTGGTGGGATGTCCTTGCTGTCTTCTTGTTCTGGTTGCTCTTTGTTGCCATCACCTGCTTGGCTCTTGAAAAGATTGAGTTTGGCAAAGGTGGTTTCTCAACCAACGTTTTCAAGAAGGGCTCTGTCACTATCAACAACAAGCCTCAGGACGAAGAGTCTGGTCTTGCTTCTGCCGGTCCTCTCTCTGCTTCTGCCTCGACTATCGAAGCCTCGAACCCTGCTACATCTGGCGGCCGTGCCAAAAACTCTGGTATTGAACTTGAAATGGCCAAGGGAGCTGTCTTCGCCTGGGAGAACCTCGACTATGTTGTCCCTTACAAGTCAGATCCTTCCGGCAAGAAGCAACTCTTAACCAATATTGCAGGTCTTGTCAAGCCCGGTACCATGACAGCCTTGATGGGCTCCTCTGGTGCAGGAAAAACCACTCTCTTGGATGTCCTTGCTCAGCGCAAGAACATTGGTACTGTCACTGGTCAGATCGAAGTCGATGGCGAGCCCCTTCGTCGCGACTTCCAGCGCACAACCGGATACTGCGAGCAGCTCGATGTCCATGTTCCTGAATGCACTGTCCGTGAAGCCCTTCGTTTCTCCGCTTACTTGCGTCAACCTGCTGATGTCCCTGAGGAAGAGAAGAACGCCTATGTTGAGGAAATTATCCATATTCTCGAGATGGAGAACATTGCTGACGCATTGATCGGTACAACTGAATCCGGACTTGGTATCTCGGTCGAGGAGCGCAAGCGCCTCACTATCGGTGTCGAACTGGTGGCCAAGCCTAAGCTCCTGTTCTTGGACGAGCCAACATCTGGCTTGGATGCCCAGGCCTCCTATAACATCATGCGTTTCATGCGCAAGTTGACTGATCAGGGCCAGGCTATTTTGTGTACCATCCATCAGCCATCGTCTCAGCTCTTTGCTTTCTTTGATGATCTCTTGCTCTTGGCCAAGGGCGGTAAGACCGTATTCTTTGGTGAGCTTGGTCATGACTCTTCTGAATTGATCCATTACTTTGAAAAGAACGGTGCTCCCAAGTGCGCCCCAGATGCCAATCCTGCTGAATATATTTTGGACGTTGTCAATGCGCGCCATTCTGGTCTTGACTGGCCCCAGATCTGGGCCTCCTCCCCTGAGAAAACCAAGCTGTTGGAGGATATTAAGGCTACTCGCAAGACCCCTGCTCATACCAACAATGGTACCGGGCAGGCCGTTGCCTCTTCGGACGAAGGACTTGAGTTCGCAACCGACTTCCGCACACAATTCAAATATGTCTTCCGTCGCATGTCCAGGACCTACTGGCGTCTTCCTCAGTACAACTTTGGTCGTATCTTCATGATGATCGTCTTTGCTCTTCTTAACGGTTTCTCTTTTTACAAACTCGGTGCTACCAAGGTCGATCTCCAATCCCGTGTCTTTGTGATCTTCCAGATCATGGTTATGGCTGCTCTGCTCGTTAACATGGTTGAACCTCGTTTCCATACTGAGCGTCAATGGTTCTACCGCGAGTTCGCTGGCAAATACTATGGTTGGAAGCCCTTTGCATTGTCCATCATCTTGATTGAGATCCCCTACATCGTCTTGTCGGCAACTGTCTTCTTCTTGGTCTTCTACTGGACTGTTGGTTTCGTCTCAGATTCGGTCTTGACGTTCTACACTTGGTTGATGATCACAGTCTTTTCCCTGTTTGCGATCACCCTCGGCCAATTGATTGCCGCTTTGACTCCCTCGACTACAGTGGCTGCATTGCTGAACCCCTTCATTTTCAGTTCTTTGAATTTGTTCTGTGGTGTCATGATCCCCTTCGCAGCCATGCCCAAGTTCTGGTCTTCCTGGATTTACTGGTTGGATCCTTACCATTACATCATCGAGGGTTTGGTCGCAAGTCAGTTGCATAACGTACCTGTCCGCTGCGCTAACGATGAATATTCGATCTTCAATGTACCTGCTGGTCAAACTTGTGGATCCTATGCGGCTACATTCTTGGAGAAGGCTATGGGATACCTCAACAATCCCAATGATACCTCGAATTGCCAATACTGTCAATACGAATACGGTCAAGACTTCTATAGGAACTTGAATATGGACTTTGATAATCGCTGGAGGAACTTGGGTATCTTGTTCATTTACATTGCCTTCAACGTCATCATGCTCATGGTTGCGATCCGCTATGTTCGCTGGGATCGTCGCTAAAATAGAAGCAACTTTTTAGAATAAGGAAAAAAAAAAACTAATAACCAAAACATACAAATAATATTCATCTTGTATATAATAATAAATATCAAACTTTAAAAAAAAAAAAAAAAAATTCTTTCTCGTTTATTGTTCAAAATAGTCGGCCCTTGCCGCATTTCCAGGGCCTATTAATGATGACACCTGAAGGTTTGGGTGGAGTGATTTTAGAACGTACAACATTGATCGTAGGCCGATACTTCTTGATAGCGTCCATCAACTTGTTGAGAGAATTTGAACAGTCGGATACGCCATCATCCGAACCAATGTCAATATGTTCCATCCGGGGCCAACAGCACCAATCATTGTTCATTCGATCCTGCAGTAAACTCACAATGTCTTGCCAACACCCTATATTCCGTGTATCGACTCCATCGATTATGTAGTCTGGGTGAGAAAGGGAAGAAGAGGAAGAAGCCAAAACATCGTTGGATAATATAGTTTGTTCCTGTCCGTCGTGGGATTTTAGAGAATCTCGATTATCTGTAGCAATGTTCGGTTCAAAAGCGTCTTTGGAATGGCTGTTTGAAGCGAAGTCTTGCTTGAAAGAAGCCTGCGTGAGTCGTAACCGCAATTTCAATTTTTGTGCAGTTGAGAGACGTTTCTGAATCCAATCGACATTCCATGGGATTGGTGATCTGATTTCCTCTATTGACTTGATCTCCAGCCGTTCAAGCTTGTGCATCCTTGTCAACAGACAGAGTCCTGTGCCCAAATCCAAAGTAGGTATCTTGGGCAATCTTAGAGATAACTCCTCTAGGTTAGGTACCATTTTACTCAAGTACCCAAACATGATTCGACAGTCTCTAGCAGCAAGGTCACGCCGGCTCCTATCCCAGCTACGGCCAGCGCAGGCGATTTGAAGAGTGGATAGATTGCGACAGGCCCAGATCTTTTTGCAATGACGAGAAGGAGGAGAAGGAGGAGAAGAAGATGATGAAGAAGAATTGATTGTGTCCATGTCTGAGTTCGTGTCCGTATGCGAATTCATATGCAGAGCCCCACTCATATCCATCATGATAGTATCGCCATGATATTCTGGCGTTTCTTCCGGATCATCCAAGATCTCTTCAATGTCAAACCAAGCAATTGAAAACTGGACATGAGGGGCCTTGAGGTGTCGTAGCTGCCTCGCCTCACACAGAAAAGAATGAAGCAAATTTCCACACCAATCCCCGACAGAGTTAGTATCTATGATTTCCAGGGTTGTCAGAGTGTGATCCATTAGTTGAGATTGTTGTCTCTTAAGGAAAGCAAGATAAGTTGCTCGAGTAAAATCCATCGACCAAAAACTCCAATGTTTCACACAAGCGAGTTCCTCAAATATACCATCCACTTGAGAGGGTGTCCGTTGCGCCCAACCGTCATGTAGACCCCCTGAGAAATGGGCCTTGACTAGTTTAGGACAGGAGGCTGTGAGGTCAGAAAGGAACATGCCTTCGAATAATGAGGAGGCATATTGAGTGCTGAGATAAGGAAATCCATCCAAGAGATGAATCCTGCCTCGTTGAAGTCGTTTTAAACAAAGTTCTTCTAAATCTGGACAGGCTTGTAATAATCTTTTCAATGCTGTTCTTTCCACAAACATGAATCCTAGAGTGAGCGACCGTAATCGAAGGCGAGCCGGTAGTTCTATTGCTTCTATTGCTGTTGTCATTGATTTTGCCTCTTTATCCTCATTTCTTTCTTCTTCTTCTTCTTCTTCTTCATTTTCTTTTTCGTCTTCGTTTTCGTTTTTTTCGCCTTGATCTTGTTCTTCCTGTAATATAGCTGCTCCATAGTATGCAGCCATGCCTCTGCTGTTGATCCAACGAAAAGTGAGTAGCTGTGGACAGAGACATAAAATCTTGTTGATAGGGATCTGATTTGTTCGGACATGATCAACTTCAATACACGTCAGTTGATAACCAATAATAGTTAACAATGGGAATAGATGTGCTTCCGCTTCCAGAATCCCCTCGAGTTTAAGATCTTTAATCTGGAGATATCGTCGGTATTGTTGTTGTTGCTGCTGTTGGTCATTCACAGGTGTAGACAAGAGTTGGAGATGCTCTAAAAGCCCAGTCCAGCTCTCTGGATGAGTTTTATAATAGGTACTTAAACCCAATGTCTTCATGACCAAGTGTTGAGCACCGTTATCAATTTGTTGAAGAACTTGTTCCTGAAGTGTTTCACCCTCTTGCCAGATCTCCGTCCAGGTCACAACCGAGTTAGCTAGTTGCCATGCCTTTGAGATGTCGTACCATTGACGGCAGACAGGTCCTACTGAGAACCGGAGGCAGTGAGGACTGAGAAAAGAAAAAATGATTCGTAGCAACTCTGGTACTTGTAAAGGCGTTCTTTTGGAAGGGATGTAACTATTGCAATTGCTGAAGCTATGGTTACTATGTTGGTCACTAAGATGACGGTGAAAGGTGTTGGATAAAGACATCTTTGCTGAAGCCTTGGTCTGGCCCCCAAAAAAAAAGGAGTAAGGAAAAATGGGCAAAGGAAAGAAAGAAGGAAAGAAAGAAAGGAAAATGAAAAGGAGACTACACGTTTTTTGAAACATGCGGTTGATATCATTTCAATTCATTTGGCTAGTGCCTGCAGGTGGCTGTGTTCAGAGGCCAAATGATCCTGATCGTTGTAGCAAAGATGGTGATGGAGGAGGCGATGTTAATGTAGCATTGAAATGAGAGATTCTCTTTTCTTGTTTCACATCATTTAATGTTCAAAGACAGTGTCTTCAATTGAATGTATCTTATTGGATTAAATTCAACAGAGCTTCTTTACTGCAGGGACTAACTAGATCTTCATTTCAGGCACCTAAAGACCCTTGTTTTGTAATTGTCTTGAGTACGTCATGAGTTCATAATTGTTATCTGACCTCCTTGGGTTGCTGAAAATGATCCAGTCCAATCTTGGTAGTCGATCCCTGCACTCTTCTGCTCAAATCACCTATTCTCAATGGCAAAAGTCTGCTGGACTGTTGATCTTGGACTATTCTTTCGCCTGCTGATGGCATGTGGATTTTAGGTCGCTAAGAGGACATTATAGACCTACTGCAGGATCGCTGATTGAACAATTGGCGCTGTTGGCTACAGGTTGGGGGGCTCAGATTAGTGCAATTGTCATTAAATTCAATCAATATTGAAAAGATGGTGGAAGTGAAAAATATTCGTCCTGAAATCGATTTTATTGATTATTAGAAAACATATAAACTTTCAACAATGCCATGGTAGATCAGAGATAGAATAAGAAGAGAGGACCCAACAATCAAATAATGCTGTAATACAGTATCTATAATCGTGTTTACATTATAACTGTCTACGGAGAGGCAGTCCTGACATTGAGGATGACTCCAGGCTGGTATTGGATTCTTAGAGGGATGAGCCTTTTTTGAAAGGAGGAAAAATAAAAAAAAAATAAAAAATAAAAAGTTAAAAGGAATGGACATGTCCTCTGCCTCTTGATTATAATAGCGTTAAACCTTACTTACTCTTCAAGTCCATCATCTACCATGAAATTTACTATGGCTCCGTCCTTTTCTACGTATTGAACGTCAGCAAAACTCGTTTGGACATCGTCCCAGAGGATGACATGTTCGCCAGTTCTGCTATCTACTCGTGTGTTAACATAGGTGAGTTTGCCAGATGATTCGTGTCGAAAGCCTTGTTGTTCCGTCATGTTGTGTATATATAGATTTACTGAGAATATAAAATACGACAGTAGAGGAGCCACAGCTAATTATTAATATTAATATTATTATAGATTATTGTACAGAAAGAGAGGAGGCGACGTGAGAAGAAAGAGAAAAAGAAAGAAAGGATTTTTGCGCAGCGAAAAAGACATGCATGTGTCTACATATACTAATGAAGTTCGAAAAGACGAAGCATACTCGTAAATGTAAATGTTGGGCAAACTGTCTTCGTTACGGCGCCCTTCAATGACCCCATCCACACAAACACAAACTGAGCACGTCAGTATATAAAATGTATTAAAAAAAGATGTCTAATTCGCATGATGCAATCCTGTTCCTGAAGTTCATTTGGACCAACCACCAGCCAGCAACCAAAAAAAGAACAACTGGTTTACTCGGCGATTTTTCATGTCTGTGCCAACGTGTGATTGTGAATGTGTGTGTTTGTGCATGAATGGCATCTGTTTACACAGTTCATAATGTAAATTTACATGAACATGCGTGCTGTGTCTGTGTGAAGCAGGTCTCGGATCAAAAAGGGTTCTTTTGAACGTTTCAAAATGTTTAGATTAAATAAAATTACAGCAATATTTTTATTTTGGGGTTTGTGTTTTTGTACAAGGGCGATTAAAATGTAAAATGTGTCTATGCTCTTTTTTTTGGAATTATAGATTGTCATGAAAGGAAGTAAAGCCGGGGGAGTTTTTTTTTTAGGCATATAATGATACTAATACACTTGAGATCAAAAGAAGGACTTTTAGTGATGTTGGATCAAATCGTGAGCTGGCTCCGATTCGAAGACCACCCTTGTTCCTGCTGACATTGTCACTGCTGTCATTGTTGCCACTGCCATTGCCGCCACTGCTGTTATCGCCTCCTTTACCGCTACCAACTTTATCATCCTCCTCATCAGGTGGTGGCGTCTTTCCCTTGATAGTATTCTAAATACAAAAGAAAAAGAAAAAGAAAAAGAAAAAGAAACAGAAATTATTAGTTTCATTTTTTAGTCTTATTAGTAAAGCCAAGAGACAATGGAGCTACTCCTGTTTATTTCTGTTCGACTTACCAATCCAAGGTCGATGCCTTGAGTTCCAGCAGCTCCTCCTGCAGCATAGAATCCATTAGTGTTTGTGGTGGTTTGATTCTTATTAGGGCCGGTAGACTTTGTCTTGATTTTGTCACCTTCCGCATTTGTATCTGCTTTTTGGCCGATCTGCTCTACATTAGTAACAGTCATCTCGAGTGGTGGAAGCGATCCATTCGGGTCTGCACTGTTGATGACAACGTTGGCACAATGATGGTAAAACTAAGTAGGTAGAAAACGAGAAATAAAGGTTAGGAATTGATCCTCTATTGTGTTCAGAAAAGGAAAAAAAAGTTTTTTTTTCTTTACCTGGTTCGTAGCATAGGCTGTCCATGACCATGCAAATAGACAACGATCCGAGTCAGTACAGCTGGGTACATTGGCAGGAATTTGAACAGGCCATTCATAATAAATATCAGGACATGTCTTGGTGTATTGTCCAATGACGTTCCAAGTTTTACCGCCATCATACGACAAAGAAAACTCACAAGCTCCACCACCATGGCGTGCTTGAGGAATATTATCCGGTGGAGGGAATGATTGATAGTCTTTCACTTGATGGTTCCAGAACCGTACTTGAATAATGTCTCCAGCTCTGTATGTAGTTACAGGACCCTTGGGATATCCTCCTGTGTTGACAAACCAAAAATGTCAGTTTTGATTATGGAAGACAAAGGACGATTCGTTTAAAATAAAGTACAAAAAGAGCCAGAAGAGCCCAAATATGGCACAACCAACAGTGTCTCCACATTAGGGCATAGAAGAAGAGGAAAAAAAGGAAAAAGAATCAAGAGGACGTACCACATGGGAACGTCTTCCCTTTGAAGCCGATCCATGCATGAACTTCGTAACTGGGATTATCTGACCATGGACCAGCCTGGCCAGGTGGATTTGACATGGCCATGTGCGCAGATGTTGTAGGAAGGAGAGAAAAGAGGCTGGCAGTGGCAATAAGCACACTGTTTATGAAATATGTTGTCCTCATTATTGTTTTGATGTAATGTTAGTTTGTATGATGTGAATGTGAGTTTGTATGATGTGAATGTGAGTTTGTGTGATGTGTAAGGTATGAATGTATATGGTGAAGTGAGATCCAGTTGCTGTTGCTGCTGCCGTTGTTGGCTATTGACGTTGCTAGCTATTGCTGTTGTTATTTTTATAGCAGGACAAAATGTGAGTAATGGTGCTGAGATTAATCGTTAATAAAGAGTATTAGGGAAAGTGGTGAAGGAAAGTATGGGATGGATAAAGAAAAGCGAGGTTGAAGATAATGAACAACAATAATAAAAAGAAAAAGACTTCTTTTTCCCTCAGTGATGGGGCAACAAGCATGTCTTTTATATAAAATCCTTGGACAAGGTGGCTAATTCTAAGACAAGGCTTATTGACCCTGGAACCTTAAATATTCACTTGTGTCACAGACTAGCAGGTTTTGCAGATGTAACAGGGACATGGTCTGGTCTGCAGCAGTGGTTCTACTGAGGAAGAGGACTAAAAAGAGGAACGAGTAATGGTCCGCTGAGTCCAAACCGAGCTCTATGCTAGCATACCAGTGGTTGAATAGCCAAGGCGATTTCCCTATCTGTTAAAATGTAGACCATCGCAATGCACAATACTCTCGGGGATATTTTTCGCTCTTTCTCATATTTGTCAATTTTCCTTTATACCCCGAGAAGCTAATGCGGATGAGATCCTTCTAATGTTCACATAAAAACAACCCATTGCTTCCTAACATAAGCCAATTAGCTCTCTTCATAAATGTGATCCCCCGACTATGAAGGAGTAAAAATGGAAAGATTGATGAACCTGGGAACTGTTACCCATCCCTCTCTTCTCTTTTTCTTTCTCTTTACTACCGCGGACAGAATGCTCTCATCTGAACTTGGATGGGGTCCACGCGTACCTAATTTTTTTTTTCCCGCCACCTCAGCAGCTCTTTTTTTTTTTTTTTTTTTTTTTTGAAACATAACCTGAATCCCGTGCGTATGTAATGTGGATGCTGCTGAAACAAGGTCCTCTGGTGACGAGAAGGAATGTAATTGAAGCTTATCTTGATTTAATGCCTTGCGATTGCTCTCTAACATTAGACATACCCCCTTCTCTACCCTCAATGCATTGATTTATTTCAGATATCTTGCGGATGTTCATTACCTCGTGTCTTTTTCTCTATGATTTTCTGATATACTCTGTGATGTTCTAATTGCTTCGTATATTTGTATATTTTCATGCCTGTGCACGAGGCTTTGGCTGTGGGCGGATCATTAATGTGAATCATTGAGTCATCCTTTCACTTCCTTATAACCTCGCATAACCTGTTCATCAACTGTACTATACATTTATTCCTTCCCACCCTCCCTAGTGTTTCGCTTCGCTATGATTCAACATAAAGCTTCATGTTTTTTTACTTCTTGTCCTTGGTGGAGGGAAGGAGATAAGAGGTAATACTGTAAATCGTGGACTTTTCAGGGTCTGAATCAAGTCTGAAAATCCTAAAGCCTATTTCTCTCTTAATTAAAGCTCCCTGTCCGTCTGCTCTCGATTTTTTAAATCTGTCTCTTTCTGGTTTCTGATCTTTTTTTTTTTTTTTTTTTTTTTTTCACCGACATGAAGGAAGGCTCCAAATCCATTTGCCTTCATATTCCTAACCTGTACGATAACGTACAGTCTGAGAGAAGAAATTCTCAAGCATTTGAAGATTACGGAAGAAAACCAAGTATCAAGGACAGTTCCCGGAGAACGAATCCAAGTGCCTCAAAAAAACTGTCTCCAAGAGGAAGATGGTAACGATGTTCAAAAATCCGAATCGTCTCTTTAAAAGAACAAGGAAGGTAATAAGAGCAAACAGAAAAGGGTAGACAAAACCAATGAAATCAAAACGGCTGACAAGGAGCTCGACAAGTTCAATGATAGAACTACAGAAGAGCTTTACAAACCAAACGGAATCATTCAAAAGAGCTTTAGACTGAGACAAAATTCTCTATGTTACAGCTGATCAATCCATTCGAGCATCAAATTCGATGGACGGATGCTCAAAGCTACGAGACCGAAACAGGCCACTAGGGAAGTCCTCTCTGTCCGCTTCAGACGATAACGGCGAAGTGATTACAAACACTTTGAACTTTCATTGCCATTCACCCTGGAGCATTTTGCAAATTGCCCATTGGCCGTTAGCCTCAAATGCCTGATGTACATGAATCCGAAGAATCCAAGCCAACTGGAAATATGGAGAAGAGGATGAGAGAGAAGCGCCCATTGGCGCGGAAAAACCTGGCATGCACAGTCAACAGCAACGTCAAATTATTTGAAAAATTCTTCAGACGTTAAAGGGGTCATCCCTTGACGCGTGAACAGGCGAAATTTCCTCGTCCAAGATATCGGAAGGAAAGAAAAAGAAGGACACAGTACGGAAGGACGAGACAGCACAGCCCTCGGCAGTTATTGTGTTCCAACTATCATAAGCATTGGCCACCTGATTTGTTATCTGTTGATGTAAGGTGTAAGGATTTTTAAATTTAGTTGTTTAGTTTAGAAATTCGCGGCAAGACATTGCAAGGTAATGTACGCCCTTTTTTCATAGGTCACATCAATCATTTCTCAGCTTTTTTTGTTTGAATTGTGGTGTATCGAAGTCGACAGCAGTGATCGACAGTGGACGCTGACAAATACGAGTCCTCGGCATGCTCGACACTTTGGGAACAATAATTTGAGATACCAAGGTGATCATTTGAAATAAATCATTCCCTACTATTGTTTTAGTACTTTTCTCCCGTGCTGTTCCTTGATCACATTTGCATTCGCCACGACATCTTTAGTTTTGGCCTTTTGTTTCGACCAAGCTCTATTCACACCATTCTCAAACAATACCCATGCATTGTTGACACTTCTGTACGTTTTATGGACGAAGAATAGTTTCCAACATGGACCTGTCTAGCAGAAATGTGGATCCTCCGTCCTCTTTTTTTTTCTCCTGTCAAGCATTCCCTTCAATCTGGTATTGAAGCTTGATTAAAGCCCCATTGGTTCAGCTTAGAGAACAAAAGCAACAACAAGAATAATATAACAATGGGAAAATTAAAGGAAAAAATGTGTACCGTCTCTTTGTAGGTGCTGCTGTGGTTGCTACAGCCACAATACATTTGCTTTGTATTTAAAACTGCCTCTATAACTCCTAGGTACCAGCGTTTATTGTTTTTTTTTTATTTTTATATGGCGTAAAAACAGGCAAGCATAAAAAGGTCACCACCATTTCCAAGCTAATATTCGCTTTTATCTCTTGAGTATTTATCCTTCCCCGCTCCACGCTCCTATAATCACCATGAAGCGTCTTATAGTCCTTACTACCTTGTCTACTTTCTTTTGGGTCGCTTTTTTAACTGACCTTAGCTTTGGTTCGAGTGTTCCTGACAGGGTTCTCAAGGACGCCGTTGTTCCTGCTCCATCAAATTTTAACAAAAACGAAACCGTCTTGGTTGCCGTGGGTAATGAGCTATTGAACCCTCCCGCCATTATTTTTTGGTATATCTCTGAACAACGTCCCAAGATCATGCTCCGAGTGGCACCTCAGGAGTTTTATTTAGAAGGAGAAGAAGGAATACCTTGCCAACAATCATTCCATACATTTGCGGGCAAGATCCATTGCCAAGCTAGTATATATGGTGATGAATACTGCTGGCGTTATGATAGTTGGCCAGAAGATCGAAATTACAGATTTTTCCTCAGTCACAAGGATACTCATTATCGCTTTGGAGGTTGCCAATTGACTATTGACAAGGAGAGCTCGTTATGTTTGGAGATGGTTTGTTCTACCAGGGAGTTTCCACCACTTAACTAGCTACTTGAGTAGTAGTCAAAAAAAAAAAAAAAAAAAAAAAAAAAGTTCCTCATCCTGCCTCCAATGTTTATTAGTTCCTTCCATCCCAAGGAAAGGACTAGCTGAAAAAAAATAAAGAATATTAAGCCATAAAGGAAAAAACGGATATTTTGAATTTACTTCGTATTCGCATCTGGTGAATGCTTGGGAACACCATAAATATTCATATTAAATGTAGTACTTATTTATTTCTCGAAATCATCTAATCCAAGGTTCTCAATGTTGCCTCCACATCCTGCCCTTCATCAATGTCAATCTAGCCTTTCTTCAAATCAAAATAGCAACCTAATACCATACGGACCATTGACACCACTGTCGTATAATCTTTTAAATTCGAAACTCGTTTCCATAGGAGTGAAAGGAAGCCTTTTTGGCTTTGGTCGTTATCTATGGTCAAATGCTCATTCTCATCATCATTATCCAGTATTGCGAAATAGATAACTGATACAAAATATTCAACTAGCGACCCTGGACCCTCAGAGCTGATATTAATGGTATTCAGTTGTGCAAAAGGCGTCATCATGTAACAGATCTCCCAAAAAAAACCCCCCTTGGAGACACAAAACGGGGCATGTCCATGGTATAAAGTTATCTTTGTTAAAGTAAAAAAGAACCATGTTTGCCTATTTTCTACAGAAATGGTGGGTCTATTATGAATGGTTCAAGTAAAATGAGGTTCCCATCACACCAATGCAGCGACAGTAGATTCTCTTTTGTAGTGGACAGGAACAGCTTGGGGATTAGGTTTTACTGTTCCACGGCCCGCAGGCGGGGGCAAGAAGCAAAGATACGGTCGATCCGTGTTCATCCCGTCCATTCCTGCGTTATTAATAAAGTCCGGCAAATGAGCCAATGCTAAAAAGCGCACCATGTCCGAGATCCATCCCTATATGTCAAAAAAAAAAAAAAAAAAAAAAACCAATTAAAATAAAATAATAACCCTCGTAACGGATAACAATAAAGGGGTGTAAACATTCAGTTATTACCCGTGAGCTGAGAATGGTTCCAACAAGCGATGTATTCTTGAAGACTTCTTTAGCATTCGAGCTACGATACTGATAATAAGCCTTGAATGATTTTTCAATATCTTGGAGAGAATTCGAAGGAATACCATAGAGCTGGTTCACCAAATGGACGGAGTCAAGGATGGCCTGATTTGCGCCTTGGCCACCAAATGGAAGATGCTTATGACAAGCATCGCCCATCAAAACTGTGCGCTTATGATACCAAGTTGAGAAGTACTTGTCTTCTAACAGGATCTTGGAAAGGCGTTCCTTGGGCGTACGGTCTATCAAGTCGCCCACAGTACCACCTAATGGATTCTTGTAGTGACGGACCAAGTTGCATAGATCATCCGCTTCAGTAGGTTTCTAGAGTCAGAAGTTCAATATGGAAATGAATACAGTTTAGTCAAATCATGGCAAGGCGATGTTGGTTTCCAAAGTTGCTAGAAATCTAAAATACTTGCCCATTCACCACGGAAATCTTGTTCCTTGATCTCTTTGGGCTTATCCATACGAGCACAGATTTGCCATCCAAGGCGGTTCTCTGAGAATGCAAAAATATAAACCTATGACCGATATTGCATTTAAGTTAGCTACCAGGGACCTTTTTCTTTCTTTCTTTTTATATAAAGTTTCGAATTACCTGAATGGCTTTCTCTTTGCCAATGATCACATAAAAGTCACCATTCTTTTGCTTCAAAGCAGGGTAGTCCTCTAAAGATACTTCGTCTGTAACACCAACAACACAGTCAGAGTCAAACCGAAGGGGGGCCAGGTCTTTCTTGGGCAAGACAATGCCTTCTTCTTGCATGTTTTTGTACATGTTGCGACGTACAGACGAGTATGCGCCATCAGCACCAATCAAGATATCGCCTTTGTACACTACAGTGTTATTGTTATTGTTGTCATTGTTACTGAGCAGATCCTCACACTCTATTTCGACACCATGGTCGTCTTGTTTAAAGCCAACCAGACGTTTGCCCCAATGGACCTTTTCTTTGGGTACATGAGAAAGCAAGATATGATAGAGAGTTGGGCGGGTGAGGAGGATACCGCAATAACCATAATGTGTAATCTGATCGCCTGCATCCATCGACCCAACCTTGGAAAGGTCATCACGGAGGTAGTCGATCTTTGCACAGGGAAGAGAATGTTTTTGAATCTCTTCAAGAAGCCTAAAAATGCATTAAGAAAATAATGAAAGTAAATTTAGGAGGTTTATTGTTTAGACAGTGAAAGATGCAAATATTACCCCAACTGATCAAGTATGTAGTTGCAGGCAGGTGTCAAAGAGAGTGCAGAACCCAAGGGAGAGAACTTGCAAGCTTTCTCAACTACAATATAGTCCATGCCTGCACGCTCGAGTTGAATTGCTGTTAGTAGACCACAAACGCCTGCGCCGACAATGATGACCTTAACATTGGATGAAGACATGAGTGAAGAATGGGCAATGTTGATGGAATGACTGGTAGTAAAGGAAAGGAAAGATCAGAACTTTATGTTCGCCAACAGTAACTTTAGCAAACATGTTTTTTTTCTTCTTTTTTTTTTTGCAGAACTCTCGATCAATGAGAGTGGATACCCTTCTCTTCCATGCCATGCAGCTCTCATTCTTTCTATCCTTTTGACATGGGCTGTTTAGGCCAGGGCGAGCATTGTAAACAGGTTGTCTGAATATATGAAAAAAGAGAGCCGTTTATCAAAATTCAATGTAAATACAGATATTTTTATATACTTTCAATGGGCAACTGTGCACTCTTTCACCTCTGCACTTTTTCAGCTCTCTGCCGTTGCCTTATCGAAATCTAGCACAGATTGAGTCCAGGATGTAGAGGTGCCTTTCCTTTCGATAGCAGCTCCTTCTATACCTCTGCATTTCATTAAACATAGCCGGAATAGGAGTTTGAGAACAAACAGCTAAACAGCGTTACTAGATGAGGATGCGTTGTGGATAAAGTGCTAGAATAAAGTTCACTGCTCTACCTTCGTGTAATAAAAATGCCAATCCTTTCAAACAATGTCTGCTGCAACAGGAATAGGCCATACCAAGTCATAATTGCAATGGTGTATTTTGTGCCTTGTTTCCAGTGTGAGGTAAGAGAACACACAGGACTGTCATACATCATCTCTTCCCATGTCTGGTGCTATGGATGGTGGCTACTCCTCACAATAATAGTTTAAGGCCTGTTTTATAAGAGGGGGGCAAACATTAGTTATTAGCTGGCATCTCGGATTTTTTTTTTTTGCACCCATTTACCTGTATCCCCCGTTTTTTAACCTTTTTTTTTTTTTTTTTTTTTTTTTGAATGGGTAGAGCCGAGAAGCCACAATGTTGGTGGTAAAGAGAAGAGAAAAGAACCTTGTTCATACAACTAGTGGCATTTTATGTTGAGTTGGGAGATACCAGCTTATAGCTTATGTGTGAAGTAAGTATTTTCCGCAAGAGTGCTCTTATACTTGTTAAAAAGCCAAGTCCACCTTTCAAACCTCAAGCTGGTGACGAGCCTACAAAGAATAGCACCTCAATCCCGTTTCATCAGCACATCTCTTTGCAACTTCCTAAGTAGTGAGGACAATGAGTATTTATTCCAAATCTACGCACTCTATCTATGAAGGATACTATGATAGTCAATCCTACATATCCGTACACACCATTGTACTGCCTCGACATGTTGGTTAAGAGATGTCCAGAATTGTGTGCGCTTGAGTTTAAAGGACATGACAGGACCAATGAATCAAAATTCAATGATTTCTACAGAACAACATTCCTTCAACGGCACTGAACATTGGCAAATTTAACGGATCTTACCTTCCTTTCTATGAACATAGAAGACAAGGATATGACGGCGCTTCTTGGGCAGATGGCTGTACTAAGAAGATTGAATGTCCCTGCTTGTGAGCTTGGCAAGCTCTTTCTGTAAGGGTTATTAGCCGATAAGCAAGGGATTTTGGAAGGTGGACACATTGTACGCAAGGTAAGGCTTTGGAGGCCCTGCGAGACATTTGAAACATTGGAGCTCGATGTACGAGGCATCGGAATGAATGGTCTTGTTCAAACTATTTTGTCTAATTGCCCACCACTAAGGCAACGAAGAGGACCTATAATTACAATGACAGAGATTGTCAATGGCAGAGGATAGGATAGTATTGGACTGACTGAATTGTCAATCTTTCTTGAAGCACATGTTGATCAAGAGACTGTAGAAAGTATGGAGAAGCAACGCATCGCGTTTAACCAGCTAGGGAAATTGACCCAGCTACGTTATCTTGATCTAACGAGGTGCAGCTCAAGAAATCAAACACCGGACTTGAGGCTGAGAGCAAGTCTGCATGAACTGGCCAATATGAACAAGCTGATTAAGTTATCGTTCGCTAGAGGTCACCAACTATAGGACTTGAGGATGCGACATAGATTGTGAGCAATTGACGAGGAGGATGTAAACACTTTAGTGTACGATTTCCTTAAATCACACAATATCCATAGATAGGCCCTGTAAGGAATGAGTTGAATTTAAACCGTGTGGAAAGAGATTGCTTGTGATGGCATTAGAGGCCGGACACTTTCAGCTATTAAAGCCTCCTGGATTGTTAATATCTTAAGAAACAAAGAAATGTATCGTCAATTCACAACCTGATATGGAAGACAAAAAACCTTGGATATGAATCTTTCGACGGATATATATGATGATATAATTATAGTGGTAGCGATATTGCAGAAGAAGGGGCCATCATGTAGATGAACTTTTTATTTAAAGGATATCGCAGCCTGCTTCTGCATCTCAAGATTGTTAAAGCTGAATGCTTCATCAACATTTATTCGGCGGTCCTTAATCTGTTGATTATTTCAGGCTGGTTGTGGCACCTTGATGGATGAATATATTTCCTGGTTATAGCATGTTATTAAGAAGAGAATTAGAGTCTGAAATTAATGTAGGTAACAAATAGCCTTCAGGGTTTCATTAGTCCATTTGCATGCATTACAGTAATCTGAACCGAGGTTGGGAACCGGAGCACGCAGACAACATGTGCTATGTAAAAATTATGAATGAGTCTCTTGAAATGAAGAAACGATAGTACGTGCATGTAGACAGGAATGTGAGACAGAGAGTTAATTGGTGCAAAATCAGCAGTGTGCACATGTACCAGCGGATTGAAAAATCCTGGTCATGTCGAGGCTGTATATCAGTATATAACATTTAAGAATGTTTCACAGCTGGGCTTCGATGACACATGAAATGAACCCAATTTGCCCATTTTTCAGAATCTATGAACATCAAAACTCAATTAGGATTATTCTTGAAGTCAATACTCGGTCCCTTACAGTGATGCTCCCAAAAAGACCCTTGGCACTTGGGCCACCCTCAATCAATTGCAATGTATAAACTGCAGTATCAGGTGCCACGCGAACAACAATAAAGATAGACAGATTAGCAGACAAAAACAGGTTATATAGAGCCTCACTTGTTATTGTTGGCACCCCTAAAAAGAGTGCTGGGGTAAGAAACTAAAAAAAAAATTATGCAAAGCATAAATGCTGTATTGCTTGGCGTACAAAGTCATTTTATTCTGACAACTAGAACAAGTGAAAGGTGAATCTTGTGCCAACGCGAGATGGCTGCACTGCGTGTGAACTAAGCACATGTCTACTTTATTCGTTTCACAAAAATGATCTTGGCGTACAAACCATAGACAAAGCTGCAAAGGTGAGTGTGCACTGATGCATTTTTTTCATGTACGTTTAGCAATAGCAAAAAGACCATCTGTATTTTCACTTTACAACAACAATGTGGCAAGAGGAAAAAAAAAAAAAAAAAAAAAAAAAAAAAGAACAAAGTCTCGACTTGTACCTCCATGCAATCGCATTGGTCAAGCAATATGTGGAGCAGCATTTTTTATTTTTTTTTTGGAATTGGGTGTAGGGTATCCGATCATGTCAATCCTGTGCTTGTTAAGGTATTGATCTTTACTTTTTTTATTCCCAACCTGGTTTTTTTATAGTCTTAGTCTGGTCTTCTTAAGATACCGAAATAAAAATGCATTCACTCACTATTTGTGGAAAATGAAAGGTTTTGGTACATGTACTTTAAGGTGGTGTGGGTTATTGGTTTGTTTACTTGTTGAACAGAAAAAAAAGAGAAAAAAGATGCTTGCAGGACTATAAACAGACTTTATTTGTTTATTTGTTTATAAGCCTATTTGCTTAGTCTGTCCCTTCGTATGAAATTCCGTTGCAGCAATTGTATTGTCATATGTGCGCGTTCAAGTCCGACTAAAACAATTTGCTCTGTGCCCTGGTGCCTGAATATGTGAGACGGAGATGGGGGGGCATTGCATTAAACAGATTTGTGTCGAATGAATTGAAAAGTGCGGGTTATGTTTTCTAACGAAAGGTTTATGTTCATTAAAGGCAAGAGCGAGCGAATCATGCTAGGATGTGGAGTAAAGTGTCAAGGAACAAAGTTATTGTGTGCACAAACCTTCAACCTTTCTGCCATCATTCATCTCTCTCACCTTCACATTCCTTTCCTTTCATCCGCACATGTCATTCATTCATCCTTGTCTCGTTTTCACATCCGACGCGCTTCACTGACCTCATTCACTCATTCACTCACTCACTCACTCACTCACTCACTCACTCACTCACTCACTCGCCTGTCTGCGCATTTTAATTCTTCTAACATTCATAATTTTCTATTGGGCATTAAGAACCCCCCTTCCATAGCCATACATTATTTATTCTCCTTCCTTCCCACAGCCATCCCAACTGCTACGATATTCCTTCGCATCTCTAATATCGGACAACATAATATAAAATTGGGGCTACCACTTCAGTTGTTCCTCCTTTTTTTTTATATTACCTTTTGTAAATAGGTAAGATGCGACGCCAACATTATCACTGTTTCAACAACAAAATCCGTTACAAATGGTGTTTTATCCCTTTTTCCTCCTTTCCTTTTTTATCTTTTTCCTTTCCCCATTTCATTATACCTCGCTTAATGTTCTCATTTATTTGAGAAAGCATACATTTGAATTTAACATGCTTGGGGTTTTTTTTAACGATCCATGTCATATTTCTCCCGATTTCTGAGGCGGAAATGATTAGAGTTTTTTTTTTTTTTTTTTTTTTTTTTTTTTTTTTTGCTTCGTAAATTCATTGATTATGGTTTAATAGAGGGAAGAGAGAGGGACCAACTTTTGCAAAGGAAAAATACATGGATCTGAAGTACACTTTTTCATATAAAATCAGGCGTGTGTGATCAGGCTCTCGACGTATGCTATTGACAGTTTGACTGAAGAAGCCCTGAAAAAATGAAAAAGCCAATAGTCTGTTAGTCTGCTCTCTCTTTCTTTCTCTTCCCAAGTCTTAGCGATACTAGGGTGCAAATCACTTGTTGAAAGGACCATGAATTGGAGCAGGGACTGACAACAAGACCCAAAGCCAAAAAACCTGCTTTTTTTTTTTTTTTTTTTTTTAACGGCTCATTTCTTTCGAGCGGATAAAAGTGATCCTATGAGCAATTAGATGGTTAGGATAGTAGAACCTGTAGACTATGCAAGTAAAAATGGAGAGAGCTTCTAGTCTGGATTCTCCTTTTTCGACCTTTTTTGGGATGCTGCGTTATCTGCACTCTATCCACCTATATTCACATCTTACACATTCGCGCTACATGGGGTTTTTTTTTGTCTCTCTTTTTTCTCCACAAATGTAGCCACGCGTCTAGGCGTAGAAACATTTATGTCCGTTCCTCCGCGGTTGATCTTTTTGGCCATCTATAAACATATGTGGTTGAAGGTTTTCCTGGTTTCCCCTCTGCACTCTTTTCATTGCTCTTATCCGTATTCAATTATTGTATTGACATCTTTCTTCAACGTCTCTCCTTTGTCTATCTTTCATTTCTTTAGTCATCCCATATATCCTTGTTGATACAATGAGCGATTCCGATTCATCAGAGTCATCTTCCACGACATCTTCCTATACGGAATCCATTACCTCCACAATCCTCTCTACTATCAGCGAGACTTTCTCTCTACCCACAGAAACACCAGGTCCTTCTCCAACACCTACAGCACCATCCTTCCCGTCACCTACAGCTCCTTCAACACCCTCCAACCCCTCATCAGATCCTTCTACAATCAATGATGGGAACCCCTATTTGCAAACAAATCTTCTCTGTGACTGGACCAAAACAGTGGTTCACTGTCGAGATTCTGATTTTGTAAAACAGATGTTGGTCGTATCCTCGGCCGCACATCTCGCAGCAGCGCTTTTCGGCATCTGGCTGCTTAGTTACAGGAACCGTGGCTTTAACCCTAAAATTATTACAGACCTTTTTATTAAAGTCGGCACTGGAGTTCGGCCCAAACCTGTAAGTATAATATCTAATACAAGCATGTGTTGAAAAAAGCCTACATATTCAAGTTTAAAACCCAGCAAACCGTTTTATTAATACAACAATATTAGATGGATTGTATTATATTCTTCATTGTAATTGCATGTTTTATCAAGGTCTTGTGTAATCTACTCATTATCCTTGATGCTTTGCAAGAAGTCCTATGGCTACGCGTGGCGATTGAACAACTTTACTGGTAAATCCCAAGTCTATTTATCCATCCAAATAATTTATTCCTTTCGGCTTGTTCACTCTCTAAAATCGAACGGCATCCTCTATACATCTATATTGGTTTCTCTTCCCATAGGGCTGTTGTTGCATTCGGATTCTCTTCATACTTTGTAGGTCTTCTTTATGCCATGCCAGTCACTACGCGTGAAGGTATCTTTGCAGTCTACCAGCCCGAGGTGGTATATGGAGATAAACCTCTTCCACCAATCCACGTACTTACACCCACGACCATTCAAAAGAACTTTATGCTTATCATTGGTGCCGTCTATCCAGCAGTCTTTGGAGCGGGTCTTGGTATCGCTTCAAGTGAATTGGAGAGACGAGGGTATTATGAAGCTTCACGTATCCTTTTCCTACTCCAGTACTCTAATTGGGTCGTCATCATGTACGTCATGAGCGCACTCTTCTTTTACTATGGTCTAAAATACACATTCATCCTCCGAGCCAACATCATTGTCGCAGAGGCTGCTCTCAAGGCTCCTCGGGCCGCTTTCGGCATTGGGAACCTAAAGTCGCGTTCTCCAGCTCGCTTCCTGTTCATTCAGTTGCAGATCACAGGATTTGGAGGTTGTGCAGTGACTCTCTTGGCAGGAACACTCTGTATCATTTGGGTACTACTCAAAGATAAGATCTTAGAGATGCCAAATGAGAGGCTACCTCATGTGATGGCTGTCTTTTGGACATGCGCGATTGCATTAGCTTATTTTGTGGCTATGGCTTTGATTGCTGCACAAACCGTCAGGAACAGGAGAAGAGGCTTGCATGAGCAATCGACAACAACTGCAACTGGGACTCTTTCACGTTCTGGAGGCGATAATGGCCAAAGGAACATTATTGGAAGTGGAAGACTGTCAAAATCAGAACAGCACAGCCACCAGCATGAGTTTGACCCCGAAGCGCAACTGAGAGGGCATAGCTCAGGCGACCTTAGTTCTTTGGAGCATGAAAAGGTGTCCGTGTCCAAGGAAAGATTAAATGAGCAATATGAGATCTACCCCAGATACATGTCCGTAGATGGTCATCACCAGGCGGATAGAGACAGAGCTGTGGCGGCAGCATCCGTCGTTGCTATGGTGGCACTATCAGATAGAATGGATCAAGAAGCCAACGCACTATCGAGACAAAGTCGCGACTCTTTTAAATCACCTACTAGCCCAACATCGCCTTCCCGATCCTTTTCAACCCAAGCCAACAACAAGTCTACTAGTACCAACAATAATGTGCACAACAATCTACGCGAATCAGTTTTTGGAGGACGCACGCCACGCGAAGATGGTATGCCTGGATCACCTCCAGCAAATGGTGGAGGCGGATTCTCATTGCCATCTTTCCCTCTTATGGGCATGAGATCTCCCTCTAGGAACAGTAACTATCCACAACAGCAACAGCAACAGCAACAGCAACAGCAACAGCAACAGCAACAGCAACAGCAACAGCAACAGCAACAGCAACAACGCCCTTCAATCAGTTCTCGAACCCATACAACCTCAACTAATTCGTCAAAGTTTTCATCTGGTTCAAACAAGTATGGTACATCTTCGGATGGATCAATCATGCCTCCGCTATCACCCACCAGCCCTATTATGGCACCGGCGCTGGCTTTGCAGCAGCAGACCCAACAACAGCTACAGCAACTTGAGCAACAGAGCCTAGGGCATGGATCACGTGCATCTACTCAAAGAATACAAGTTATGTCTGGTGGTTTTCAGGCGATTCCTGAAAGAGGAGCCTATGGTGGTATGGATGAAGATGATGGTCCTTCACTTCCACAAATGCCACTCCCACCTTCATCTCCCCCCCATAGCCCCCTCCGGACAAAATTAAGCGGGTTTTCCTCGTCACCCAGAATTATGCAGGCCTCTTCACTAGCACACCAACAACAATATCAGCACCAGCTGCAGCAACAATATCATGATATAACATCGTTGTCTCGTCTCCCTCGACGATCTAACTCCTCTTCAAGAAGTGGTAGCAATTATAAGGATCTCTCGATCAACATTCCTCTACCTCCAGATATGCAACTTCAACAGCAACATCCACTACATCAGGTTGCTTACAAAGGTCTTTCGCCACCACCACGGTCCGTTCCGTTAAGCCCTACGCGTAGGACAGGGGGACAAAGTATGAGGACCAATAAAATGTCTCCCCCAACATCTCCAATATTAGTCTCAGGCTCAGTTGCTACCTCACCTTTTGCAATGCCAGGATCGCACCCACTGGATAGCCACAATGGTAGCTGCAGCCCAAGGCTCTCACCATCCCAACAAGCGTTCCAATTAGACTCCTCTACTCAATCTCCTCGCTTAGGCAATGGGGTTCGTCGCGTGTCCAGCAGCACCGCAGCATCACCAACGATCGACAAGGATAAAGAGTCTGGTTCTGCTAATACAGCTGCATCTCGTGGGGCTGGGGGAGGTTATCAAGCTCAAAGAACTGAGCCACCCCCAACACCTCAACCTAGTATTGCTTTTAATACCTCTCCAAAAACGATGAGACAACATACCAATGCATTCGGGGTTCCACAACAACAAGGGATAGAAGCAGAAAGTGATGATAGTCAGAGTGTTGACTCTGGAGGGGTTGATGCCTGGCCCATGCCTCCTACGTTCAAGTAGACACTATCCTGTAATAATAATAATAAAGAAGCACCCCTTCTCCTTCAATCCATTCTTATTGACTCATCCAATGCCTGTAAATAAAAAAAATCTCCATTCTCATGTCCCACAACCGCTTGAATGTTTTTTGTACTACTAGGCCAACTGACTCTGTTTGTGGTGCAGGAGTACTTGAGAAAACATTATCCAATAAAGCGTAAACTATCGAAGGAAGTATTGTAAAATAGCTCCGTCCAGTCTAGCTCATTCATAAATACTGAGCTTACTCTTGGCTTATCAATCACTGCAATGCAGGATCAGAAAATATTCCACTAAGGATTTATTTATCGATGAATAAAATCTCCCACTTGAGCTTTAAATAGCAGCAACGAGCGTTTTAACTTCGGAATGGGAAAAAAAAAAAAAAAAAAAAAAAAGTCTATGCTACAATTTTACGAAATCTTCATTATGCACAAGTAATGGGCTTGCTTTGAATAGAAACAAGGTGATATTCACGTAAAAAGTGCCCTTAAAATGCTATGCATAATGCTTATTAATTAAAAGATATATTTTGAATACATAATAATGTGTGTTTGCTTATGATCCAAAGCTTAAGATCTTGTTCACAATGCCAGCTGCGATTGTGTCACCTCCTTTTCTCAACATGACTCTTCCAAGCTCTTTTGAGTCTTTATAGGCCTCCAGGGGAATGGCTCGTCCAGACAATTTAATCTCCACCATTGCAGTCGTGTTTTTACCCAAATGTCTTGGCGATTTCTTAACAATCTCGCCAGTAACCTTATCGATTGTGGCCACTAGTTTTGAAACTACTCCTGGTTCGTTATGGGATTGACGATGGACAATCACTGGGAATCCCACTGTAATGGGAATCTTCACATCAAAGACTACAATCTGGGCTGCAAAATGGGTTGTTACTGGAATAGGAGCCTCTCGAGTACAGAGGACAGAACCGTTACTGACTTTCAAAATGTCAATCCCAGATAGTATCAATAACACAGAATCACCTGCCGCAGCCCATCTTGTCGCCTCGTGATTAACTTCCATGCCTATTGTAACGTTGATAGTCCCAGAGTCAAAGAGTGCTGTTAGCAATCACTCAATCTCGAGAAAAACAAACTTTCATTTCGATAAACAATAACAATAAAGGATAGGTGACCTCTTACTCTTTACAACAGCCATTTCAGATCCAGGCATGACCATAACGGCTTCGCCGACTTGAATATGTCCTGCCTCCAACCGTCCTGCGACCGAAACACCTCCTGCACTCTTGAACACATCTGTGACCGACATTCTGAATGGTTTCTCTATAGGGCGCATCGGCGTGTCCAACTTGTCGATTGACTCAATCAGGGTCGGGCCTTTATACCAGCTGAAAGTTGACAAGACAGCTGCTACTGATTCAGGGACAGATGTATCCGATACTGCAGATCCATTGCAAATATTTCCTGGTGTGGATCGCCTCACCAAATTCTCACCAGTAAAGCCCGAACAAGGGACAAAGACCAAATTTGATTTCTTAAAACTAGCATCCTTGACTAAGAATTGCTCTAGTTTTTGAACAATCTCCAAAAACCGTGCTTCTGACCAGTTGACTACATCCAGTTTGTTGACAGCTATTACGAGTTGTTGAACTCCCAGACTACGAGCCAATAACGCATGTTCTTTAGTCTGTCCATTAGCATCAAATCCAGATTCAAACTCGCCTGTAGTCGCATCCACAACTAGAATCGCCACATCCGCCTGAGCTGTGCCTGAAATCATGTTAGGGATAAAATCTCGATGACCTGGAGCATCCAGCAACGTAAATCGACGATGTTCAGTCTCAAATTTAGTCACACCAACATCCATCGTAATACCACGTGCTCGTTCCTCGCCAGTTTCATCCAGAACCCATGCAAACGCAAACGAAGCTTTGCCAATCTTTTGTGCATCCCTTTCATGTTTGCGAATCGTCTTCTCAGTTACTTCACCTTGGAGATAAAGCAAATGACCCATCAATGTACTCTTTCCTGCGTCAACATGTCCTATTTTGTTTATATAAAAATAATAATAAAAAAATTAGCAAAGACTGTACTTTATGCACCCTATTCACGTAGTCCTTTTTTTTTTTTATTTATTTTTTTTACCAATGACGACCAAGTTCAACGATTCTTTCTCGGCAATGCGCTTCTGATATTCAGAAATGACATCAATCCTCTTGCCCGATTTCATAGATGCTCTCGTAGGTGTTGAGACACCTGATGGAGGTGTAGATTCAACAGGTGAGGAGGTCCCCGACTGATTTGTAGTTGAAGTTACAGTCTTGGACGTTGATGTGTCTTTGGTTGTCTTGTGTGATTTATTGGATCCAAAGTTCATGGCGGACAGATCAAAGAGAAACTGCTTTGATGGTATATTGTCATTATCATCTAGGTATTCAATAGTGTCGTCGTCGTCACCATATTGCGCAGATGAAGGCCCTGTTTTTACTTTTGCTCCTGTCCCTGCTCCTGTCCTTGCTCCTGCCTTTGCTGCTGCTGCTGTTGCTGTTGCTGGTTTTGAAGCTGCATATTATGGGGAATAAATAAAATAAAATAAAGTCAGCTTCATAAAAAAAAACTTTTACAAGTTCTTTTAATTGAATAGTTTTGTTTTTTTTAATACCTTGAGTTGCAGTTGTAGTAGCAGTAGTAGGGTTTGATGGCCCCACAGGTGTTGCTGTGCCGCTTTGATTAGGTTTGTTTGATGACGCAGTTTTCTTTGCTGCGGCAGCTGATGAAGATTTTTTTTTCTTTGCCATTTCGTCTATATATATATATATATTTTGAAGAGAAAAAGATATTTAGATGAGCGAAAGGAGCTGTAATTATCGATTGTTTGTTGAGAACGTAGATTTTATCTTCTTCCCTTAGTATCAATCTCTTTCAGCAACCGACTCCATAGGGAAAAATAATAAAATTAAAAAGAAGATATTCTTCATTACCAATGAGATACACGGCTGTTTGGTCGACATCAAAGTAATAATACCACAATGCATCCTGAATCTCCTTGATTGAGATCTTGGCATCACCAAGCATTGCCTTGACTTCTTCTGTAGCATCAGCCATTTGGACTTTGTATTTTATAGTATATTTTCCATAAAACAAAATAAAAATGTTATCAGAAGTTAGCAATGGAGGAACCTTAAAAAAATCTTTCTTCAAACGACTTTTTTTTTCTGTTTTACCTTGGTCTTCTTCTGTCATAGGTTGGTCTTCGATATAATCGTCTTCATCATATCCATCGTCCAAGGCATCTATAGAAATAAATAAAATAAAATAAAATAAAATTAAATATCATATACAGAATTGTTGAGATTCAATATTTATTTGAATGGATAAATTGAATTACCTTCGAGGACCATGTTACGTACATTCCTGTGGCGCGACATTGTTTTGATATTATTAGCAATTGAAATTGAGGTTTAAAAGGAATGAAGAAGAGAGTTAAATGAGGAATGCGGATTGCTTACATTGATAAAAAAAAAAAAAACTTTTAAAACACGTACACATACTGGTACGTGATTGGCAAACATTCGCGTATCATCATCAAGTCATTCTTACTTAAGACAATTTTTATAATTTTATCTCTTTTTTTTGCTCCGCTTTTCATTTTTAACAACAACAGCATGTCCTTTAATCTCGGAAACAATGATAGGAGCCCCGCTTTCGGAGGTTCTATCTCGTCCAACAAATCCAACAACAATCGCGGTGGAGACATGGTTCTGACACCAGATCATCCAGCTTGGTCCAGGGTTGGTGAGCAACAACGACAGCAACAGCAACAGCAGCCAATACAGGATCCTAGTGCGCCTTACACAGGCGGACGGGCGACTGCAGGTGCCAATAACTTGGGTCCCTTCAGAGCAGGGCCCGATTCCGATTCTTACTTGCCCCCAGATGCTGCTCCACAAGGTGCAAGATTCGACCCTATCATGCCGGATAATGTTCAAGGACTACCTCATCGCGGCCATAGCAGTCAACAAAGAGAGAGTTCTTCTGGACTTGGTCAAGCAAGTGGAGAGCCTGATTTTGATGACCTATTGCCTCCTCAATAGGCAAAACAAAGGAATAAAAGAAAAGAATAAAAAGTCCTGAATGTTTTTATGCGTATGCGTGAGAGTGAAAATAGTGCAGACAACTTGAAAGATGATTATCTGATTATTGCAAAAGCTTATTTTATTTTTTAGCACCCTGCATGTTTTCAGTATTAATACGGAGATATCTATCATAAATGGCTGTTTGCTCTTACAACATGGTCTGTATTTTTTTTTTCCTTTCATTTACCGAATACAAACGCCATTTCCATTCAAATACCCATGCTCCTTTTCCCATTTATTGCTTGTTTCTGTCTCTTATTTGTAAACCACTTCGTCTATCTATCCTTCAACCTCACTCTCAGTGCTTTTGCCATGTCTTCATATGAATGCTATGTTCCTACTCTCACTTATATTACTTTAAAACTTTTTGCTTCACAACTTCCGTATCCTTACTGCATCTATTGCTTACATCAAATTCATGAACAAAACGTTAGGACCGTGTGAAATGAACGCCATAAACTGGACGAATCAAAGAGCTTGAACGCCATAAAATTTTCACAGACTGAAGGATGTCATGACAGATACGCATGCATAATGCACCCACCTACAAACGTAACTCGATCTGAATGCTTAGTCTAAGACAACCATTCAATCCTTGCTCTCGGACATTTCTGCTTTTAGCATCCGTCTACTATGTCCTATTGTTCTTTGTCCCGGCTTGAGGACATTCATCCGGTGGAGAGTCAGGTCGTGCTGTCCCTTCATTTGGTGCCTCGATTGTGGAGTGCAATGCTGAAGTGACAAAGTTATCGTCATCTTTATGAGCATTGCCGCTAGACTCTTTCTTAACATTTCAGAACTGACTGGATCTCCACAAGTTGTTCGAGGTTGGCAACGTCATTTTCGGGCCTCTTTTTGATATTATACAGGGAGGTATTAGCGCGATGTTGCAGGACAATGACTACAGCGCAGTCCTCCATTCTTATTATTCAAGGGAAAATTGTTTTTTGCTAATTTTTTTTATTGTTTTTTATTTGATAAAATAGTCTGCGAAGATATTGTGAGTAGTTCAAATATAGCCCACTTTTCTTTTTTCAAGTTGTCAGCACAATGTTCTCCTCAATTCTCCACCTGCCCCTACTCTATCCTTCGACAATTTTTTGCAAAAAAAAATGGATGTGAATGAGTGATCTAGGTAGATCTTTCAAGCTCACCCTCATGAGCCTTGAGGACAGAAACTGCCTCTTCGACCTTAGCGTCCAATGCTTCACTGTCCTCCAGCAAGTGCAAAAGCTCACCATTGTCCATTTCCAACAGCATACCAGTGATTTTGCCAGCATAATCAGGCTGGCGTGATGCAATCTTGGGATAAAGGTGCTCACCAACCATCTGCTTCTGCTGATCAGGATCTGCTGCAGCCAGTGCTGCAGCCGTCAGGGTGTTGGCATCACCTAATCCACCTGCACCCGATCCGCCGCTTGCAACTTGAGCAGAAGCATTGCGTCCTTGACCAGTGTTACGAGTGTATCCGCCACGTCCACCACCATGTGCTCCACGAGGTGCTCCACCAGTAGGTCCACCTTGTGCTGGAGATCCTTGTGGACGACCCTGCTGACCCGCAGCACCGCCGCGTTGAGACTGGGAGCGAGGGCCTTGGCCACGAGGACGTCCTGGACCCATAGGAGGGAAACCTTGTCCCAAGGGATATCCTGGGATAGGACCACCAGGGTGCATCTGCTGCGGCTGACCGGGGTTCACCCAGCGAGGGCGGGGAATCATACCGGGTTGACCAGGGTAAACCATTCCGCGACCACCCTGAGGAGCGAAACCAGGATAGTACATTTGAGGGGGGAAGATACCACCAGCCATCTGACCAGGGAGCTGTTGCATGCGAAGCTGACTGCGCTGAGCCATTTGAGCCTCAAGCTGTGACTTACGGACCTCCTTACGCTGAGCAAGAGCAACATAAATAGGCTTAGATCCCAACATGCGGCCATTCATTTCCGTAACAGCCTTTGTAGCCTCATCAGGAGAGGAGAAGCAAACGAATCCGAATCCCTTGGAAGGACCTTTGATCTCTTCACCGTTATCACCAATCTTCTCATCACGCATAACCTTGGCGGAAGTGATAGTGCCATAAACCAAGAATTCTTGACGAAGTCTCTCATCATCAATGTCATCATCGAGATTCTTGATGTACAGGTTGACGCCCTGGTACTTGCTAAGCTTCTCGAGCTTCTGCTGCTCATACTGTTTCTTGAGCTCTTCTTCGCGCTCACCCTTCTTTTGTGCACGAGTAACAAACAACTTCTTATCCTTGTACTCCGATTCGTGCAGTTCATCCACAGCCTTCTGTGCATCCTCATGGTTCTCAAAGTTGATAAATCCGAATCCCTTGGAACGGCCGTTTTCGTCCGTGGAAATGACCACCGAAGTAACTGGACCAAACTTGGTGAACATTGCCTCGACCTCCTCCTGAGTAACCTCGGGATCCAAGTTCTTGATGTAGACGTTAGTGAACTTAGCTTTCATCTCCTCAACCTTGGATTGACGCTCCTTCTTAGAGATATGATGCCCCACAAAGACTTTCTTGTCATTTAACAGCATGCCATTGACATGCTTGATTGCATTCTCGGCAGCTTCATAGGTTTCATAGTGAACAAAGCCATAACCCTTTGACTGACCATCCTCAGTAGCGACCTTGCAGGACAAAATGTTGCCGAAGGCAGAGAAAGTGTCATGAAGAGCCTTATTATCGATCGTAGCGTCCAAGTTCTTGATAAAAATATTGCCAGTGCCAGTCTTGCGAAGGGCAGGGTCACGCTGAGACCACATGATGCGGCAAGGACGACCCTTGATCTGCGTGTAGTTCAGCGCTTCCAAAGCACGCTCACCTATGGATGTTTTAAGGCAATTATGGCCAGAAGTTTATTAGACACAAATGAAGCGCAGAAATATCATAGGTCGAATAGAGAAATGGCTCACGACTCCAAAGAAAGGTAGACACATCTGCAAGAGAAGATGAGCAGAGTAGTGATAACCTTGGCTATATCTTCCACATGAGGTGGATGAAGCAACTACGTAAACCTTTTGTTTATACACGCTGAAACAATAGAGCTATTTGTCCTGTTAAGCCCCACTCGACACCATCTTGCCGGTTGATATCCCAAACGATAACTTTACAAAATACAAACGAGCATCTATCTTTCACGCTCTTCCGATGTGGCATATGATGCAACTATGTTCATCACCAGCCCAAAATCAAATGGAACAGACATATCGTCTGTCTCTAGTACATGTACAATCTAATCTATCAATCAACTCTTAAGCCCATGACAGGCCTTTGTGCCATTGAATGCTACCTGCGTTGATTGAAAGCATGTATCAGTGCAAGGCCTGAACTGTTCCATTCAAATCGATGCTCGTATATGCTGAATGAGTGCTTTTTTTTTTTTTTTTTGCCCCACTTACGATAAAACAAAGTACTTTTCTCTTCATTAGAAGAAGAATAATATTAACACTAACGGTAATAAAAACGGTTCACTCCTCCCCATGAACATTAAAAGAAAGTTGAACATGCCGTGTGCCTCCAAGCGTTGCTTCATAAGACTAAAGCAATAATGAATACGAATTCGGTTTAAAAGATCACAGTAATGATCCTTAATTGCCTCACAATCACATAATTCCTCTATTGTGTAATGATCCTGTGGTCGCTTCCAGGTGTGCTCCTGTTCCTGAGTAACTAAGAATTCACATTATTGTTGCTCTATCTCCACAGACCCTCCAAAGTGCCATTACCCAAATAAAAAGAAAAAGAAGTACAGGTGCATAGTTCCAGAAGAAGTAATGAGCCTACACAACTAAACACATTGACTATAACAGACCCAGAAAAGGCTCATTTGCTGTTGTTTTGTTTATGTTTTGTTGTTGTTGTTTTTTTTTTCTTACCATCCACTACATTGTGAAAATTCACATAGGCATAACCAAGAGAACGTCTCGTGACGGCATCACGGCAGACACGGATCGAAGCAACTGGACCGATCGAGTTGAACAACTCAAACAACATGGCCTCATTGACAGAGGGATCCAACTCTCCAACATAAAGCGAAGCTGAAGCAGTGGGGGCAGCAGCAGGAACAGGAGCAAAGTGAGCTGCCTGGGCAGCTTGTGCCTGGGCAGCGGCAATCTGCTGTTGTTGTTCCAAACTCAAGTGGTTGGCGCCAGAACCAGTAGGAAGGGAAGAAGAGGTGGCAGCAGTGGCCTGGGCGTCAGTGGTAGCAACAGGAGAGGACATTATAGTTAACCAACTGGATTTTTTGTTTTTTTTTTTATTTTTTTCTCTGAGGTGGCTGAAAGAGGCACAAGGGAAGTGTTCAATCAGAAGCCAAAGTCGTTCGTTTTTTTTTTTTTTTTTTTTTTATGATTTCCTTTGTGGAGAGAGCACACTGAATCAATGGCAATCGATAACGAGGGAAATCAGTCTTTTTTTTTTATGTACGGAAGAGGGTGAGGCGAAGGAGGAGGGAGAAGAGGAAGAACAGGACGGGTCAAAGAAGAAAAGACAAGAAGGAAAAAAGTATAAATTACTGTTCAGACAAAATTGTAGCATATGCAGTGATTTTTCTATCACGTGCATACACGTGCATTATTCTTATGTTGGTCGCTCAAGAGGCTCAAGAATGATCAAGGATACATCGCTCCTTTGTGCGATAAAAGCTTGCAATACATTATCCTGACCCACACCCTCATCCACACATAGTCTTCGGAGTCTTCGCAACGAGCTCAGGTGCCGCAACAGGCTGGTCAAATCATCCACACCAGGTCGTATTCCTACGTGTGGAATCTCCAATATCTCCAATGAATCCCGACTTGCCCATTCCTCTTCCGAAGAAAAACCTTCAATCTTAAGCTTGGGACATCCACCGGCTTTTAGCTCCTGTAGGCGAGATAGCCTGGCCAGCAGCTCTTTGGATGCTGTATGAGTTATTCTTGAACATCCTGTCAGATCCAGGGCCCGTAATTGTGGACAGTTTTGAGCTAATGCGAGTGCTCCTACATCATTGATCAACGTGTACGAAACATCCAACTTTGTCAACAAGGGGCATTTCTTGAATATAGAGCCGAATGTGGAGGCGGTCACACTTTTAGAGTTCCTTAGTTCCAGCATTTTCAAATTAGGACAGGTTTCTGCAATGGCATGGACGGTGGCATTCTTATTGGCGTTATGTAGCAGAACCAAAGTTGACAACTCGGGACACTGTCTCAAAATATTCTTGAGTGCTGGTTCAGAAATGAACGTTGAAACTAAATGAAGATGCTTTATGGGTAAAGGTTCTTCATGTCGCTTGATCCCTAGGAGATGGACATGTGATAGATCTGGGCCGTCAACCTTTAGTGACTTGAGACAGCGACAGCCGGTCAAAAGGATAACCATATCGTTCTCACGCCAATCTCCACTGCCTCGATCTTGTGCATGGACAGCGATTTCAAGGCTCGATAGACTCGGCAGCTTTGGAAGTCGTGCGCCTACGCTAGTACTGTTGACACCCATACAATGATCAAACACCAAATGTCGGACTCGAGCAATGCCATTGCAGAGGACATCGAGGCTGGAGGGTGTGACTTGACAGTAGCGAAGCGTAAGTGTAGACAAGTTAGTGCATTGTTGGGCAACAAACCTCATCTCGCCTCCAATCAAACGGTGTTTGGCTTCCATATTTCGAATCAAAAAGGCATGCTGATCAAAGACTTGATGGAACAGACTGTATTGCTCTGCAGAGAACGAACAGGACTCCCAGAGCAGTGGCGTACAAATTTTTGACCATTCAGTAGAAACCATGGAGCATAAGAGAAGTGAGTTCTTATCGAGAAAATGGAGAACATTTGCCAGAAGCTCTGGGACTTGTAGAGGACTTGTAGATTCCATTGGTGATTTGTTAAGAGGAGCGACGATGAATGAGAGAGAAAGAGAAAGAGAGAAGCGAGCTACTTTGTGTCTTTTAAGCTTTTAAGTGGGAGTTTTTTTTTGTATTTTTGGGTTGTTTGATTGGGCATATTGTATTGCATCGATCGTGACGCTTTATGTCTATGTTATCGTCGCGTGTAACAGACGAAGAGACTTTTGTCTGTGCGCAAAAGCAAGGTGCAGACGGGTCAGATAAACAACTGGGTAATTCTAGTCTAGAATGACCACAGACCTGTAGATGTAACGCGTCTAATCTTTGGAGCTCTTTAATGTAAGCAAGATGGAAGGATAAAGGATAACCTTGATTTCTCACTCTATAATTCTGTATAGGCGTCGAAACGTCTTGTGGTTTAGCCAGGGTCTGTTGTGCCGAAGGACAGTCAAATGAGGTTTATTTTTAAAATCTGGTTTTTAGGGTCTCCCAATCCGAATGTGAACGAATGAGCTTCCTTCGTCCTTGTCAAAGGACCAGAAAAAGGAAAAAAAGGAGAGAAAAGAGATATGAAATGGGGGAAAGACCTCAAATTGTTCAAAGATGTTTTTTCTGTTAACTTTTAGTATCACCATGGTTAGAAAAAATGAAGTAGCTGGATTGATAGGGATGTGAAGACGTCCAATGGATATTCACTAAAAAGGATAATTAAAATGAATTCATGACATGATGCACAGCTGTCAATCAATCATAAAAAGCTTGGTTCTTTTCGCTCCTTACTCACAACATCCTTTCATTCTATATTTCCATTTTTCTTAATTTCTATATTTCTATATTTCTATATTTCACTTCCTTGTTCCAATCCTTGCGCAATACTGTATCACCTTATCACGTACCCCATCGTCAACAACATTCAGCCATTTCAGCCATTTCAATCTTTCCAATCATTCAGAAACAGCCTAAAACTGACCCCATTTCTCTCATTCTGACGCATCTCTTAAAGACAACAATACCCTGCATCGCAACACAAGATCTTATTCTTTCCTTTAACCAACCTCAAACTAGTGACTATCAAAGCCTTGCATTGTTTGTTTCTTGGATATAAAATCATGTTGAACCCAACTATCCTGGCATCGCAACATGCACAAGACCAAGAAGAAGTGCATTCGCATCTAATGCATCCCATTTCTCATCATCATCACTTGGGTACAGCTGCCAGATACACTACCGAACTAGAACAACATCATCAAAATCACTTGCAGATACAGCAGATACAACAGCTGCAACTGCAGCAGCAACAGCAACTGCGTATGCTACAACAACTACATCAACCACATCCACAACTGTTATTACAGCATCACCATAGCCTTGTCGGGCTTCATGGACAGCAGATGAACCAAAATAGCCAATTTACTCAAGAGTTACTCCCTGAAACTTATCTGCAGCAACAGCAGCTACAAAACGATCAATCCGAAGATGGGCGAGGTCGTCCATCAGAGACTGTTGCTGTCGAGTCGGGATTCCAGCGGAAGCGAAGTCTATCAGTTCCATTGCTCTCCATGGGTCAACAGCAACAGTCACAGCAGCAACAACAACTTTCAGAACAAGAGCAGGGTCCAACAGTTGCTGCAGTGGCAAATCAACTCTCAGGACAGACAGGCAAAGACGATGATGGTGATCAGAACATGGAAGCAGATGAGGATCAAGATAACGATAATAATAGTAATAATAATAGCAATAACAATAACAGGGACAATGGTGATCACAATAGAGAATACCGCCATCATGATAGCTCCAACACTTCCATCGAGAACGTCAATGCAAGTACAGTTGTATCAACGACAATTGTGGCACCAGAAGCTTCTTCCGTAGTGGTGTTTAACAAACTTGCAATATCACGAGAGACTTTTCTTGCATCGTTACCGCGAACGGTTCGCCACCGCATGTACGCATCAGGCCCACAGAATTATCCGCTGTATCATCATAATAATAGGCAAAGCAACAGCAGCTATACTCTGCGCCACCATCTGCATTATAACCCTTTTACATACCGAAAGTTCCCTCCTTACCAATACTGGGGAGCTTCTGCGCAGCGTGACTACCATTTGGCCACCATTGGTGTCAGTGTCTTCAACCGTACGAATGCACAATTGTTGTCTCATGGGACAGGGTCCACAACAGCATCAGTAGGGGCCTTGAATGATTCAGGATCAACTCGACCAGGATTAAGTCCGGGAGTAGGAGACATGGTGCTACGGTCTTCGGTTACGAATGGTGGTATAAACAAGACAATGTATCGATCAAGGCTACCCGTACATTTACGCCACATTACGTCTCGTATGAACAGACGTGCAGTGATATGCACTGATGCATACGAAAATGGCAGTGCGGGAGGAGAGAGGGAAGGGGAAAGAGGAGGAGGAGGAGGAGGAGGAGGAACGGAGGAAGAAAGTAATGTCAACAGAAACATAGCAGGAAATCAAAACAGCCAAAGAGACCTAGGCATGGAAGATTCTGTAAATGGGATCCTATTGTCAAGTTTAAGTATCCATGAAGGCTCGCCCCAGAGCACATCGACACCTCTCTTCGCTGCATCGGTCACAGAGAACAGTGACGGGAGTGGTGATGGCTTCAATTCAAGCTCAAATCCTGTTTTATATTCATCGCAATCATTATCTTCACTGGAATCAGATCGGAGGAAACTTTCGGACTGGAAGCGGGTATCAGCACTTAGTGTGGATATGAGTGATACGCAAGACAATCATATCGAAAGAGGAGTGACTATGCGTCATCGAACAGGCGATGATCTTCTGATGGGCAGTAGACTTTCATCTGGACTGAGGTTGTCTTCAGTCAACGGCAGCTCCACCGGTTTGAAGAGCAACAGTAGCAGTGGCAAACACTGGATGAGTCAACGAAACGGGCTGGCAAATGTGTTACAATCCGCTGGGGGCACTGGAAGCAAATCAGGCGCTGCTAGCACTGTAGATCGACTAGTTGAAGAGATGAATAAGTGGTCTGTTTAGAGGCATGGTGATGTCAAGGAAAAGCTCCATCTTACACTAGCTCTCTCTTTCCTGCATTAGAGCGCTAACATCCCGTCTATATAGAGCTATTTCAATGAATGTGATAAAGGCCGATGATTGACTATTAAATGCTTTTTTTTATTTAATATTTTCCTTTTCTTTTACTTCTTTCCAAACTTTTGCTGCATTTGCTTCAACTTCTTTTCACTATCTGTTCTTGATGCTGCAATAGCTTTCGCAACTGCCGACATTTCTTTTGAGTTTCCATTACCATTGGTGTTTGAGTTATTATTTTTGATAATCTTCTTTCCTTTAGCGCCTCCCTTTTGTGATTTCTTGGCAACTTTTGCACCATCAGTCTTGGCCTTCAACTTGTTGATCTTTCTGTTCTTACGTTCCTGTTTCCGATCAATCTCTCCAGTCAATTGTGTGGTGAAATCCCTTTCTACATCGTCATCATCCTCGATATCATCGTCGTCATCCTTATTTGATCTTGTTTTAGTGATAGCTAATGGTTTGCCATTAGCAATGGCTTCTGCTGCCGCTGCATCTTCTTCCTCTTTGACTTTCTTCCTGTGCTGGTCCACGATCTGACTCCATGATGCTCCTACGCCCAATTTGATAACTCTCTCGAGACGAAGCTTGTCCTTATCCAAAAGATCAACCTGTCCACGGATCAAATGCAAAGGGATCTTGGTCATGATCTCAGGTACCTTAACATTGCGGAAGAAAGAAATAGAAGTGGAGAAAGAAAAGAAGAAAAAGAAAAAAGTCAGTTCTAATAAATCTTTATATAAAAACTTTAGTTCCTTAATATTTTTTTTTTTTTTCGTTTACCTCAAAGCACTTGAAGTGATACCAAAAGAACTTTGCAAACTTCTTCTTCTCCTTTTCAGATTGACGTTCCATCCGACCAACACGAAGCGATTTGTTTGGGATAACCTTGTTACATTTTTGACAGACGCTCTTCTGTGACTGAGCATATTCAACGCAGTATGTGGTAACGACCATTTTTGTTTTTTCTCAGTTTCTCAAGTTGAATACGCAAGCTTGGTTAAAAAACTCCCCCTTTTTTTTTGTCGTAAGTAGAAGAAGGAATAAGTAATTTAAAATGAATTAAGTAAACTGTGAAGGAATGAAAGAATGGGTGAGCAAAACCCATTCTTTCATTAAAAAAGTGTTGATGAATGTGGCTTGGCACGTCAGATTTGTTTTTTTTTCTTTTTTCATAATTCAACTCTGTGGTTTGGTCTGAGAAAAGGAACAAGATTACACTTTACGCGTTGCATTTATTCTACCATTCTACATGGATAAAACATATGCAACATGAAAATGTATACATATAAAAATATGTCCTTATCTATCCTATCTATATCAATATCAGAAAAAAGTGAGATTTTTTTTTAAAAAAGAGGCTATTTAGACAATGTTGCAGGAGATCCTGTTGATCTTTGGTTTTCGCATTTATTGCCACCATTGGAAAAGAAAATTATGAAAGAATAACATAATAGAAATAAAAAGATGGTAATCCTAAGCATACTCATTGAGCGGTTCCCTCTTTCTGAGTCGGTCATGGCTGGCTCGACCTACCTCATGTTTTTATTACTACTTTTTTTTCCCTTTGAATGCGATATGAATTAATTTTGTCTATTGAATTATCATCAAGATGTTCTTGACGGTGAGAGTTCCAGGTGTTCAAGCAAAAGAATAACCGAGGCGCACTAAAAGGCCTATGCCGTATGCCAAAGTGCAGGTAAAAATGTAAACATAAGCATAGATGTAGATATAGGACAAGATCCAGAATCGTTGAAGTTCTGAGATAAAAGCTCCGACTCTCATAGGCACCATTCAAAGCAGGTGATGTCACGGTCCAGCGCGCTCTGTTTCATTCTTTGTCTGTACCTTTGTGTTCACAAAGAAAAAGAAAAAAAAAAAAAAAAACACAGATCGTTGCAGAACTTCTCCATCGAGAGTGGATTTTCGTGCAGCCGAGTGCGAGCAGTTGCTGTAACAGCGACCCTTTCGCGTTTTGTAATGAATTTTACACAGACTCCCTGGAAGGCTTCAGCCAAAAAGGGCATTGGAAGCTGAAGAAGAAGCTGCAGTGCTTGGGAGGCACGCACGGGGAGGCATTGTGATAGAGTTGTAGGGATCATGCTTTCCAGAAGAGAGAAAGGCTAACAATAATAAAGTTTAAGGCCCTGATTGATTATAAATAAAGCAAGGTCTTCATTTCATATCTCAAACATTTGTTCTCGCCGAGCGAAGCGTTTTAGAGGTTTATCATGCTTATTACCTGTATTAAGGAGTCCTCTTCTACTTTTCTAGACCTATATTGCCTACTCCTTTCACTGAGGCCGGGGTTTACCTCCATCCATCATTGGAACTCCTAGTAGAGGCGCAGTTTCTACTGACAGTATGATGAGTGAGGGATTCTCTATACACGTTAGAGGTTTTCCTCGTGCGAGTATACTCTTGATTGGTTACTACAACATATCCAGTTGTATTAATAAAATGGGCCTGCTTTCGACAATAAAGCCCCTGAAAGACCATATCGTTACTGGCTTTAAGGTACTGGTAGTTAGTGTATAGAGCAATGGGCGAGGAGGCCGTGGAATACGAAAGTGGATGGTAAGGGAAATCAGAAGATAAAGAAGTAATAGGCTTTCGAAGCCGCAAAATGCGTCCACAGCTGATCGTTAATCGGAACGAATTCAAAACTGTGCAGTGGAAACCGCATGATTATGGTTCTACTCAGAACGTGCCTTTTTTTTAAAAAAAAAACACTTTGGTAGCCAGTTGGCATGGTGCAGGTACTCATGTGCTCCTGCCACGCTACATTGAATTTTAACTAGACAATACAGGATATTAGCATTCACGCGCCACAGAAGTATTTATTGATTTTTTGACAGCAATAGAACAAAACATGTCTACATCTCTGACTATGAATCTTCATATTGTAGGTACATGTGGAAAGTACACGGCCTAGTAATCTATCAATCTGTCAATCCATCCGAATATATGCTTCGGACGGCACTGTTCCCCTAGGCAGAGCGCATATCTTTGTCTGAGCGGTTGACAATAGGCTTCGGCTGTAGGCGTAGATGCTCTAGAAGCATGGATAATTGTCCGTGTCCAACGATTGCTTTTCTGAGAAGGCGGCTGGGTAATGATCACTTCGCTCGCGTCACGCTCCGTCCTCCTTAGATATATTGGCCTCGATAAGATCATCAGGATGGATGGCCTTGAGTATCCACAGGAGGAGCTTCCGTGCAAACACTGTCCTTGACACTGAGATGGCGTCGTAGACCATCAGGCCTCGAGAAGAGTTTCTTGCAATGGTGGCATTTGAAATTGCGCTCTCCTTGGTGGACAGAGGCCTGATGACGCTGTAGGTCGTGCTTGCGGGAAAAGGCCTTGCTACAATTGCCCGCTGTACAAACAAATGGGCGGATCTGGTTGGGATCATGGGTCCGCTCATGAGTACGCAGATTGTACAGACGAGCAAAGCGGAGCTCACAGCCTGGGTGTGTGCAAGGGAAGCGCTTGGCTGCTTCACCTGCAGGCCGTGGTTTGCTCCCACCCTTGGTGGGCTTGCGAGGGCCTTTGCTGCTTCCACCGCGAGGGCCCGCCAACTCTAGGCGAACTCTCTTAAAAGTCGAAGCTGGAGCATCATGACGGCTGCTGCAGAGGTACGACTCGGATTCAAATACGGCAGGGACTTTCCGCTTGCAGCTGGACGTGGGAAGCAAGCCCGCTGCCTGGGCAAGATGACGTGAAGGCACATATTCATCATCGTCATCCTGCTCACTATCCGAGTCGGAGGGAGTGGCCTTTTCTTCTTCTTCGTCAATAGAGGCAGTGTCAGACATATTATCGAACATTGCCTTGGGATGGCTCCCTGGGGAGACTGAGCGTAAGGCTGGAGAGTAAGATGAAGAAGAAGGTGAAGCCGGAGCCGAGGAGAGAGATGACTCTGGAGAATCTGAGGCGGCATAGAAAGATTTTTCAGATAGAGGGCTATGCCCTGCTTCATTTCCAAAATGCTGTCGCTGCAGCGCTGGAGAATCCATAAACAGGGTAGCAGGCTCGATCGTATTACTGCTATTAAAGGATATACGAGGAGACATGGCCGGAATCTTGTAAACGAGCTCGGGAAATAAGGAGAAGGAAGCTTGGTCGCGTAGGTGACTGATTCTACTACTGCCGCAGCCATCACTCAGGCTGCAGTCCTCAAGGAAAAAAAATTGAGTCGCGTTGGTGTGATCAGGATCGATCCCGAAATCAGCAAGGTAAGGAGTCTCGAACGGAGTGTCGAGGTACGAGGGGAAGGGTGAATCAATGTACCCTGTCGAGAAATCAACCTCGTTATTGTCATCCGGGTTCTCATCTTCATGGTTCAGCGCGACAGCAGTGATACCTGTAACATCTGGCCCTTCCAAAAAGGCCGAATATCCATCGAAAACTAATGGTTCATCCATTCTGCTGTAGCTCTCTGGCAAGTCCATTGACGGGGTTTGTGGGGTTGGGTGAGGAGCTTGTTGGGTTTGCTGTTGATGCTGGTGGTATTGCTGACGCTGTTGCCCCTGTTGATGAGGTTGATACATGTCAGATTGCTGTTGAATAGATTGAAGAATTTGTTGCGAACTCTCCTCTTGCTGCACTTGCTGCAACGACTTGACGAGCTCGGACGCGCCAGTAAAAAGCGGGTAATCGAAGGATGCTTCATCAGACTCAAAGAGATGGAAGTCACTGGAGATAGTATTCATGTTCTTGGTGATGTGGTTGTTGATCACACAAACGTCGTTAACATTATCCTGGGCGGCAGTGGAAGAAGGTAAAATGTCATTCTCACGCAAGAGAGGTTGGAGGAGCGCAGCCTCTGACGGGACGAGAGCACTGTGAGGGCGAGGGCGAACATTGGCAGCGAAAGAAGAGTTGATGTCAGGGATGGGACTGGCCAAAGGGGTGTTGGAAGCCGAGAAAGAGGCTGAGGTGTTCAACTGGTGTGTATGAGACATTGTGACAGAAATCAGCGTAAGAGAAGAAAGAAGAAACAGTTGTAAAAGAAAGAAAGGGCGAGCTTTATAAGATAAATCAGGTATGGAAGTCTGAGTGGACAGGGTGAGAGCTAAATGAGCTGCAATCCAAATGAAATGAATGTGTTTCTCAAATGAGAATGAGAAGAATGAATTGCGACTAATGAAGAGCGACTGGGAGAGGAGAAGCGCAGAGGAAAGGAAGAACGATAAAGGCGATAGAGAAACGGGAAGGAGAAGTAAAAAAAAGAAAAGAAAATGGATGGTTAGTCATGATCCACGTTCTATAATACCACCAGGTGTCAAAAAGGGGAAATAAGAAGCATCCGTGCATAGTGCATTAAAGTTGTCCTTCTCTAGAAGTATGAAAAGTATGAAAACATAAAGGGCTGAAAGGAAAAAGGATGGGTGGAGAGTCTGCTGTCTGCAAGTAAAAAAGACACGGAATGGCAGAAAAGCAGAATGATTTGAGCGCAGAACAGATATGGATTCAAACAGATGTGTCAAAGATCACTTGGGCACTACGATCAGATGTAGCTTAACAAGTAGGATTACCTTGAAACAGGCACCCATCATCGGATGGGCCTATCCCCTCATTGGCTATCAATTGGGCACTTATCAATACGATATGCACCATACCGCAGTCGTACTGCATGTCGGTAAGTCTGCCCCCCCCCCCGTCGAGTGTGTATTTGTTTATTTGTGTATTTTTTTTTTTTTTTTTTTTTTATAAAAGTCTTCGCCACCACTTGCGAGTGAGACTTACAAAAGCATGCACTTCCATTTGACCCGTTATTGCTATGTATCCACTGATGGTCGCCACTTCATCATTATTGTACGCATTAATTAAAGAACTAGGGAATGGGTGTTTGCTTTTCCTTATTCAACGGAAAGCTTTTTATTATTATTTTTCTGAAAAGGAATAAAAGGGAATATGCAAAGGGCGGTATATGAAGGGTCTATTGTTTTTCACCTTTCTAACTACAACACGGGTAGCGAACGACTTCGTCTCTACTTTATCACCTTGTTATGTTTTTTCTTTTTTTCTTTTTCAATTTTCCAAATATGTTTGTGCATGCGTGTCAATGGCCTTTCTTTTTTTTCCTTTTTCAGTCTCGTATTGAGCACAGAAAGTCAAAATGGTATCGTGTCGCTTTCGAACATGCAGACATTAAAAAAAATTACACAAACCCTTCCGAACCCTGTGCTTCCCTCCAAAAAAGTACTGCAACTGGTGTAACGAACTTCCAATATTTCTGTTACATCCAAACCCTCATGCTGTTTGCATTGTTGCTAGAGCAATGGGAAGAGTAGAATCGATTGATGTAACAGGGAGATTGCATAGCCACATTGAAAAAAATTTTCAGCCTTGACCTTTGGGACCAAGTCGTATCTGTACAGACACTTACTTTGTAAAAAAGAATTCTGTAGCGAATGTCGTCGGAAATGTGTGGATTAGAAAAAAAAAAAAAAAAAACACAAGAAAACTAAGAAGAATGAGGAGGAAGGAACCTCTTCTTGGCCTTTTTCACCAATTGTAATTGTGTTTTGCCACCATTTTTTTCCTTTTTGGATATGGTTCACTGCAGCCACAATCAAGGTTTGTAACCGTGCGTAGAAAGGAGTGACCTGCACTGTTCATATTTAATATTTATAGGAGGCACAGCGTTTATGTGAGACCTTTTGTTTTTTTTATTCTCCTGCCCAATAACTGAGGCCCAGGGAGAAAAATCCCTGATAGAAGTCATTCAATTTGTCGAAACTGTTCATGTTTTGGTTCCCACGCACTTCAAAAGAGAGAGTGCTTCTCACTGACAAGGCTTTGGTATCGGAAAGTGACGACATACTCAAAACTTATAGTATCGCTGGATCTCCAATGTAAGCTTTCATCGTTGCCAGGCATTATACTTGTATTGGTGTCTTGGTCCACGACGAATTTCCTCAATATTCAGGTGCCCATTAACATTTCTGAAGCCAGACTCGTCCGAAAAGAAAGCTCGTTTTATAGGCGTGGATGTGTGATAAAAGACTTATACTCGAACAATAGAGAATCATGCTCGATCAGGCAAACTACAAACCCCTTACATGAAGTAGTACGGCGATGTCGCATCAAATAAAATAAATTATTAAAAATAAAAAACAAAACCTTTGATTCAAGAGAAGTAAAGTGATGTAAACCCACTACATCTGGTACAGCGACCAGAATAGAAAGGGGTCATTTACTTCCAATACCATCACCCATATCGAATGTACCCAGCGATATTTAAAGACGTAAAAAAATATATACCGGGAAATGCCCTCAAATCGTAAACACCTGCAAAACCAATGGCACAAGCCAAGAGAAACTAGAAGCTGGATAATGTGATCAGGATATGCCTCATGTAGGAATGAACACTATAAGACTGCAATCCTACACAACCATACTCCGAGTAGATATTGATCCTGGGAGCCATCAGTTAGAATCCAATGCTTTCATAAGGCATTTTCTGTTTTCATAAGGATCATCATGGCATTTGAAATACATTTAGGCGTAACTTAGCTCTAGAGGCCAACACACTGGAGCCATGGGCAAGCAGCACACTCAGACCGGGGTGCGGCAGTCAGGCTATGGAGGAATAAACTACCACTAAGCCCAAGAACCATGAGAAAGCAAATGTAATGTGCATCTTCGAGAATATGCAATATTCTGACTCCATTCAGGGTTTCCAACCAGATCAAAATGAAGAAATATGGGCCAAAAGGCGCACGATAGCAGAACTTATAGGCATGATAGCACTGCCAGGCATCGTTAGAGCCAAGCTCATGGTAGATAGCTTCAACAACACTGGGAAGGTTCGACTACGTTGACAGTAGGAGCCCGAGATGTCTAGTCAGCTGAGGGCTCGCTGCCGGGGTTAATGTAAGATAGATTAGAAGGTGGAGGATTAAGACATTGCTGTGGGTCCCGAAGTCGTGGATACAATATGGCTCTGTTTTATATGGATCAGGCGAACACAAGATAGCTAATTAGAATGAAGTATAAAGAGAAGTAAAGGAATTGCCTTGAGAGAAGAAAAAGTCCCTTTATTTCTATGCTTTAAAAAGTGCCCGTCTGCCGCGGAGGCGCGGTATTGTACCACCAATCATTCGTTGCCATATATCATCGATATCACTCTCACAAGTGGGCACCAACAATAAGCTAAAGTGTAACTGCGCCGCAAATTTCAGTCCAGACTCCCATGTTCAAACAAGTAATGCCTCAGACATCAAAAACCCTATTGTTAAACAACTAACTAGACCTTTCGGCATTCTCGGGCCGTGCGTGCTCGCAATTGGTCATCACAAAGGAATGGACTACGCTACTAACTACATCTCATTGACTCTGAGGCAAGCAAAAAGCAAAATCTTGTGCCACATTATTTATTGAATGATCTTTCGTGGTGCTGCTGCCATTCTTCTTCTTACATTTGAAACAGGCTCGAGGGCTGTGGCATCGTGGATGGATGAATAGGTTTAATAAGTCAGCCTTGATTGCGATCCCAACCCAAAAAGCCTATAGTGGTCGTAAAGGCCTTGTAATAGCGTAGGTGATATTACTTCATGCCTGTGAATCAGTCTTCAGTTATGCTTGGTCTAATACTTTTGCAATCCAAAACCTGTCTGGCTACGAAAAATTTAGCTCGACTAAAAAAAAGATGTTTACGAGTTACTTCTTAGTTGTTTTTTTTATTTTGGCGTCAGACTAAGCTGCTGGGTGCATTCGATCTCTTCTAATGTCTACCTTCCTGTTGAATGGGTTGTTTGACTAAATTGGCCTTTTGAATAGTCTGAACGAGGTGCGGATTTATCTAAAAATTTAGTTTGCTCTCTGTTCTCTTCGCAATGCCGTGCCTCCACAGACCCTCGCTTTTTATTAAGAAAGACTCGCACTCATTCGCCAAATGTGTACTCCTCAAAATAATCTTGTCCCAACATAGACTCTCTCTCCCCCTTGCTCTCTGGCATACTAAATCATAGAAGGGTAGTTGTGGGTTGACTGAATATTTCCGGCGTTGGGCCCGTCCTGAATCCTAATAATTGTACTAATTTAGACACAAAAGCACCTTATCCTAATGGGATATTTTCTTATGAGTACCTGGCTCATACGTCAATTGCAGTTTGAACATGGCCTTAGTTTTTTGTGTTTTTTTTTTTTTTTTTTTTTTTTTTTTTGGTGTTGACGAAAAAGAAAGAAGAAAGGTTAAAATAAGAAGCTGCTCTTCTAGACAAAGGAGCAAAAGGATCATCATATTGCATTAGTCTAGGACGATGATGCCCTCATGAACCACAGAAAAAACCGAGAACCGCTCCACAAGTAATAAAGGCACTACAAGTGATTCACTGAGGGAAAGTTGACTAACAGGATTTGCCATATATTTTATACTAATGAAGAAGAAAAGCTGTGTGGACTGTCGAAAGAGCTGTTTTTGCGGATCCATTGCAGCTCACCACAACTTCTGTTATTTGTTACTTTAAAACTCTTCTTGGCTGGGAGTGGAGGACAATTCAAAATCTGCCTTACGCGTCTTGTTCACGTGGCATGACCTCTGTCGAAATACAGAAATGTTGATCCATGCGCGTCGTACTTGCACAGAGCCAAAGACGCGCCTCTATTTCACTCTCAACCAATAAAGCCCCAGGTTTTGACACGAAAAAAAAATAGGGGTCTTAAGAGGCATGTAATATTTTAAATCATTGCTGCAGGGCTCTGCTATCAATAGTTTGTCTTGAGTATTTTTTCGGAGTTTGTTATTCGGGCAGCTGTAAAATCGGAACCAAGCCACTTACTCCGCCCTTCTCTCGGTGTGTTTGTCCGATTGTGACATCAATCCATTAATCCGTCCACTTGGATCACATCTTCCTCTCTATCTCCATTAACTCCATTTCGTCACCATGTCTGGCATCACTCTTGTCAACCAGGTTAAGGCCTCCAAGTTCCTCTCAGGGCTTCTTCAACCCGTCGCCAATGCCTTTGTCAACGCTGCCGGCTATCGTCAGCTCGGTATGTTTTTCTATCTTCCTTTATGATCTTGCACAATCACGATTATTTCCGACCACATCCATTTATTTCTTAAATGGGCCATATACGATAACTATGCGACAGAAAAAAAAAAAGACTCGCTTTCTACTTCATGTAGAATGTAATATGAACAACCCCGGGATGTCCTTTTTCACTTGGAGAGCAAATGAATGCTGTGTTGTTACTTCTCCGGAAGACGGATATTGTAGAACAGCATGAAAATCCGCGTTTGTAAAAGCTTGCAGAAGAAAAAAAAAAAAAAAAAAAAAAAAAAAGCCATCAGGAACTTTTACCTAATTACGACTAGACTACAGGACATACACATACGCCTTGTAATCAACGTCTCGACCTCTAGTATTTTTCACTGAGAACCTAATTATTGCACGGAAGAACAATAGACAGGAGCATTTCAGGATGTAACCGTCATTTAGACAATTGCCACTTTTTTTATTTTTACTTTATCTCCATGAAAAGCACAGTCATATTCGTTTTCTTGCTATTTTTCTTACCAATTGCCTTTTTTATCATTATTATTTTTATTCACTGTTCTTCAGGTATGCGTTACGATGACATCCTCCGCGAGGAAACTGACATTATCCGCGAGGCTATTCACCGTTTGCCCGAGGAAGAGAACTATGCACGCGTATTCCGTATGAAGACTGCTTTCCAGTACTCTTTGTCCCACACCGTAGCCACCAAGGAGAATACTCTCAAAGCTGAGGATGATATCAGATACCTCACCCCCATCATTGACGAGGTTGCTGCCGAATATGCTGAGAGGGAGGACTTCAACAACATCAAGTCATTCTCCAAGTAAAAATAAACATGCAAAAAAGGTGGAATATTAAAAGAAAGCTGATGATTCATAAAAACCTTCAGTTTAGTTTGGAAGGAGTAGATACTCTTATGGCAATAAATGATTAAAATATATAAAAGACGAATATGTCCTCAATATCATTGTTAAGCACTACAGACTGAAAGGACCATGTAATAGAATACCATATAAATCGGTTCATGTGACGCAGAAAACGAACTAATACTCCGCAGCAAACATAGTTTTTTTTTTTCTCTTTCTTTCTTCAACACCACCAAGCTCTACCATCTATAAACCGCCATCAATATCGTCGCCAACAAGAAACCCAATGCCGCCACCACCAGTAATCCGCGTGTTTAGCTTGCCGGAGCTTGCAATTGTTATAGTACACTATTTGGACACGAAAGATGTTGTCGCTTGTTCGGCGGTATCCAAGGCTCTACATGGTGTCTTTGTACCTTTTGTATGGCAAGATCTTCACTTTGGAAAAGACCGATACTCTAGAGCAATATATTCCATGGATAAAGGTCTAACACCATTAGCACGAAATCTTGGCTTCTGGTACAAACCCATAATTGGATCAATAAGTCATTCTCCAAATAAACAGGAGCAAGCCCAAGGACAGCCACAAGAACAAAACCAAGAACAAAATCAAGGACTACAAAGAAAGAAGGAGAAAGAAGCTCAAGAGGCTCAAGAGGAACGCGGTCGTCAGGATTTCGAGTTATTAAGGTCTCTCCAGGAGAAGGCGCCATTAATTAAGTCAATATCAATTCGTGATCAAGACTCCATCCTTCCATTCAAGTTGGGTAGTGTCTGCACACGTCTGGAGTCCATTACTTTGGATGGCCTTTCGCTTAAGAACGCAAAACACACGAAGGAACATTGGGATGCTTGCAAAACGATGGTGGCACGGAATCGCAACCATATCAAATCATTGCATCTGATACGATGGTTCGACAACTGGGAGAAGAAGCCGTTGTTCGGTCAGCCCGTATGGAATCCTATCTTGAGGTGCCGCGCTTCTTACAACTTACGGTCGCTAACACTGGAGAATACACGCATCTTAGGGCGGCACATGTCGGCATTTTGGGCCATATGCAAGAGACTGGAGACATTGAGGATAATCGAAGTCTGCTTAGACCTAACCCATCCACAAGCGACAGTCGGAAACACGGGTTTAAAGGGGGAGCCTAAGATCACAGAGAAGGTGGCGATAGCGGTAGCCTCGGAATCTTCTGAGATGGCTATATCTAGAAGAGCAACATCAGCACCGATATCAGCATCTGTTGTTGCTGCGGAGGCGAGGCTTCCTCTGCTCCGAACTCTTGTACTTCATGCGTTGCACCCACATACTTCAATGCGACAGCTGGAGCAAATCATTGATCATTGCCCTGTCCTCGAAACACTGGACTGGAAGATAGCATGCTCTTCTCCCATCATACTCGCAGACTTCATTGTTGGTTTTGAAGAGAAGAGATGGCCAGAGTTGGACTCGATTTGTATCACCAGCTATGGGGTTTCAATCTCGGAAAAAGCCTACCACAGACTCATTCAAGCAGCCACAGACAGAAAGAAATTTTTACGCCGACTCGATATGCCATATCATTTTGCTAAGCCTGAGACATTTACACTGATGCAACCCCACTATGCAACGCTCGAGTCTCTTGATATCAGTCGTTATACTTACCTCGATCCTTGTGGTGCGAGTGCCCAGGTGATTGAGATATTGACGCTCTGCCCCAATCTCCAAAGATTTCATGCCACGTTACTAAGGGGCCAAGATATTATCGAGTCTAAACCGTTTGTTTGTAAGAGCTTGAGAGACTTCAGACTGTTCATTGATATGGAGTTTCCAAATAATGGCTCTATCCGAAGGTTCTCCACAGATGAAATTCAACAATGTCGCGCTGTATTTAAAAGGCTATCAGTATTTAAAGATCTCCGCCAGCTGGATTTACTTCATACGTTTGATACAGTCTCTACAATCTTCAGACCTCCTTCTTCCAGTCGTTTGCATGCGAAATATCGGCTCGTTCCTTTGCCGTTCCGTATCAAGGCTGGACTTGATTTGTTGGCAGGATTGACAAGACTGGAGAGAGTTTGTTTCTGGGGCGGAAGACAAAAGGTTCACATGGAGGATATAGTTTGGATGGTGAAGCATTGGAAGGATCTCAAGTCGCTTATAGGGAGATGGCGGATTTTGTGGTGTGATAGGGTGCGTAGGAAGGATGATTTTTTTGTTGGAGGAAAGATCTATGCATACTTGAAGAAACATGGGATCAGCACTTCTGGCAGTAACTTTAATACGTATTATTTCAACCCACTTGATGATATCGAATGTGTAGACTGCTATGAGTCGAGCGATGTAGAAGAAGAGAAAGTAGTAGAAGAAGCAAACTTAAAGTTAAAATAAGATGACACTTTGTACGGAATACCCCTCCGGAATACTCTCGGTCGTCATGTTCAATAAGTCAATGATAGGTATCGGGCTGTAGCTGCAACTAGTGCAGTTACTTTGTTATGTTCCTACCCTATAGCCCCCTTAAAAGGTTTGTCGTGTGGTAGCCCTCGGGAGCGCAGGAGTGTCCGTGCCATATTAAGTGGGCTACAACATTGTCAGGCTTGTGTGGAACGCTTAGTGCTATTAGTAGACTAAGTCTAATGCAGGTTGAGCGCAAGCAAATAAAGTCCTTGCATACTCAAAAGCACCTTTGCTCTACCTCTTCATCCCCCCGGCCCCCTTACCACTCACTTCCTCATTACTTCATTGCCTTATTACCTCATTACCTCATTACTTCTTGGCAGCGCTTTCGCTCTTGAAAAGAAAAGAAAAAAAAATTCAATATATCTTATCTTCGCAATTGTTGCCCTTACTCTCCTAGAACGCACAAGAAATAAAGTTTGTGTTATTCAACAAAAATTTTTTACATGGATTTAGTAGTTCGAAATATTTCCGAGCCAACCCCATGACAATATTTGGTGGCAAATTTATGAACATCTTGCTCGCCCCACTCAGAGACAACACGAGTTCTCAGTCTGATCATTATCATTAGAGGTCCTTTAAGGATTGATGATACAAGAAACAATCAGTCTATTGGTGAACTATTGGGTATAAAAAGATTGACGATCTATTATCTCTTTAACCCCACAGCAAGTCTCCATTATAAAAATCACTGGCACTTCATGGAGGCAAGCTAAGGGTGCCCACAAACACAGGACATGCTCGAAGTATGGGCCTATAGGCGGCCACCAGATTGCTATGAGTACACCGGAGCATGTTCTCACAGACGGTTTTCTTTTGGGGCAGATCTTCAGCTTTCAAAAGTGATATATCCTCACAATGATAAAAATAACGCTTAAAACAGCAGCTCGAATAGATGAAGCCTATTGAACACCGTGTAGTGTTCGTCCATGATATCATTACCAGCATGTGTTTCCCCTATACTTCCTTCAGTTCCTTCGAACTCGTCTTTTCGCACTCGAAAAGTAGCCCACAGCGGCCAAGCTTACTTTGACCACGATATGGTCGGAGAGGGAAAACAGTTCTCGTGCCTGCTGGTCCAGGTTTGGTTTCAAAAGAGGCCTGGAAAGGTTCTTGTTTACACAGCTCATCTCTGACAACAACAATTGGAAGGCAAATCCCTTCCCTTGTGTCAGCTATAATGTTTTTTTGCCTTCATGGCTAGAAGATGCCAATGCGCAAAAGCCACGTGCAGATCAAGAATTCCACTCCTTGTCATTCCAAAGGTAATAAATAAACTTTTTTTTTTTTTTTTTGCAAATCTGTACGAAAATGTTTAGGGCGATGTCTAGCTTCCTTGCAGCTCCTGCAGAAAGGGAAAGAAAGAATCTTTCAGTATCAAGCCCATGCTCACATACAGCAACATCTGCATACTTCAATGAGAAGAATAGAAATAAGGAAAGGAAGGAAACCTATTACAACCAATTGCGGCGGGATGAAATATTCTAAACGAGAGAGTACATGAACTCATCCTTGCCTTGAATCCTATGCAATGCAACATAAAATATACTTGCTTCTTTGCTCAAACATGGACATGTACAGAGCTGCACTGTTACGAGGTGAAGAATGGATCGAAGCATGCCGAAATATACCTATTTGTTTATAAATACATCTACTATATAGATACAATTAATCTTCTTCTCAATGCATGAATCAATACATTTAACTATTATTTATTTATTTTATTATAAACATGGGCAAGAGTAGCAACTATCTCCGAACCATCTCTTCTCTCTTTCTTCTTTTTTTTACTCCAATCTCCAAGCTGCCCATGTATGATGCCATATACATGTATTCTTCTTTCTCCCGTGGGTCGGTCTTTTTTTATGCTTTTATTCATGCACTTTGCATCTTCAAAAAGGCAATTAATGGAACCAAGGTTGGGCAATATTCATTTTTATTTTTTACAATCCCATCCAATGTATTTCCTCCAACGTCAACTGCTGTGGCAACCCCTGATCAGTTAGCATGGTTCTAATGGCCTGTGACACAGACTTGTCCCACATCAGTGTCAGCTGTTTGAGGGCTAATTGAGCCCGAAGCATTTGGTACAATGTCCCGAATTGCATGAATGTTGTCTGGCGTACATCCCCACGCGCCTCTCCTGTGCTCATACTTATATCCATATCTATTCCGCTACCAAAGAGGAGTCCTTGCCCTTGATTTTGGCTTTGACTAACGGAGAATATAGAAGACATATACCCATTAGTTACTACAGGATCCATGGCTCGGAGTGAAGGTTGATCGATCCAAAGTGTTAAAGATTCAAGGTTCCTGCACGCCCAATGTGTTGTCGATATTGATGCTGATGTTGATACTGATGCTGATTTTGAATCTAATACCACTCTTGCGCTTGGGGTTGCATTTGTGACTGATCCAATGGTTACCGCAGTCGTTGTTGTCATCGTCCTTTCCATTGACGAAACCTCTTGCTTAGATTTACTCTGATCCTTGTCTTTGACCATTTCCGGAGACATTTCAGCATTATTGCCACTGCTTCTTCTGCGAACAAGCTCACTGAGTGCAACATAGTCTCCTTGGACCTCCAGCTCCTTCAAATTGGGACACTGTTCCAGCACCGTAACCACACCTGACGTCCAATGGCCCATTCTCCCCCGAAATTTCAATGTCACGATCGTGTGGGTGGAACGGCATAGTAGTGCCTCAATCAGCGCTCCAGGGTTTGTTCTAGTTGACTCTGTGATAGCCAGATCGCCCCGATAATCTCCTACACAATCCAAAACCATTTCACGTAACTTGTTATTACTGCTACACTGAACCAATGGGAGAATACTACTAACACCAACGCCGTATCCTAAATCGTGATGGAATGTGTGTAGCATTGGACAACAATTGATCACAACAGGCAATAAAGCCCCATAGGCTCCAGAGCTGAGTTGCGGAAGTTTTAGCATCTCGAGTGATGGACATTGTCTTAATAAAGGTGCCAGGACAATGTTGTCGTATTCAAACAAAGACTCGTGGAAGAACAATCTTCGAAGGGCTGTTGGCTGAGATAGCTCCATTGGGCTGGGTTCTTCGTCAGTCTTATTATAGATGTCGAGCCATATCTCGAGCTCTTCTAGATTGGGCGGGCAATGGGTCAGAACTGCGATCAGAGCGCGAATATCCATCCGCATATTGATCGACAGCCTTCTTAAGGATGTATGAACTGAAAGGGTTTTGACAACTTCATCTGTGAACGGTTGAAGATAAATTCGATCTATTAAATGCTCGATCCGAAGTGTCTGTAGCCCAGGGTTCCTTGCAACTAACGAGAGCGCGTTTAGGGATGGATCAAGACGAACCCAGAGTGGATCGTATGATTGGTACCATTGACGACGAGTAGCCTCATCTTTCGGTGGCCAGGCCAAGGATCCGAGGTTGAGACACGAGAGCGTTTTTAAAAGCGTGCAGCCAGAGCTGTGGACAAGGAGTCGTGCATCAGCGAGGTCAATTGTTAGGTTTCGGATTCGATGTGTGTTTTCAAGGATACTGGATGTTTGAACTGAGTCGAGGCTGTAGGCCATCACATCCCGAAAGCGATGTGGTCCAAAAATAAGACTCCATAGCTTGCTGACTCGATAGCATTGCCAAATGTCCTTTGGCTGCAGCAGCTCAACAATAGTAGCGATGATCAATGAGTTGTCAAAGATCGAAGGATGTGGGGCAACCATAGATTAAGGGAGAGGAGGTTAAAAAAATAAAAAATAAATAAAAAAAATAAGGATGCTAGTATCGTGAAGGAATTTGAAAGTGCGAGTAAGTGTATTTGGGGGTGTATGGCGTGGGATGAAAAAAAAAAAAAAAAAAAAAAAAGGAAGGAAAGAGTTGAGTGCTGTGTACTTCTCTATTTCGAATAATAAAGTGTAGAGTGTGGGAATCAACAAGTAAAAAAAAAAAAAAAAAAAAAAAAAAAAAGAGGAGGATTAAAAGTGAGTGAAAGAAAAAGAGAGAGGAAGAGAGAGAGAAATGAAAAATAAAATAAAGGTTGTAGCACAGACCGTTGGTGATATTGGCTTTGGAAGCATTGGTCGCATTGGTCGCATTAGCGAAAATGGCAGTATCGACAGCATAGAGCATTGGCAGCAATGAAAAAACGAACAAACAACTGATGCATGTGTACACCTCTTGTTCCTTTGTTATTTTTTTTTTTTTTTTTTTTATTGTCCCAATTGGTTTGTCGATTGAGGTGCTCCACGAGCGTCATTCTGCAGAGTACATTATATTTTGCCATGTACAACATTCAGGCATCGCTCAGCGTACAATCCTCTTCCTGCCCTCTTTATTATTTTCTTTATTTTTTATTTTTTTACTCTTCCTCCCACACCTTGCTCTTACTCCGCTTACCAACGATTTCTTTAGAATTCTTTTCTTTGCCATTCCTTGTTTGTTTGTGTTTGCACCAAGAGTTGGAGATAAAAGATGAAGAGGATTAGCAGTAAGGAAGTGTACCTTGTGCTCAAATGGAACCTTGTTAAATGAATTAATTTAGTAAAAATAAAATACATAAAAATGTACTGTCTGTATTCCGTAACTGTGACAATGTCTCAATAAAACAATGCATGTATCCTCATTTTAAGAGATCATGAGCGAATGAATCTTCTCAGCACTCATCAGATCTTTTTTCTTAACCTTCCTTTTCAAAGTACACTTTCTACATGTTGAAATGCATAAAAGCCAAAGTTTACTTGTTATTGTATTCTTATTATTATAATATTGCAATTTTTTTTTTCTCCTTGTCTCCCAATGGGAATGAGTTTTTTTTTCATTTTTTTCGGCGTGGCAAACATGCAAATAAAACACAGCAAATGGTAAAATAGTCCTAAGATGAACTGATTGAAATCCTCAAAACTCTTTTTTTTTTTTTTTTTTTGATAAAATTTTTTTATTATTCCCAAGGACCCACCCGCTCTTTCGTGTCCATTAATGGGAAAGTTTCTGTGGGCAAACGTTAATTTCTCTGGGCGCAAGAGCAGGGGCAAGGCAACCGGCATGTGGGCGCATGATGTTTGTGTACTGTTGATTATATTTAATCTTTTACACCATCCAACATTTCAACATATACAATGGACACTTGGAATGTGGGCATTAACATATGTATATAATATATATTGTAATTATTACTCTCTAGATCCCCTTTAACCAGATCTATCTGACCAATCTTATAACTTAGTTGATCTTGGTTAGCTCGTAGGGTCAACGGAATGTCCGGTCCGGTATTTGATTCATAAAATATATTTGGCATAAAGCTATGAACAAATTTATTAAAATACAGTATAAGTTTTTTTTTTTTTTTTTTTTTTTTTTTTTGGTCTAAACATCCTTTGGAGGAACGGGTAGAGGTGTCCATCGTGCGCCAATGCTGCTGCCTTCTGGAGAGGGCGCTACATGATGTTGATAAACTTGCTGTTGTTGTTGCTGTGCAGTCTGCCATTGTCCCGGGCCCTGTCCCCGACCTCTCTGGTCATCAGAAGCCGCCGGCGGCTTCCACTCCATGGCCTCATAAAGCTCTCGATTGTCGCCATACTTTTGTCGTTGCAATTGTAAATGCTGCATCTGTGCATAAGAGAATGATCCTGGTGTAGGCATTATTGCTGGTAATGATGGTTGTGAGTCCCGTCGCTGCTCGGTCATCTCTATCCGTTCTTCTCCGCCAATGTCATCATTTTGTACGTCCCTTGATGACTGAGATGGCCGTGCCGAGGGCCTGTTTGAGATAGGCCGGGGACGAGGTCGATACGCGTAATGGTTATAATCAATACCCTCATCCTGGGTTTCTGTATCCCAAGCAATTGCTGATAAATCAATTCCATTCTCCTGGTTATTTTGATGCTGCTGTTGCTCCAATACATTATGGTCACGCAAGGGTGCTGTCGTACCAGGAGATTTAGCTAATTTATATAACCTCACAATCCTAGTTATCATATAAAAAAAAAGATGGCAAAAAGTTTAAATACAGGATCATTGAGGTGTAATAACTGTTTTTTTTTTTTTTTTTTTTTTACCTGACGTTCAGATTCCGCTGGCAATACGTATGTAAATGCTCATCCTTGCGTAATGAGACCAATTTCCCCATGCGGACCAAAACTAGGATAACAAGCGCTCCCAGGAACTGAACAAGATTGCAGACCTGAAGCATGATATTCAAAGCCAAGGCGAAATGTGTGATGCCGCTCAATTCTGGAAGATTCAATGTCGGCGTCTCGCCTCGGTCTTTCAGTGATTGTTGGTATCCGACCTGGACAAGAATAGTACAATTGATAACAAGGCGAGGGAGGTCGCATAGAAGATGCTGCATCCAGTCTACATTATTTTTTTTTTTTTTTTTTTTTTTTTTTTTTTGTTTTTTGTTCATCCATGGACAAATATAAAAAAAAATTGATCGTAATTTCGGTTACATTTTTTGTATTACAAAACATTTAATCATCTCTAGCATTTCAACCCAGACATTCCTTTGCATTTTTTTCCCCCTTTGCTTCCTTCGCTTGATTTGCTTACCTCGCAATGTGAACCATGCAAAAAAAACGACGGCATCCAATAGTCCATATCCTTGTCCAATTCTTTCAAAAAACATGAATCTCTCATGGTTGGTCAAGCAAACCCATCGATAGGCTTCTCTGCTCACGAAAATAGCTTGAATATGCCCTTTCTTGAGTACCTGGCTAGCTCTCCATCCGCCAAAGAGCATGATTGCTATAGATCCTGTCGTCGCTAAAGCATAGATCACCAAACCTGAGCTATTTCCTTTCCCAATTGAAGCCTTTACCCATCCAGATAAGAAGACCAAAGAAAAACAGTCCAGTAATAGTGCGAGCAAAGGCTTGAATAATAAAGATGCAAAAAGATATTGCTTGATGGTGCTGTGCTTTTGCGGGTTAGCGATAGAGCCCAGATCCAGCTCCTTGGAGAACGTTGGGACTGTAACTGCCACTGACTGAAGAAGTAGTGAGCCGACACGTTTAGGTCCTGTGGTAGAGCTATAAAACTGTGAAGTCTCAGTGGGAGGCGGCTGTGGTAGCGGCTGTTCCATTGTAAAGTTGCAAATGTGTTGGCAGGCACAAGTTGATTGCGACAAGAATGAAAGTAAAGAAGGGTTGTAAGGAAAGTGATGGTCAAGATGTAATATAAATAAGAATCAGGAGTAGGCTGACCACGCGGGTTTGTGCGCAATGACGAAAGGGGAGCTGCAGGAGATTACGCACAACAGAATGAATAACAATGAGTTTGGACAGTAAAAATGCAGCGAATCCTCTCAGTGCACGCTTTGGGAGCGCTTTTGGGACCACGTGATAAATTTTTGTGTAACAAAGAAAAAGCAAAAGCAAAAAGCGCTGTTGAAAAAAAAGCCAGGAAGTGAAGAATCTTTCAAGACCCCATTTGCAGAACTGAGGATAATTTTTTTACAGCGCTTTTACTTTTGCTTTTTCTTTGTTACAGCATCTCCCTTAACTGTGTACAATAAAAACTATCTACATGGGCCCAAAAGCGCCCCCAAAAGCGTGCACTGAGAGGAGCTTTAAATAACCTAGGAAAAGTACGAGCAAAAAAAATAAAATAAATGTAAAGCGAGAGTAAAGGGTAAAAATGGAGATCTTGAAAAATGGCTGAGGGATCCGAGTGTGATAGTTCAGTATGCTTGTATTTAATCATTTCGTTCATTGTACGCAGATGATCACAGCCGCACCTTTTCTTTTATGTTTATATGTTTACCAGTTAAAAGATTTTTTTCTGTGCACAGCACTTTCTGTCCACACCACACTGCCACCATTTTTGAGTGTCTTACATGTACTTTTTGCAAATCATTTTTGTGTGCCAAATTATATTTATTATTCGCTTTATTGTCCAAAAATTCCACAGCACAACCTGAATCTCTGATCTCTTGCTTCCATTTTCTTTTGGACCTTTGCTTTCGTTGCTTTCATTTATTATCCCTATATATTTTTTATATTGTCATGGTCGCTACACGTTCCACACGTTCGCCGTCATTATTGCCATTATTACTGCTATTTTCTTTTATAGTTGCCTAAAGGAAATGACTTCGCCCAAGATTGTAAGACAGTAACAAGGGTCAAGTGCAAACCTAAAATGGAAAGAGTGAGACATTATCAGACCTCTATTAAAGTTGAAGGTCTCTTTCTCTCACCTTCTTTCATTCACTGTAATATCTTTCGTCCTCAATCCTTTCAGCACCGAACATTGATTGCAGCATAAACTCTACATGTAGCCTGTGCAACAGCGATAAAAGAACGCACACGGATCTGCCGTCAAATACAAAGCTAATTTTATTTATTACCCTCCATGTTGTTACTGATAGCGCCCCTAGAACAAGGACATGCAGTATTTTCGATGACTCAAGATACGACCGACCCACCTTACTCTTGCTTGAGAATCTTTTTAATTTCTCTCCGATTCAACTGCACTTTTCCTTCTCAATTTCAAGTTATTTGCTAATTCAGGTTCATGCTCTCTCTCTTGCTTTTAAATTTAGATGACGGATCCAATTCAACATCTCGGCAATGTCTCATTGTGGAAAACGTTGCGAATCCAAATCCAGTCTCAAAAATCACAAGAGAGATTATCATAACCATTGTAACGTTGTATTCATAAACTCGCAAGGTGTTGAGGAGAAACTCAATCTCGAGAGAAAAGAAAACAAGTAGACTTGTCCTTTTTGTCCAGCAGAATTTGTTCCAGGAAGAGGTGCTAAATACCACGTCGGAAAGAGGCTGTGTCCAAACCTTAGACTCAATGAACTTTTATCAACGTCCTGCACCGAATTAACTGCGTGTGATTTGCTCATCCCTTCCAACTGTGACCTTTTACCAACATCCACCAGTGCCGAATTACCTTGCATTATTTGCCTCATAAAGCAGAGATATTTCCTCAAAAGAGAGGGTTTGAGGAATTAGTTCTAAGCGCCTGTCGTCAAGTTGAAAGCACAAGCCGCGATAAAAGGCGAACTCTCTTTACTGTAGAGGATCTTAATCTTTCGCCAGTCAGTCTTAGATGAATCACTGGGTTCGACTACAATCTCCTTTCTCACAAAACAATTTACGAAAAGCTTCCTGCAGACAGTCCGTTCCATGTTACAATTGATTCAACACTGCAACCAAAGAGCCTTCAAGAAGGTCGATGTACTAAATGTTGCCCCATTCCATGTGCAGGCTTGGAGAGCTTAATTGATACATCGCCTTATTCAACACTACTTCGTGGGATTATTTTCATGGAACTGAACGAAGGCATTTGCAACATCCTTAATGAAGACTGGTTAACCCGGCCTGAGCTAAAGTATTTCTGTGCGAAAACTTTTGTAGGCTGCATTATGCTTAATTCAACCAATGGGTATTCCGCCTTATTCAATTGTGTGGAACCATATGGACGAAAACAATCAATTGACGCCCACAAAGAGCCATTTCTCTTATCAAATGGCAATGCTCTTCAAACCTCAATTCCTCCCTTTGAAACAAGGCATATTGATCTGTGGCCGACAACAATTCCATGCAAGAAAGGCGACAGGTTAGTTATAGGGACGCAGGCATTTAATGTATTAATAACGTCATCGGCTCGATTGGATATCAAGGAGCCGCCTTCGCTTGGTGGAGTAACCACGTCATTTACACTGAAAGAAAGTAAATTATCCAGAAATACAAAGATTTTTCTTGACAGCGATTCTGTAATTGAGGCCTTTAAGATAATTAACAGCAAGGAAGTGTATCGAAACGCCAGAGGAAATGAACTGGAGCAGATGCGACAGGTGCGCAGCAAGTTCGACCATTGTTCTCCATATTTCTTGTGTAGAGCGGCAAGTAATATTGCCAAGAGCCATTTAATGCAACCGTATTCAGTTTTTACGCTTGTGGGGCATTTTAGTCGTGAAAAAGGGCAAAAGTGAAGGTGAGAATGAAACTAAAAAAGTTCTGACATTTATGAGACTCCGCTTGGCACAGCTAAAACTATCGACAAACACTTCTCTTTTGTCACTCGTGGCTTTAAAATATGAAAAAGAGCTACTTTAATTACATTGAAACCTCTACTAACTCAAAACAACGCTGTAGAAGTGCTGCACAATACATGCGTGATTTATCATCATCACCAGTCTCTCCTGGCTCGAGCTTATAGATCTCCCAAAGCTCCATTGCCCATTGCTGACATTCCATAATCTCGGCATAAAATTCATGTAGCAACAAGCTATCTGATAAAGCTGTAGAGGATGGTGTCACTAGGATGAGTAAATCAAACAAGATACTCTCAAGCAGATCTGGGTTATATTGCTGCGATCTTGTTGATAACAAATTCGATAAAGGCCCTCCTAATTCCCCTCCCCCTCTTCCTATTCCGAGCTCAGTGCCTTCTGTGGGTCCCGGGCGTGTTGAGATCTCAATATCCCTAGGCAGTGTGAGAGAAGTAAGTGATGGCGCAGAAAAGGCTGAAGATGAGGAGGATGTGGAACGTGGGCCCGACATGGACTGTACGGAGGGTGTGTAATATCGAAGAGCAAGCAGGAACTGGAACAGCTCTCTTGTAATAGGAAGTAAATGAGGTGAATTCCCTATAATGGATTTACATGTCAAAAAGTATTAGAAACTGCCAGTTATTAATGCAACCATCAGGCAAGAGAATTTTTGACAATTTAGCTTATCTAAATACAGGCATATTATACCTGCATAGTGCACTAGCACTCCAAGAGCGATTACGAACTTTTTCAGTAATATCGCTGGTGCCTTTTGTAACACGTCATAACCACGTTCCATACCCGCACCTCGATTTCCACCCCAGCGGCCCAAAAGCCCGCCTAAGAAAACAGGTGCTAAATTGGAAAATGCATTTGCTTTGGGCGCTGGACGACTCGCCTCGATCTGTGATTTTCGGGAAAATCGTCTAGTTCGTTCTAAAGAGATGCTGGATACAACTGAGCTAAATGTTGCTGGCTGTTGTTGAGCTATAAGTGTTGAGGTGGAAGAAGCCGCTGTAGTCCCTGAAGGCGAGTATGGATGCTTTTTCTGAGGTGCCTTCGATATCGAGGAATCTGTGGGACGATCAAAGCCAGCAAGCTCTTTAGCACCCAATGTTAATGCCGTTAAAATGTTAAGTCTTTGACCTAACGAGTTCTTTTTTTCATAGAACTGGGACGTCAATACTCTATCAGTGTAAGGCATAAGAGGGTCAGTATACTCCACCTTAAAAAAAAAAAAAAAAAAAAAAGGTTACTGATCACAAAGAATTACTGACACTAATGCTTACCCGGCTACAATGACTGGTGATGTGACAACAAGCGCCACTAAAGCATTCTCTCGCATCTTGTAAAAATTTGGCAGCTCAAAGTTGTCCATCAAATTTACGAGCACATTAGCCAATATCTCCGCAAATTCCTCTATCATATGGAAAGAATCATTATATGTGAGAGCCATTTCCACAGGGTTTCAAAGTAGGGAACATGGCGATCCGCACAGCAATTCAAAGCAAACATACCCAACTCAAGACTGCCTGTCTTGCGACGAATTAACTCAGTAGCTGTCCGTAGTCCAATATCAATCTTATCGCGGTCTTCGCTTGCACGGAGATACGACACGAGATCCCTGAGATACAGAGGCGCAGCGACTTTAGCTTTCTTGGCTGGCCCCATATCCTCATCCGGATCAGACTCGTATTCCATTGCATAAGGCTTCAAGTCATCTTCGTCACTATTAATACTATCACTATCGCCGCCGTACGTATTTGTTACCGAAAATGACTCTACAATTGCATCCGGATCTTCTTCATCATCAGAATCGTTGAACCCTCCGGCGCTGACATGCATATCATGGAAATCTTCAAGCACGCTATCCTCATTTGAGTCTTCAGCGCTCTCTGAGCTAGAAGGACATTCAGGTTTATAAGGTTGGGCTCCATCCTTGAGGTGAACAAGCGATCGTGAAAACTGAATTTCAGGGTCAGAAATATCAAGATCAAAATCTGCAGGGGCGCCTATCGTGTCTACTGCTTTAGAGAACTCTTCTGCTACAATCTAGATAATAACCTTCATAGTATCAAAACCTGGTGTCAAAAACAAAAGATCTTAGAAATCCAAAATTCAATCTCCCGACTTACAAGGCCGATTTGTTTCCGTTGAAAGCTCTCCATTTCGAGCCAGTTGCTGACGCCCGCGCCAAACACTGGGATTAGGTCCGCCTCGATTAACACCTGCGGGCTGAAGTACCCAAGCATAAGCAGTATTTGGTATGAAATATCTATTGTGTACATAGAAAGAACTCCATCAGCAATCTCCCTCTCTCTTTTTTTTTCTCTTCTTTTTCCCTTTCCTCTCTTCCTTGCTCGTAGTAACGCCAGCAATGCTGGTGTTGGCTGCCTTACATTTCTGGTAGTCAACAGATGAATGGCTTATAAACATGGGATCGGACCAAATCGTAAGTGCTTTTTTAAATGTCTTTAAAAGTACTGAATCTAGACTCAAGAACATATAAAAAAAGGCTTCTGTGAGAACGACTCTTTATGTCTCTATCATTGCCAGTCTCTATTAAATACTATCGGCTCTAGGCTTATATTGCTATTACCTTTATTTGCGTGTGCATTTGTGGGCCAGCCACTTTGTATGCAAATCAGCATTCGCAGAACACCGACCCCGTAGACTCGGCCCTGAAATAGCACTTGGTCAATAGCCTCGCTGCCCGCATCCTGATTTTTATCTCCGCTTTCGCTGTTGCTACTACTACTATTACTCTTCTCATCTTTATACTGCTGCCCTGCTCCAAATCCAATCAACTTAATCATATTGGCAGCATTATGGACTGCTGCGAGCTGAGATTGAGCTGAGGTTGAAGTAGTACCCGTGCCTTTAGTCATAGACCCTCTGATACCCTGTTTAAAATTAAGCTGATGTCGATCTAAGTACTCTACAAGAGCCCCTAAAAAGAGATGAGCAATAGATGGAGACGACAAATGTGCCAAAGCTAGCTTCCATCCAGCTGCTTTCAAGGAATGATTCCTCCCCCATAGTGTTGAAACCAAAGATTCGACAAGGATTTCTAGATCATGTAAGAGTAAGGAAGTTGATAAGGACATGTCATGATGTTTTTTTTTTTTTAAAAAAAAAAAAAAAAAAAAAAAAAAAAAAAGCACTTTTTAAAATTCCATGTTCATACTTCCATATCCCAGGCGTAGGAATTTCGCAATCACAGATCCGAATGCTCTTGCGCGATGTGTATAGGCAACCGTGTGATTCTTCTGCATGTTCATTTCCTCTCCATCTTTTGTTGTTTCTGCAGCTATATCGTCAAGACAAGATTGGAGTTGAGATGCGAATCGCTGATAAAATATCGCCTCCTGAAAACACTCTTGAATTTCTACTCTGGTAGGCGTAGCTCCTCCTAAAGCATTGGACACTCGTGTTGGGATAGAAAACAGCTTGGAGAGAAACGTGTCCCATAGCGTATCATATTCCACACTCGTTCTTGTCTCAACCGCTCCTGATGGTGATGTGAATAGTGAGCAACCCACGTAGAAATCCTGTAGTGAAATAGTCTCCAACAATTTTTTCAATAGCCGCAAGATTGTTGCGTTCAAGAACGAATGGTTCTCTTGAAACTGTCGCCCATGGATCCTGCTCACTAATATTTGTAAAGAGACAACAGACATCATGGGCCGAATGTGTTTCTTCTGGTGCTCTTGTTGCCCTTGGTCTTGCTCATGACTATCTATTGGTACACGCCTAGAGGACGAGACAAAATACGCATCAAAGAGAGACGTCTGCTGAGCAGAGGGCAACGCACTGAACCAGTCAATAGTAATATTGTCTAAGATAAAGTCGAGATGATTTGGAAGGAGGTGTTGAATAAAATAGAGCTGTTTAGCAGGTGTAGGTTCCACAGGCCCTGCCCATTGCGGAGGTAATTCCCTCACATAGTCGCTCCCTGTAGTGAAGACGAGCACACCAAGGAACGACAGTGGCTCTGCAAGGACACGCACTGCGGCTGCGAGAGACGATGTAGGTCCTCGAACTTGGTTTTGCAGATCATTCAGGTATATAGATAGGGCCTCTGCGTCCTGAATGGGCGCCATGGAGCAAAATGTATAATTTCAGGCGAGACGATGCAACGCATGTTGTGATTCTCACCACAAAACTTTAATATTAGGATGATTGGTAAACGCGTGTGGGTGGCTTTCACCTTTGATTACCTTTTTTAGAATAAAGTTCTAGCATTTTATTATTATTATTTTCCTCTGCTAGTCTACCAGCGCAATGCTCCATAGAAAATCGGACTAAGAAGAAGAATTGCATATAATAATTGCAGTATTCGAAAGCCCATGCTCTGCCTCCAAGCGTCGTCCTCTCTTTCCATCGCCTTCTGCTCCCACAGCCCTTGGCTCTCAATTTTGAAATCCATCTGCATGACCATAAATGACTCAAGAAATTTCAGGATCTGCAACACATTATCAACTGCACGACGCGACACCTGGAATCTTTCTAGCACATCATCGTAATCCCCTGCAAATGCAAAGTTATCGGAAGCCGTGTGCATGACTGAATTATATGCAGGAGCATGACCTAAACTGGACATAAAAGAAGGGTTGTGGTATGCATGATGCAAAGGCAGAGGTTGACGACGTGGATAGATTCCTCTGTCTGTCCCACCATTATTGAAAGACACGCCCGGTGAGGCTGCGCATGTCCATAATGCGCAATCACCGTACTTGACCCATTCATCTGTGCTCGTCTCCCCTAACCACGCACTAACTTTAGTATTATTTTGAGCTTCGCCTGGACGCCCGGTAGAGTCTATGGTCATATGCCGATTTGTAGGACTTCTGTATGGTTGAGGGGGATGTTGATAATGGCGACTTGAATCTGCATGAAATGTTCTCCTTGAGCGGCCAAATTCAAACTGTCGACCCGGGAAAGGGACCCCACGGCGTCCAGCACTGAATCCGAGCCCCTGTACCTGATGCTGCTGCTTTAACAAATGTTCTGGATCATCGAAATAGAGTCCTCTCAGCTCAGAACAGAACGGCATAATTACGTCCGTCAAGAGCCCCTCGCTGAAATGCTGTGTCTCTAAAACGAGGTACTTTAGCGTATTGCACGTACTCTTTAAGATTACTGCAATGCCCACATTGGTTAATACGGTAGTTCCGAATTCTAAACGCTCAAGCGGCGCGATGATCGTCTTTCTAACCATGCGAGGCTGATTGTTGGTGGCCATGTTGGCTCCATTGTGCTCAGTGTTGATTGAGTCCCCCGAACTGGCTGAAAATGCGTTTGCAGCAAGGATATCCATTTCCGTCTCGATACCCAATCCTTTCAACAAATCCCTATCCCGTGCAAGTGATCGATGGATACCTAGCACTCGCAATTTTGGACAGCGGGTTAATAGTGCTGCCAATGCATCTCCTCCAACATCTACGCAACTTGTGACAGTAAAAACTTCGATAGAGTGTCCTGCTGCCTCAATAAGCTTCTCAACTGCGCTATCTGTCACTGACCCTGGGCCCAAAAACACCTGAGAAAGACGACATGGAGAAGTAAGAACAGACTTAGAAGGACCTGGAAGAGCACTTGGATAGCGTTGACCAGTGGTAGGTCTTGAGTGGCCAGTAGCGGTGAGTTTTGGTGTGCTTAAGCCTTTGATCAATGCATAAAGTAATTGATTATCAACAAAACCGCCCTGTAGTCTCAAATAGCGCAACTTAGATAACCCCAGCCCGAAAAGTTGCTCGAGAACTTCGGGTTTCTCTAACCCTGCATCCCGCATTTTCTCGTTTGCATGAAGATCCAAGGCGACGATTTGATCAGGACAGCGTAAGCGAAGACACTCAAGCGCTTTAACGAGCATTTGAGGAGACGCCTGGGGATGAGCAAAGTTGAGCAAGACTCGTCGGACGTAACGGCGATAAGACCATCTAGACGCATTCGATCTAATTCTTCCTGTATTGGATCTACTGCTGCGAATCCTTTCATAATGTTCTGTGCCCCATTGGTAATCACGTTCATGAGTGGAGTCTGGTTCTACAAGGCTGTGTCGTCCCTGATCAGCCACGGAGATAGCTTTCCCGTTACTGAATATAGAAGTATTACCGAGCTCTTTACTTGCTAGAATTGCTGTAGTATCTCCATTTAATGAGGACACACCCGAATGTCCATGGGGTTTTGGAGACTGTCTGCAAGGACTATTTAGTTGGATCGCTCCGTGCTCTTCATCCATATGCCAAAGAGACAGAGGCTCATTCGATCCTTGCTTCGGAAAAACATTGCTGCAGCCTGCTGCAGGTCCAGATTTCATTTCCGCTACGTCGCAACTCTTGAATGCGCTCCTTGGTTCATTAGTCTGTGATTTTATCCCACCAAGCGTCGCCATCTCTTCACTCCCATCCCCCACTTCAAACAACTCCTTGAGTTCTGGACAACCTAAAAAAAGACTGTTATCGGGATCCCTGTGGTCTTTTGGCAGCTCATCGTCCATTAAGAGCACTGAGAGAAGCGATTGCATTTGGTATGTATCATGGCCATGAAAAACCAAATTGCGCCAAAGCGATTGAACAGCGGCATCAGCGAACCTCCTACTAACCAGCAAGAACTTGAAGGGCGCTGCCAAGTGTATAGATGCATCAAAGTCATCTTTGGTCTCATCACTCTCAGAGTTATTATCGGATTCGTCAGATGGTTGACAGGATGCTCCAGATCTGTCATCTCGTCTCCAAAAAGTGGATGTATGCATAGTCCCAGTGATGCTCCATGATCTATTCATGGAAGCATTTGACAGTGTCGGAGCACGTGCGCTTAAACTCATCGTTCTTCGGCGGACCAAAGAATTGTCCAGTGTGGAATTGAACCTTGTGCTAGAACTCGTTGACAGCTGAGTTCCAGCTAGTGTCGTATTTGTGAAACTTGGCTCCCCGGAAGATTCTGATGGAGTCAAGCCCATGTAAAAGGAATTGTCCGTCTCCCGATCGCAGTCATTTTCATGTTGAACCGAGTATGGAAGAAGCGAGACTAAGCTTTCAAGTTTATATACAACTCTGTTAAAGACTGAAGATGATACGGTGGTGAGATGATCGAAAGGTCTATTCAGAGAAGGCATATGTATAAAGTTGACAGTTCTTGGCCAGGGCAATCCTTGCAAGTATCTTGACTGAGCTATAGAGTTGGAAAAGAACCGCCAAAGAAGGGGCATGCGAGCCGAGTGTTGTTGCTCCATGTGGTGACACCAAGGGCGGTTTCCGTTCCTTGGGCAGGGCTTTACTTGATGTGCTTCGTGCTTTGTACATTGTGTGCTATGTGTGCTGCCAATTGTCCCTGCACAGGCTGTTCTTTTGTGGCAACGTCTTCGCCTCTTCTTTAGCTTTGGGGTGTCTAATGGCTTCTCGGGCTGTGCCTTGGGTGTATCTAAGTGTTGTGTAGCTTCTATTGGTGGTGTTGATCTTGAAGGCTTGTATGATTGCTGGTGGCTGCGTTGTTCCCTGGAGTTGACTTTGCGAGGGCTACGAGGGACTGGACCGTGACAAAGTGTACAATGGAAACAGTCGTGGCAGAATTGGTTCTCAAGTGTGACAAGTGGACAAGACCAGAGCAAAAAGTCGAGATCTTGACAACAGTACTCAAGAATTATGCATAGAATTTCATCAGGAAGGTCAAACAAGTGTCGAGGACGATGAGAAATGGACCGCCGTAGTTTGTGAAGAAGATGCATCTGGGAATTAATGGGTCTACAAAAACTAATGGAGAGAGCAGAAAAAATAAATAAAAAAAAAAAATGAAAATGAATTGCCAAGAACTGAATGGTTGAATAAGCCTCATTGCTCAGTCTTGGTCTGTCCTTTCAATTCTTCATCCTTTCTCCTGGTAAGTTGCTTTGTTATGTAACAAAGCATTGGTTTATAATTTTCTAGGCGTGTCACATCCCAATTGAAGCAAGGGACAGACGTGTCCTTGCATGATAGAATAACAGTGCTCTATTTCGTACACTTTTTTCTTCTTTTCTTCAATAGAACCTACTTGGGTTACTTTTTCATAAGACTTGTGCTCAAAAAGTGTGTGGATGTGTGATAGACTGCGGGACAGCAAAAAGAGGAAGACGCAAAGTAAAATGAAGGGAGAAACAGTACAAAAAAAAAGAATGGGACAACCAGGCACAATGGGATCAGAGCAATAGCGTCTGTGTGGTATTTTGCTGGACTCAATAGGTTCGAACAAGGATTGGTATGGTGTAGCTTTTTTCCCGTTCTTTCCAACAATCAGACTGCGCTTCTTAAAGATACTGAAGCAGTTGATAAGGGAAATTGGCCATGGATGGTTAATAAAGGAGAGATCCCTCAACTTAAATTTCGTATACAATACAATAGTTAATGGATCAAGGAACGAGGCACAATCTCCTCAATCTCGACTTTTTCCTACAATATGGGAAAGTCTCCCAAAAAAGTATCATGCATAATCACTTCTCAAACAAATAAGCAAATGATGCAAGCAATGCAAGTCATAACAACCTCGGCAGTCGAAAACAAGGCAATGGCAAAATATGCCTTTGTTTATGTCTTTTCATCACAATGTGCTTATTGAAATAGTGAGTCGTTTGTTGCCACTGAGGTATATATTTAAAATAAGACTTGAAGCGATCTTCTGGTATAAAAAAACTAAACAAGTCTGGTTGTGTTATCCTTTTGCTCCTTTTCCTTTTACAATGTGTACTCCTAAATTCAAGGCGCGTCTTTTATAAGCGATTAATATCTTGGGATACACCAGCAAAACAAGGACTTTTCTGTTGGTCGTTCATTTTAAGCTTTAAAACTACCAATGGATTTACAGAGAGCGATAATTAAAACTTCTTTGCTCAATAAAAAAAGGATTTATTTCAGGTGCCAAATATAATCAACTTTGAAGACCCTCTTTGGTAGCCCAGCTGCCAAGGAACACCTCATAATCTAATCGGCAACCCAGGTGCCAAATATTATTTGGCAGCTCATACTAATTATAGTAGTTTTTGCTATTATTTGGCAGCCTATTTTTTGGGGCTGCCACTAACTTCACACACTTGGGTAGCAACTGGGCTGCTAAATAATGAAGGGAAAAAGATATTTGCACGGGGGTCTTTTTTTTATTTGTACGGGGTCTTTATTTCAGCCCTAAATACCATAACCAGGAAGCCTTCCACGACACAGGCTTAGATCTAGAGCCGCTGCCTAAGCATCAAATACTGACCAGAATATTTATCTTATCAAGGTCGTATGTAGCTCAGAGCATTCTTTATGCGACTCTGGAACTAAATACAGAATTACAAATGATTTATCTATAATTGAAATATACTATGCCACGCTACTTTAAACTTTTGTTGGCCATGTTACTATAGATTGTGGATGGTTCCTCGATACTTTCTTTCATTTAGCGCGTGCATACATCTCTAGTATTTCCGTACACTATTAAGCACACAACGATGAGTTCAGTTATTAGGAACCTTTAATGTGTAATTTGCTTCGGTAGATATACAAACAATCATACTACCATACCCATTGCTATGATGAATAGCGTGCCATGTTGCTACTCTCTTTCTTTTTCTCTTATATGTCCTTATCTCTGTCCTTCTTTATTAAGAGCTCAAGCGCCCTTGGTACTATTTTTTGCTTATCAAATTCATCAAAATGCAATGGGTAGACCGCAGTTTGTTTTGTGGAATATCTATCCTCTCACCCGTTTGTAATCCGAGAGATTACTTTTCTTTGATAGGTGGCGCAGTTCACACTCAAAGCCGATCGTGCCACAATTACCTTTATCCCTGTATCTAAATAGCTAGAATACTTTAATAGCATAACCGTGACTTATAGTGATAGAAAAAGAGACATAAATACTCTTTTCTGTTACATTGATAAAGATCCTTATTTTTGTCGCATTGCATTTCAAGTTTGTTACCATGTTCAATCAGGGTTGATTATTCACCAATAATAGCCAGAACTTACCCCGAGTCGTCTTTAGCACCCAGTGCCGCATATTCAGCAGCGTATGTAGATGCTCACTGCGTCTAGGGACTAGCTTCATACTGTACAACCACCTGAAAGAAAGTTAGGTCAAAAAAATAAAATTTTCAGATGGTTATGAAGAGAAGCACTGTCTTCAACCCTATTTCTTGCTGTTTTCCGTCAGCATGTACTGTCCAAAAACTTCAGTGATTATCCACATTGGCCTCATTAATAAAAACGTAAATTTCCATCTTGGTTGATGAAGTATTTTTGTATGTCACAAATGAGCTGTTTGTCAGAGATTCAAAATAAAAAAATAATAAATAACCCACTTTGACCAGACTTTCTTTTGGGTGATTGTAGAGCGGAATAGAGCGTGAAAAATATTTTGTAGGTAGATAGTAAGCAGTAGAAAAGTAAGTGAGAGTAAGATATGGGCCCACACCACATCCATAGGGTATTTGTTCATTTTCTACTAGAGGGACACACCAGGCAACTACGTACCTATCTGTAGGATGACGCAGGTTCGTTTTTAACACTTCATATCAAAGATTTATCGCGTCTATGTGTGGCGCGTTATTGCCACTAGTGTTTTTTACTCCAGCTAGGCCATCATAATATTGCATACTGTGGAATACGCAACAGGGTGCGATGAGTATCACAGCTCCCACGGCGCTGCAACTCCCAAAAGTAATAATTCCAGACTCCCCTCTACTCTAGACTGACCTTCACTTATCTCCTTCGAAATAAAAAGCTAGAATCATGTAATCTGTAGGATACACGTTGCTGCTTGTAGATGAAAAAGAGACCCCTTGCAAATAATTTTTTTTATTTGCACGGGTAGAGCAGTGTAAATAAGGCGTGTACGGGGCAGTGCACGGGGGCAGAGGTGTACGGACCCGTGCAAATAACTTCATCCGTTAATAGACAGGAAGTGTTAGGATCGCATAAATATGTTGATGCGCCTCTAACCGTTACTGTCATTGGATTGTAGCTGAATGTCACGATCAAAAAGCTTGGTGAACCTTTTTTTGTTGGATCTCAACACGTTCAACAAGAGCCCCTGTGCTTCTCATCAGCACAGGATTGTCCTCAGTAAACGAGATGCGAGAGTTTTTACAAATAAAACAAGAAATAGGCCAAATAACGCTAGGTAGGCTGCCAAGCAAATCATGGGCTGCTAAAAAGAGTCTTCAAAGTTGACTATATTTGGCACCTGGATTGCCAATTAGATTAATCCCTACAAGTAACTTCATCCAAAAAAAGATCAACATATCCTTCAAAAGAAATCTCTCATGCTAGAAACATGAACTTGATTAAATTTAATGATAATGCCCACTGCAGGGATCGAACCTGCTACCTTTTGCTTACTAGGCAAACGCTCTACCAATGAGCTAAGCGGGCTCATTTTAAATTTTGTCGTAGAGCATCTACTAGTGATCTCTGGAAACTAGTAGGTAATGATGAAAAATGAAGAATTGGGCAAGAGCCTCGTGGTTTTGGGATACGATAGTGATCCTAAGTAATGCTAAGCCCAATGGCTGAGTAGTATACTCGTCAGGGCACCCCCCTGTCTAGCCGACCTCGTGGGTCCTTGTTATCAAAAAAAAAAAAAAAGGCACCCCCCTGTCTAGCCCAGGGGCCGGGTTCGAGTCCTGGTTAAGGCACATAAAGTGAAGCAGAGAGCAAAAGTCGACCTGGATTCCAACGAGACACCGTGCCTAAAAGTGATCCCTGAAGTCAACAGAGGCCTAGCCAGGGACACAAATGGAGTTATCATTAGTGCCAATACTGAGGAGAAAATCCAACGCCAAAGGGAACGGTACAATATCCAGCCGGGTAATGTCATTTATACGGATGGATCTCTCAAAGATATTGGCACTGAAAGAGTAAGTATGGCATTTGGTGTGGTAGTCCAGACACAAGAGGGTGAGTTTTACACTGCGCTATCTGGTAGAGTAGCAGGCAACGCATCCTCGACAAAGGCAGAGCTAGCTGGTTTGTTGGCAGGAATACTTATCAGCCCACGAAACAGACCTATGACAATCCGACTTGATAACAGCGCAGTTGTGACTCAATTCCGAGCATTGGTCCGAGGCAGAGTGGATAGCACGTTGCGACAACGTATTAGATCACCGTATGCAGTATGGTGGGCAGCTATACACAACGCATTTATTCAACAAGGATCGGAAGTCACGGTCGAGTGGGTCAAAGGACATGTCGGCAACAGAGGGAACGAAGAAGCGGACGAAGCAGCAAAACATGGACATTATGGCGAGCTATGGGATATCAACATAACGGAGCATAATGACATGTACTGCCATGCAAAGTTCAACGGTGTACCAGCGGAAGATGACTTAAGGCAGATCCTTAAGTTACAGTCAACAACTCGTACACATCACACGTGGATCGCTCAGAACAGGACGCAGGAGCATGTTAAGGATTGGACAAAAATTGATTGGCGAGCTACTATGAACATTGTTCATGATAGCAACCTACCGAAAGGACTCTTCACCAGCCCAGCGGACTGCCAAAAGCGAGCGCACAGGGTCAAGAAACTCCATGGAATGTTGCCTACACAGTCATATATGAGACACTGGAGGCCAGACCTTTATGAAGACGGCAACTGCAGAGTGTGTGGGACAGAGGGTGAAGACACATCGCACATCTGGAGATGTCCAAGGACGATGGAGACTCAGGCCGAGAAGTGGAAGGAGATAATCCAAAATGTGAATGTGATAGGGGAGAGGACATGGAGGAAAGAGTTGAAAGCAGTGCAGGAGCAAGCACAAAGGGCCAGAGAGAGAGGTGTAGACCCACCAAGGACAAAAGAGCCAACTTTTACTGCGGCAGAGGAGGACTACATTTGGAAAACTCTAGAGATGCATATCGATGGTGTGCGAGAAGTACGATGCCATGGTGATAGGAACGACGGTGATGAGGAAGAGAGAGAGCACACACCAGATTGGTCTGTGCAGGACATTTACCATGGACTTACGCCCAAGTCCATTGCTCAGAGTTGGAAAGTTGGCTTCAAGACAACAACAAGGATAGCTACATATATGGCAGGGCGCTTCGTCAAGGCCATAGAGGAATTCGGTCGTACAGAAATCTGGAACAAACGGTGTAAAGTCACCGTTGAATGGGAAAAGGCTCGCGGAATCACTGCTATGAGCAAACGCGCTAGAGGACGCAACTGTGTTGGGGAGCACAGACGTAGTAGCAATGATTTCCTTGTCCCTTCCCTCAGACAAAGACAGAAGCTGAATGTAAAAGAGATCTACAAGATCGCGGATGACCGAGTCCGGGACAGTTACCTTGGGAAAACCAAACTGGACGTGATGGAGCGGCTAGGTGGAATGAAGTTTTTGATGACTATGGATAGCGGATAATTTGTCGCGTTGCGCAACAGGCCACGTCGGGAAGGTGGACTTTGAGTACCAACCACGGCGGTCAGGGTTTATGAAATCATGGATACAGCGGCTCTTGTCGTTTGTGCAGTAATAGCTGTTTATTGACTATAGTTTCTGGAGCATTTTGTTCATAGAGTGTAGAAAATAAATCCCATGACCCTGAGTGTCCTTGTTATCAAAAACAAAAAATCTTTCTATAAGAGTTCTTCAACAGGCCAAGTAGGGAGTAGAGCCGTGCCATGGGACCTCAGGGACCAAGGAAGTCTACTCAATACTGACGTGATTTATGGACAGGGTGTTGTACTGTGACAGTATGACGATGCGGCTTCGGTCGATTATTGGATACCGCTTTATTTGCGACCCCAGTAATGGGGCAACCCATTTATAGAGCTAACATCTAAATAAACCTTACATAGCCTCGTAAGTCTTCGTTATCAAAAAAAAAAAAAAAAAAAAAAAAAAAAAACTTCAACCACGATTGGGTGAACCCTTGGCGTAGCCGTAGATCCTTGTTATCAAAAAAAGAAAAAGAAAAAGAAAAGAAGTAAAAGTTCTTTAATAAGGAAAAGGTGGTCTTTTGACCTAAAATCGATACGGTCTCTCGTGTGACCCTGCCACATGCGCAGCCAGTATTAGGAAGTAGGTTGGGAGGTTATTTTTTTTATTTCTTTTTTTTATAACAATGTCCCAGATAACATAAGCAATAAACAGTTTTTACTGCACAAACGGTGAGGGTCCTTATATCTATGGTTTCATAGATCCTGGCCGTCGTCGTTGGTGCTTAAAGTCCGCCTTTCTGACGTGATCTATTGCTGGCAGGTTAAGAAATAAGAACCTTTTTTTTTATAACGAGGACCCACGAGGCCGTGTAGAATTTATTAGATGTTTTACTAAAGCTGATGGCCGGTGCTCCGACGCACAAAGGCAAAGACATAAAGTTTCGGTGACGAAGCCACTAAGTGAACAGTTATTGAGAAGTCTTTCCTTCTTTCATTGTGCGTACCATTGAATTTGATCTCCAGTAGGTCTCCTGTAGTACTTTTTGTTTATATTCTTTTTTTTTTTTTTTTTTTTTTTTTTTTTAAAAAAAAACATTTGGTGATGAATTTGGTGGCATCTCTAGTAGCTATGCTTTTGTCCAAGGGAAGAAAACAAATGAAGCTAGCCGGCTAGTGTATGAGTCATTGATAGATGCAGTGAGAAGGAGAGCTCATAGTTACCATAGGATTTCAACTGAACTTTGAGCTGCTACTCGACTGTAGAGTTGGATGCGACGCCGCATTGCGCTTGTTTTTGACTGTTTTAATCAGTAAGCACTTCCTGTATGCACTACAATGGATACAATTTGACTTCCCATCAAGCAGCCGCTGGAACGTTGTCGCGTCTTCATACTGCACTATGAACCTAGTTCAGCTTCTTTCCAAGCAGCTAAAGCTACGGTATTGTAATTAGCTCATTGTGATCTCGATGTGCTAGACCTCAAAAAGGTAGAGATCGAAATACGAAATGAGATTGAGATGGTTGTCTGAGTATTGGCTGGTATCAGCTTTCTCTAAACTTTAAAGTTCGTTCTAGGTTTGTCTGGACGTCGGTTGTGAGCCATCAAATTTGCGTCTCGTTCATCCAGCTTGACAAGGCCTGTAATAAACCTCTTGTATCACATCAAATATTTGATAGAAGGTGCAGACAAATCCAATCGCGCAATGTTCCCACGAGTGAGCAAAATTAGAAAGCCTTGAGCAGTATAGACATGTTTTCTTTTCTTTCTTTGTTTCTTTGTGCAACCATCCTTCGGAGAATGAATTATTATTTCCACATTAAAAATAAACTTAGTCAAGGCACACAGCACTGTCATGGGAACAAGGGCGGGGTCTGGAGTGTTGGCGTTCAGAGCGAAAAACAATAGATCCGTGCATTTTATTTATTCTTTTGATGTATGGCAGCAGGTAACTTTATATAGAAAGCAACCAACTTTGTATAGAAATCTTCCTACTCCGATGCCATTAAACTGAAGGAATCCTTGGGATGGTCATCGGATCATGTTTTAAGAAGGAGCCCTGCCTTGGCTCCGATGCAATTCCGATGCAATAATCGAGAAAAACGAAGTAACTGAGACTATCAGCGCAGCATAACCCTGTGTTGTGTACGCATTCAGGTAACTACACGCACGAATGATGGGGCTATAAGGGAACATCAGACAACAAATCAAGTGTCTTACATTTGGCATGATGCCGGGTTATAATTCCTGTTCATCCAAGAATGTTAGGATAATATTCATTCTTCTGTTTGCTTGCCCTTGGCCCCAGCCCTCTTGCTGTTGGCGGCCCAATGAGAAGGAAATAAAAAAAAAAAAAAAAAGAAAGATTGCCATTGTCTGCGAAAATGATATCCATTGGATGATCCAATTAACGTGTGGCTCTTCAGGAAGTAAGGCTGTAGGGCCATCGATCCTTTCCAACGTAAGAAAAAAAAAAAAAGAAAAAAAGAGAGGCCATCTATATGATAAGAGTAAGAGCAAGTAAAAGCGAAAAGTATTGTTCAAAAGAGACCATGTGCAGTTTACGAGTACCTTTTTTCTCTTATGGTCGCGTCATGAAGTTCTGAGAATCAAAAATGAAGCTGAATTCACATTTCCAGACGGACGCGTTTGGCCAAATTATTATGCGTACACCTGCGTAATACGTAATGAACAAGTACAAAGTGCCAAGATGTTACCTTTATCTATTTCCTGCTGCAATGTCCGCTCCTACACCACACATTAAGTCTACAGGCCCGGGCCTAAATAAAAAATAAAAATAAAAAATAGAACACCGCTTGCTTTTTGTATTAAGCTATGAATAATTTATTACACATTGTGAATGGGAGAAAATGCATATTCTTTAATTTGTTCATTCACTCTCTTTAAGCCTGCATGCCATTATTCCACATCGCAGCTCTCTTTCCTTATCCCTTTGCTCATATCCTGGTATTATTGATTGAAATCGCGGCCAAGCCTTTGTATTGTGTCACTTCCCACGTCTTTAAGATTATTCCATTCCTTGTCTTCTACGCCATTGATCTCCAAACTTGAATTATTCATGCACAATTTTTTTTTTTTTTTTTTTTTTTTAGTATAAAAGCACCGATGTCCCTCACCCATTCCTTCCTTTCCTTATTTATTTGTTATCATCACCAAAACAATCGCCTCTAGCAAATTTCAGGTATCTACCCAACAAAATGTTTCGTTCTAGTATTTTCTTCATCGCCTTGAGCGTTATTTTCTTCGGCCTCCTATCCACAGTCTCTGCTGCTGTCATTCCCAATGACGAGATCCGTGCTCTTGGAAAAACCTTTCAGAAACTGCGCAAGATCAAGGGTCACTTTGATGGCGGCGAATATAACAAAGCTGTCGATGCCTACAATGGCGAGAAGCATCAGGTCATGAAGGTATGAAAAGCTTTTTACGCAATTTTTTTTATTTTTTATTTTTTATTTTTTTCAGATCGTTAATGAATAGTGTTTCACCCTTTTTTCCTATTATTGGGTCTCTTATTCCAAAGAAACTGGCTGAGGCTTTCGGTCGCCCTAGTGTCTCCTCCGTTGACATTGTCTCTACCATGGGCCCTTCAGATGAGATCCCTGAACATATCCTTGCTGAACTGAAACGCTCTGCCCCTCAGGTGACTCCTCCCACCAACTTCAAGTATCTCCTCTACAAGTGGCGTGGATACCATGACTACCTTTGGTTCCGTATCAATCTCAAGAACAATCATGTCTTTAACAGTGACTGGTACTTCGCTTACGAGTAAAGTACTAACAAATATATCTTTTCCATCACTGGCCATGATGCCTCTGCGCTCTCATAAAGGAAGAAGGGGCAGGGCCACGAAGTCTAGGATATCCCATATTCTTTACTTTATTACTTTAGACCTATCAATATTTGTTTATTCACATCTTTATATCTTTCTTTTGTATTTATTCCTTGCATTGAAATAAATCAAAAAAAACTTAATTTGCCTCTACTGCTTTATGGATCGAATGAATAATCATTAGCCGAGTAGATAGGTTGATTGGAGGGGAAAGCTCCGGTTTATAGCCGAGCCCAGGAGCACCACAGTGCGATCCAGTATTGGCGTTTATTTATTTATTTTTGTTATTTTTTGTCAATATCCAAATGTTGACGTCAATCTAGTTGCGACAGCCAAGCCATGGTCAGACAGCAGGTGCTAACGAGCGAAGCATGCTCAATGAGAGAGATACATTACTTTGTTGTTCACTTACACTGATATACATCTTGCGCATGTCAGAATCCAGATCTTAACTAAAGGCCCGTTTGTGTGAAGGCGACATTGTTCTTGTTCCTATCTTAGTAACTCCCTCAGCTTGACTTCTTTTACACTTACTTTTATTTTTATTTTCTAGAAGCGCCCAAAAAAAGAGAAATCAACATATTAAAAAGGAAAGATATTTCTTTTGTTTTCCTTTCTTCACGACTCCTGTAAGCATGGAAAAGGGGAGATGAAAGAAGTGCTGCAAATAACGAAACTAACCTGCTTTTAAAAAAGTCTAGCTGCCATATGAGGAGACTTGGTACTTCTATGGCGCCGTTGTTTGAAAGGAATGAGCACTAGTGTAGTGTGCAAAATCACATATGACAAGCAAATAACAATAAGGGATCTGATATTAGAGTAAATGCGTCATGAAGATTAATCAACGTGCGAATACCTTGTATTTGTTTTGTTTGTTTGTTTGTACTAGCATTGTCGCATTCCATGCGCTACTAGCGCGGTTAAGTGTGGCTCGTGCTTAGATAAAGTTGGCTCTTATTAAGCCATGAAGCTTCATTCATTAGAAAGCTTATAACCTTATCAAGGTGACACCAAAGAGCTCTTTTTCAATGAAGACCTCGGTTACTTACTCCATTGACCGTTCAAAATGCACACATATACTGTTAATAAGGCGATAGCGGTAGCTACTGGAGCATACTGAACCTGTCCCAGGGTATGTTGTGAAGCAAGTGACTATCGTTAAATAATAGTAATCTGGTCAAAGGAAGGAAGTAAAAAAATAATAATAAAGAAGTAATGGTGCTTTTATTCGTGTTCTTATTCAGACACACTCAATAATTTTTTTTTTTTTTTTTTTTTTTTTTTTTTAAGTAGACATCTGAGTGACCTACTTCATAAATTAACCTCCATTCGCGAAGAGAGGGGAGGCAGGCACTTAGAGAATGGTATGGCTTAGCACTGGTCATGACTTTGGAGCGAGAGATAATGAATGAATATGGCATATACATGGCAATGTAAAAAATATTAATTTACGTTTATATTTATTGTGCTGTATTATCTTGAATATTATTCTTTATATCGTACTGAATTAAAATATCTTTCTTCATATTTTACTCTTTCTTCGCATTGAATTCGGCCCAATATTACTTAATTTCACAATCCTTTTTAGTCCTTTTTAGCTCTTTTACTCCTTTCGATTTGCTGCCAGGTCACCAGGGCCAGAAAAAAGAAATGAAGGAAAGAAATAAAAGAAAGAGAAACCACAGTTAGTCTCTTCATGGGAAAGGGCAGATGGATATTGAAGCCAAAGCTCCCATGGTAGCACTCCTCCCCTTACCAGGGAGGAGGAAAAGCCAAAGGGAATAAAGAAGCAAAGTTGGTTAGCATTGCCAAGATGGTCTCGCTGCCTGCGAACATGAATGTAATATCACTGTGCTAATGTTATGGGCTTCCCTCACCTTTGTACTTTTTATTCCAGCCGCATCACACTGCACACTGATTCCTCATTGTCTAAATGGGCCTCTTCACTTTATCGCAAAGCACCGCCATCTGAAGGGAAATGCATAATTCATGATATCATGATAGTATGCATGACTCGCGCATTAGTTCTTTGAGAACAGGACAGTTAGATTGACATGTGATTCTTTCAAGGTTAAAAGCCTGATTCTTATCCGTGAGAGGCCTCTCCTCCTTTTGGTACTAAGGTGTACCAAAGGCTACGCTAAGGAGCGTGCCAAGAGAGGCGGATAATGAGTGGCATTGATTCCATGCATCTGCTGCTATTCGCTGTCAATTTAAGCTTAATTTTTGCCACCAACAGGAGAGACAAAATGAAACAAACGCGCACTTGATCCTCACTCAGCCCCTTTTCCCTTCATCCTTCCCCTTCTCTTTCATCCGTATTAAGCCGATATAATTATAGAGCCTCTTGGCCCCGGAACGCTTCTGAAAACGAACATTTAAAAGGATGTCATCTATCCACTTTTTCTCTTTTTTTTTTTTTTTTTTTTTTTTTTTCATTATTCATCAACCTCTTTGACGAAAATGAAAGGTAGGTACTCTTCCACAAAAAAAAAAAAAAAAAAAAAAAAAAAAAAACAGATCCACTCGTACTTGAAAAAAGTCCCAGCTCCCACTACATGTTAACCGTCTATGATCCCAACTTATTTTCTCCTTTATTTCTGTCTGTCTCTCTCTTCCTTCCCAGTCACCACAACCACAGTAAGAGCCACTGCGCCCTTCAACAGACACCCAGACCCCTGGCCTCTCTTCTGGTCGAGCTTAGGACCAGCCTTCCCCAAACCCGACGATACGTGCTGGTCGATGCCGAACACATAAAAAGCAGAGAAGCCCCCTCTAAAAAAAAAAAAAAAAAAAAAAAAAAAAAAAAAAAAACCAAAAAACCAAAAAAATTCTTAAAACACAAAAAAGAACAAAAAAGAAAAAAGAAAAAAGAAAAAAAAAGATGACCAAAAAGCAACATAAAAAGAATGTAATAATATGTAACATAATAGTATATAATAGTAGTAATATGTAATAATAATAAGAACAGAAGAAAAAAGCAAGGTACTCAAGATAGCTGAGGTACTCAAAATGCCCAAGGCGCTTGTGACAAGGCGGCTGACATTAATCTTCATAGCCTTGCCCCTAGTTGTAGCTGTTAAAAAAAACAAAGAATATTTTTTTTTAAAAAACTTTGAGCCCAAATACAGACATACCTATACTAATGTATCCCTTGTAAGAAGAGTACATAATTTTTGATGCATTAGTGGTGATGATCATGTAACTCTCGTTTACGGCAGTTGACGAAAGTGATATCACAGAAGGTTCAATGTTTAGTTGGAGAGTAGGATTGCGATAGATGCACTTTGAGATTACGGAATAGCTTGATAGACCATGCTTGTGAAGATGATGGGGCATTTAACCGAATCAATAACATAGTGTAGTATATATTGCAAACAACCTTATATTATCACGACAAACTCAATCCTAAGGAAAATTAGCGCATACAATTCAAATGGGGTTGAAAAAGAGAATTTCCGTCATAATTGAACAGAAACTAGCGTTTAAAAGAACGACAAAAACTCCACTGGACGAAAAATAATAGTATCCCTTTGGTCAGTTAAGTGTGCTTATATTTTTAGGAAATTAGGTTTCTAGAAGATTCGCCCAATTTCACTTAACATGTCAACCAAATGTGTTCACTTTTAAATCATTTTTATATATATCTACACACACTCAACATATACACCATTCAATGGATACATCCTTCAACACATACACCTTATTCACACTCTTCTCACAGACACAATATGCCACGCACTTACAACAAAATTGACGCAGTTCAGCGCCAGAAGATTATTGAATCTGTCTACAATGAACATTTAACTTTTGCCGAGACTGCCCGCCGTTATGGCTTTCCCCAGTCTACAATTCGGTCCATTGCCCGCAAGTTTGAAAAAGATGGATTATTTGATAACAAGCCGCGTGGTGGGAACCGCCTCCCAGTTCTCAATGACAAGCACATTTCATGGATCAAGGAGCAGCTTGATGCTCATCCTGATAAACCGATTCGCGAATTACACCAAGAACTGAACAGATATTTCCAAAATAACCCCCCCGTATCCATCTCTTGTGTCTCGCGTGCAGTTAGGAAACAGGCCAAGTATACTCTCAAGCTCCGAACGTGCGTCTTGGGGCCAAAACGCCATGGAAAGCGGCATATCCATTAGTGATGCCGTGTTCCTTGATGAAGCTGGGTTTGACCTTCATTTGATGCGCCGCTTTGGGCGAGCCCTACAAGGGAAAAGAGCAGTAAAGATTAGGCCTATAAATCGTGGCCGCAACCTGTCTCTTTTGGTAACAGTTGGTCGAGAAGGAATAATTACTTCTAATGCCGGACTTGGCTCCTATAATTCAGAAAAGTTTCTTGAATTCCTCAATACCAAGCTGTTCCCAAGCCTCCAAGCGCCAATGATAATACTAATGGATAATGTCAAGTTCCATAAAAGCCTAGAGATCAAAAAAATAATTGAAGGCCATGGTCATACCCTCTTGTTCCTACCCCCATATACCCCTCACTTCAATACGGTTGAATGGGTCTTTGGTCATGTTAAGGCCCATGTAGGGATCCAAGAATTAGATAAGCAAGAAATGTTAACAGAGCACGTTGAGGCAAGCCTTCGAAATATTATCCCCTCAATGTGCTGTGGGTGGATGCGTGAGGTCAATAGGAACATGTCAATAGCACTCAGAGGTGAACTTCTGGGTTGATATTACAGTTGAATAAAACTTAAGCGAATTTGGTTTGAAAGTTAAGCGAAATTGGTAAGCCACTTGGCTCAGTTGGTTGGTAAAATAGCACACTCAATTGGTCAAAGGGATAGTCGTGAGTAGAGAGAAAAACAGTTAATTGATGGGAGGACAAAATCAAACTTTGATCCTTTGGAGATGACTGCGCCCAATATCTCTAAATGTTGCATTCAATAATTTTGAAGTGCTGACATTCTCCTTCTCCCTCTCATTTCCTCTTCTGATCTTGAATGTCTACAACAAAGCTCCCTAGTGGATTCACCCACCATCAATACCTCTTTTATTACCATATCAATGAATGTCAAATATTGGTACTTCATTGAATGACAAATGGAGGTTCCTCTCGATGTCCTTACATCCAGTGCTCCTATTCGAACCATTCGCGTCATTCGAACCATTCGCGTCATTCGAGTCGATCCAGGCTAGGGCTTATTCGAACCGGTTCGAACTTACCATGATTCGTTTTCGACTCGAATGCATTCGAACCCATTCGAATTCGATGTGTTCGAATCGAATAGGAGCACTGCTTACATCTCAGTTCTCTCAAGTCCCGTCTGGTAGCCTATGGTGTGTTTTGCCTTTTAAGGGCCCAGAGTTTCAAGTAGCTCCTTGTGGTTGCCCCTACGCTCCAGTTAAGGTAAATGAGGGTCATTTTGTTTTTTTGTCAGCCTAGGCTTGATTAAGTGGATAGAGTTCTTCAAGCCTCCTAATCTCACATAACGTAGAGTAGCTTCTATACTGATGCGCACTCCCTCACTCGATTTGATGTACTGCTGAACTTCCTAAATGGATCCAAGTGTTCCTGTAGCAAGCTTGCGTGCAACTGCCCTCTTGGTAATAGGAAACCAATGGAGGTCTGCCCATTCTGGTTTCAGGAATATTTTCCTTGTCACGGTTCCTGATCCTTAGTGCCGATAAAGTAGAGATACTAAGTTCCCTGACAATTTCAGTTGTTGGCTTCCCTTGTCGAAGTAAGGTCTGGGCACTTTGCACCTTTTCCGTAAAGGACTCCGTCATAATAAATGCTAAGCGTTGTGGAATGTTGCTCGTAAGTAAAGGCTCCTGGAGGTATGGCGGAAAGTAGATTTTAGTGGAAAAAAGAGAAGTCAAAATACATTCACCTTGTAAATCTGTCAAACTGAAAGTTGATAATTTCATTACGAAGTCATGACTAAGAGTAAGACCCGAGAGTAATAGTGAAGTAAATTAACTAAAGACACGACTTGCAGTCCACTGGCGGGGTGCTAGAGGACTTTTGGTGACGACTCTACTAAAGTGGCCAAGCCATTGACCGCCAGGTTCAAATATACTTCATGAAACGCCCTCAGCAGGCTGACATGGCTATGAAGTGTATAAGCAGCTCCTTTTCCTCTTAGAAACAAGGACGCGTACATGCATATAGCAGAGGAGCCTCTCTAAGGGTATATATTTATGGGAACAATTGCTCAACCTTTGAGCCCCAAATTGCATTTCTGCACCAAGAGGGATAGGACTCGCACTGGTTCCTGTCTGGTTCCATATTCCTTCAGGATTCATTGCCAATGCCGCTCCTAGTGCCGGAGCACCAATGCCCTACAGCTTTCCCATCTTCGGCTAAAGCTGGGATTCGAGCTGTTGTAAAGATTGATAAAGGATTGACCAAGCAGAATTATTACAGGACAGCCCTCAAAATTCGTCCGGCCGTGATTATTTACAGTAGTTAGGGAGGCACGAAGAGAATGATTGAGCGAGGGGGATGACATGATGATTAGGATTTGAATGGCGGCAAAGCAGCTCGCCAAAGTGGGTCCCCAATGACCATTATCCATCGAGCCAGGACCATATATGTGTTATCTTCTTTTATTGCCTAATTTAGCGAACTTTTCAGAAAACTACCCTTAAATAAAAGAAATAAACTATATAAATCTGCTCTGCTACCAAGTTGGATCTGCATCTTCTTGATAGTGAGCCAGGAAAAATAGTAAAACTAAAGACAAAAGGGTGGGTATAGGGTGGGACATATATGGTCCTGGCTCTCGGATAATAAGCTTAAGTCGTCATGTTATTCGACTTGGCCAGCTATTATGTTTTTATTAAAAGGAAAAGAATAAGAATGGTGAAAAGAGTGAGATAAATATGAGGCTTGGCTGTCGCAATCTAGTTCGTTACAATTATTGCTTGTCCCTTTCTATGTAAAGGGCTGCCTAGACTAAAAGCTCTACACTATAGCTCATAATCAGATGTGGTGGATGCTACCATGATAGCCATCGAAGCAGCGGTGTTAGTTAGCAGGGAAAGCATATGGATTGCTCTTGTTGGAGTTTATGTGTGATTTTTTTTTTTTTTTCTTTTTTTTACAAGAGCTGTCAAGAAGAGAAGGGAAGGGAGGTTTGGTCAATTCAAGCTTGGTTTCCAAAGAAGATGGTTGTGATAGGAAAGCAGCATTCATTACTATCATACTTGGCTTAAATTTCTCCCTAAAAAGCTACTGGCGTTGTTTTATTAGGAAGATGGCCTTCACAGATAACATTCCAAGGCGGTTTTTTGCGGGAACTTTGGGAAGAAGTTTAAAAAAAAAAAAAAAAGCTACATACAATACAGGGCAACTACTAAGCTATGGCATCCTCCATTTTAATAAATGTTATGCTTGGAAGCAGTCTCTCCCTAGATTGCTTTTATGGCTCAACGCAGTAGATAGATCCGACTGGTGAGATGCCTTTGTGGCGACAGCGCTTGTCCAAGTAACGCTTGCAACCTGTTGGACCATGAGGCTGAATTACGCAAATGTTATCGTCCACAGAAAGTAAGGGAACGCAAGTATCTAAAAGGATTTTTTTTTTATTTTAAAAAAGAGGTCAGCAAGAATAGACCATCCATTTCTCTTGGAAAAATGAAAATGAGCCTTTCAGCTTAACTAACCTCCAGGGATCATTTTTTTGCGCAAAGGTTCAACAGGGATGCCCTCTGTATCGCAAATCTTGTACCACAGCTCATAAGCAGATGTGGTGGATGCCATCACGGCGATTATCAAAGCAACAGAGCAGATAATAGAAGAGAGTGTGGTATGCATTTTTTTTTGTTATCTATTCTTTTTGAAAAAAAAAAAAAAAAAAAAAAAAAAAAGAAATGAAGAAAAGAAGTAAATGGGTTCATTGAGTGTTTTTTTTTTTTTTTTTTTTTTTTTTTTTGAAAAAAAAGGACACATGTAAAAGGAGTCAATTGAAGGCGCCCTTCATTCTTAGGCGTATTTTTAGCTCCGGAGAGAGAGTTGTTTATACGCCGCTCCTCTGTCTTAAATATCACACACGCCGCTTTGACACTGAATGCTAGGCATTTAACCGCATAAAGGTATCAGTTTCGGCGGAAGTTTGTACTGAAATGCAATGCGCAATGTTGTCATGGTAAAAGATCATACCACTTAATTTGTATTTAAAAAAAGAACGAAGGGTCATCATATCGCAAATAAGGAAATATCCTTGACAATGGACATCTATTCAGGTGATATTATTGAGGTAGCTCTCTCCTCCAAGCGGGATAATTGTTGCATGCTGTTGTCCAACACAAAGACAGAGGCAAGAATCTAAAACGAAAACAAATCGCTCATTTTCATATACAGCTACAAGATATTGTTTAATGGGCAATTATATGACGCTAACTAAGCTTGCATTTCTACTTCTTGCTGACGCTCTCTCTCAGCCTTGCGTTGTTCTTTTGACTTTCTGAAATATCGCGTCTCTTCAGGATCAAAGCCTCCTTCTGGTGCACCAAAATATGCCCATGATGGTGTTTCTGCCATGTAATCCAGACTGGTGAACTTTTCCCCAGACTCGACCAAATCAAAGAATTTGTCATAGTCGATATGTGTATACCACTTTCCATCCTTTTTGAATTTGGTCGAGGCGACCAATATAGAACAAGAATGAGCGTGCTCTGCCGCAATCTCATAACCAGCGCCCAATTGCTCTTGAATCAGCTCCACAAACCGAACAACTTCTGTATGATAGGGAACATTAGCCATTGTCAAACCAGATGCACCTCCATAACCACAATAAGTTACTCCCTTGATCTCAATGAAATCAGGCTGACCACGACGGATCAGCTCAACATAGTTGGCAATTTCATCCGTATTGAAATCCTTGACCAGCGTCAATCTGTAGACTGTACGCTGACCCTTCCTGCCCAGAGCATCCAAACTGTCGAGGAATCGTTCCCAAAAGTCACGGAATAGAGGCCGGTCAATTTTCTTCAGCGATTCTTTTGTAGAGGCATCGACACTGACATACAACTGGGTTACTGGGTCCATACTAGCAATAGCATCGGGGAACTGAGCGTTTGTCACCAGGAACGATGAAATGCGCTTCTTGTGTAGCAACTTGACGAATTCATTGATATGGGGGTACTATACATGTAAAAAAAAAATTTGTTAGTCCGAGTCCACGATAATTTAGACGGATAGTATGAATCTATAGTCTTGCATGTTCCCAAGACTTACGAAAATAGGCTCGCCAACTAAAGACAGGGCGCAGTGCTTGACCTGAGTGGCCTCAACAAAACGGTCAGCGCGGACACCAGGAACGCCCTTGAGCTGCTTTAGCATTCCATAGTGGTTTTCCAATGCGCCTTCCAAAATGAACTCTGGGTCATCGACCTTCCATCTCCACTCTGTACCAACAGGATTAGTATGATGTCTCCAGCTACATCAAGTATGATAAGTAGTAAAAGAAAATAGAGTTAGCATTAATATATGTAAAGATAATGTACCATCTCAGCAGAGCATTTAAAATGCATAAAACAAAGAAAAGTACCAGAAGACACATTTGTTGGCGCATGCTAAAGAGGGGGTGGTTTCCATGCAGAGATGAGACTGAATACCATAGAACGAGTGCTTATAGCAGAATCCGCGACCTCTCAGTGCAGCCTTAGTCCAGCGGCAGATCTTGACACCAGAGTGGGTCCCAATAATTTTGTACCCTTGCTTGGTTAATGATTTGTACAGCAGAGGGCTGACCATCTCACGCACCTCTCGGGGCTTGATTGCTCTACCATCCTTGGTCTCACCAATCATACGCTTTGCACGAACTTTCTGATTCGCATAAGCTTCCTCATCCAGAGCCTTATCTTCCTTGGCTTGCCTGATCTTGCGAGCCACGTTGCCCATATCCTCTACATCAACCATGTCACCTTCTGAAGTACTGCCTCCATCAATTGTTGGTAACCCCAGCTTTTCCTCCTTGGTTTTCTTCACAGCTTGGCCATCTTCATCAAACTCTCCGTCATCATCATGTTCTGAGGCTGATGCGCCATCCTCCTCGTCTGATGAGAAATAAGCTTCGTGAACATGGCTCTGATTTGGATCCAAGAGTGATTCCAGAAGAGCGTCATTCCACTGTTTGAATGCGCCACCCTGATCTATAAAGGAGTAATTAATATCAGTATACGATACTATTGTATCTCCTTGACAATCTTTTTATTTTATTTTATTTTATTTTTTTTTTGAATTCCTTACCTCCATTCTTGTCTCCTTCACCAAAAGGCCAGACACGTTGAGCACCTAGCTGTCCAAGCCATTTATCTGCAGATCGGGGACCGTTACAGAACTCATCACCATAAGCTGAATCACCCAAACCAAAGACGGAGAACTTGAGCTTCTTGAGTGATTCTCGCTCCACACGCCAATCGAATCGTGTATCCTCAAGCCACTTCAAAAACCAGTCGTTAGGACCCTCCACGTTATAAGTCGATAGAATAAAGATGCACAATGAAGATTCACTCAAGAAATCCTCGGTATCATAGTCCACAATATCGATCAACTTGGGCTCCGGAAGGCCTCGTGAGGCAACAGATTGTGCTAGTTCTTGAGCAAAGAGCTTTGCTGTCCCAGTGATGGTCGAATAAAATACTTTCATGGGTTCTGTGAGCATAGGAAGCAGCAAAGGATCAATCTTAGCAGGGGCTGTCGGAGCAAATCCATTTGTCGATGAACAGGCACAAGCATGACCACCACAGCCATTGGAGACAGTGCTAGTAGGAACAGAAGCAGTGATGATATTGCCATCATCATCTACCATAGTGTTGTTGTGGTTATTTTCATTCTTATATTTCCCACCGCAGCATCCGGTTGAGGTATCGCCTGCAGGTTTGTTCTTGCCTCCACAACAACCGTCGACAGTCGAAGAGGTAACGATTGGAGCAGAGGCAGAAGTAGTGACCGGATCAGCTTGCTTTTTATTCTTGGGTTTCTTACGAATCACTTTGGGTAGTTTTCGGAACTCTTCCTTCTTGAGCCCCTGATGTCTGTAGGGCTTTTGCTCGGCCGTGGCATGATCCATTACTCTAGAAACGGCAGCGGGAGAGAGAGTTGGGATAGTGGGGTCATGTTCCATATCCTGAACGATCCCCTCAACCTCGTTAGGTGGTTCTTTATTCTCACTAGCATCCTTATCCCTTTTAGAGTCGCTGTTATTCTCCTTGTCTTCATTAGTGTTGTTGGTGTTTGAATTGACCTTTTCTTTGTTGGAGAGAATAATGGAAAGAGTTGCAATGGCAAAGGCCATGCAGACCAAAGGAATGCGGTACTCCTTCCAAAGCTGTAAAGCTGATGATGAACTCATGTTAAATGTATTCTTCTTTTCTTTCCGGCTAAAATAGAAAGAGGAGGGGAAAGAGAGAGTGAGGAAGGTGCAGCAACTGAAGTAAAAAAAAAAAAAAAAAAAAAGGTTCGTCCTCTGTGGTCTGTGTAGGCCCTGACTTTTTTTTTTAAGATTGTTGTTTGGGTCCAATGGACAAAGTAAATTGTCAAGCCACTTTAATGCAGTCACATTCTCCTAAATCAATTTATTATTTATTATGAAATATATACAGTTTATTTGTAGCAATGCCATAACCGACCCTTGCTTAAGATACCTAGCTCACAGATAAAGCTGTTGGGATCCCCTTCATCAACCGTTGTGCTGTGTGTGTTGCCACTTCCAGCCCCGGCCCCCTCCCCACCAGTCCCCTCGCCAGGGATTTCCTCGTCAATCTTGGCCTCCAAGTTCTCGATCGGTACCTGCCAATGGTTCTGCCCATAGACAACACTAGCCATCTTGGCCATTTTAAGTACATCTTTTAGGTTTCGAGTGCCTGAGTCAAAATAGGGCCACTCGGATGGATCCCTGACTGCATACTCAGACAAATATCGGATCGCATCTTCTATTGTGCCTCCTCCGCTCTCAATAGTGACGCTCTTTTTGGAGGTGATTCTGATCGTACTTTGAATAACGGGCCCCCTATGATGCCACAGATCCACATCGTATGTAGATGCCTGGATGGCCAACAGCATCAATCCTTGTAAGTTAAAGGTCGAATAAAAGAAACTGATAGGTCGGAAAGTTTCGTGGGGCTGTGCACCATCCTTGCGGATTTGAGGTCCAACTCTTTTCTCTTTAGCTTCCTCCATCAAAGCTCTGGCGTCTTCATTACGGCCCAAGAATTCGAGAATAGAGACGTATTGAACTGAGAAGTAGGTGCCATGGTTATTTTTAGCATTCTTCTCCTGATTAGCTTCGAACGACTCGTCTAACCAACTTATATAGGACTTGAACCAGGTCTGGAGCCTAGGAATCAATGTGGGCTCTGAATGCATGGCCTTGGATCCTTCGATTGCCTTGAGTGCATCAAACATTCTAAAACAAAAATGTGTAAAAGTAAGGAAAGAAGCATGTTAACAAAAGTCACTCGCGATTATAGAAAAAAAAAAAAATAGAAGGAAATTGGTAGAGAAAGTATAGAGAGAGTGTAGAGAGAGGCATTACCCATAGACTTTGAACATGTCAAGGACACCTTGAGCACGTCCGAGATTGTTGCCAAAGATCAAACTGCCATACTTGATATTAGGATTCATGTAGGTTTCTTCGTCTAGGAACCACTGCTTGACTCTGAATACAACCTTTTCAGCATAGCGCTCCTCGCCTGTCCAAAAATATGCCTGTCCCATATAGTAGCAGTCCCTAAAGACTTTTCTCAAAAGCCGATAATCCCATACCAAGTCCATGTCTGGGTTGGGTTTACCATCAATTCGGATATACGGCAGGCCACTGGGGGTGTTTGGATTCTTCCAGAAGTAACGTGCCAATGAGGTATAATCATGAATATCGCCTGAAGGTGGGATCTTGTCCTTGGGCTTGATGACCACTGAGTAAATAGAATTGTTGCGGTAGGCAATATTAGCCTGGCCTAAAATATATTTAACAGCCGCATCTCGCTCGAGCTTGATATGGGGCCTGCTCTTGAAATAGTCGTCCAAGGCTTTGACACCGATCTTTTCCTCAAGGAGTTTTTTAGATGCAGTCGGAAGAAACGCCTCATCAAACTCTGTCGGCAAATCGTCCTGAAGCACTCCCTTATTGTTGTCTTGGGGCTGTTGCACCAGATGTCTATTATTCCCTTCCTGTGGCGGTGTACGTTTCTCTTTCTCCTCGTCGTCGTCTTCATTATTAAACAGGATCTTGTCGTTATTGACCTCCTCTATATCCTTCCGTTCCCGATCTTCCTCTTCTTTCAGCCTTTGTTTTTCCATCTCATCCACTTTTTCATTTTCGGCTTGCTTCTGTTTCAACAATTCTCTGTACTTTTCTTCTGCTTTGAGTTGTCGTTCTGCTTCTTCTGTTTGTTGGAGTTTTTGTTTCTGTAACAAAGCTTCTTGTTGCTCTTGTGTACCGCCATTGCCTCGCCAGTTTTCATTGTTGACGCGGTTAAGAGCAGTATTAGTGTGTGGGGTAAGAACATAAAGGGTATAGAAGAGACAGAGGCCTAGCAGTACAGTAAGCCACCTCTTACTGGTTCCTCGTAAGTGAACCATGTTTGATTGATTGTTGTCTCTATTGGCAAAATTATTAGATATAAGGTTGTAGATTTTTGCAAAAAAACAAAAAACAAGGATGGGAGTGAAGAGAAGGAATCTGGACAAGAGAGGAGAGAGAGAAAAGACAAAGAGAGCAACAGAGAGAGTAGAGAAAAAGAGAGATAAACATCCACCTCTTATCCCTATGATGCGATCGATTTGTGTAGAGTATGTTTACTGGGATCAAATGTTATTTTGGGCGCCTAGGCTCGTCGGCGCGGCGTAGACACAGGATGAATCTGCATGGGCGCACACGCACGAGCTATTTTCCACAACAACCAAGATGCACAAAGCACACATGTTTTTGTGAACGAGAGCCCATTGCCATCAAACCTTGTCAAAAAAAATTGCTGATCCATCTCTCTGTCAAGGACATTTAAAAGGTTTTTATATGAATATAGCGACAATGTGCATACATAGTATTAGGAACCTTAAGAAAATCGTATCGATATGAAAAGATCTAGAATGGCCATTGTTCTGTCTAATACCTTCCTAAGTTCGTTTAGTGGTTTATTCTTAATACAAAACATGGGCGCAAAAAAAATAAAATAAATAAAAGGGCAAATCTTGTACTTCATTTGAGCCTTCACTCAAACACCAACTTTTGTTACCAGAGATTTGTAGCTTTAGAAGGCGCTACATTGCTTTTACGCGTTTTTTTTTTTTTTTTTTACTTGTTTGTTTCTCTGTTTGCTTGTTCGTTTGAATGAAGGATTTCACATGTGTACATGTATGTGTGCGATAGGTTAGAGGAGATTTTCATCAAAGGTAGTTTTATTATTAACAATTAACAATCCTCAAAATTGTCTTTTTTTAGTTTCTAGCATAGCCACAACTTAGAATTTCAATCTTCTATTCGTAAAAAAAGATGGGCAGAGCAGAGACCATCTTGGCTTGAACAATCAGTCCATTTCTTCGATAGTAGGCTGTGATGGCTGTGCTTCTTCTGCCCCTGCGCCCAGTGCTGGCCGTGACGACGATGCTGGTGGTCCTGAGAAGAGACTGCTCATTAGATCTGCTAACAAGTTAGCCTGTTTTGGTGCCCTAACCCCAAAGAACAGCTCTCCAATAGTCGCCATCATCTATATTTGTTTGTTTATGTAAAATAGTTATCAGTTTTATATCGTACTTGAAGCATAAGGGATTGCCACTACAATGCATCTTTTTTTTTTTTTTTTTTTTTTTTTTTTTTTTTTGCTGTGAATAATCACTTACCGCGCCAAAATTCTCGTCAATGGACAGAATACCTTTATACTTTGCAGAAAGCTGCTTAAAGAGAGCAGGGTTACCGGTTTCACAGGACAAGAGCAACAGCTGTGTAAAATTGAGCAGTGAGGACTTGAAGGTCTGCACAGTTTTGGTAGAACCTGAAGGGGTGTTATACTTTTGTTCTGATGCCAAATAGGTTGATGGCAATCGCTCTACAAATGTTTTATAAACAACATTAGCATCGCGTAAATTTTTCATTGATAATTCCTGAAGGACACCGCGTAACAGGTATGCGCCCTTATCATGACTAGGTTCCATTTCTGACCACTCGAACAAGGCAAGTCCCAACGCCTCTGCACTTTCTTGTGTTCCTACTAACAGATGTGCCTCTGCTTGAGCGTAGTCCTTTTCTGGGTGCGTCCCACATTGGAATAAAGTCATAGTAATTGATAATAATGATAAAAAACAATAACAATAACAATAAAAAGTCAGATGCCGCTCATGCAATAGTTTCGCAAACCTGTTAAAGGCTATGTGTGATTCATGCTTTAATATACCTCTCCAGAACAACAATCCCACATAGTGTTGAATCAGAGGATCGCCCTCCCGGTACTCTCCATTGTATCCAGACCAGCTAGATTGAAGGGTTTTTTGTAATAAGGTGAAGGATAAATAACAATAATAAAGATTCAACAATCAATTTCCAGGAGTTGCCAATTTACTCAATATTAGCTAACAGTCGTCAATTGCAGCGCGGTATAGTTTACCTGATAGCCCCTTGGAGAAATGATCTACGTTGAGTGTTCTCGGGTCCCATCAAGTCAGCAAGATCGAAAATACGATCTATCCATTATTGTTAAGGATATGTCAGTATTCCTAATACATCAAAAATAGGATAATTCCTTAACTAGCAATCCTTTTTTTTTTTTTTTTTTTTTTTTTTACCTCGAGATTCTTCTGTGACAGGAATCTTTGCCTGATTGTAGACATCAATAAGGTATATTGCCAAGTCTGTTCCTGAGTTGCCCTGCTTATGCTTCAACAGAAGCATTGCTCCAGAGTGCAAAAGATCGATCGCATCATTGTAATTTTGAGCCTTGACATAGCTGATAAAATAAATAAAAATGTTAAGGGTATGAATAATATTAGTAGTGGAAAACATCTTGCCTTGTGAATTAATTATGGTCGTTATTATTTGATTTCAACTAAAGGGATGTCCTGTTTTTTCATGTTCCTGACTTGTAAAGAGAAAAGAAAAAGGATGAAGACAAACGTACCGATTGGCTACAGTACGGTACATCTGATGGGCCTCATAATAGTTTCCGTCACCCACAGACTTTTCTAGTTTCTTCAATGTTTTTGCAGTTCCTCTTGCGGCGGCCATAATGAATGCTCTTTCCTTGTTGTTGGTGATGTAGCTTTGAAGGAGGAATGAGATGGTTTCGTCGCGTATCCTTGCGTTTTCTATGGTCTTCCACGCTCCTATCTGTGGCTCAGCACAAATTCTGTTCGCTCCGAGCAGTCACCCACTTTCTTTTCTTCATTCATTCCCTCCACATTCTTTCATTGCAAGAGGAAGCAAAACATTCCACACAATCTCGACCTCGTTTTTCTTCATTACTTCGTTAACCGACTTTCCTTTTTTTTTTTTTTTTTTTTTTTTTATATTTTTTGTTGTCCTTCGTCTCGCACTCTCTCACTCCTTTTTTTTTATTCAATTTTATTTTATTTCCCTCGCACACGACTGGCTTTGCCCAGATTTTTTTTTTTTCTTTGACAAACTCTTGGTACTCTTTCTATTTTACAACTCAGCCATGGGGATCTATCGACCTTTAGTGGTAAACAAAATAAAAAAAAAAAAAACCATTATTGTTTCCCTTTTCTTCTCAAGAATCAAAGCATTATCTTTTCTAATATGAAGGGTCTCTAATTTCATTATTTGATTATTATTAGGTGACGGCTTTAATAGAAGGATGTCAAATCCCAGCATGTGGTGTGCCCGCTACAATGGTACATGTTTATATTTATAGTCATCAATTGAAATTAAGCTTTCAACAAAGTTCCCTTTTGTCTTATATGACGCCTGATCCAGGTTATTGAATAATGACTGTAATAAATATATATGCATATAGAGAATGAACCTAATGGCTTCTAGCAGGGAGGATCCAAGGATACTCTACATTGGTATGAGGCTCTCCATTTTACACTTTTTTTTTGTCTGTTGTCTTCTACATTTTTTTTTTTCTAAATAACCGACACTTTATAGTCAACGGTGACAAGATTCTTGTGTATCATTTCTCAACGCTCACACCTTCGGGAATGCCCACTCTTTCAAATTGGCTCTCTGACCCAAGATGCACAAACGATGTAAAGAATACTAACTTAAACGAACGAACTTCTTGAGAAGAAGCTGAGAAAAAAAACAGAAAATGACCTTTTTTTTTTTTTGGTTCATGTTTTTGGGTGTAATTAGCATGTCAATGATAGAACAATCAATGTAATGAAGATTGGATACCTTGGCACAGAGGAGGTCCTGGTAACTGCTGATGAAACCGGTGATGTCTGTGTATGGTTCACTATGAACCTTCGGCGTGATCCACTGTTACTGAGGTGAGGTTTGATATCGAAGTTTTTATTTCTTTAAATTTAGTTCAAAGTTTATCGGTAAATGCGAGGAATTTTGCTTATTCATACTTTCTATTTTTTTTCTTTTTTCCTTCCTAACTCTGCCCGGTACATAGTGTTGGGAAGTCTGCATGGGGGATCGCCATTCATTCAGAGCAGCGTCTGATCGCTATATCGTGCAATGCTCATACTGTCACTGTGTTTCATTGTGGAATTGACTCTTGTTGGTCTCAGCGAGTATTGTCCAGAGATAATTCATCAACCAGGACAGATAATGGAGCAGGAGCAATATTAACAAATGTAGCTTCGTTAGCTACTTCAACTCCACTCCCATCATTCGAACCTCATATCGAGCACACCTCACAACAAATCCTTCGTGGACATCAACACAACATTCCTTCAGTCACATTTTCACGCTGCGGGAATTTTCTTGCTACAGCGTCAGTGGATCGTACTTGTAGGACCTGGCGTCTATCGGATGGACAACAAATCCAACATAAATCATTAGGGCCCCTTTGGGGCTGGGGGGTCTGTTTTGTGGATAAAGATGACTCCTGGATGACTCTTTCTCGACAAGAATATAAGCAGATCCCAAAAGACCATTTGCATCCAGGCAAATTGCCTGGTCAGAATGTCAGAGATTCTCCATTATCAACCACTGCGTTTTCACAACGACGATTACCCCCTGGAAGGGATTATCGAATGGTTCGGAGTCGATGGTTTGCTGGCCCGTTACATAATACTTCATGTGACGAGCTTGATAGTGATGATGAAGATCCTCGGAGGAGCCGTGGTGATGCTGATGGAGCGGACGAAATAGATTACATGGATGATCGAGATGCAGCCTTATTTGGGATGGACGATGATGAAGGCGAAGATGAATGGGAGGACACGAGTACTGATGGAGGAGAAGGACATGAAAGAGATGTAGAAGAGCAAGAGGAAGAAGAAGTAGGAGAGACGATGGATGAGGGTGATGATTTAGAAAACGAATTCGGGCGACGGGGTCTAGAGGCGATTCTGCAGCCAATACAACATTCGGATGTTTCTGCCGATACAGGTGACGATGCAGATATCGAGGGTACTGGTATCGATACAGAAGATGGTGGTGGCACTACTACAGAAGATGGTGCTGGCACTAGGTCTTCAACCGTACTTGCACAGCGGAGCCATCGGACAGATGTCCGGAGGCCGAGCGTTGCAGCAGCGGCCAGATCGTCAATCCAACAGCAAGGAGAGTCCTCATCAGAACATGAAGTACTAAAAGCGTCTATGTCATCAGCACGTACCACAGAGTCAAACATTGCTATTATGGACAAAATTGATGATAATGCGTCCGGCGGCCGAGGAGATCATCTTGATCAGTCACTGCCTCAGGAAGTTATAGAAGCTCGGGAATGGGCAATCAATGTAGATCCGAATGCTTTCACAGCTTATATATGCACACAACAAATTAGTGAAGGATCGCTGTCCTCCCAGCTCCGAAACCATCGCAACCGGAGATTAGGCATCGGAACAAAAGCAACGGCAGCATCAGAGCTTATTGCGGCCCAAAGATCTGTGCCGCCCTCCACGTCAAACCTGCTATCAATGCCGTCACCTTCACTTTCACATTCCACCCTAACATTACCTCCGCTACCAGCATCATCACAACCACAGCCTTCATTGCCCTCAGAGCTTTTACTCTGTGCAACAGCTCGCAACATTTATCTCCTCAGTCAAGATCATCCACCACCACCAAATAGGCGTACAAAAACATATAGCTCGAGACTAGCATCGGCAAGAGACTCTTTGGAAAGCCTCCAGTCAGACCCTCCTGATGAAGGCTTGATTACCCATAATGAGCTGTTGATGTGGCACAGTAACCTATTTCAAGACGAAGACCCCGACTACGATTCAGATCCGTATTATGACTATACTATGGATGAGCTTATGGGCACTGCGGACGATGATAGCAATAGTGGTGATAGTGAGAGTGATGATGACAACGATGACGATGACCCTTATGCGCATCACCACCATCACGATAATGATGTTGACATGGATGATCAGGATGATGAGGAGGAAGGAGTCCAGGAAGGAGGAGAAGGTCAGATTCCAGCTCTTTATACTATCTCTGTCGCACGTGCAGCTGTTGCAAGAGCCGACGGACGACGATTTCATTTCCTGGAACATTTTGATCGCATCTTCAATATATTGCTGATCCCGGAACTAAATGTCCTCATTGCAGCCAGCCAGAAGGGCGCAGTGACCATTTTTCGGTTGCTGAAGGTCTTAGACGATCCATCATGCTCAGAAACTTTGACAGCTGAAACTGCTACATCAGCAGCAGGAGCATCGTCGACAACATTGCCCACGGGCTCAACGCGAAAAGGGAGTGTAGCAGAGTGTAGCATTAGCAGTATGGAGCATAAGCTTACTGGAGACGCGCTGACAGGAGCAGGAGTAGACAACGAGGCAAGAAAGAGAATGAAAAAGAAGGCAGCGGCAGAGGGCGAAGGGATGGACCATTCAAACGATGACAAGAGCCAGCATAACAGCCGCGACCATGACCGTGACAAAGAGCATGAGCCAAAGTTTAAAGCTACCAACAAGCCCGTGGAACGATTCGTACTCTTCCCAGAAGTATATCTTCCTCGGCTGGAGCCCCCACCACAGCCACTCTTTGGTGTCTCGGTCGTCCCTCTATGTTCGCCTTCATCTTCGTCAGCATCTGCATCATCAGTGTTCCTGTTGCATCTGGCCTATATTGACACTCAGTTTTATAGTTATGAAATCCGTCTTCGAAACGAAAAGGATGATACTGTCGCTTTGAATAACATTTTTGTATAGTATATATAGTTTATCAAGAGACTTTCTTCCTCTTTGATTCATTTTTTTTTTTTTTTTTTTTTTTTTTTTTTAATGGCTGTAAACGAATAAGGTTCATGTGAGAGGTTTTGTAATATTGGCACTATAGTTTTTTTTATTAGGCGACGTTGCAGCTTTAATGTCATGCTTCTGAACATCTTTGAAATATTCTTATCTATATCAAGATATAGTCATCTAGATCCTCTGCCACTGCAGGATGGTCACCTTCCGTGGCATTGCTCTTGTCTTGAGAATCAAGGCTTGCTTGAATTTGAGTACTTTTATGTTCGGATGTCTGTTCCTGTATTTGATCCTGTGCTTGTTCTTGGGCTTGATTCTGATGATTAATAGAGACAGGTGTAGACATGCGGATGTCCTCTCTGTCCTCCGAGGTATCGTCAAGGCGCATGGGTGACTCATTTCCTTGCTCATGCCCCTGCTCCTGCTCCTGCTCCTGCTCTTGTTGCTCAACATGCGATGCGTGGCGATGATGCCGCTGAGTAGGGTAATAAGGACAGGTCGACAAGTGTGATCGGGAGCCCAATGTCAATGATGACATTTCATATTGCTCAATCATTGCTGTACTAGCACTCGTTCTGAAAGTTGATGATGATGATGAGCCAGAGCCAGAGCCAGAGCCAGAGAGACATTGATTGCTCTCTGCTTCAAGTGTCTCCTGCGATGGATATGTATAGTGATGATGGAGATGCTGTCGAAGATGCTGACGCTGGAAATCGAGTAATTGACGCTGCTGCTTCATTAGCTTTCTCATTTCTGCATAGTCGCGTTCAGCCTGCTCCAAGTCCTCCATCTGTTGCTCCAACTCCAATGCTTCATTCTCCTGTTGTTGTAGTTGCTCTAGTTGCTCTTGATCATTTGCCTCCATTGTTGTCGACATTGTGGTTATATCGACTGGTTCAGATCCTGATGCCGTCGCTGCCGCTGCCGCTGTCTCTGCAGCCTGCACAGCCAAGTTTTGGACATGGGTCTCGGTCTCTCTCAAAGTCAGACCTAGATGGGCCATAATGGCAGACGAATGTTGTCCTCCTACCACCATCGATGCGACAGTTGATCCCATGATTCTATAGTTTCTCTGGATGCTTGAAAGGGTTGCTGATGGTATCGCTGGATGATCTTGCATATACTGCCGAAGCTCCCGGACTCCCTTTCCTGAAAACACACAAAAGACTTCACGCTGATGTTCTGTAAACTCTGAAGGGGGAACTCTACAAAATTTTTGGTATCGTGGAGACATGAATGCTGGAACTCCTGTGACAGAAAGATGGGTTAACTTTGTACATTGGTTCACCAAGGCCGCCACAGCTGTGTCCGAAAGATGTACACAATATGATAGATGCACTCGCTCCAATGTCTGGGGCACGACTTGGGAGACCAACATTGCATAAATACCATGATCGGTAATGTTGGAGCATTTGACCAAGCCAATCCTGCGAAGCTTTGGTAATTGGGCCATCGCGAAGACTGCAGCATCTGTAAGTTTAGAGCAGCAAGCCATATCAAGATATCGGATGCGAGTGCAGTGCTGTGTCAGTGTGGTAATGGCCTTGTCTGTCAATTTTGAGCAATGACCTAAATGCAGATAATGCAGATGCTTGCCCAGGATTTTGATTAAGCTGGCGCCCGCATCCGTGATTTTATCGCATTTTGTTAGAGCCAAGTTGCGGAGTCGGGGAGCAGCGGGTATAATCCTGGCTAAAGTCTCATCTGTGATGTGGGCACATGAAGTCAAGTTCAAGACACGAAGCTGCTCAAACCGAATGGTGGATGATATGCCCTGCGATGGTGATGATGACGAAGTCAAAGCCAATGTAGATCCAATGGGAATAGAAGAAAACGCCTGATCCGTAAGGTTGGTGAGAAGTGTCATGTTGATATCCCGAATTTGAGATAGGGTCTTGAAGACGATGTGAATGGCGTTGTTGGTCATAAGGTTACAATTGGTGACATCAATCTCCATGAGCTGCGGACAGGACTGTATGAGCGCAAAGATGGATCGGTCTGTCAATAGAACACATTGGCCCAATTTGATCTAAATAGGAGACAAGACAGTTTTTATGTCAGGAAAAAAAGCAAATATCATGAGCAAAATTAGGAGAAAGGAGTTATCATTGTTGCCCCATGATGCATGCATAGCATGTGTTATTATGACGTGAATGTAGATAAAAACAATAAAAATAATCAGTGAGGCGAGTGTGAAATATCCCAATTATCACACTACAGCAATAATATAGTTGTAATACGATTGGGTATAATTTGTTCCTTCAGGACACCAATCCAAATCATACGATACGATTAAAAAAAAAAAAAAAAAAAAGTATTATTCCACCACTCCATCCATGTCCTGGCTTTTGAATATAAACTCTTCCGCCTATTGTGGAAAACAAAACAAAATCCCCCCAAGTGCACACTAAGAGGACTGATACAGAAGTAGGTATTGAAAAGATGTCCTATATTTAAATAGGGATATGTTGGGTGTATGAACGTGGAGTGTGATGCTGATGAACTTACTCGCTTTAGGCTTCGGCAACTGGCTGCTAGTTTTATGATTGAGTCATCTGTCAAGGCTGCACAGCCTGTCAAGTAGAGTGTATGAAGCTTTGGGCAATGAACTGCAACATGTTCCAAAACTGAATCTGTGACAGCTGGGATGTCGGACAGATCAAGGGAGTACAGTCCCCGCCCAACCTTCAAGATCTGTTTCAGCCCTTCCTCAGTGGTTTTAGTACAACCAGGCAACATCAATCGTTCAAGTCGAGTACAGCGATCGAATTGTACCAGTAATTCATCTGTCAGATCGTGTGCCAACATTGAAAAGTTTAGTCTCCGGATATAGTCTGCATAAGGGAAGACGGTCTGGGATCTGTCCAAGGAGAGTGTTGAGCAGATTTTATGAACAAGCGAAAGGTTCAGAAGTGAAGGGCGAGACCAGAGAAGGTCCATTCCACAAGAGCACCAGAGTTTGCAGACCAGGATTGCGGACCGCAAGTCCTGTGGAGTGGTCAGGAACCTGAAGATGTGCAAAGTGAGCTCCAGAGGGATTGTCAGGCAGTATTGCTGCTGTTCTAATGTCTTGTTCTGGGGTTGTTCATACTCTTGTTTATATACATGTGATGTCTGTTTTTGTTCTTTATCTTGCTCTTCTTGCTCTTCTTCTTCTTCTTCTTCTTCTTCTTCTTCTTCTTCTACTTCTTGCTCCTGTTCCCATTGTTCATCATTATCAGAGAGTTGTTGTATTGATTGATGATTATTTGTTGTAGAGGTAAGAGTGGAAGTAATACCAGTGTGGTCTAGGTCCATGTCGGAAGTGGAAGTGGAAGTGGAAGAAGAAGAGGAGGAGGATGATTTTTTAGCCTTGTCCTTGACTGAATGTGTACTTGTGCCAGTTAGACTTGTGGTTGTTGTGCCTGAGCAGTCTAAGGTTGCATAGACATCGTCTTGGTCTTGCTCAGCGCAGGGGGTAGTGCTCTGAGAGGAGGTAACGGAGAGTGAAGCGAGGGAAGAAGAAGGCAAGGGCAGTGACATGGGCAAGGGCGAAGGTGAGGGCGAAGGCGAGGATGGGGAAGACCGGAGAGGAGAAGAAGGTGAAGGAGGAGAGGATTGGAAAGGTTGTAATGTTGAATGTGAGTGTGAGGGAGAGTCGATATCCATGGTATCCATTTGGTTTAGAAGGAAAGTAGAGGCAACAAACAGTTGCAGAGAGGAAGGAGTAAAGTAAGATGAACCGAAAAGAGAGGAAAGAATGAGAATGGAATGTCAAGGTGAATGTGTCAATGTCAATGTAAAAGTGAATGTGAATGTGAATGTGAATGTGAATGTGAATGTGAATGTGAATGTGAATGTGAATGGGTAAATGTAAATGTAAATGTGAATGGAATGTGAATGTGAAAAAAGAAAGGGAAAAAAGGGAGGAAAAGGGAAAAATAAAAAAAGGGTTAAAAAAAAAAAAAAATTAGTTTTTTGGGCCAGACAGACCCAAAAACCATTTTCACATTCATCAACATTTTAATCTCATGTTTAATCGAGAGGGCAATGTATTACAAAAGGCTTTTTTGGGGTCAACACGTATGATCTTGACTAAAAAAGTTTTTCTTTCTTTTTGATCTTTGGTTTCAGGACAAAATGAACATGACAGTGGTATTCTTCCTTCCCCGATCTTGAGATCTTCTTCTTGTCATGCAGAATAGCAATGCTCAGGCGATGCTTTCTTCCTCTTACGATAATATCTCTTTTGCCTGATCAAATCAACCCTTGGGAGGTCAGGGCAAGACAACGAAGTCATGCTTTCAATCCATGCTCGATTGGATCCACCATCAAGATCGAGTCAAATAATGCGCAATAACCTGGCCATGTATGATCTGAATAACTGTTAAACCCCAATCCTTCCTTCCTTCCTCTCTTGCATCTCTATCGCTTTCTGTCCTACACACTAACGCATCATCATGTTCAAACATGGCTATCTCCATTACTAGCAAACATGTATTCCCAAGCTCATCATTCCATTTTAGTTTTATTTCTCTTTACTTTTTATTTTTTATTTATATTTTTGCTCACCTCCCCATCTTTCTCCACTGTATCTCCCTATGCTCATAGCCTATTTATTTTAGAACAGAAATCGGACTTGATTAGAAACATGGAAAGCTGTGTGGTTCCTTTTGCTTTTACTGGCTGATATCTATACGACCTATAGACTCTGGATTTTTTTTTTTTTTTTTTTTTTTTTTTTAGCGCATGGATCACCATTTGGTGTCTGCGCTCTTGTTTGTTTTTTTTTTTAAAAAGCCTTTTTTGTGTTCTTGCAGATCTGTCAATAGCCACAATGTGTCAATTTATGTATTTCATCGTCGCCGACATTTATAAAAATAAAATAAAAATAAAATAATAAAGTAATACACTTTTACTTTTTCCTTCACCTAACTATTAGTCATGAACCTATGCTTTAACTTCCCCCCCACCACCGAGCTCATATAGTAGCCTGTTGCAGAATTTCCACAAAGACTTTCAAGCTTCGGCCAACTCTGGACCATCCACATGATCGCATCCTTGGATATCCTCATCCCTGACCCAGTCATGAAATCTATACTTCTCAGTTCCTGTAATCTTTCCAGCTGCCCTAGTCCCGATTCCAAAAGCCATTCAATCCTTCCCCCCTGCTTACTCCCTGTTCTCTGAATATGATAGTTCCGGCCCAAATCAAGGTGTCTTAAGCGAGTCAGCTTTGATAGATGTTCAAATATTAAACGTGAAAGCCGTTGGTCTTCCCTACCATCACATTTCGTAGTCGAGCCCGAGTCCAAGCCCAATACCTCAGAGTCTGATTGTGAGTCTAAAAGACTGTACCGTGATCCTCGTTCTTTTGGTGCACCTGCCCGGGTCACGTCTATAAAAACTTTCCACGTTTGTAGTCCCAAACAAACCCAAGGCCCTACACTTGCGCCTTCCTCAATGTCTGACACGTGTATACAGTTGGCTGTCAAATGCTCCAACATTGGACAAGACATCAGCATTTGTTGAACCATCTTTCCTGTAATGTCTGAGCATAGACCCAGATCTAACGTTTGGATTTGAGAAAAATACCTTCCCAGTGCACTCACTGATTGTTCTTGTAAACTAAGGCTCCGTAACCGAACTAGCTTCAACTTTGTCCCAGCCCGTTTTAATAGTTCTGTTAAAAACTCTTCTGGAATGACTCTACCCTTGCCTCGATTACAGGTGATAGAAATAGACTCAAGTCCTGGCCAATGACGCTGATTCTGGTCATGGTCATGGCCATTGCGTCCTCCTCCTTGCTTTTGACAATGACAACGATGACCTTGCAAGCCAATATATTCCGTTATGGCGTCTTCAACCCGCGTGTTGCGATAGCTTTGGTGGATATTCCATTGTAGTGACAAAAGTCCAAAACTCTGTGCAATAAACACCTTGAATTGAGTCATAGGTGTCATCCCCCGAATATTCTCCAACACTAAATCCTCAAGTCTCAACGATGGTTCAAACGATCCTTGATCGACAATTCCTCCTATCCTTCTCTCTACCTCTGTCTGTGTCTTCATTGATGATAAGAATGGATGGTCAATGAGTAAATCTGAAAGCCTTACTCTCTTTAGATGAGGACCTGCTGATCTCCAGAGAAGCATCAAATTAGCTAGGCCGATTTCTCGCCCAACTATACTCAGACTTGTCAGTCGTGCAGAAGAAGGGCCGAATAGATGGGACTGCGGGGGAAAACAATCCACAACAGCTTCCCAGAATGCCCTGGATGGTATATTGGCTGGTTTCGAGAATCCAAGATTGACGTCAAGAGCTCTCAATGTATGTCGGTTTCGACGAACAAATAAAGCGAGTCGGCTCCATGCGTCGAGGCTATCATCATCTGCATATTCTCTTTCGGCTTTCACATCGTCCTCATCGTCGTTGTTCCGGTGATAACTATCTTCCAGCTGGATGTTATTACTACCGCTGTCGCTCTGTACACTATCCTCGTCAGAGGCATCGCCTTCCGACGGTAGTAAGTCCCAATTAATGGGTTGATTTTCATGGATAGTTCTATGTGATTCAGTCCCAGGAAGGGATAAGTACTCTAATCTTGTGCAATAGATGCTGACTGAAATATCGTACTGGGTCAATGGCCCTCCGTCAAAGATCAGTGACCTTGTATTGTGTGCATTGGCTTGAAAGAGAGAACGGAAGTTTATTGGTAGCTCTGATGAGCGAGAACGTGACATGGATCGTGAAGTGTAAATGGACATATTTCGCCAAAGCAAAGGGGTGAAGGACTTCTGCCAGGCTTTGCAAACAACCATACACTGCAATAGATCTTTTCGCGTCAGACATAAACCCACAAGGAGCCGGATCTCAGGCATGTCGAGGGGGCTATTTGTGTTCATGCTGTTTACAATGGCATTTCAATGTAAAAGATGAGGAGCAATGATCAATTTAACAAAATGATCTTTTTGTTTGGTTTTATTTTATCGCATTTGCCCGAGCTCACGACTCTTAAAATGATCAGAGTTTAAATTGGTAAATACGGTTGAGAACGCGCACCAATTATTCATCATCCACTGCAGATCTTCTTGTTCCAGAGAGCCTAAAATCCAACGAACGTTGAGCATACTGTAAAGGTTTATAGTACGGTGTCATGCCCCGGGAGATTCTGTCAACCGAGTATCTTCCGGTGTAGGTGCTCGAGTCAAACCCAAAGACTCAAGAGATGGCCACGATTAACGAATGTTCTGTGCTGACATCGTCACCAACGGAAACTCGGATAGATCTTGAAATGAGCACATCAAACGCGTGATATTTGGACATTGTTTGATCCATGTGGTCAGCCACCTCTCAGGACTATCAAGATGATCCATCTTAAACAGCTCCAAGGATCGCATTTGCGGGCAAACAGAGGTTACAACTCTTCAGAACTCAATCTCCTATGCCTTGTTTGTAAACGCAGCGTTCATCAAGGAAATTGATTGTAAATTTGTCTTTTGAAATAGCACCTAAGCAAAGAGGCTGTCTGCATTCAGGATTTTCAAGGGTAGTAGGTTGGGACACTGACTCAACAGCTTAAAAGGAATCCTCTGCCAGACCTTGAGGTCTTTGAGGAGTGAACAATGCTCCATTTACTTCAACATATGAGACAAAGTTTGCTCCTCATCATAAACCGCGAGTGAACGCCAGAGAATTGAAATGAAATGACTATACCATTGCTTGCAGACTCGCGTGCAGATGGGACTAGGTTCCTATGAAGATAGACCGCAATATAGAGTTCACACGTAGTTGAAAAAGGGTTTGCTTCACTTGTTTTCATCGACATGATAAATGGATATTTATATTTGAAATGTTGCAAAAAAGACAACGATATTGTTGTCACGACTGTTGCTATTATGTTAATGGATTACTACTATTGTCTTTATTTAGCTTCCATTGAATGTCCTCATATTCTCATATTTCTTGTTTAACAAGGCACCATTCTTCGCTTGATCGCTGTTCATTGGGCCCATGACATCGATGAACTTTGGCCAATGGTCTATCATCCACTGCAAATCTTCCATCTCCATAGTCTGATTAACTCTCTCTGTTAGATAAATATGCATCATACACTTGAGTGGCTCAAGTTTATCCAGGCCACTAATCACGCGGATGTCAAGAGATGGGTATGGGGAGTTGGAAGGGACATGTAAAAAAAGCGTGACCAGACGCTTTAGCTGCGATAGCAGCGCAAAGATAAATCTATGCGTAGATGGATTGCACTTGATAGGAAACTCAAATTCGATGCCGAAACTCTGCAAAGTCCCACTACAAGCCCAAGGCGTCGATTGACATTTCAAGACGTCATTCACAGGTGCATAAGCACCATGTAGCGTTACTAGCTTCGGGCAAGATATTAAAATTTCATGGGTCATCTCCCATGTTACCACTCTGTGCTCCTTTGCTTCCTCATAAGTATCCGGAGACGGGAGCAAAAGCTTCTCAAGATGTGAGAAGTGGGGCCGTAAAGCTGCATATGATAGCGGACCAAAGTCTGAGCGCATAGTCCAAAGCTCCTTGATTTGTCGCATCCCACTTAGAACAGCCGCCAACGCCCTATCAGAAATGTTGCAGTATGATAATTCTAATCTTTCTAAACGAGGCCAGAGCTCCGTCACAGTAAGAGATGACAACATCCTCAAAGGAAGCGAGCCCGCATGGGACGAATAAGCCAAAGTCTGCAAATTGGGACAGCGAGCGATCCAGTTATCGATATCTTGCAGCGATATGCCATTGACGACTGTTATTTCCAACTTCCGAAGCGGGGTAAACAGCAATGACGATGGTGGGCCTTGCGGTAAATGTGTCAAAGAGATTTTGAGCTTTTCTAAACGCGGGCAGATGTTCCAAAAGCAGCCGATTGATAGAATACTAAAGTCCAGTTTACACACTGATAAAGACTTGAGTTGTGGCAATCCTACCTCTGCAGTCCTCCAAAATGAACACTCATCCGCAAACTTGACATCATATAGGTCGAGAGTGGAGAGTTGTTGTTTGAGGGCGAGGGTATGAGGGCCGAGGTCTTTTGTGGAGTTGAGGTTCATATAGGTCAGATTAGGCGAAAATAATACGAGATAGGCTTGCCTCTTTTTGCTGCTGCTGAACTTCTTGATAAGATGTCCATATTTAATTATTTGTGCAAGAGGAGGGAGCATCTTCCTGTTGTAATCAGAATCCTCAAAGCCATGCCAAAGAGAAGGGAAAAAGAATGTATGCCATTTCTTACACACAAGAATGCAACAGGCAAGATCTATGCGACGCAAGTATTTATTGATGGAACGGCGAAGCTCTGGTAACTCGAAAGGGCTTGTTACCTCTGGCATGACAAAAAAAACAAAAACAAATGACTTTGTCAATTGAAGAGCTCAAAGAAGAAATACCGCAGCAGTATTTGTAGTAAATGCGATAAAACCCCTTAGAGCCCTTGATTCCATTCAACCATGTGTTCTTCTTCTTCTTCTGAAGAGTCATTGTTCAATTCCTCAAATCTCTTCAAATGATTTGATTGAATGACCCACTGTTTCAACTCTTCCTTGGTGATACCCTTGACAGTTTTGACTACTAATACTTGGAGCTTTCTGAATTCCATCGTCGGGTCAGGCCCATAAGCGAGTGTAGTACGAATGAGTTTGAGTGTCTCAATCCTTTGACAAATCATCCAAAAGTGCGGCACCGCATAAAAATCAACCACAGTATCACGAATGATCAAATGTTGAAGTCGATGTAAGTTTGTAGATACAGTCTGCCAGAATCCAGACGCGTCAAGAAATCTTACGCGGTCCAGACAAAGACTTGTCAAGTATACTTTCCCTTGAAGTATTGACCCACAGAGATCCATCGCAGATGCCAAGGCCAGATCACAGAGCTGTGCAGAAAATACAAGCGAATAATGAAGCGCAGTTCCTTGTAAAGCTAGCTTCTTGACTAAATGTCCATGTCTATGATATGAACTAATGGGTGGGATCTGGTTGGATCGAAAGAGGTCGACAAGCATATGCCTCCAAAAGATTGGCATTATGACTACGTTCCATCTTCGACAAACCCGAAGACAGCGCGCCTGGTCGTCTTTGGGGATGGAAAGAGCAATCTTATGGAATAATTCCGCCACCTGGAAAGGGTCCTTTGGTAGCATGATTTGATTCAATGGGGCAACAATAAGTGGATATGCGTGAATAGGTGATACTGTTTTTTTTTCTTCAAGAAGTAAACTATCAAGTGAACATCAAAAAGATGTAAAGAGAAGACACTTGCATAAAATACTTACTGCGCGTTTTGATCTAAAAGAGGCTTTTTATTGGCTCATTTCATGTTTATATTGGTGGCAACACAGAGTCGGAAAAACTCGACAAATCAGGCTCTTTTCTCATTTCACTTTTTTTTTTTTTTTTTTTTTTTTTTAAAGAAAACAAGGAGGCCCACATGCTACAGACATTGTTCAGTCGAGGGTACAGACATGGAAAGCGCAGTACAATAGCATCGATCAGGACCATAGCGCTTGACATTGTCGTTCAAAAGCAGCCACAACAATGTCGCTCATTCATCAGTCTACCCAAGTTACCCAACCTACCCAACCTACTAAAACCACTCACGTCATCTAGGCAATACAAAGATCGCATCCTAGTCAAGTATTCGCAACAGGAGTTTTATGAACTTGTTGCTAACGTGGATGATTATCAGAATTTTTTGCCTTGGTGCACTTATTCAAAAATGTCTAAACCTTCGCCAGACAATACTGTTGAACCGGATCCAGCATTGAGCCGTCATCCAGGATCAGGGTCGGAAACAGACTTGAGGTCGAGCGTTACTGTCAGACATGGAGAGCTTGGTATAGGATTCAATTCAGTTCAGGAACGATACGTCTCAACGGTGACTTGTCAGGAACCATGGACTGTTCGTGCTGTTTCATATGACTCAAAACTATTTAAAGAACTCGCTACCACCTGGAGGTTCACTCCTAATATCCCAAAAGCCTCAACACTCGAGGCTACTCTGGACCACGAACTACAAGAGAGGCAGTTACTGACTAGACTTGCAGAAGAGGAGGACAATTCAGCCAGGAGAACAAGAAGAGACACATTGCCTTCAGAATCGTCGTCATTATCATCATCGTCAATATCATCTGTTTCAGCTTCAACTGCAATCCCAAAGCAACCGGAGCAGCATCGCAGGCTCACAGCGGCTTCAGTATTTGGTGCTTCCGCAATACCAAAGCCAAAAATGTTGACGGAAAACTCGCCGACATCAGCCTCTTCTTCCATATCAGCAACGGGAGCTACGCCTTCAGCTCCAGAGTCAGATCTAGAAATTGAAGATGCTGGACCCACTCAGCAGCGACCCCTTCCTGTGCCACCAAAACAAACGATCAAGAGGATATCTTCGCCTTCAAATCTAGCAATGATGAAGCCAAGTGATTATCCTTCGTGTTGGGTGGATTTTGAAATCCAATTTGAGTTTGCATCGCCAGTGCACGCTTCCATGTCATCATTGTTCTTTGATCAAGTTAGCAAGGAGATGCTGAAGGCATTTATCAAAAGAGCGGAAACTCTATTTGGACCACGATAACAATTAAAAAAAAAAAAAAAAAAAAAAAAAAAAAAAAGCAATAGACAAGGAAGTAGTGTCACGGTTTAGAATTTTATTCATAGATTCTCCTAAATAAAAAAAAAATAAAAAATAAAAAAAATCATGGAAGACATCCTTGGCTTCGGTTATGCTACGGCTACAGCTCTGATACTATAGCCCTTAGTAATTAGACCATCGAAATTTTAACGCCGTACCATTAACGAATTAACGGACACAGAGAGCATTGCTACACCCATTGTCAGTAGCAGATAAATCATTACACTTGCGCTAATTGGGCTCAAATGTTACTATCACTGCGCTGCGGCTCAAATGTAAAAAGAGCTATTCACAAAAGCAATGATGGGTTTATTTTTTCATTCTTCTTCACCCACTTCCTTTCTCTCGCCTCCTTCGCCTTTCCCTTCAGCACCAGCATTGGTATCCAATAAGCAGCATTGGGAATCATGCCAAAGCAAAACAAGGTGCCTAACGAGATCTTCTTTCAGATCGGGCAGCTGTTAGATCTACGAAACCTTGCTCAATGTGCTCTAGTCTCTCGAGCATGGAATGCTGTATTCAGCCCCATGATCTGGTCTAACATCGCATTGGGACCAAGCAGCCGTATAATTGAGAATATCACTCAAGAAAGGATTGCAAACAAGGCTCATCATGTAAAGCACCTAATCTTGGAAGGAGATTCCTCCCCTCAACAGTTTGAATTCATCATACAATGTTTTCACCTTCAGACCATTTCGTTCCACAGAACAACGCCTTATTACTACGACAGCAACGACAATGGCAAGAGAGAGACCCGACGACAATGCTTCAAGCCCTGGAAAATTAGTTGTCGACAGATCTTTAAACAAAATCGAAGAACTCTTCGTTCACTCAAACTCCATGACTGTGTCTTGCCTACGGGAGAATACTGTGGCCAACGCTCAACCTGGAGTCCATTTCTCAGTCTTGTTCGTTTTTCTCGCTCAGTCTTGACAACGCTACGACTTGTTAACAGTATTATCCCACCAGGACCACATCTTGAAGCCTTTTGGACAATCTGTGAGCAGTTGGAAATTCTTGAGCTTAGAGAAGTCCATTTTGAGATGACTTCAGTCCCCAAAGCAGAACGAGCTGCAATGGCATTAGCAGAAGGTTATCATAATAACTTGGGCAGGCGCCATCAGGTGGTCCGTAGACGATTTCCATGCCTTAAAGAGTTAACACTCTGGAGATCCGGTCCTTACAATCCTCTTGCGCAGCTCGAACAGATCATCCGATGTGCACCACGATTAAAGTCCTTGATTTGGCGCTGTACACGACAAAGTTGGTTTCCCTATTATCGGTTCATTTATCTTATCACTGGAGATGTCGGATACTATCGGCAGCCTACACCAAAACAACGCTTACATTGTATTCCTCTAGAGCCTTGTGCGGGACCATGTTGGCCTGACCTGGGGTCCTTGACGATTACTGACTTGTGGTTTTCCTCTTACTTTAAACCAGTCGATTGTGTGCCCATCATCCGGGCCATGAAACGACTTCACAAACTGGATGTGCCTCTCGAGCACATGAGCTGTGACATGTTTATCCACATGTTCACCCAACACTCCTTGACAATAACCGACATTGACTGGCGTAGAGCCGATATGGATATGATTCCAGGATGGTTCGACACAATAATGTCTTGTCCAAATTTAAAACGATTCGCTGTCAACAATATACATGCTTACGATTTGATTCAGCCCCACAAGGAATGGAAATTTTTACATCGACTAGAGGAATTCATGGCACCTATCAGCATTGATCCCAGTGGTTATAACCCTCCTCGAACTAGGCCATTGACAGAGGCCGAAATTGATGAACAATACTCTCTTATATTCTCGCTACTAGCCAAGATGAGAGCTCTAAAAGTGCTGGATGTGAGTCCAGGTAATACTCAAATATATTGCGCCCGATGGCATTTATTGACTTTGCCGCTGAAGCTTGACAAAGGGCTGCGTCAACTCTCAGAACTGAAAAACTTGGAGTGCTTCCGGTTTAAAGGACCTCAAAATATGGGGCGAGAGGAAGTGTACTGGATAATCCAGAATTGGAAGATGTTACAAACCTTAGAGGGAGGTCTTTTGGCCCGTAATCGATCACGATACATTGAGAGGCCCAATGTCTGGGATTGCGCTTTGGCTCAGATCTTGAATCGCCACAGAATAAGTACTCCCAATAGTATATATCACCCCAATTATATTCGCAAAAACGGAGGAGTCGACTGGAGCGAACCTTGTGATCATGATTATTTCAAAGGTGACTCTATGATCGAGCCCGATATCAACACCTTGGACCTCGATCTCTTCAACTGAAAGACAAGCAAAGACATTTGTATACACAATAATAACGACTTGCGTTGCTGAATAGTAGTAATAAAGATTAGATTCAAAAAAACCACAGTATCCATATTTAATAATATTTATTGAGGACGAGAGGAGATGGATGAATGGTGGGGGATAAATGGTTGATAAAAAATCTTAGACGATTACTGCTGCTGCTGGTGACCAGCTTTCCTGGCAGCCTCACGCTCTCTCCAACCACCGGCAGTGGCAGCTCCGAACAAGGGGCGGGATGGTCCTTCCTCGCGGGGAGCCTCACGTGCAGGCTCGCGGCGGGAGTCAGTGCGAGGTCCTTCACGTACAGGCTCACGACGAGAATCACGGGAATCACGGGAATCACGGGAATCGTTACCACGAGCGCCAGGAGGACGATATGCTCCGGTAGAAGGCGCAGGAGCGCTCTCGCCAGCGGCAGCTGCAGCAGCCTTGGCTGCCTCGCGCTCTCTCCAGCTTAGCTTCTCACCTCCAGAAGCGGATGGGATAAACTTTGGAGGCGTGACAGGTGCAGCGGATCCAGTTCTTGAACTGGCCAGACGAGCTTCGATCTGCGACTCCTTCTCGCGCTGCTTGGCAGCGATAGCATCCAGCTGTCGCTTCCTCTCCTCATACTCGGCTCTCTCCTTTGCAAGTTGGGCCTCACGTTCAACACGTCTCTTCTCTTCTTCAACAGCACGATGAGCAGCTTCAGCTTCACGCTCGGCACGCTCCTTCTCTTCGCGGATTTTGCGCGCCTCGTTCTCGGCCTTGCGCTCTCTGTAAAGCTGAATACGCTTCTGTTTCTCCTCCTCGATTTTGAGACGAGCAGCCTCGCGTTTTTGAGCAAATTCTTCCTTGCGCTTCTCCTCCATCTCGCGACGGACATTCTTGTAGTCGTCCAAAATCCTGATCATACGCTTCTTGAGTTCCAACTCGTATGCATGTTTGGTAGCAGCAGCTTCGCGATGAGCCTTAACAGCAGCCTCATGATAAAGACGATCTGCTTTCTGCTGGCGCTCGTAGTCCTTGGCCAAAAGAGGACGCTCCTCCAAACGCATAGCACGTTCGACGTGATCCAAACGCTTGCCAATGGCCTTTGTACGCGCAGCCATCTCGCTCTTCTCCTTCTCCAATTGCTTGATCTGGATGGCAACCAATTTTTCTCTGTCCATGTTCTCAAGGTCCTCATCGTTCAAGTCGACGCCTGATTTGTTCTTTAGAGACTCGGCTAACTTGAGAGACTCACTCTTACGGATAGCTTCCTGCTCAGCACGGATACGCTCCTCTTCGCGCTTACGACGGTCCTCTGCAAGGCGGATCTTGAGAGCTTCCTGCTCAGCCTGCAGACGAAGGGCCTTTTCACGAGCTTCCTCCTTCTCTTTGCGAGCCAACATGGTCTCGATCAGTTCCTTCTTGCGTTCAATAATAGCCTTGCGCTCGAGAGCAAGATTGTGTTCTTCCTTCATGCTAGCGAGAGCCTTGACAAAAGCAGCCTTCTTGGCTTCCTTCTTTTCCTCAACAATCTCGGGTGAAATCATAGAAACAGTAGTGTTGAGGCAGGTGGCCAAGCGGGTGAGCTGAGTCCTCATGAGGTCGGAAGGCAATGACTGCAAGACAGGTCCGTCCGTCACCATCTTGTTCTCTGAAGCGAACAGATCGGTTTCAAAGGTCAAGGACTGAGTAGCGTGGTCGATACGGATTGACAATTCGCCCTTTTTGCATCCCTGCATGATGAACTTTTCAATGGTGGCAGAGTCGTAGTTGAAAGGGGGGGCGAAAGAAGCTAACTGAATAACGAAATCCAACTTGACAGTGGTGTAAACCTGTGACAACTGCTGGAACAGACGGGTCAAGATGACTTGATGAAGAGGTTTGACGTACTTGACAAGCTCGGGATCCTCGGTAAGTTTGGTCATGATAGGCTCGATCTTTTTGCAAATGGAGAGAGGATGAAATTGAACTTCAAGAATGTTGTACAACTCGCGAAGCTCGGGGCGGACGTGTCTGAGAATGTTTTTGCTGAGAGCCTCCTTCAAAAGACCAGCACGATTGGGAGAGCGACTAAGACCCAAAAGAGCAGCCAAACGATGGGATTTATTTTTGGACTCATCAATCTCATAGTTGCTGTCCTTGGATGAAATAACAGGGATTGCCAAAGCAGAAAGCAAGGCGAGAGAGGCCATGCGGGTCTGCTCCTCATCAGTGACAGATCTGTTCTGAGTTTTGACAAGGGTGTAGTACTTGTTCCAAGCAGCAGCGTGGAAGAGGTAGTTGTCAGAAACCATGAAAATCTTTGTCAACTTTTCATAATAGTTGGCCATCATGAAAGGTTTGGGCATCTTCTTGGACATTGTCATAAGGTTGTGAATATCCTCGACAGAGCGGAAAGCCTCCTGCCACAACTCGAGCTCAGCTGCAGCGTTGAGCTGCTGGAAACGAGTGTCCAAGTGGCGCTGGAGAGACTCAGGCTCGTTGAGGTTGATAGAATGAGGTTGGTGGGCGTATTTGGCAACATTCTGAAGATGATTTCGGAGAAGGTCGCAAAGGCGACGGAACTCGGTCTTGCGAGCGTATTTCAAGCAGAAGTGGAACGCCTGGTGAGCAGTTGTCTGATAGAGAGCCTCAAGACGGGCATTGTTCCTGAGAATGTCAAGTACAGTCCTGTATGCCTCCCAAAGGAACTTTAGCCAAGGGGTGACGACAGCACGATCAGTACGATCCTTGTTTTGTTCACCCGAAACGGTGCTGAGGAGGATGGACTCGGGGGTCTCAGTTGCCTCCAGATCGTCCAATCCGTCCAATGTGATCTTATCAGCCTTGGCCTGAGCCTCCTGGACCTTTTCCTCCGACAGCTGAATGAACTTTTTAATCACCAACTGGAAAGAGAGAAACGAAAAGATGAAAAGATATTGATTAGTCTTCTTCAGACCCTATTTACAAAACCATTTTTAAAAGAGTGAAGAGTAAGATAGAAACAATCCTACCTCGATGGTAGCAATGCTGGTGTTCTGAGAAATATTCTTGTATTGATGGAGACCCTCTTTGGCGATCTTGCCCTTGCGGAGCGAAACGCACAGCTCAACAAACTTGAGCATAATAGGCTCAAGTGAGACTAAAGGCACGCTGCGGGATCTCTTGGAGATGATCACATCGTGAAGAGCCTCCAGGGCAGCAGCATTCTGGCCGACAGCAATGAGTTCTAGAGAACAGCACAAGTGTAGGCGAACGTGTCAGCAAAAAAAAAAAAAAAAAAAAAAAAAAAAAGGACGAAATTTCGTATATGCATGCGTGTGTATGTGTGTGTAAATGGAAAATACAAAAAAAAAGTTTCCAGGGGGAAGGTAATCTAATTGCAACTTGGGTTGGAGATCCCATTTCGCGCCAGATAAAGACGAGACGAGTCAAGTTAAAGAAAAAGTCGAGTTGGCTGATAAGATGCTTTGCTTTGTCAGGATGGGTGAACACAAATATAGAGGAGGAGTACATGGATGGATAGACCGATAGATTGATGGGTAGACGGGTAGATAGATAGAGAATAAAGGATAGATGGATGATAGAGCAAGTTCAAGGGCATGGATGTGTGTCAAGGTGTATCTGTTGGATGGGTGACGACACTTCGGTCTACTACTTGCTGGCCGCAGAAATTGCCTGTAAAATTTTGACAGGTAAACAGATCAAGCAAGACCTTTTTGATTGAATATTTTGTAGAGAAAACAAAATGAAAAAGATGTGGTGGAATGTATCTTTAAGGAATAGTAAAATGTATCCGTTTACCATCGGCTCTGCGAAGCACTGATTCTGGCTTTGCGAAAGGTGCCATGATGAAGAGAGGAGGGTGATGAGGTGAGAGGGAAAAAAAAAAAAAAAAAGATTTCAGTGTTGTGTTTGCATATCACCAAAATCTAATCAGACAACGACAACACACACGCGCGCGCATAAAAAAAACGCCACTGAAATTGGAAGCTTTACACATTCACACATTCACACCTTGTGTTTTGTGTTTCGGAGACCATTTGCAAACGTGCGCTTCAATGACATCGCCATTCAACTATCCGCCACCAGGGGGCGCTCCTAATGCAAATAGCACCTTAAGTCCATTGCGTCCGTTCTATGGCACTCAGCTAGATTCGCCATTGCAGTCTTATTACCAACATACTGCTCAGCTTGAACATGACCTTGCCAACACCCACGAAGTAGACCCTGATTCACAGGCTGCTACCAAAGAACTGCTCAGATATGGCCTCCTAAAGTATTTTACCCTTGCACTCGCATCTCCATTCGAGGTTGCACAAATCTTGATGCAGGTCGAATACTCGCCTACTGACGAAAGGGACGACACTGTTAACGACTGCCTTGATACAGCAGAACAGGTATTTTACTTTTTTTTTTCTTTTTCTTTTTCTTTTTGGCTTTTGAGCGCAATCTTTTCAACATTATCAATTTGTGTATTTTGCATGCAACTGTGCCTTCATCTCACAATTGTCGATTCCTCACATAGGAGAGATATGATGAAGAGTTCCGACGTGCCCAAGAGGCCGCTGAAGAGGAAGAGTTTTTCGAAAACGAATCGGAATCAGATGGTTACTATTCCAACAGCGCTCATACCGGCCATTTCCCCTCACCTCGTTCTAACGTTAATAAATTGGACCCAAACTCTGCTGTGTTTAAGGAGCGCAAGCTGTTTGATCAGTCTGGATATTTGATCCGCGATGATGTCTATGATGAAGATCTCAGACCTGCTTTTCAGTTGGCCCCAATTAATGGGGGTGTATATTCTGTAATGAAAGCTTTGTTCAATCATCCTACAGAAGGACTCTTCTCTCTTTGGAAAGGTATCGTCATACCGGATCCACATTCAGCTGGATGTGTATCTCCTCCTTTCTCTCTTTTTTTTTTTTTTTTTTTTTTTTTTTTTTTTTTTTTCGGTATTCGGGGTAGTCGACTCATCTTCCTATTATTCTAGGTCAATATACCAACTGGCTATACGAGATTTTGCATCTATTTGCCCAACCAACATTGGAGGCTACACTAAACGATACATTCGATCTATATGACGATGCTATCCCTCTGGTGCACCTTGATCGTGTTGGACCCAACATTGCTACTTTAGTCGCCTCCCATGTTGTTGTCGGATTCATCCTCTCTCCCTTGGAGCTCGTGCGCACTAGGTAAATACAAAGACAGTGTAAGCATTGCTTATGCTGCTTCTGTTGTTTTATTGCTTGATAAACATACACACCATCTTCTAATATAAACCTTTGAATTCTGGAAATATCATACATAGACTCATTGTACAGACAGCTGACCCAAAGCAGCGCAAATATACCAGCATGCTCAATTGCATTTCAACCATCATATCTGAGGAAGGTTTTACAGCACTTTGGGGCGGTGTCAACCTCTTGCCAACCCTTCTGTATCACACAATCAACCCATTGCTTACCAACTGCATCCCTCTGGTCATTGATCGTGTTTTCAAAATTTCCGCCGAGGACTCGCCTTCCCTATATTCAGTTGCAGAATTGGGACTGGAAGTTCTGGATCTTTTGATTCGGTCGCCTCTGGAGACTGTGAGGAGACGTCTTCAGATCCAGATCCAAGCCAAGATCCCTGGGAAGCGTTATGAGACTGTGGTGGAGACAAGGAAGAGGCCTTATTCGGGCATCAAGGACTGTCTCTACAAGATTGTGCAGGAGGAAGGCGGAAAGCCTAGGAGGAGGAGACGATCTAGAAAACAAATCGAGGATGGCGATGAAGCAGACAAACCAAAAATTCCATGGTATGGTGTATGGCGTGTCCGTCGTCTGTATACAGGATTAGGTATGTTTCTCACAGGCAATCTTGTTATGTTTGCGGTGAGCACTACATCCAACCTGAATACAGAAAGCCTCGAGGACTGGTAAAGTTACAGCTGCACTAGATAATAATGATAATAATGAACAGTGGGTAGTAATACACATGTTCGTTGGCCACATTGTTTTTAACACATTGATTCAGTATAATAAAAGAAAATAAAAGAGAAGGCTCCGGTCCATAATTTGTACGCCCTTAATACTATATTATAAAAAATGCGGAACTATACTATACATAACAAGGAGATGGCTTTTAGCTTTAAAACCCATATTTGGACTGTGTCTCGGCTTTTGTTCTGCGACTGGCAGCCCAACTGGCATTCAGCTGTTGTTCATTCGCTTTCGCCTGATATGCTAGTGACATGATATTGTGCTTCCGTTTTTGTCCTAAAGAAGGTTTCAAATGCTATAGGTAAAAAAAAAAAAAAAAAAAAAAAAATTAAGGAGCGGACGGACGTCAGCCGATGTACAACATAACCATGTATTACTTCTTTTTTTAAAATTACTTACTTCAATTGACGCAAGATTCACTGGCTTTGGTTGGCCACCGTTTGCTCCCATAGCCATCCGCACATGCTGTGCTTGACTCATCTGGTCCTTTGCAGAGATGTCGACTACATTGATTGGCATGTCTCGCGCCTTTCTCATACCTAGCTTATGTAACTATTGTAGATGCGAACAAAAAAAAAAAAAAAAAAAAAAAAAAAGGTTAGGAAGGTCATTCTCTATCAAGTTCATAAGGATTTGTTATGAAATACTATAAGGACCATGGAACAATTAAGCCCCAACACCTACTGCTGCTGTATCCAGCTCAACCATATTACTGCTATGGTTTTCTGAGGATCCCTGTAAAGTATGCGCATTCATATCCGCTGTGTATCCTTCATAATTCTGATATGCATACTGATCATTTGTAGGGTAGGCGTATTGATCATTTGTCATATATCCATATTGTTCATTCCCACTGTATGCATATTCCTCATCACCCGTATAGGCGTATTGCTCATTCGTTGTTGAGACATCTACAGCTATCTGATTTTGTGCCTCCCGCTCCTCTGTAGTCAAAGGTTTCTTGTCGAAAAACAGTGGAATATAAGTGCTGGAAGCAGTTTTTCCAGACTTCGATGATGATCCCATTGATGAGCCAATGGCTGCATCCCCTAGTGGAAAGAATGATACCGGTTCTTCGGCTTCGGTTTCACCTTCACCCTCATCGTCAGACTGATTTTCCTCAACTTCTCCCTTCATCGTATCGCTGGCTTTTCCTGAGACTGAGCCTTTAGTTGTAGCAGATGTTATTGCAAGAGTAGGAGTAGAAATGGTGGTTTTTTTAATTGTCCTTGGCATGAAGCTAGGCTTCGCTAAAGTCGATGCCGTAGTAGACGAATTTTGTCCGCTCTTGGGTGCAGGTAACATTGCAAACAGAGCGCCCACACCACTGCCTGCATTTTTGGTAGCAGCAGCCAGTTTGGCTTTTTTTCTAAACTCTGAATCTTCATCGGAATCAGAGTCAGATTCAAGAGTTGGGAGAGTATGGTATTTGCTGGTCTTTGGGATCGAGGGTATTGTCACAGTCTTCGTTGAGGCAGTAGAGTTGGGTGATTTACATTTCGGTGATGGTAATAAGTTGGAGAGTGAATGGATCTTTGATGGTGTTGTTATTGTGATACCTTCAGCTGTTGCTGATGTTGACGCCGCTCCCTCTGATGCGCGAGCACTTGTGGTGAAGATAGGAGTTGATTCTGTATCAGAGTCATCTGAATCTGATCCATATGCTGCAAGAGCGTCCATGATGTGCTGTTATTGACGGACAAAAGCAAAAAAAGAGCTTTACTTCTTTTTAAGGCGAAGCGATGCATTTTGTCAGGTGTCACGAGTCTGAATACCACACAAGAACCAACGATTTTCTCAGAAACGCAGCTTATCTCAACATTGCGTTTCATTCTTTCTTTTTCTTTATCAGCTTCGAATTCTCCCGTTGTCATGCTTGAACCGAATGTATTCCAAATCCCAGAGCTCTGTGGGCGCATTGCGCGATATTTATCGATGCAAGATGCCATCAATTGTGTTCAGGTCTGCAAGGAATGGAACACCATTTTCATAAATGTTATCTGGTATACTATTGAAGTGGACGTTGAGACGAACTCGAAACTGCCAGATCAAGAGGCATTGGCCAAGCACTTCCAGTTTATCAGAAATCTCATTCTTCGAAACTCTTCATTGGATCTTATCCCATCTTCATGTCCAAACTTGCGCTCTCTAAGCATTGAGCGTGTCAGCTGTCTTCAAGCTAATATACTCCGTGGCAAACAACAACTGATTGCTCTAGAATTAAAAAGTGTCGAACTGGATGATGCCTCTGTGTTGTGGAAGTTAGTAGCATCAGAGCTTCATCAGCTTCGTGAGTTATATCTGATTGTTGCGGACATTGACCAGGACTCGATCGAGCACTTTTGGATGGTATGTTCGCGTTTATGCACCCTTCAGCTACGACGCGTTGAGTTATCTCGAGGACCAGATTCAGCTTTGGATTTCCCCCAGATGCGCTCTATGAAAATTGGTGTTTTAATCGGCCTAAACCTTGAAGACTATCGCGATTGGTTCAGTAACTGCCCCAATCTAACACACCTTCAGTGGGCCCACAGAACTACTTTCCCGTTGTCAACAATGTCAGTCCATGTTGTACGGGAATCTTGGTCACTGCTTCAATCATTGGATCTGCATCACGCAATCATTTCAGATAAAGACCTGGCAATGATTGTGGAAGGCATGAGGAAGGTCACAGAGTTGTTTGCTACTGTCGCCGGGATTGGCCCATATACGTTTTCAGCGCTGCGCCCTCATTTTGCTGGGCTTGAGGCTTTATCTTATCCATTATCGCATCATACAAGGAGCCATCTCGGTGGAGATGTGACATGCAGGATGATCAACGAGGTTCTGACATCTTGTCCAAAATTGAGACAACTTGCAGTTGGAGCACTTCGGCCAGAAGACTTGTTATCAAAGAATGAACAGCCCTGGGTCTGTACAAGTTTGAGTGTGTTGAACTTCCAAATCGGATTCCCACGAATAAGCGATCCTGCGCTTCATCATGCTATTTTTGCACAACTTTCAAGGTTACACTCGCTTGAATTTCTAGGCATCACAGGGCCTGGAAACTCCGATGCTGAAAATCGACAGTCGCTTGACTTCCGATTAAGTATGGGCTTATCCCAGCTTGCAACGTTAACCAGGCTCAAGCATATCCTACTTGAGGACGCAGAGCAGAATATGGAACTTGAGGATTTGCAGTGGCTTTTTGAAAACCTGCGTGGTCTGCAGGAGGTCTCGGGAAGGTTGAATATGGATGATAATAAGGAGCGTGAACTCCAAACAACCATTGCGATGTTTAAGACAAATCGTTATCCTTGACAAATCTTAAAGGTGTTTGGTATTTTTTTAGTAGTAGTAATATACCTATGATAACTGATCAAATCAAACCATAATGATCGAAACCTTTTACCCTCTATGGATATCCATTACAAATGTAAATTCTCTTTAATTGTTGAAAACGTAAATATGCAGGAGCCAACATAAGGTCTGTTCAGGCTCCAATTTGATCGGGCAACTCTAGAAAGTAAGCAGGGCCGGTATGGCCCGAACTTTTACATAATGAGATCCTGTTCACCCATAATCCGACCATATAATAAGTGGTTGGGTCTTTTTTGAATAGGAACATACAATGAATTGTCCTTCTAGCGCAGCAATAGTATATGTAGAGAGCGCCAAATGCAAGCATATTCCACACCGCAGAACACATCAAAGACCGGATCAACTTGAGGAACCGCTATGTCACGGGCACCTAAATTGAAAAGCGCAAGATTCCAATGCCCTGGAAGAGCCCGTCGGTGCTGAAAAGGATGTCAGTTAGATAAGCTGAGTACAGCTGTCGAAGCAGATCCTTGGACTGCTTTGACTTCTATTGTTCTAGGACGCGGTACAAGTAATCTGTACAGAGCAGGCAATGTTTCTTATCGGCAAGGAAAAGGGAGTAGTTTTCTTTTAGGAGGTCTTGCTCTCCCCCCTACGTTGCTTTCACACCTTTCCTGTCCCGATATCCAGTGTTCCCCACCATCTTCTCATTCTTCGCGATGGTGAGAACGAATCCTAAGTTCCATACCCATTAATAACTATCCAGCCTCTACTGTGTGGGTTCCGATGGTAGAACATGTTGCAGATAAATGATGTGTTTAGACAGCGCGCTATGCGTGTTACGCGTTTTGTCTGCTGAAACCTCGTTTTTTGGGGAAGTACAACTTGGAGAATGAAAGAATGAGAACATTAGACAGAGAATTAAGCACATTCTTCTTCCATCAATGGAAAGTGACTCATTATTTCGATTTAATGTGACACATCCATGCCGTCTCTTTTTTCCTTTATCTTCCTCCACCACCTTCGATAAACCTATAGGGACAAGACTTTATGCCGCAGCAGCCATTGTCAGCAGCTATCCGTACGCTGGGCCTACCCGAAATTTCGTTCAGGATCGCTCACCTTCTGCAGACAAAGGATGCTCTCGCTTTCTCAGCTGTCTCCCGCTCCTTATATTATTCTCTCACACCATTTCTTTGGCAGGAGCTGCACATTGGTAAAACTGAGGAATATGAAGACTTGGAGCTTCAGAAGCCACTCTTCACAGGTTACAAAAGACATATCTCACTCAAATCTGTGAAGCTCCCTGCAGAGCCTTTGGAGCGCCAGAGGCTTTTGCAAGGCGTCTTTGGAAACAAGGTCTCGCTGATACGGTCTCTCCATATCCTTGATGAAGATGATATCGACGCTTCGTTCATACTAGGGGAGATGTGCACTAGTATCGAATCTGTCACTATCCATGGCTACTTCACAACCAAGTCAACTGACATAAATTTCAATAAGGATCAGATCAAGCGCTGCAAGATAATGGTTCAAAAAAATCTACCCATCTAAAGTCTTTGACCTTAGTTGGATGGTCTTAGGCCGGGAGAATCGATTTGGAACCCACTCCTAAAATGTCATAAAGCCCAGAATTTGTGTTCGATGACTTTGAGGTGCTGCTCCATCCGAGGGCGGCATCTTAAAGCCATGTGGGCAGTCTTCGCTCAACTCGAAAGATTGGTGCTCTATAAAACTACTTTTGATTTGGAACATGGAACCATGTCTCTCAAAGATGAAAACAGGAGTGAAAAGCGAGTGAGGTTTCCGCGGCTGCAGGAGTTTGAACTTTGGGGCTCACGTACAACAGAGCAATGGCTGGATCTCGAGCTACTAATCGGGCAGTGCCCAGTACTCCGGAAGTTGAACTGGGTGATTGGTATCGACAAGATAGTTTATTTAGAGCATTTTTGTTCAGCTTTTTAAGGACTCTACATGGCCAGAACTTGTCTGGATTAGGGTCAAAAAAGATCGTACCCGATTTACAGATGATCTGTATGTCAGTATTTTACAAGCCGCCAAGCGTCCACTTGACCGCTTAGAGATGGACATCACTGGCCACCGCACCGACACTTTCAACTTGCTTCGAACGCATTTTGAAACTATTCAAACAATCAGTTTAAAATGCTGTTCCGATAACACGGGTGATTGGATCATTGAGGTGTTGACATCATGCCCCGCTCTAGAGTGTTTTAATGGTATGAGCATTACCGCGAAGCAGATTATCGAATCCAAGCCTTGGGTCTGCCACCGATTACAAAAGTTGAGCCTCTTTATAGATATGGGATTCGAGGATAATGCGTTGACACGTCGATGGACTATTGATGAGCTGGAGCAATGTCGAAAGGTTTTTGGACTACTAGCAGCATTGAAGAACCTACAGATTTTGGACTTTCTCGGCTCGTTTTCAACCACGTGCGGCTATTCGTTTTCATCCAGGTGCGGTTATTCGTCTTTACCTCATAATGCTCCTACGAACTCACGCTTCCGTCTTGTTCCTTTGCCTCTCCGGCTTAAAGCTGGCCTTGGTCTGCTCGCGGGGCTGACAAAGTTAGAGCAGGTCAGGTTTTGGGGACAACAGCAGAGAGTGCACATGGAAGAGTTGATTTGGATGAAGCTGCATTGGGCTAATCTTAAAACTCTTGCAGGAGGATGGTCCGTCCAAACAGGAGGGGCACAGAAGAGTGCTAATCGATACTTTCGTGAAGGACTCTTGCGTGAATGGTTGATAAAGCATGGAATCAGCACCTCAGGGTCCTATTATGTCTATGAATATCACGGAAACTTTTCGTCACACGACGTTGACTGGTGTGAAGGAAGCGATAGTGAGGAGACTAGCCATGATAACTAGAATCTCTAGCAAAGAAATACCCTACTACCCTATAGAAAAGAGAGAAAAAGAAAAAAAAAATTGTCTCAATACCATTCTTAGCTGTGGTTAAAGTAATTTAGTCCGTCCTGTAAACAGAATATCGTTACATTGAATCCATGGGTGCAGGGATTAAAGTAAAGAGTAAATTCGTAGCTGAGGAGTGAAGATGTAAAAGAACACCTTCTGCAAAGATGGCAACCTGTAAAGAGTGATAAAAAGATATCGCAGTATTGATCTGTCACATCATTTAGTGTCACCAACATCCCATTAATGAAACAAAGCTCCATCACGATTTTTATTAGGTTAGGACCTGCGCGTTTGCTTCGAAGTGAATGAGACACTTGGGAAATCCTTGCCACCCTACTGACTGAAGGAAGGAAAAACGGCTAGGGTCAATAAGTAATGAGATTGATCCTGGTCCTACTTTTGTCTATGAACAGACAGAAATAGAAAGTATATTCCAATCGCTTTGCTCTCATTCTAATAAGAATCCAAGAGATCATGGGACCCTTTCATAAAACAGTTAAAATTAGAGGCAGTGGAAACATCTGATCATCCTTTCTTCCTATGTGTCATCGATGTCACGTCTGAAAGTTGAATGCTAGTGGTGAAGAAGCATTCTGGAATAAGCTTCAAGGAGATAATAAAGGTTAAAACGCAAGCTTGATGTGGACGAAAAAGGGTATGAGTGGTGTACAGACTGTAACTAGTCCATCGACAAGACAGTTGGTTGGAAGGATACAGCCTGAAGGAATAAACTGATTGAGAGCCTTGACCAAAGAGGATGGCACTGACATGGATGAATCTGTGGGCGAAGATGTGCTCAGAGAATTTATAAATTGCTTTACCGTCCCTTTTTTTTTTTTTTTTTCTTTCTTCGTCTCTCCTACTCTTCTCACTTCATTCCTCCCTCTTTCCAACTCGTTTGAACAACCAAGTGCAGCTTTCCTTCATCATCCACTCTCCCTATATTTCCGTTCAACTCTTGATTCCTCTATCGTACTTTTTCATTTTGTAATTTGTAGTTTTTTCCTCACAGCATCTCGTCAACTATCACAAAGATTCGCCCTTCCTTTAAACCAGGCGTATCCATTATATTCGGCATTTAACTGCTCCACCATCATGCCAAGGACTGCGAACTCTGCCGAGAGCTCTGCTCCTTGTGACGAGCCAGGCGCAGGCACAAGTTCGATCTTTGATGGTAAGAAAGCAACACAACTGCTCTATGTATATCCAAGGATTTTTTTTAATTTATCTCGCAAATTACAATCAACCGAGAGGATGCCAGCGATTTCAGATGACACAATAGAAACAGAGGATGATATGGAAGAGGAATTTGTCACACCATGAGATGCATGGCATCTGAAAAAAAAAGTATTTTTATGGGAATAGAACTGCACCCCCTTTAACTTGGAAATTGCAGCATGTGGTTGGTTTGGTGGCGACATGTGTATGACATGAGTCTATGACAAACAGATGAGCCATCTTGATAGGCAGATCTCGTCATTGCATGCGCAGACGTGAACCACTTGTTCTTCATGTTTCACAAGGGACAAAAGGATATTTGCTAAACTTGTCTTGGTTAATTTTTTTTTTCCTCATAGTGTCAGTCAATATCCTGAATTGTACTGTGGGGTCAGGAATTTTAGCCTTACCGTTTGCGCTCAAGTAAGCATGATCATCTTGGCACCTACAGAACACAGAATGTGGGCCTAAGTGGGCCACATGAAAGGAACACCCCTTGAATACTGACGTATATTTATTCTACTCCTTTTTTTTTTTTCCTTTCATCAGAGAGAGCGGGTTCGGACTTGGTCTTACACTATCAGTCGTAGTATCAGCTCTCTGCTGGTTTGCTCTCTATATACTCATCATCTCGGGAAAACGCATCGGTGTATACAAGTATCCCGCTCTCTGTGAAGGTAACATTATAGTAACGAACAAATTTGCAGCATATAACTGTATGGACGGTGATCCTGATTCTGACCTAGCAACTCTTTATTTTCTTTTCTGGGGCTACAGCAACTATGGGCCCATTTGGAAACTATCTATTAAATGGAGTAATGTTTTTCCAATCGGTTGGTGCCTGCATCACATACTTGATCGTCGTAGGAGATACTATTCCTGTAGTTTTGGAGCTCGCTGGGATTGAAGCCACTCGACAATGGACTATTTTTATCTCGTCCTTGATCTTCGTAAGTCCGAGAACAACGCTTCGATGCAATACATAAATGCATGTTGTACGAAAACAAGCATGCTTTTGATTTAAAGCAGTAAACTGGTGCTTACTTTTTTGTGTTCAGATTCTTCCTTGGCTCTTTTATAGATCGATCGGATCTCTGACCACGGTTTCGATCGTCTCAGTGTTAACTCTTCCTCCCATTTTGCTCATTGTTGCTGTTCGTGGTTTTTATTATGCGCCTGAACATAAGCACTCATATGAATTCGTTGGTGATAATGTCTTCCCCGCAATTGGAGTCATGGCCTTTGCAATGCTTTCGACTCAGGTATGCAAGTGACTCATTATAGCACTCAATCTAGATATTGAACCAGGAACGATCAAGAGCAAAAAATAATGCTTACTAAAAAAAAAAAAATCTACTACTTTGCCATCTTCTGGGTATCATCTGATCACAGACTGCATTCCTCAACTTCACGACGATGGCTCAGCCTACGCGCAAAGCATGGGGACAGGCCACTGCAATTGCTGTCTTCACTTCATGGCTGGCCTCCTTTGTATTTGCAATCTTTGGCTTCGTTGCATTTGGAGTCGATGTCCAGGCCAATATCTTCAACTCCTTTCCCCTCACAGATTACTATATCAATTTGGGACGCGGTCTTCTCGGGTTCTCCATGTATTTGACATTCCCACAAGCTGTGAGTAAAATATACATATATTCATATGGTAATACATTTAGTGGACGAATGCTATCTGAATCCTTTTATTCATGATCTAGATATTTTACGCTTATTTGCTTTATAGTTCCTTCCTGCTCGTTCGTCCCTCCACAGTATCCTCGGTCACGAAGACAACACAAAATCACCCACAATCAAAGAACACCTATACACCACCATTGCCCTCTTCATCCCCATCCTTGTTATTGGAGTCTTTGTTACAAACCTAGGTCTTCTATATCAGCTCATTGGAGGCTTCTGCTCCACCTTCCTCGCTTACATCATACCCGGCGCATGCTATTTTTTGGTTTTCTGGAGGAACGATTTCATCGGCAGCGTTGGTGGTCTCTCAAGCTTGCCTTCAAACGATGATGAGTATGGAGAAGATCGCTATGAGGATGATGAGGATTCATTGGATGATGAGCAGGAGCGTTTGATAAAACAAAAGTCGGCAGTGGTTAAAACATCCACCTCCTATGGAGCAACTTCGCCATCACTCTCTACACCTTCGTCATCTGCAACCGTTCTACAAACTACCGAAATTTCCAAGAGACGTAAGGAAGATCGTAAGACTGAATTGTGGTTAGATATCGGAGCAGGTGTACTTGTAGTCTTTGGTGTGTTTGTAATGCTCATTTCGACCGCAATTACCCTCAAAAAGATGCTTGAGGTTGTATAGTTGTACAATATGGAGGCTTTTTTTTTCAACTGTACATTATTTCTATTTTTAACCGCAGCAAAAGTTAGTATAATAGAGCAAGGTTCTCATTCCATTCCTTTACCTCATTAAAGAAGAAAAAAAAAAAAAAAAAAAAAAATCCCCTCCGGCTGTAACTATACTTTATTATGGCGGTCTCTATTTCTACATCCGTCGTCAATATCAACCCATTGACAATTCCAGAACTCCTAGTACATTTGAGCGTGTATGTCGATTATACAGACCTTCTGAACTGCATCCAGGTGTCCAAGGCCTGGTACCAGGCCTTCATACCCATGGTTTGGGATACCATTAAACTTACTTTTCCGCTCGAAGTTTGGAAACCGAAAGGACTGGAAGGGTCTCCTGTAGAAAACGTGTATAAGGAAGACGGCAATGATGAAGCTGTCAATTTTAAACAGAAAGCTCTCCAGAAGCATGCTCATTTAGTCCGACATATCATTTTCTCACATGGAGTTGGTCCTGGCCACTCCATGGTATATTATCCTAACCTCTTAAGTTTAAGAGTCCTAAGGATCTTATCCAGTCAAGAAAACATTCATGCTCTCCTTACAAAGTTACAGGATCAAACCCGAAACCAGAGTCATGATACTCTTGATAGTCTGGAACAACCACAGAAACAGCAACAACAATCCCTTCTTACTCACCTTGAACTTCGTGATCATGCGCATGACTTTATGTTTGGCGCCAAACTTGATACTATTCTCTTGAATTTGATGCTTGGCTTTCCAAATCTGAAAGACTTGCGATTGTACGAGCTGTCTATCCACACAGCCGAGGATATGATCCTTTTCATGAAGTTATGTGGGCAACTCGAGACCTTAGTACTAGTCAAAACAACGCTAATGCCTCTCGACCATCCCGACCATCCCAACTTAAACTCTACAGTAACAACAGCCCTATTTCCAAAGATGAAAAAGATGAGGATTACGGTAGAACGGCGGATGTCAGCACATGACCAACTCGACTGGATCAGTCGTTGCCCATCCTTGACTAGTCTTCAATGGTCCACATCACGATCTGTAGAACCGCTCCCATTATCAAAATTCGGTCAGAGATTAACCGAAGGGACCTGGCCACTTCTTCAAGATCTTCAACTGACGAATGTGATAGCATCGGATGAAGTGTGGGCTGTTGTCATCCAAGGCATGACCCATATCCAGAAACTTTGTATCCCGGACGCTCAATTTGGTCCGCTGTCTATGAATGCACTTCGGCCTCATTTTCCACATCTTCAATATTTGAATATCACGGCCCATAAACTCATCACAGGCCCCTTCATCCCAGAGATTTTGGCTTCCTGCCCTCGATTGGAGCATCTGGAGGCCGATCATGTCTGGGGTGAAGATATTTTGGAGGGCAAACCATGGGCATGCACTTTGTCACTGAAGCACCTCGAGATTTATTTCGAACTTCCTGCACCACCAATGACTTCCAAAACAAAAGAAATCCAACTGAATATCTTTTCAAGGTTGGCTCAACTACAGAATCTAGAGGTACTGGATGTCGGCAACCGAGAACCATTTTGGCCCTCAGCCCGTCGTGGAACTCTGGTGTTCCGGCTGGAAAATGGTCTAGGAACACTAGCACCAATTAGACGATTAAGGCGGCTACATGTGGGGATGAGTCATGATCAAGATATGGGAATAGATGAAGTCCAATGGATGATAGAACATTGGAAAAACTTGAAGTTGCTCGACGGGAAAATTAACGAGCATTCTGATGTGAATGGCGATGTTAGAGCAACCCTGGCGAACGCCGGTATTCAAGTACTTCCGTATTAATAGCTGTAGAGTAAATTAATTAAACGTCTACTTTTATGCATTTAATACAGATCCTTGTGCGCGTCTTTTTATTTCTTTACTTTAACTTGAAGAATGATTTACGACTAAATTTTTATTGCTAACGATCATTCTTCGGATGCGGTATGAGTTGCCTGGTATCCAGTGGTTGCCAAATGGCTCTCAAGGTGCTCTAGAACGAATGGATACACTTCTTTGTAAGCCTTGTCGCCCACAATGCAATCCATGTGACCATAGCCTGCAATCACCTCACGCCTGTATTTGCTCTTGTAATCATATGCCATGTTGGTCATTGGCAACAGATCTCGAAGCTGCTCTACAGTCCTGAGCGTAGATTCTGGAACGAATACTTGACTCTTAGCGCCATGAATCAATAACACAGGCACATTTTCAAAAGCCCTCTTCAAATTCTCAGGCGTAACCAAATCTTTGCCCTCAGTATCCATCAATGTCTGCGCCTTACACCAGCCATTGACCATTCCTTTCAAGGTCTCAATATTGATGGAGCCCATGACTTCGTCCAAATGATCATGGAAGTTATTGGATAGCTTGTCGTGCTCCCACAGCAAGCCATAGCAGAATGAAGCACGATGGCAAATAGCATTATTGCAGTATTCATGCAGAGGCATGGGCAAGAATCTCAGCGCGTTGTCAATCGCACGATCCAGCAATGTCACTTTGTTGGAGGGCTTTTCTACTGTTGGAGCATCTGATCCCTCTGCTTTAGATGAAGGCGAATGTGTGACCACATCAAATCCATCCTGGCCCAAGACCTTCTCGAACAATGGTACAAGTTGCAAGTTTTGCTTGATTTTGTTAGCGACTGAAATCAAGGGACGAGTGGCGACTTGAAACGAGACTACCGATCCAACGCCCTCGATCTCGCCGTTTAACATACCAGCCCATAAAGTTAGAGAGCCGATACAATGAGCAACGACTTGGATGTTTTTAACCCCCGTCTCTTTCAAGATGATCTTGATGGCGGCGGCATGGTCTCGTGCACCTCCATAAATGGGCGATTGGCGGTGGGAATCCTCAACGGTGACCGAGAGGCGCCAGTCAGAAAGCCAGACATCATAGTCATTTGCCAAGAGGAAGTCACACAGATTGTGAGGGATTAAGTCGGTGGCGAACAATTCGGAGCTGATTGCAGCGCCATGAATCTTTACATGGATAATCATGAATTGAAGCAGAAAGGAAATTAAAGCAAAAATAGAAGTTTAGATACCTTTGCAATTCCGCGAAAAGATAAGTGATTGAACAACTCTGTTAAAAAAAAAAAAAAAAATTAAAAGGCATTGCTTACCAATAGAACTGGGCCTTTCTTACCCTTGTAGCGGGTGAGGCGAGTGTTGAAGCCATCCGACGAGACAACACCGTATACCTGGGATGTAGGGCGCTGACGAGGATAGCTCTTTCGAGTTTTCGAATCTTCAGGGTATTTGAGCTCGTTCAAGAAGGGCAAATAGGTTTTAACAGTAGCATTGAGCGTAGAGACACTAAAATCCTTGATTGCCTTCAAATTGGCAGTGACACTGGAGCTCTCACCCTAGAACCGATCCATAAAAAAAATAAAAAAATAAAAAAAAGTCCCTTATCCTTTAGACCTCATAGGTACTGATACGATATTGAGCAAAAAATGACAATCAGATGCCCAACTTACCCGAAAAGATGATATTTGACTGAAAAAGTCATCATCGTGTTCACCTAGCTTGCCACGTCCGAAAACTTTCTCAACGCCATCTTCGACCTTGTATATAGTCACAAGGATACGCGATGGCTTGATCCATCCTTCAAGGACATGACCAGTAGAGATAGGCTTGCGACCCTCGAGGCGGTATCGATCTCCAGTAGCGCACAACAAGATCATCTTGTACAGGATGGCATGTTCGTCAGCAGGATCTTCCTCGGTTCCGGTATAGACCATGAATACACCAGTCTCGATCATCATGGGTTGATCTGACAGAGCTCTGCAGGACACAGTTCCTACAATCCTAGCACGATGATCTGTTCTCTTGAGGAACTCCTCAATAGGACCTGTTGAAAGTGTGAGGACCACGTTCATGGTGGATCCCGCAGACCTAGCTTGATTGTCTGCTGTATCGAAATCCTCTGTCAGAATCACAGTCGAGAGGTGACCCTTCAACATCTCTGTAAAAGTAACTCCGGGTTTCTTTTTTGACTCTGCCTTCTCGGAAGACTTGCTCCAAGAGCCAAACATGGAGGGGAGCGTCCTGCTTGGTTGAGCTGTATCCTCATCAGAGTCAGAGGTATCACTTTTATCACCGGGGAATGGTTCAGAGACGATCAGTCCACGAACGTCACCCTCGGCATCAGCGACATCTTCGAGAGCAGATTTTCTAAGTTTCTGGGCCCATACATAAGATTCGGTTGCCTTTTCATCGTATGGAATAGGGAATTGGGGTGTCTTAAAGTCGATAGGGACTGTAGTAGCATCATACTTGATAGTCCAACCGCGATCGCGCGCTAAGAGAGCACATGCACGCTCTGCGAGCGCAGAGATGGTCAAGAAAGGGTTGACACCCAGTGACATGGGCATGGCAGCACCGTCCATGACGTACAATCCCTCATAGACCTCATCACCTTGCCCAGTGAAAACTTGTCCCTTGTGGTTGATAACACCCTCAGCAGCAGTGCGCCCTATGCCACAGCCTCCAATTGGGTGGACCGTGACGATAGCATCATCCGTAGCAGAAGTCAATGGGTCACGAACATATACTCCGCGAACAGCCTCGGCAAGAGGTTCAAGCAACTTGTCCAGTCTCGCGAAGTTGCGGCTGGTACCGACGCCAGGCCACTGAATACGGATCCGATCGTCTTTCAGGAGCAATTCACCACGTGCATCATCGTGTGACATAACCAAGAAAGTCTGAGTGTTGGCCATAGCGCCTCTATAAACACCAGCTACATAAGATGACAGCTCGCGTGCGTTCCTGCCAATCTTCTCCTGGAAGGTCAGATCCTGTGCGGTCTTGAATGACTTGCTCGATTTCTCGCACATGACTTGATAAATACTCCTCAATAGCAATGCAGCTTGCGCGGGAACTGCACCTTCCTCCACGACATATCCATCCATGACATTGGGTGCATCACGATAATCAATCAGTCCTGTAATGACAGGACCAACTTTTTTCTCAAACTTTTTGGGGTCTTCGTCTCCCATGGATACTCCATTCACGAGGGTTTCGCCATTGTAGGAAAACGCTAGGAACTATGCATACCAGCAATACAAAAACAGGGTCGTGAGACAACTGATTTTCACATGAAGCTTTGCCCCCTTCTGAGCATTGAACTGTTTCGAACGCCTTGCATCGAACAAAGCAGTCTCTACAGTTTTTTTTTTTTTTTTTTTTACTACTTACATCGCCATTTCCACTAAAGTGCTTGCCTAGTTGGTTTGAAGTCTGAAGCCCGCTCTTTTGAGAGCGTAGCAAGATCTCAGTCGTACCCAATGCGCCTGCTCCTAAGACAACAATGTCTGCAGTGACAAACATGGGTGCAATAGGAGCACCATGGTCTGCCAAGAATGTTGCCCGGCTTGAATCATGCCATTCAAAATACACAACATAGGGTGCTGGCTGATTGGGTTTTTTGTTAGACCGCTCGACACGAACGACGTTACAGCAGGTGAAGATTTCAGCACCATGGTTCCATGCATCAGGAATATAGTTCATGAGCGTTGTGTTCTTGCTCCAATCATTAACTCCAGTGGTGTCATTGCCTGTGAGTGTACTGGCCTTTTGAAAAACACCTGCAGGGTTGAGCGCATCCTTGAAGTGAACCGTGATGGGTGGTCGGATAAAACGGTGATGAGCACCTGCACCTTTGGCCTGAACCTCGAGTGTGGCGAGCTTGGGAAGGACAGGCCAGTCTTCAGGATAGGATGTAGGCTGGAGCATATCAATGGCACGTTGGAACGATTGGTCCAATAGTTCTTTATCCTGCCTGATCTCCTCTGGCCAAGTCTCGTCTTCGAAGATGCGGGGATCTGGCTTGAGAGCTGTATTAGCGTTCAAGAGTGATGTTCCTCCAAGGCTAGACCATTCATAAGATTAATAGAATAGTCATTAGATCTACTGCAGCACTTATTTTTCCCACAGCTTTAAGATGTTAAGTCTACTCTTAACCCCTGTTGCCAAAAAAACTATAAAAAAAAAAAAAAAAAAAAAAAAAAAGGAATTGCTTAAAGTGCATTCCTCCATTCATTGCTTACCCGCATGCAACAAAGGCCCATTGATCCTTATTTTTGTGAATCTCATAAAGTCCGGTACGCTTGCCTTCATGCCCATGCTCACCGTTAAACTGAACTTCTGAAGCACATTTCAGTGTGTCTTCAGGGTATTCACCAGGCCACCGCTCTTCGCCACGCTCAAGAATACAAACACGCTTGCCAGCTCGTGCAAGGCGCGATGCAGCAATGGAGGCACCGTAGCCCGATCCTACTACAACTACATCGTAATGGCTCTTGAGTTTTGTTAAGGAAGAACCAATCCTTGGAGGACGATTTTTCTTGCGATCAGGCATTGGATATGATATTTATTTAAATTAATTGAAGAAAGGGTATTTACAAATGATGTAGAAATGTGAATGAGCAACAGGTCAACGAATGAAAAAGAATGAGGCAAGAGAGAGAGAGAGAGAGAGAGAGAGAGAGAGAGAGAGAGAGAGAGAGAGAGAGAGAGAGAGAGAGAGAGAGAGAGAGAGAGAGAGAGAGAGAGAGAGAGAGAGAGAGAGAGAGAGAGAGAGAGAGAGAAAGAAAATACTTCTTTAACGTGGGTAGCGGAGGGCTCTCAACGGGTCTTTGTCCCATCCGTCCCGACTAATTCTTGATTTTCTTTTCTTACTGATCTTTTTCTTTTACTTGCTTATGCGATGATGTTCGTTGGTTCAAAAACATATGTGCACATCTGTGCAGTTGGTCCTAATGCTCAATGTCCCAAACCCCAAATCTCGGCCCTACATATCAAATTCCGAGGAGGAAAAATACTTTTCCACATTGACTTGATGGGCTATGTACTATCTCATTCAGCCTGTGCCTCAAGGACATGTGAATTATTTAAAAAAAAAAAAAAAAAAAAGCATTTTATAATTGACACACATGCTTCATGATCCCAAGCAAGCCCTTGACCGGACAAGCAGAACAGGACGATATCCTTATTCAAACCATGTTTTTTTTTAGAAATACTTAATGGCGCTTTGATAAAGATTAATTTGTCTGATCCTCTTCTGAATGGATGCGGATGTTGAACGTGTGCCTAACAAATAAAATTCCGGGCTGTGTTTAGTGGTGTTTCTGTTCAATATACTTTCAACGTGCCAACATGGCTGAAACATGTCAATTGACTAATTCACAAATTGACCCATTGACCATGTCTTCATTAATTCTTTGGCACAACCATCATTCTATGTCTGCATCATCCCTCTATTACCACGCAGAATGTAGTCCATTCGCAAAGTACATGACATGACCAAACAATGCCTGATTGTACCAAAGTTCAGATCTGTTGGCCACCAACGTGATATAAGGAGCCTCTTTTAGCTCCGCAGCCAGAACGTGTTCAACTCTTTTCTTTCTTTTATCCTGTTACTACATGAAACATCGAAACTTTTACGATGACAGAACCAACACCCACAGTCAAGGCTCGAGCAATTGACTTGCCGGAAATCCTTTTAAGATATCATGCTTTCTCAGCCCATCAGATCTCCTCGCCTGCTCCGCCGTATGTAAATCATTTCGTGCCGCGTTCGCACCCCTTGTTTGGAAAGACCTTCACTTTGAGGCGCCTTACCCGGTTAACAACAACCAAGCACCCTATGCACGACGTATCAATTTCCAAAATAAAACATTCGGACAACCTGCCCATAACCCTGGGGACCATTTGAAGGAGCTACTGAAGGATCAGGACAAAGATTACGCTATGATACTCGATGCAATTCAAGAAAAGGCTCATTGGATAAGATCCTTGTCCATTCATAGACATGATTCTGAACTGCCGCTCAAAGTTGGCAGCATCTGTAGAGAACTAGAATCTATCACTTTGGAGGGTCTGTCTTTGGTTCACCCCAAGCATACAAAGGAGTATGGGTTGCCTGTCAAACGATGATGACACGAAATCGAGCGCACCTGAAATCGCTTACTCTCTTAAGATGGAAACTCCAAGGTCATAAACCATTGCGTGGTGAAAGCGCATGGAATCCCATTCTCAGGTGTGGTAATGCTCAGAACCTACGATCTTTAAGTCTTACACAATGTGGCATCAGAGGGCGTCATATGGCGGTGTTTTGGACCATATGCCAGCGGTTGGAGACCTTGCATTTGAATCATGTCTTCATGGACACAACCAAAGCTCTTGATGTCGACTCGAAGCCTCACGATTCAATGCCGCCAATAGCCATGGCGCTTCGATTCCCGCGACTCCGGGAATTGTCCCTTCGCAATATGATCTACCATCAAGAGCATGAACAATTGAATCTTATCTGCCACTGTTCACTCCTTCAAACCCTTACCTGGTGTACAAGATCAAGATACGATTTGACTGACTTTACAAATCGATTCATGAGGCATACAGCTGGGTGGTTGATATTTTAACCTCATGTCCTACGCTTCGAAAACTCACAGCCAAGTTGCTCCAGGCTCGAGACATTATCGATGCCAAACCATTTGTCTGCCTTCAATTACAGGAGCTCCAAGTCTTTATAGACCTGAGATTTCCTTACCACCGATTTACCAAGGATGAGTTGCATCAATGTAGAGCGGTGTTCAAAAGATTGTCAATCTTTACAAATCTTCGTGAACTGGATTTGGTCTCTATTAATGACCCCTCCCATCCTCGCCAAAATATGGTGGGGCTTCCATTGAGGGTAAGGGCTGGATTGAGTCATTTGAGTGGATTAAAGAAGTTGGAGGCTGTTTACTTTAGCGGACGACAAAAAGTGCACAAGGAGGACTTGATCTGGATGATCGATCATTGGAAGAGCCTCAGGCGCCTGACTGGTACTTGGCAAGTCTTGTTTGGAAACAAGGACTTGGTTCGTGACGATTTTTTTCATGAAGGAAAATTACAACAGTGGCTGAAGGAGCATGGTATCCAAACTGATGGCTGCCGATATGAGTTTTATAATCCCGGAGACATGGGGATCGTGGACTGCTGTGGGAGCTCTGACGATGAGCAAGAGGACATTGATGGTGCACCTCCAAAGCCCAGATCGAAAAGCGAAGAGAAAGCTTGAATAGATGGCTCAGAACAAAACGGAATGATATATACTTTGAATTGTTTTAAAACTATGATACTTTGGAGACAAATCGCCTTTAGACAACATCAACATTGTTCTTGAGCTTGCCAGTGAGCTTTGATGAGCTCAACCTTCACATAAAGACATCCCCTTCCAGGTACATCTGTTGGAACAATCGCACACATTAACAAGCCAACCAAAGACATAAAAAAACAAAATGAGGGCGCACAGCCTGGATGATGTCAGTTGATTTTATTTTTAATACTATTACTATTACTATTACGACGACTGCGGCAGGCAAACTCATACCGAATTTCAAGAGGTTTGATGTTACAAGCAAAAAAAAAAAAAAAAAAGGATTATGCAGAAGCACGACTAGTGAGAAGACTATGGGCCTCCGCAAGCTTGGCCTCCAACTGGGCAATGCGGGCACTCTGGTCAGCCTCCTTGGAGAGATGACCATTTTTCTCAGTTTCAAGAATAGCAACCTTCATAGTGAGACGATTGTTAGTTGCCTCTAGCTCTGCAACCTTGGCTTCAAGCGTCTCCAATCGAACCAGCTTCTTAAGGCGTGAGCGACGGGCAGCGTCCGTGTTTTTAGCACGCTTGGCAATGATCTCCTCATTCTCCTCTGGAGGAGATAATGCGCGCTTCTTAGAAGCAGCTGAGGCAGGCACAAACTTGACAGCACTTACAGGGACAGGAACAGAGGTGATACTCTGCTCAACAGGCTCGGACTTTGGGACTACTGCGGGGGTAGTGTTCAATGGGGCAGCGCTGGACGAAGTGTTAAGGACAGTTGCAGCATTGGCCTGAGCAATTACGGCGAGCTCCAAATCACGGCTCCAAGGGATGTTGAGCGCTGCTGCAGCCTGCTGGAGTGCAGCACTGGTCAACAGCGACGATGGAGCGGTCACTGAGGGGACCTTGACCTGAGCGGGCGCTGTAGATAGAACAGGGGCGACAATAGAAGGAGCAGGCGTCGAAACGGGGGTCACCAAATCATTGTTGACACCAAGGGCCATGTCAAAGAGAGAAGGGCCCATGACAGTGCCAAATGAATCAAATCCCAAGTCAGGAGAATCATCCAGAGCAGAGAAGGGACTCGAAGTCAAAGAGACATCATCACCAGACAACACGCCCAATTGGAAATCATTGGCCAGCCACTCATCAAATCCACAACCATTGTTTGTGACAGTAGCGGTAGAAGCAGGAGTGGCAAAAACGTCGTTGGTATCGTTGTTGACTGCAGGAAGTGCAACCTTGCCAACTATGAAAAAGAGGAAAAAAAAAAAAAAAGAAAAAAAAAAAAAGTGTCAAAATAGGAAGAATTTGAAGTAAGACAATTTTACGAATTATGACATTATACAAGTTGCTTACATTGAGCAAGGGCAGACTCCAAAGCGTCTGCAGACTTGGTGAGCTTGGGATCGGTCATATCAAACATTGTGAAGTCGAAAGAGATGGCCATTTTGGAGGATGTGATGGTAGGTGTTTAGTCGTATAAAAGAATGAATGGATAGATCTGAAAACGTAAAGACGTTACTCTTGCTCAAAGGTAGAGACGATAAGCTTTTAAGAGTGTAATAAAGAAAGTAAATAGGTTGAGGTAGCTACTACTACGATTGAGTTATTGATGTTGTTGATATTGTTATAGTTTAAGATGGGGAGGATAATTGAGGAAACCATGGTGGGCTAACTTGTTTTAAACCGTAAAGGTTATAAAAGAGATGATTCTAAAAGGGTTAAAAGAGGGGAGCTACAAGGGTCTTGGAGGGGTATGCGCAAAGGCTATACTTGAAAAGGTTCTGGTTCTTAAAATTGGTTGTTCTGGTGCGATATGGGGGTGTACAAAGAAGTACGAAGCGTATTTAAGCGGAGAAGGCCATCTTGGGCAAGATTATGAACGGTATGTGTGAAATGTAAAGCAAAAGAAGGGGTTGGATAGTACGTCCAATAAAGAAATATAATAAAAAGAAAAAAAGCTTAAGTGGTTTGTTTGGAGAATTGGAATAGTATAAATGGGAAGGGGATAAGGTAAGGAAGAAGAAAAGAAAAGAGAAAAGAGAAAAAGAAAAAGAGAGGGAAGAGAAAAACAAAAATAATAAAAAAGAAAACATGGGACATGTTTCCTGTTCCTTAAGGGCTTTGTCTACGATTATTTTTTTTTAAAGTTTTTTGCTCGGGTCTATCTTTCCCGCATCTCTCAGGAACATGAATATAATTGCGCAGATATTGTTATTCGTACACAGGTGTTACGCCAACCACAACAAAGCAATGTACGTGGGGGTCATTGAAATGCTTTCCAAAAGCAGCGTGCAAGTTTATCATTGTTCTTTTGACAGGCTTAATTTCGTTCTTCTCACGGAAAAAAAGGTCTCGGCCATTTTGGGTGAGAAAAATGTTAGCCCTTGATCTTGTCATGTGCAAAAATAAAGTAGCAATAAATTAATAATGCAACGTGGAATGCTGCTTTTCAAGGGTCACTCAAAGGCAATATTATAGATTTTATACATGTATCATGTGGCCAGTCCCTGCATTTCCAGGTTCATATTCATGAACAGTGTAGTGCACATGACCTTTACAGAAATTACAAATGAATAAATTTATTTGGTATCACGTGCACTGGCCATCGATTATATTGCACTACCACTTACGTATCATGCATTCAGCGTCCCAAAAAATGCACTGTATACCTAGGCTATTTTTATGAAGTTTTCTAGGTACTCAGGCACCTTTTTTTTCACCTTTAATGCTGATTGGCGCAAATGAGATCACGCCATGCAAGAAAAGGTTGATTTGTAATGTCAGGAATGAATGAGGATGAAGCTGACAAAAGGAAAGGTGAGAACAATAAATTGAAGTCCATTTTGCTTCTCATTCTTTCATTCCTCTTTAACTAATCTATCTCACAAAACCACGTCATTATATCTATCTACCCGCTTTCATATTACTTAAATTATGTCTTCCTCTAACAACACTGCTTCCTCTTCCACCAGCCAAGTTGCTGGCAAAAAACGCGCTCGTGAGGAATTGGAAAACGACAAGAGCGCAAGTCGCCAGACCTCACCTTCCCTAGAAGGTCCACCTGCTGCCCTAGCGTTCCACTATGTGCCATGGGAACGTCCCACCAAAAATATACACGAAATCCAGAAGCTCTTTCTTGAGGGTCCATTCTGTACTTTCAGGGAGCGGGAAGACAGTGAGCTTTATCAGGATGGCGATGAAGGGAGTCCTCGCAAGATCCTCTTTCTAGAGGGAGTGCTAAAACGCGATTTGTCCAGCAAACCCGTGACGCGTGGCAAATTTGAGATTTTCGGGCTTCATGAACCATCGCTGATCAAGCAGCTGAAGCGTCGTGACCTCAGGCTGATCAAAAACACGGAATTGCAACGGTTAGAAGCGTTAGCTAGGGCCTCGCAACGTGCACCGGCTGCTGTCGTTTCAGTTGCAACAGAGACTGACCGTCCAGAGTCGACGCTAGAGATGTCAGAACGACAGCTCCGAACGGTTCTCACTGAACTGGAATCAGTTAATGTGGACTCGCCTCGTAACAAGCTTTTGCAAGAAAAAGCAGCACTGTTGTTAGATGTGTATAGAACCTTTAAACCAGTTGCGGAATAAAGTGTTGTTTTCAAAAATATATATTATCATGAGTATAAAAAATTCGTACGGCGGTGCACTTTGGAGAGTACATCAAAACCATAGCTTTTTATTTGCCCTTCTTCTTTTGGATAGACTTAAAGTACGCGTTTGAGGATCCAGCTTGCCTGATTGCAGTATCCATTGTCGTTTTTGCCTTTATAACTCTGTCGTTCAGTGTTGGTCCTTCAGTCTTCAGGACCTCAGCCAGAGTAGCAAAGATAATTCTTCGCTTGAGCATATACTGGTTCCTAAGATTAGGATTCCAGCCTTTGCGCCAGTCCTTTTGGAACCTATTCAAACTCCAAATCGATGGCTTTGCCCCCTGGGCCGTAAACCATTCATCCCAAAGAGGAAAAAGAGGGGTGACCCTTGACAACATAGAGAAATTTGGGGCTGCAGCTCTGACCTGGTCAATTGGGAGCTGCAAGTAAGTCTCTGCAATCTTATCCGCTAAACATTCCAACTTCATTGTTTCCATGGCTTCATTTATCCCTCCATCTTCCTCTTGTTCCTGCACCTCGGGGTCTACTTGGTCTAGTTGCTCATTTTGGCCTGGTTGCTCGTCTTGGCCTGGTCGCTCATCCTGCTCTGGTTGCTGCTCCAAAGCATCCATCCCCCTTTGTTCAAATCCCCGCGGCTGCTCCTGGAGATGCTGCCTTGGAGGTATATGATGTATAAGGTCATTCAACTGTTGTTCTTGCTCTTTCGCTTGACGCTGCTCTTGTTGCGTCAGAATGCGATGCTCGTTCTCCATATCACTAGCTAAATGCCCAAAAGACCTGGCGGTTGTCTTCGTAAGGTTCGACATTACAGTTTGAAGCCCTTGTACGATGGTTATCATCTCACGATGCATATGACTGCATGTTCTAGACCAGCCAGCATTACTATTCTCCGCTGTAGCTTGGAGTGCGCCCATAAAATCATCACGTACGTAATGATCCAAAGATGACACGCTCGATTTGATGGCTTGAAGCTCTTGATGGATGACTGGAGCATTGAAACGGAGACTGTCGTTTGTTGGTGATTGTGTCTTCTGCATGGCATCGTGAAGTCGCAAAGAAAACTCTTGGAACAGTTGCGACGAAAACACAGGGTTACTAGTGAAAACGTGGTGCTGGCTGTAGATACACAATGGATCGCCATTGCACGCCATCAGAGCAACTGCATCTTGTAAAATAACCTTGCGCAAGTGGGCTAGGATAAGCATGATTCGCATGGCTGGAATGTACTCAGCTGGATAAGGTACTGACTCATTGTCAGGACGATTCAGATCTTCGGGACGATCCATCATAACGTTCTCCATCCATCTGGCCCAATCGACATTGTCTGGAAACAGCTCCTCAATGAATGGAAAGATTTGCTTCTGTAATTCAACAGGCGGTATAACGGTGTTCCGCGGAAGCCAGAAATCCTCATTCTCGTGGAGAAATCCGGCCATTTTAAATGGTACAGTCTGCGCTACCGGACTAAGGTAATGCGTTACCAAGCGGCGATGGTTCCAATTACCATGTTGGGCAATATCTTCGATGCTAGCCCCATTGGCTTGCGCATGTTGCGCCCCAGCCTTACGGCCACTATGAGTAACCTTGGATGATGTGTAATGCGCTAGCTTCATCACCTCGCTTAGAGATCTGAGTATGGCTATGCTATTGGTTAGGAAACAGAGTACAAAAACTTCATGTAATGGCGTATTTGCATTTCTGATAATTTCACTTGCCTGTAGAGAGTCGCAGCATCCATCGCTTTGTATTTGTCAGAGGCATGTACAAGGTACTGGGATTTCCAGTCATGCATGCGGAAATTTGGAGTAGATTCTTTCGTCTGTTGTGTAAGGTAAAGGGGTATTTTAATCATGGATGAATATTAATAGACAGCTTATATGCTGAGTTAATCTTCAACAGCAACCCATAGAAGCAGCCAATACGTACCATCCACTGCTCGAATAGATAAAAAGCGAGGCATCCAACAGGGCAAATCTCTACGTCCTTGTTACGAATAAATACAGAATGGAGCGTATGATCATTGTTCATTTTTCCTTGAGGGATTGCTATTACAATCCCAAGTGCGAACTGGTGTCCATTTCCAGCAGTCGCAAAGTGGTGGGGAAATAAGTGGCTCACTAAGGCATCTCGTATACTTTGTCCCCGAGTGATCATAAAATGATTAAATGCAAAACACAGACGATTACGCGCGCCAACTAGCTTCTGTGTCCTGGAGACAGCACTCAGATGCTTATAGCTCCTGCTCCACGAGATCTTCATAAATTTCTTGAACATAGATAGAGGATATCCCGCACCAACTGTCAGTTGCAGAACGTCCTGGGACGACGTTCTTTTGTTCTGGTTCAAAAGTAACGTTCATAATCTGTTTCTAGCTCTGCTGATATAAAAAAAAAAAATAAATAAATAAAGAAAGAAGGCGTGAGACTGAGGCCATAGAGGGTCGGCGTACGGCTCTAAGCAAATGGGATACATAATGGGTCCTTTGCTCAGAAGCACTCCTCCTCTCTTAGAGGGTGTTGGTATTGCGTTTTATTGAATCCATCTTTTTTTTTTTCTAAAGGGGTTACGGGGACAAGAGACAGGAACGCCGAGAAAGTAAATGAGTGAGTGGGAAGGAGAGCTTACTCGGTTTAGAAGGGTTTGGAAAGGTGTTGGGTGTAGCAATGAAGAAGGAAGAAAAGGAATGCATGAATGCATGAGACATTTTTTTTTTTTTTTTTTTTTTTCCCAGTATAGCCTGGGAGGTATTTGCAGAGGTTACAAGCAGGATTACAATTGGTGCGAAAACACAGTCACATATATACTTATTGAATACAAATTTTGT